AGACTAATTACCTTAAAGTTATAATTTAAGGCTAAATTACATTACTGCAATTTAACCTATTACTAATTAATAAGTTTAACGCAATTCTAAAACTTATATAGTTAAAAACCTATAATCCTATTATTAACTAGAGAACAGGCTAATTAAGTTAGAGTGATAACTTAAGCTTGCTAGCTGAAATGAAATTATAACTTAAATAGAAAGAGCTAAGTAAGGAGCGAATGCCGCTAACTAAGTTAGAAGCCCTTGTGCTACTATTAAAAGGTAAAAAAATAAAGAAAAAGAAAACGCCCTTAACAAAAACAATTAAACTTAACAAAACGCCTATAATAATCCCTCCACAGCACTATAATAAATAAAATAAAGCAGAAGTTATATAAACTTATAAGAAAATTATATTTATATAATAAGAACTCGCCTTTATTAACGCCGAACTCGTAAAAGTAAAAGTATAAGCATAAGGAAAAGATAAAAAGAACGAAGACAATGAAAAATAATTATAACCTATTCTACGAAAGTTTTAATAGTATAAGAAACTTTATAGTAAAACAGTAGCAATAGGACTACCTATATATACTAAATAAGACTATATCATTAAGTTAAAAGAAAGAATAATGCCTAAATTCCATAAAATTTATAACCTTAGTAAAATTAAACTTATAACCTTATAAGAATAGTTAGATAAATAACGTAAGCTAAGATATATATAAGTATCCTTATTATTAGTAGGATATCCTATTATATTTATACCTAAGAAAAACAGTAAACTATGCTTAGTAATAGATTACTAATAACTTAATAAAATCATAAAGAAAGACTGCACGCCACTGCCTTTAATCTTAGAAATTAGAGACAGGCTTACTAAAGTAAACTAGTTTATAGCTCTTAATCTAAAAGGAGCCTATAACCTTATATAAATCAGAGAAAGTAATAAATAGAAAACTGCATTTTAAACACACTATAGGTTATTTAAATACCTAGTTATGCCCTTTAGACTCACTAACGCACTTATTACGTTCCAGAAGATAATTAATTTTATACTTAAGGAATATATTAACCAATTTATTATTATTTACTTAAATAATATCCTAATCTTCTTAAAAACTCACAAAGAATATAAGGAATATATCTATAAGGTATTATAGGCGCTAAAAAACGCAAATCTCCTTATAAAACTAGAAAAGTGTTAATTTAAAGTATAAAAAGTAATATTCCTAGGACATATTATTACACCCGGAAATATATAAATAGACCCTGCTAAAATTAGTGTAATCTAAGACTGGAAGGACCTAATAAACATTAAAGAAGTATAAAGCTTCTTAGGACTTATGAATTACTATTAAAGATTTATTAAAGACTTTACTAAGATAGCTATACCACTTACTAATCTTATAAAAAAAAAAGTTAAGTTTAAATAAAAAGAATTAGAAATTATAGCATTCTAATAACTTAAAAATGCTATTATAAGTAAACCAGTTTTAGTTATATTTAATAAAACTAAGCCTATTAAAGTAAAAATAAATGCCTTAGATTACGCTATAGGAGAATAAATTAAATAATAAAACTTAAATAGAAAACTATAACCTATTATATTCTTTTTAAAGAAACTCTATAGACTAGCACTATAATATCCTATCTATAATAAGGAATTTATAGCAATTGTAAAAGCCTTTAAGGAATAGAGATATTACTTACATAGAAGTTTATATAAGGTTAAGGTCTATACTAATTATAATAATATTACTTACTTTATAATAACACAGAGGTTATTTAAATAATAAGTTAAATACTTTAAAGAACTTATATAGTTTAATTATAAACTAATCCACGTTAAAGGAAAAGAAAATAAATAAGTAAACGCGCTTAGCTATAAACCTAAACTATTTTAAGAAATCCCTGAGTATTCCGCATAGATGCTTAAATATAATAATAAAGGAAACCTTAAATAATAATCACTAGCTATAATATTTTAAATTAAAGAAGATAACCCTATAATTATAAAAATTAAGGAATATACTACCCACTGGGAAACGGATAATACCCTAGAAGGTGTAACCCTTAATAATAGAATACTAACCTATAAATATAAGGTCTAGGTACCTAAGGAACTACACAAGGAAGTAGTATAATTAATATATAAACATCCCCTACACAGTTATAAAGGAATATAGAAAATTAAGGAATAAGTGTAATAATACTACCACATAGACGGAATAAAGAAAGTAATTTAGCATATTATATCCCACTGTAACATATGCTAATGAAGTAAAAGCGCTAGACACTTACCCTATAGCAAAATTCAACTACTACTAGTACCCACGAGACTATGGGAATTAATCTCATTTAACTATATTATAAAGTTACTACTATTAAAAGAGCTGGTAATAGGAATAAAATATAATAGTATCTTTGTTATAGTTAATAGACTTACGAAAATAGCTTACTTTATCTTATATAAGGAAGCGATAGACGCTAAAGACCTTGCATATGTCTTTATAAGGTTTATTAGTGTAAATTATAAATTACTAGGAAATATTATTTTTAACTAAGGAATAATATTTATTTTTAAATTCTAAAAGGCACTTACGGCTAGATTAAGAATAAATTATAAAGTTAGCATAGCGCACTACCCTTAAATAGATAGATAAATAAAGAGAATTAACTAAATTATTAAAGTATAGTTATAATGCTATATTAACCTATAATAGGATAACTAAGTGGAAAAGCTACTAATTACCTAACTCTTATATAATAGCACGCTATTGGAATCCACCGGAAAATTACTATTCTTCCTAAACTATAGCTTTAAACCTAAAGTATATAGGCCGCTATATACTAGCGAAGACATAGAAAAAGCAATAATTTAAGCAGATAATATAATTAAACTACATAAAGAACTGCAAGCGTAACTTAAGTTAATACACGCACGCATATAGAAATACGCTAACTAAATAAGGCTTAGAGGTTTAATCCTTTAGGAAGGGGATATAGTTTACCTTTGCTAACATATAAGAGGAATTAAATAAGCTAATATTAAAATAAATTAGCTAAATAATAAACTAAACTATAAGAAAGTAAGACTATATAAAATCTTAAAGAAAATCGGAGAAATAAATTATAAGCTTAATATCCTTAATATTTAAGGGAAATAAGGAGCAAAACTTCACCTAATCTTTTATATTTTACTACTAAAAAAAGCTTTAATAAATAAAGATATAGGAGAAGTTATTTATAATAAAATTATAATTAAAGGAGAAGAAGAAAAATATGAAATTAAGAAAATTCTTAAATTTAAACTTAACTAAAACGGGCTATATAAATACCTAATAAAATGGAAAAACTATAATAATAATGCAAATAGCTGGGAATTTATTAAGAACTTAGAGAATGCGTAGATAATAGTAAATAAAATCCATTGGGATCTAAAAGCCTAAATAATAATGGATTAATTGCACTAAGGTTAACCTGCTTAAAGGAAGCTAGGCTATTAGAAACGGAACTAGCCCCGGAATGCGAATTAGTGACCTATTTAGCAGCTACTGCTGCATTTTCTTTAATTATTCTATAATAAAATAACTCTTTACCCCGCTCCTTTGCCTTTTTTTGCGTCTTATAAATACGCGATAAATAACTTAGCTCCTCTGCGAGCTTAGACTATAACTTTAACATTTAAGCATTAAGAGACTTAATACGCTTACCGGTCTTTTCTTCCTTATACTTTAAAGCGCTCTCTTATATAGATACTCTCTTAACTAAGAAATAATTAGTTATTACCTATAATAATACCCTAGGAACTTATATAATTCTACTATAATAATTCTATTGTAAGATTTCTTAAGCTGCACGTAATTAGCGCAATGACTAGATGCATTAGATATAATGTAAGTTAATTTTAAATAATAATAATAAGTGCACGGCATATCTACTGCTATACTTACGCCTAGGACACACTTAGCTAAAGAAAAGGCCTTATAACGCTTCCTAATAGAAGCTATGGAAATAATAAATAAGAAAATATAAGGAGAAAAAATTACTTACTAGGGGAAAACGCGCTACTGCATGGTATAATAATAAATGTTATATAATAGGCCTTAAGGATAAGACCTTTAGGAGGGGAGCATTATATTATAACCTAACCTCTTAAGGAATGTAATGCAGTATGTACCCTGGGATAACCTTAGATTATATAACCAATTAAAAGAGGACCGACGACTAGACAGCGGTCTTATATATTAGACTAACATATGCGAGCGGTCCTTAGAATACTAGACCAATGGGCTATATTAGTCCCTATGAAATAACTTACTATATAAGTTAATAATATATACACTTATTAAATAGCTTAGATAGTTAGTTGTTAATAACATAATAGTACTAGATATAAGTAATATCTTATTTACTAACTATGTGACTATGCAATGTGCTTAATAACTGGATATCCTATCCTATCTGCTAACATAGACACACGCATTTATCCCTTGGGAATCTCCCTACCCTATAACGATAACCTAGGATCTAGGGACCGGATCGTCACACGCGGACTTTAAATCTATAGCTCTTACTGTCCTATTACTTAAAAAGGATTTATATAACTAGCTTACTTAGTGGATGTTAATAATAAAACAAATAATAAACATTATATATTATAATATGGGTGTGTGGTATTTACGTAGACCTTTGGGGCTCTTTATCTTTTCCCCGCGGCAGGCGGGGCTGTTCATTTCTAGATATCCCAAAGCTATAATGTTGAAGTGCCGCACAAGCGTATACAAAGATATCCGTCGTCTACAGCCATAGACGCAGGGAGAAGAATATTCTTAGCCCTGGTTGTCTTATTCTTATATACAACAAAGATGACTCTTTGCCCCTAATACTTCTCTGTTGAATAACTAGATATAGTAAAGAGTTTTACGAAATAAAGGCCTACCCTAATACATGTAAATTGGCGGCATCAACCAAACGCTCTGAGATCCATATCGTTATTCACTCTAGTTCGCGACTCATGTATATCTCAATTTACAAACAAAGACGAATAAGAACGCCTTGCAAGTGCTACTCCGATTTTCAATGTTGTCCGCAGGACGTATCCAGCTGATATAACTGCACACGGGAGCTTGCCAGAGCTCTGCTGCTCCTATCCCTGTTTCAAAACCAATTAGTACAAAGGCAGAGATGATTTCACCAGATAGATAATCGTTCCTACCACAATTTCTCACCATTGATGATAGCGAGGATCTACAAAAGGAGGCGGGCTTCATGCGCTCCCTGAATTGTAAAGGATGAGTCCTCTTGCTTACAGGGGCACAGGTTATAAGTTCAAAAGTCATAGTCTATAGTATAGTAAGCTTGTGTAATATGGACTCAGCAGACCTATCAAAAGCAATAACAACAGTAGCAGAAGATAAGTGAGCCTTGTGTTTTCCTGCATTGCGGCATTGCGGCCCAACCGCATCGCCGACCCGCGAATCTACGGCGGGGTCTAAGAAGTAACGTGGAGTGCTTGTACGTACTGGTACCAGCAGTTCAGTGTTCTCTCCAAAGACTAACGCTACCTAAACCTACTTGTCAGTACATAAAGTACAATCTTATGTGAAAGTGTTCCTGGCCATACGCCTCCCAAATCGATCCTGATCCTGAGGCCAATGGGAGATTTCGAAATTCACTCCGAGATGCAAGTTCAGAATGCGGGACCGCCTGCATGGCCGCCTTACCACAGTGGGATGTTGGGCCGTCGCAGCAAAACTCCATGCTGTTGCCTGTATTCGCATTCGCCCACTGTCGCTCGCTCGCATCATCTCGCATCGTCCCATATCCCCTCTTGCTTTGCCTTGAGCTCCTATGGGCATTTGTTAAGTCAAACATTATAACTCTGGTGCTCAAGGCCTAGATACACGACGTTTGCGTTACACGTATACGTCGCGCCATTGTCGCGTTGCAACACCCTTCTGTTTAGCAGTTTCGACCCCTCATATCAGTGTTGAGGCCATGAACAGAAAAGCGAGCCCGAAACGTTTGGGTAGGCTTAAGAGACTTTTTAAGCGCAATGCATCATCGCCGCCTTCTTCTAGACAGCGCATAGCTAATGTACACGGTCCGAGACCACCTTCGAGCAGCACGGCAGTGGCAAAGGCAGCCGAGCCAACAGAGCAGCAACAACACACAAGCCTTTCAAAATCTCAGGACTTATGGATCGCTGCCTTCGAAGATCTCGCTCAGCGCCAAGATACAGCAAGGCTCGTCAGGGCTTACATAAAGACCCTGACGACAGTCCTCACGACCAGGCTTTCTGACGCTGAAGTTTTGGCATGCCTAGACGATCGGGCTAAACTACAGGGCCTCATGAAGGAGCTAGTGGAGGATGGCCAGGCGAAGCTTTCCAAGAGGTCGAATACCGCGAATGCAGTGAGCGCTGTTACGCAGTTTGTTGTTTCGGTGAAGGGAATCGTCGATGCCGCCGTTCAACGCATCCCGCAGGCCGCGCTTCCGTGGGCTGGTGCTTCTATCGGATTGCAGGTGAGTAATATCCTGGTAAGTCTTGAGTTTTCACAACTGATCCCCCACAGATTCTCATGAACCCTGCCAACGCCGCAAAATCCAACCTTGATGGCATAGCTCATGTTGTCTCTAGAATGACATGGTATTGCGCCCTGACCGAAAACCTCTTGGAAAAGGATCACGTTGACGAACTCGAATCAATTCGGCCTCAATTGGAAACGAAGATTATTTCGCTTTACAAGGTTCTCCTTCTGTATCAAATGAGAAGCGTATGCTCTTACTACAGGCACCGAGGCTATGAGTTCCTCCGAGGCCTTGCGAATTGGGATCATTGGGAACACGATTTAAATACCATTAAAGAAACGGAAGATGCCCTTTGCAGCGATCTGGACCGTTACATAAAGGTTCGGGAGAAAGACATGATGGGGCAACTCCTTCAGCATGCCACAAAAACAAACGAGCTGCTTGGGAGTTTCCATCAAACTCTTCAAGACTTTGTCTTTTTTCAGAAGAGCAACGTGGATGAGAAGAATAAGCAATGCCTAAGAGATCTCTTCGTGGTAGATCCCCAAGATGACATGAAGAAAATTGAGAGAAACAAAGATACGTTACTCAGCGAGGCAAACGAGTGGATCTTCCAAATGGAGGAATACCAAGCATTTACGGATTGGAGCAGCACCGACTCTGCGCCACCATTATGTCGATTACTATGGATTAAAGGCTCTGCAGGTACAGGCAAAACGATGCTTCTAATGGGCATCATCCGCGAGCTTATGAGCCACTCCGCTACATTGACACCCAAAGTTTCTTTTTTCTTCTGCCAAGGCACGGTCAAGTCTTTAAATACCGCTACAGCCACCCTGAGATCTCTGATATGGCTGCTTCTCGTACAGCAACCACATCTGATGTCTCATCTGAAATCAAAGCATGATAATGCAGGTGCTTCCCTTTTTGAAGGCGATGGGGCATACTTTTCTCTGAATGGTGTGTTTGAGAGTATTTTGCAAGATCCGAAGTTATCTCCGGTGTATCTTGTGATTGATGCTCTTGATGAGTGTGAGCAGGGCCTAGGCGATCTCAAAAGGCTTATTTTAACTTCTCTAAAGATCTCTGATAAAGTGAAGTGGCTCGTCTCAAGCCGTCCAACGGTTGATCTTAAATCTCCAGAAACGGAAGGCTCGTTGGTCGAACTCGATTCCCAGAAACTGCAAAATCCAGTCAATACGTTCATCGACCACAAACTTTCCATGTTGAAGGCTAGACCAGGATATACTGACGAGATTTTGGAACAACTGAAGAAGGAAATTATCCAACGAGCAGAGAATACGTTTCTTTGGGTGGCTTTAGTGTTCAAGGAACTTGACAAAGAGGATGGGTACCAAATCGTCGTTGACGGAATGTACGCTCTCGACATTGTTAGGGAAACACCTTCCGGCCTATCGCAGTTATACGACTATATTATGCACAAGATTGAGAAGGGATTGAGAAAAGACTGTGAGTATTGTAAAAACGTGCTCATAGCTGCTACTCTTGCATTTCGTCCTTTGACCCTTTCTGAACTCAGAGTGCTCGCTCAGTTGCCAGACGCTGCCCCAGCAACTATTGTGCGCAAATGCGGTTCATTCCTAGTAGTCCAGGACGAAACAGTATACCTTATCCACCAGTCAGCAAAAGAGTATTTCCAGGAAAATTACGAATCCAGGCTCCGTCCAACTGGGATGTCGCAGGGGCATGAAGACCTGGCAATGTGTTCGATCCAAGCCATGTCTTCAAATCTCAGACGAAATATGTACAACCTGGATTATGGCTTCAAGCCGGAGAATATTAGTCCTCCGGACCCGGATCCCTTGGCTTCAATACGATACTCCTGCGTCTTCTGGGCCGATCATCTTAACGCCATACATTTGAAAAGCCTCGAGCATAAGGAAGCTCTTATAGATGATGGGGCCGTATTGAAATTTCTCAGGGAGAAATTCTTGAACTGGTTAGAAAGCTTGTCTCTCCTAGGAAACCTTGCAGAGGGTGTGGAGTTAGTAAGAAAGCTTCTGCATATTGCCCTGGTAAGTTCAGAGCGCTCTTCATTGCTTGCAATGACTCATCACTTCTAGAACTTAAATGTGAAATCCCGGCTAGTTCAATTTCTAGAAGAGGCTGAAAATTTAATCCGAAGTCACGCATCAATTATAGAACGAGCTCCGCTACAGGCATATGCCTCTGCACTAGTATTCACCCCAACAGCAAGCGAGGTCAGGGCCGCGCAATGGAAACATCGGTTACCATTCATCGAAAGGCTGGGGGGGATTAAAACCCACTGGGATTCATACCGCCAGACTCTCGAGGAGCCCAACGCCGTCGAGTCTGTAGCTTTCTCGCCTAGTGGCAAGATGCTTGCCTCCGCGTCGTGGGGGGATGGGACAATTCGACTCTGGGAGGTGTCCACAGGAAGCTTAAAACAGACGCTAAAGGGACACAGTGACCGAGTTTCTTGTGTAGTCTTCTCGCCTGACGGCAAGATACTTGCCTCTGCGTCGCATGATAACACTATTCGACTCTGGGAAATGTCCACGCAAAGCCATAAGCGAACGCTTGAGGGGCATATTGAATCGGTTAATTGTATAGCCTTCTCACCCGACGGCAAGATACTGGCCTCATCGTCAGATGACAGGATGATTCGACTCTGGGATACAGCTGTAGGAAGTTGCCGACAAACAATCGAGGGACACTGTAATAGGGTCAAGTCTGTAACCTTCTCACCCGACGGCAAGATCTTAGCTTCGGCAGCAGACCATGAACCCATTCGACTCTATGATATGGCTACCGGAGAGCACCAACAGACGCTTGAGACACACGATGGCCTAGTTCAATGTGCGGCTTTTTCACCTGATGGTAGTATACTAGCCATATCATTGAACAAGAATGCCATCCAGCTCTGGGATACAGACTCATGGAGCCTGCGGCAAACTTTCTGGACAAAATTCGTCTCTGTCTTTTCTTTAGCTTTCTCACCTGATGGTAAGATGCTAGCCTTTGAGGGGTCTAATGCAGTTATCCAGCTCTGGGATGTAGCTACGGGGAGCATATGGAGCGAACTCACGGGACACAGGTTGGGAATCAATGGTGTCGCCTTTTCGCCTGATGGCATGACACTAGCCTCTGCCTCATCTGATCACACTATCAGGCTCTGGGATGTAGATTTAACGACCCGCCAAAGAATGATTGAGGAGCCTATTAACTGGACTCGTGTGAGTGCTGCGTTCATGGCTTTTTCGCCCAATGGCGAGAAACTAGTACTGGCTTCGAAAAATGATTTCCAAGTCTGGGACACAGCAACGTGGAGCTGTCAGCAAACAATCACTCCAGTGGCCATGGCTTATAAACTTCTTGTATTATTTTCGCCTGATGGCAAGACTCTAGCCGTGACGGGACCTGACGACGTGCAGCTCTGGGATACGGATACGCCCACTTGGACCTGCCGGCTGACGCAAAAGCGAGCTCGGCCATTTAATCCATTTATGGCGCCTATTATAGCTTTCTCACCGGATAGCAAGATGCTAGTGACGGCATCACAAGAGAAGACTACCCGGCTATGGCTGTGGGACGCGTCCTCGGGGAACACTCTGTGGACGTTACAGGGAGACGAAATCCACTTCGTGGCATTTTCGCCGGACGGCAAGACGCTGGCCTCGGCGTCGCAGAGCGGGAGCATCTCACTCTGGGATACGGCCACGCGTAGCCTCCAGCGGAATTTGAGTTTCGAGGCAGGACGGGGCCTTTACTTGCGCCTGGCTTTCTCTCACGACAGCAAGACTCTGGCCTTGTCTTTGCTGGGCGTCATCCTGCTATGGAACACGACCACATGGGAATGCCGGGAGCTATTCGCGGGGGCCAGCCGGCTTTCCTTGACCTTCTCGTCTGACGACGCAAACCTTTTGTCGGACTATCAACCGATTCGATTGTCATCTATATCAGCCTCTTCTACACAATATTTCGATGAGCATTCTTCCGAAACGTTTCTGCACTTTGACGATGAGTGGATATGTCTAAATAAAAAGCAAATCCTTTGGCTTCCTGAGGATTACAGGCTTTCTCCTAGTCTGGTGTCAGTACATGGCAATAAGATAGCCTGGGCAAATCGGGGTGGCCGCCTGAGTCTCTTGCAAGTGACAGGTGCAGAAGCAATGCCATAGCAAAACCAGCAATCAGCCATGTTTTCCTCTAGCGTGGTACTGTTGCTACTGCTGCTACTGCTCTGGGTAGCTGTTGATTGCCCACTTGCTTCTCCAGTATGCGGGAAGTGTTGACATATGCGAAAAGTGGCTGGTTCTTGAATGCTGATCGGCCTTCAATTTGAGCATCACCGCGTACATTCTCAGTGGACATACAGTCATAGGCCAAAGTCTGGAAATGCTCTACTAGCTCTCACCCAAATTTCATGTGTTTGAAAAAAATCATGAATAATTCTAAAAAAATCTGTATAAAGACAAAATAAAATATATAACTTGGGATATTATTATATTGCATAATTTCAAGAAGTCTACATTTTGTTTCTAATATATGCCGTGAAGAATCCGCCCCATATAAAGTTAGTGGTCTTTTCACTTTTTTTCCCCGCGTTTCCAGGCTTTTGTCCTATGACTATAGCTCAATTGACATTACTTTGCCTACCTTACTTGCCTTAATGTGAGCCTTACATGTACCGTGTATTTTCTAGCGTCAACTAATATACGATTGAAAGTATAAGGTAGGTATACTTACCTACCTGTACCTTAGGCAAATGACAGTAGAGGAGGCTTATGACAAACGAGCCTTTAAGATTGGCTTAGAGATCGGCAGAAGAAAATACCAATAGTTTGCGACGTTTGTTGTCAGCCGTTTACATCAGCTACTCTAGCTTTTGTTAGCCTTTCCATGTGGCAATCCGAGATATCTGCTCCTATAATTGAGGCGAAGGTACATGTATTCTGCTGGCTGACAGTCACTTTTCATCCCAACTCTACATGTGGCATTGGGAGTACCAGAGAGTGGGGAAACGACCTCTAGGCCAGCTGTACTACTTTGGGAACCGCTGTCCGATGCGGCGGCCAATCACAGCCCTACGGCAAGTCATACTGAAGAATTGCTTCCGTCCCATCTTCTCCACCAATCCGCTCTCGCCATCCTTGCAATTTTGCCTCATGCCCAGCTTCAGCTTCAGCCGCAGCGCTTTGTTTGGTTTCAGTCTTGCGGCGGCGTTGATAGCAGTTGTTCTGGTCCTTTTGCCCCCTTTATTGGTTACAGACCTTGCTTCAAGTCATCTCAGTAGTAGCAGCAGTAGCAGCAGTAACTCTTTCTCCAGCATCCAGAGCGACGCCACCAATCTTGCCAATCCTGATTCCACGATGGCTTCTCGGGCTGGTCCGGTGGTGTTTCCGGCCCTGAGCCGGCACACGGCCACGGTCATCTTCGTGCACGGGCTCGGCGACAGCGGAAAAGGCTGGGCCGATGTCGTTAAACTGTGGCAGAGGAAGCACAGACTCGATGAGGTCAAATTCGTCCTGCCCAATGCGCGCACTATGCCCATCACAGTGGTGAGTCCAACATGCCATGCGTCTTGTCTCTCTTGGACGCTAGACACAGCAAGAGATTTATAACATTATCATATGGGTTGGCTAACGATGTGTTGTGTACAGAACAGAGGCGCTTTCATGCCTGCCTGGTTCGATGTCGTATGACTTTCCTTCTTGCCTTGTTATAAGTCTACTCGTATTTCAGAGTACCTGCTCCTGGTCTCTGTGCGTGTCTATGCAAACTAACATGGCCCGTGCAACAGAAATCTCTTGGCGCTGCATCAAAAATGACCCTTGACGAGAGGTCTCGCGATACGGACGAAGCCGGTATCCTTGAGTCTCGTGCCTACCTCTACTCTCTCATCCAGGATGAAGCTGCAGATGGCATCTCCTCTGACCGCATTGTGCTGGGTGGCTTTTCCCAAGGCGGCGCCATGAGTATCTTCTCTGGCATCACAGCCCCCTTCAAATTGGCCGGTATCGTTGGCTTATCCTGCTGGCTGCCTCTAAGCCATAAGTTGAAGGAGTTTATCCCCGGGACCAACTTCAACCAGGACACACCAATCTTCATGGGACACGGCGATATAGACCCGGTAGTCCTGTACGAATGGGGCACGGCTACCGAGGAGAGACTTAAGGAGCTCGGCTATGACGTGAATCGAGAAACATATGAGTGAGCAGCCCATCATCCCATTTCCCTTTGTTCACATCTCATATTCAATTTCATGCTGCTTGTTCGCTACCTTGCGCGGATATTTCATTCTTTTCATTTTCACACCTCGCTTTTTCCTTTTTCTTTCTGTTTTTATATACCAACTGACGACATGCCAGGGGTATGGAACACTCTGCCTGTATAGAGGAGATTGACGACGTTGAGGAGTTTCTCGTATCGAAGCTCCCTGCCAAAGGTAGTGCTTTATCAACGGGACCTTGACGACCGCATAGAAAAGGTGGTGCGTGACCGAGTTACGATGCCTCTGGGAAGAATTGAAGACAGGCTTAGGAATTATGCCGTTGCAATGAGACTTGCCTTAGCAGGGTGCAACAACATTTTCCCATTGCGGAGTAGCAAACGTTCAATCCAACTGATGGGACCGTGATTCTGGATTTTTTTACGATCCCCTGGCCCATTTAAGCGACCCACAACATTTTATGTCGCCCAGTGACGTGACTCTCCATTATTGGCTGCATCGTTCTTTATCTCTAACCTGTTTTGGCATGTTCCTCGTTTCACATCAAATCAGCCAACGGCTGACTGTACGAGTCTGGGCTAGCAGAACCAGCTGCTTGGATGGTCGAATTTCAGCCTTTTCAAGTGGCATTCCCGCATGACGCATTTAGAGCGGTCCTTGTCATAGAGCTATCCAGCCTTGCATGGGGCATCTCATCTGGAGGATTCCGATCGTGTTTCGAGACGGAAGAATTCAATCCCACAAATGGACAGCTGGGCATGATGCGACTAGATCGTTCCATGGCGCACGGCTAGCTGGATCGGATGCAACACGGTTAAATTGAGCTTCGAAATTAAAGCAACGGGAAAATGACATTGAGTTTAACTCTTGAACTCATTAGGCAAGTTGTTAAGCATAGACATGTCTTTTATTTGTATGTCCAAGAACACGAGCCGGCTGGACCTCGGTGCTGATGACCCCCAGCGAGGGCCTCATCTTAGCCGTTTGCTTAGTTACCTGCCAAATCTGTCGCCGCTGGCGCCGTGCCCACCAGCGCTATTGCCGAAGTGAGGGTCCCTGGGTCAGATAAGCGTCTCACGACGACATTCACAAACTGCAGAGAGCTCTCATTCGTCGCCAGTCGGGGCTGCCCTGGCAGGGTTGCTGCTGTTTAGTCTTAAAACTCCGGCGTGGCAGACGGAATGGAACGTCTCCATGTGACAGAGACGAACGCCTACATGTTCTAGGTCGTACTGTAGCAGCTCAATGGGGCTGAGAGGAACGGACTGTCGGTTGCTGGCTTGCAGTTTTCCGGCTGCAACTGGACGAACCATACGACTATACTACGACCCCTCTTTCATCGTGTAAGTGTTGTGGTGTCTATTTCTCTTCGCCTGCCGTGTTGGCTTTTTAGGCAAGTGCTTAGAGAAACAAATTCGTTTATCGCCATATCATGTAACGTTATTCCGGCGCGAGTGCCCTCTCGCTTCGAGATGGGCCTCGTGTGCGCATGGCTCTATTGGATTGCATCGGATAATGGTGATATCTTACTCATATGCTTCTTTTCCGATGGCATAGTGCTTGTCTAGCTCGGAACGCTAGGAACCGAGGACCCTGGACTATCGCCGTCCGGGGCAATTGTCAAACTTCATTCATCTGGCCAGACCGTCCATGGCCCAGCCGTACCTGGAGCTACCTTCCGGATTCTCGACTAGACTGGACTAGCAACTATTCTCGACTGCCGCATTGGGCCGTTCTATTTTGACCGCGCTTACACGGCAAGCTGTTTCGTTTCACCACTACTACGAGAAAGTCCTTGGCACCTGTTGTAATTGAGATTCGGGAATTTCGAAAAAATGATAAATAGATGTGCTGATGCCGGCTGCTTGTTGGTTCAGCAAGTTTGCCTTTGGACAACTCAGCAACAGCAGCAGCAGCAGCACAAGTGAAGATCTGGTCATCTTCTACAGGCCTCTTGTATATATCTTGCCGCCTGGTTTTTTTTTATTCATTTTAACTGTACATACATATATCGAAAATGTTTTTCACCAAAGCACTGGTTGCTACCGGCCTTTTGGCCTCTGCTGCTCTCGCAGCACCCATGGAGAAGCGCGCCGCTGGAGGCAAGCTCGTCGTCTACTGGGGCGCCGAAGACGACTCGACTACCTTGGCTAATGTATGTGCGGACTCGTCATACGACATTGTCAACTTGGCCTTCCTCGACAAGTTCTCTGCTGGTGGTGGCTACCCCTCGCTCTCTCTGAGCACTCTCGGTGGCCCGTCCTCCGCCCAGAAGGCTGCCGGTGCCACGAACCTCCAGGATGGTTCTTCTTTGGTTCCCGCCATCAAGGCCTGCCAGGCCGCCGGCAAGCTGGTCATCCTCAGCATGGGTGGTGCTGTCGACTTCTCTCAAGTCACCCTTTCGGGCGATTCTCAGGGACAGGCGGTTGCCGATATGGTTTGGAACCTGTTCTTGGGTGGTACTGCCACTCCTACTCTCCGTCCTTTCGGAACCGTCAAGCTCGACGGTGTTGATCTTGGTGAGTAAAGCCGTTCTCAACGTGATAAAAAACGACTCTTTTCTAACATGCCATCTTGCAATACAGACAACGAGACTGGTAACCCTACTGGCTACCTGGCCATGACTCAACGCTTCCGATCCAACTTTGCCAAGGACACTAGCAAGAGGTACTACCTTACTGCTGCTCCTCAGTGCCCCTTCCCCGATGCTTCTGAGCCTCTCAACGTCTGCCAGCTCCTCGACTACGTCTGGGTCCAGTTCTACAACAACGACAACTGCAACGTTGGCCAGTCCGGCTTCAACACTGCTGTCAAGAACTGGAGCAAGAACATTGGCAACGCTACTCTGTTCATTGGTGCGCTGGCCAGCGGTGCCGACGGTGACCAGGGCTACATCTCCCCCAGCTCTCTCATCTCTGCTTACAACGGTGTCTCTGCTCTTAACCTGCCCAACGTTGGCGGTATCATGCTCTGGGAGGCTCAGCTCGCTGTCAAGAACGGCAACTTCCAGAAGACCATCAAGGCTGCCATCGGCTCCGGCTCCGGTACTACTCCTCCTCCTCCCTCGTCCACCACTCCCGCTGGAAGCTCCCCTACCTGCTCTTGGGTCGGCCACTGCGCTGGTGCTACCTGCAGCTCTGACGACGACTGCTCCGACTCTCTCACCTGCAACAGCGGCAAGTGTGGAAATGCTGGCAGCACTGCTCCTCCTCCTACCACTTGCTCTTGGGAGGGCCACTGCCTGGGCGCTACTTGCGGTAGCGACAACGACTGCTCTGACCCTTACTTCTGCTCCAACGGCGTCTGCTCTCAGTAAGCGGCTAATGCGGATGAGGCGACGATGTGGAGGAAAATGGATATCGAATCTTCTTGTATATAATCTGAAACGCTAATTGGGCTGAAATATTGTGTATAAAGCCCATTTTGTTTATAAAAAGCGAGCGAATTGAATATGTTCATATTTGGAATATTGTCTGTGCCTGTTAAATTGAGTGAGTCGTGTAGCATGTCTAAAGCTCGAATCGGGCTTTATAGTTGGATTTGTAAAAAAATCTTAATCTGTCTTAGAAAGTTGGCTGCTATGAGCTGTATAGGACAGTAGCTGACTACAATATTTAGTAATTGTTAAGTCAACTGTGATCAAATGTCGATGAAACTGTAAGCCTATTTTTCGAGGTGATACGGTGTATGTCTCGATGATGTGATATATGATGCATAACGTTATTGGCACCGAGATAGTAATTGGCGAACACTATTACTTATACGAGCTACTGATAAGTAGACAATCCTTGGCTAGAGCTTTATGATCATCTCTGAACTCTCCCGGCTATTATTAGATCATGGGAAACTATCTGAAGAGCAGGCAGCGGATAGCCTAATCGGAGCACTAGTCGCAAGTGCATAGCTTACTTGGTTGGATTTGCTGAAGTCGCGCGTCAGCATGCAAGTTACTGTTGCTAAATACTGTAAGACGGCAATAATAACTTTGCTTCCGTCAACTCTAATCCAATCAGCGTCTCTTCCTCTGTATTTTGATTGTGCTTCTTGTTCAGTAATACAAAAAGACAATAACGAATCTCAAACAATTTTGTCCCCTAGGTTCGGGTGGAATGCGGCGCTGGCCACTAGTAAACCTAGAGTATGCCATTGCTTCCTGGATTTGGCATAGCGAGCCGACGACGAGTTCTTCATCCTCGGCTTACTGGGGATGGATCCTCTTTCTCCGCTTCTTGATGTGCGGCTGGTGCTAGGGAGTTAATTGAGGAGCTTGAAAAAGCGACTTTGTAGTTCTTGTACATGAGCTTGTGAAGCGCTTTTTTCACTGCATCCTTGATATAGAACTTCTTTTTTTGATGTCGCATCTCCCTTTTTGAATGGTGAAAATGTAGCTTGTGTTCTGAATAGATTCTGTTGAGCCTGCTTGAGTCTATTTTCGGTGCTCTGGGATTACAGGGACTTCCTGGGAAGTAGTTGCGTGTATCTCACCCGCGCGTGCATACCCCCGTCTTGACCATTGACACCTTAGTTTACCTTAAAGTTTAATGTACAACTAGGTAGTTGTATATATACGGCTTCATCCGGACAATCTTACGTCCTCGGAAATCATCCTTCCTTCAACCCGCCCTTCACGTCACGCAGAACATATGTAGTATTCTCTGACTGGGATCGCGTACTACGAGTCTTTATTACTAGTTTCCTTTCCATCTCTTTTTGTCCATTTCTAATTCATATACATCAAAATGAGTAACGCGCGATTACATGGAGGTTCCATCCCCAACGAGGTCGGGGCAGACAAGCGGCTCCTCAGTGCGCCAAAGCCTCCAGACGCGCGCATGCAGAACCTCATCGACGAGGTCAACAAGCACGGCTTCGTCATCATCCGAGATGCCTTTGATGCTTCCACCGTGGCCGCGGCCAAAGCTGAGGCCTTGAGGCTGACAAACGACCCCAAGACGGCTGGGCCTGCTGGCCAGGCAGGGCGCAACAACTTTGAAGGACACAAGACGCAGCGCATGTACTCGCTGGTGAACAAGTCGCGTGTGTTCGACGCCTTTGCGCTGCATGAGGATGTGTTGGCGCTGAATGATCATTTTCTGGATGCGGGATATTTGCTTAATTCGTTTCAGAGCATTAATATCTTGCCTGGGGAGACTGCTCAGACTCTGCATTATGACCATGGGTTTGCGTCGCTGGAGAGGCCTCATAAGCCTCTTGGTTCGGTGAGTACTTTTTTATTCTTCCACTTCTATGAATCATAATAAATTGCTGCTCTACGCATAACGTATTGGAGAATAAAGAGCCTAATACCGGAGGTGAACATCAGGGCGTCATGATTGCTCTGGACGATTACACCGCCACCAACGGCGCAACTGTCATCGTCCCCGACTCTCACAACTGGGACTCAAAGCGCATCCCCACCATGAAGGACACCATCCCCGTCATCATGCCGGCGGGCAGCATCATCTACTTCCTCAGCACGCTATGGCACGGCGGCGGCGCGAACACCAGCGACAAGCCCCGGCTGGCGTTTACGGCGCAGTACTGCCAGCCTTGGATCCGGCCCATGGAGAATATGATTTTGGCGGTTGACTGGGAGAAGCTGGACGAGATTCCGGAGAGGCTGGTGGGCATGCTGGGGTACAAGGTTGGGAGCCCGTTTATTGGCTTTGTGGATGGGAGAAGTCCGAGGGCGGCGGTACAGAAGATACTGGCGAAGTGGAAGGGCAAAGCTGAGTCGAAGCTATGAGATGCTTATTTACCAAGTTCACAAGTAATTGCATATAACATGTGTTGCTTGGATGCGAAGAGGAACTAGGGTTTAGCTGCATGCCCAAGTTTCCATGTTGTCAATATATCGGATCGCGTCTTTCATTTATATTCAGTTAGCTTGCAGACAACTGGACTTGCTATCAATGACCAGTTCAGTTGATGCTCGTTACGCTGATTTATAGTGGACACTCTAGTACTGGAATCATGCTGGAAGTTGTCGAGGCGAATAGCTAAGCGCAGGTTGCAACAAGAATCAATTAGACATTGACCAATCAATGCTAATGAAATCACGGCACTGCGTCTGATTTATGGCAATCTCTGTGTCACACCTTGAAATGTCGTTTTACAGGCAGGACAGGTAACAAGTTAGTGCTGTTACACGAGAATTTCGGGGATGCGTAGAGCCATGCTAAAAGTCTCTTGTGGGTTGCACAGACCACCAAAGCTTATAACAGGTGAAGGGTGCACTCATGAGCATTTAGCTCTCCTACGGAAAATATGTAGGTACATGTTGATATATACGCTTGGCTTTATCGGACGGAGTGAATCAAGGCATGGCAGTTTATGCCCACCTGTTCTCTATGCATTGGATTGCCTACTTTGGGAAATTATCTTTAACTGCCAACATACACGTAATGCGCTGACGCCCAGGGTCTGATGCTTTTGACCAAGTGTAATTCTACCATGCATACATTGATTGAGGACTGAAGTCTAATGAATTCGAAATGAGTCATTCTCATGCCAACTGCAAATCTCTCGTTTGTATGTTTAACCAAAAGTCCCAGTGTTGTAAATAAAAAATCTATGTGTTTTGCCGTTGCGATACGCTGCTTCCAGATCGATCACCTGCTGCGGGGTCGTTGTGGCTAGTTCCATCGTAATGGCGAGTCTGACTCAAGCTTGGAGTAATAAACAACTGCTAGCGACAGAGTACACAGCCTCGTTCTTTAATCCAAGGTTGGCTTGGAGGTTGACTCCTCTTTGTTTCTTCTAAGAAAATGAAATTTGTGACTCAGATGACTTGTGTAAGAATGATATATTGCTATCGCTGAGGGTCTTATCATTGACCTGCGTACCATCCATCTGTTGCATCACCTTGTGCTGGCAAAAGTGCCATTTTAACAAGTCGCCATGGAGAACACAGCATTCTTTGATCTGAAGCTTCTTCAACGCTCCGCGCCTGGAGACCAGGCAATCCACCTACGGCATGTCTTAACCAGCAATCCAGGCGCCGCATCTTCCCTCACATCTAATTTGATAACGCTCGTGGCATCGGATCTTCTCCCGTCCATTGTCCTCTCTTTATGGCCCTTGGCCGCGAACGATCCACACGTGATTATCGCGGTCATGCACCAGGAGCTCTGCCTTGATGCTCAGCGCTCAGCCATCCGGCACTTCTATCGCCATCTGCGCCGCGAAAAGACGTTTGCCAAGGCCTGGGAGACCGCCGGTGGTGCTTCTGGAGTTGCTCAGCTGGCGGCAAAGCTCAACTTGGTTCATGCTCGCCTTCTCTTCAACCTACTTGGAGATACTGGCCGTGCAAGAGGGGCACGAAAGGAGCGCCAGAGGGCCATGGAGGAGCTCCTGACGTTGTTGTGGGGAGAGGATGGAGAAATATCTGCATCTGCCGTGGGTGCTGGCGGCGGTCCATTCGATAGCCGTCCATTGCGCGGTGACTACGTGAAGCTGATCCCAGCCTGCAGCGGCGCGTTTAGAGTAGAGTGGGAGGAGATGAAGCGCCAGCTCCCGGAGAGATACAAGCACTCCGTGACCACAGATCAAGAGTTCTTTGAGGATTATTACAGCGAGAAGCTGCGGCGCGGCGAAATCACTGCCTCGGCGTTCCTACATGCGATAAAGCCTCTCGCTACTAGCCGTATAGACTACGGCTTGCACATTCTGCACAAGTTCGCAGAGAGTGAAACATTGCTAGGGGCGTCTCCCAGTGATTTCTTCAAAACAATTATCGATCCACTAGGAAAGCGATTTGTATCCAACAGAATGATATCAAGTGATGCGACGATGCAATTTTGGAGCCGTGTCATCAGCTGTCTGAAAGAGCGTCGAGTATTTCGCGGAGACTTTGACAATTATGCTGAGCATTACAAAAGAAATGTTGCTCGCTTGCTCAGGTTGTGGAGCCGCTCACGAGCAAAGGCTGAGTATACGGACATGCTGGCTACCCTAATTTCTATTCTCCCTCAGATCGTGGTGAACGGATACAAACTCGTCGACCTCGTAAAGAAGCCTGCCCGGTCACTGAGGTATCGGTTATTACGTCTGTTCCTGAAGAACGCGGCCGGGTACCAATTTGATATCGGAGAACCTGATAGCTTGGATCACACAGAGTTTCAAAATTTGACACTCCGCTGGCAGGCGAGCATTTTTTTCGAATTGTCCGCAAATGAAGCCCTTTCATTATTCATAAAGGTCCGCCGAGCAGGAAATTATATCGCATTTGCCTATGGCAATACGTTTTACTTTGAACGGCGAGACGCAAATGATTGGGATTCAGCCGACCACCATATCGTACAGGCTCTCCTATTGAACAGGAGCACGGCAGCTCTCCCCATGGCGGCAGACCTGGATGCCATGAGATCCGAGGTTCGCCTTCAAGAGCTGCCGGAGAGGATGAAAAAGGCCACCCAAGGCCGCAGTCCAGAAACTCGAGCGCTGTGGTGCGAAGCCGCCCTGTCACTTTGTATAGCAATAGGGGATCTTGATCTCTTTGCGGAAACTCTTCGCTGGGCACGGCGGTTTAACAAAGATGCATTAACTCTCAAAGAAATGTACAGCCAGTCTTGCATCTCAAGGCATGAGGGCATCAGCCTTCTGGCTGTTCTGCATTTCAACAGAGACACGCCAGTGACAATGACTCTGGAACAGCTTGCCAAGAGCATTCACTCTGCGAATGAAATCTTGCAGACCCTTTTCGAGACTGCCATCATGGCTGCAAATGAACCGATTTTTTACCCCAGAAATTGGGAGGCCACTTTTGGCTTGATTAGAAAAGCCGTATCCCGCCGCTTGGATTGTATCAATGACTTCCAGGATCGCAGCGAAACATCTGACGATGCGCTTTTTGAAGCTGTTTGGGAGCCGACGCTTGCCATGCTGAAGGAAATGATATCGACTCTTCTTGGCCCTGCGGGTGAAAAGTTCAAGATAATCGATGCCTATGCCCTGGTATCCTCGAATTTGATTAGTGAACCTGAGAATATGCGGGAACCAACCATCAGATTTCTTAATGCTTTGGCGGTATTTCACGACTCGATTTGGGCGGAACATCGAATGCGTGAGACTCCCGCTATAGCCACAGCCGGTGAGATTTGGCCTAAAGGACTCGCTATCCAACATCTATCTGACCACTTTGGAACGACCATGGCCTATCTCCCTTATACACGATCGCGGATCGAGAGTATCGTGTTTATGGATGCCCATAAAGCCATGGCGTCTGTAAAGGTAGATGAGGAAACTCAAGCGGCCATTGGGGAATTTATAGACAGCTGGCGCGAGGCTCTACGGCTATATATCCGTTCTCCAGGAGTGCCCTATAGCAAGAGTCCGACTTCTAAAGACTTCCCTTTGCGTGTGCAGCGTCAGGAGCGCATTACAAAGGCCTGGAAGCATGCAATTGTCAACCTTTCCAAGGACCGTATGTCTCTGGAAGAGGCTGAACGGTTTTGGTTGCCTATATTCAACAACAATCAAATTATCGTTGAAAGAGACGAGGTTGAGATTGATGAATCGGCTAATCAACGCCCTGAGCCATCTCTCCCTGATGAAGACGAGAATTTGCAACCAGTAGAGTGGAATCCCGATCCGGAATACGGCCGAATATCGCAGCCTCAGAAAAGTAGATCGATGGTATCAACCTATTTGGATGTTTTGCTCAATAAGTTTTACGAAACAACGGCGTTTAACTGGAAAAGACGTTCAGGATCAAAAACCTCGGCAATTGAGTATGCCAAGGCGGTTATTCCGGAAAAGGCACGTCCTTGTTCTTTCTGGCAGTCGGCTTATATCCCCGAAAGGAAGCATACCTGCAAAACAGCGGATGCCTATGCGGTGGCAGGAATCCTGGTTCTAAATATGAAGTATGGATCAGACAGCTCTTTATTAAAGACGCCATTCCCTGATGCCAGCATTACGCGCATTCCGGCTGTGTACCTTGACGAAGAGTTTCTTGAGAGAGAAACAGCCAAGAATAGTGATGAGGTTCATGGTATGCTGACTGAATTACTTCCTTACGTGCCAGCACGCTTGCTCGCCCGTCTAGCAGCTTCAGTTCTTGAGAGCATAAGGAAGAAGCCTGAGTCAGAAAAGCCATATGCAACTTTTTCGTACATAATCGAGACCATGTTGGATGGGATCAGTCCCTCGTTGACATTTCCCTTGATTCAGCAATTTGTTTTGGAATATCCCAATGCAAGTGCATGGCACAGGCTGCTTCTTAATCCTCAGACGCTTATGAGTTTCCTTCCATCTGATGCAAAGAGGTTTTTTGAGAGCTTTACAGATGCTATTCTGGATAAGCTCCAACAACAAGCAAGCAGGCGCTCGGAGGAGCCCAGCTCATCAGAAAGCAAGGGACCACTGGTAAAAGTCACTACAGTCAAAATGTTGGCTCAACTCCTGAGAGAATGTCCGGTTGTTGATCCGAGCCTCGCAGTGGATTTGAACATTCGAATTCTTCAGAAAGCTAGCCATGTGGATATCCGTATAGCCTCTATAAAAGCGCTCACGGAGGCACTAAGTACGACGACTAGCCCTGTACTAAGGCAGAAGATATTTGACGCCTTGTTCAAGTACGCTACTCCAATGGCGTCTTCAGTCCACGACGCACAACCAGCTGTGGACTGGGACGCGTTGAAGCCTGATGACGAGCTGCCTGAAGTATGGGAAGGCGACTCTGGAAACTTTGGGAATCCTCCAATCATGGATATTATCCTGTTCGCAGGTCATGAAATAGAGCTACAGTCTGACCAAAGTCGGACTTTGACGAAGCTTAAATATTCCGTATTGGACTCTTCCGCAGAAAGCAACAGACGATGGACGGATCTTTTCTTAAAGAAGAATGGATTCAGCATACCAGACAACGCTCAACTTCCTCTGATCCCGGCATTCCCGACAGCACTGAATACTCTGCTTGTTTTAATGCAGTCGGAGACTTCGTTAAAGTACGTCGATCTGATGAAGCGATACACATTGATGAAAATGAATCCTCCCGACTGGCTGGCTCGTATAAACAAGGCTGTAAAAGATGACAAAGATCTGTCCAGGTCTAATGCTGGCAAACATTGGTACAATCTGTGGAGCAGCGACAGCTACACATACATGAACAACACTCTTGGAAATGTCTCTGTCTTTCTCGGTCCCAAGAATCCGGATACGCGAAACCGTGAACAGTCAAGAGCGTTTTACGAGAGCTTGGAACAATTTATCCTCGAGGTCGGGGACGCTTTTATTACAGAAGGGTTCTCTTCTCAATATGCGTCGTTCTTGGACAAAATATCATGGATGGGTCCTGAAAGTCCCGTATGGAGGAACCTTGTGGACAGGATAAATAGTCTTCGAACTCCCGCGTGGCAAGCCAATCCGAATCGAAAGCCAAAAGTGCTTCCTGATACGCTGCCACTCAAGATGAAGATGCTGAACTTGCCCAAGCAGAAGCTTACGAATCCGGATGAGGTCAAAGCGGTCATTGCCAGATGTGTGAATGGCGTTGTAGAGCTCCTCGAAGAATTCGTGTCGAGTGGGACTCCGTATTTTGAGAGATTCAATACGCTTCAGAAGGAATTGGGGACGGTTGAGCCTATGGCTGAGATGGCCATTTTGCTGGGCTCTGAGCCTGCGCGACGGAGCACGAACGAAGTGACTTTGGTGGATCACCTTCGGCTGGAGCTCGCAATTAACATGATGAACAGGAGTAATGTTCTCAACAAAGGCCTGGGAAAAGCTCATGACGAGGACGTTGTGAACGCGGCTGCTGGGTTGGTGATGGATATGAGTAATAGTCATGTAGAGTACATTCGCACACTGGCGGCTCCTTTGAAGAATGGGTTGGAGAATGCCACTGGGTTTAATTGGTGGGATTGAGTGAGGCAAATGTTGGAGAGCCAACATAATTACTATTTCGTACATGTCTTATTAATAATTTCCATTATATGGCCGTGTGTAGCATTTAGCAGCATTTATCTAGTTCAAGTACATCTACCTATTCTACTATATGTATTAGCTCCATCAGTTCACTCTATTACTTTAGTATATTTCCTACTTCTGCTACCTCTTCTATCCCTACGCGTCTGCTGGTGCCCCTTCTATGTCAATTTTAACAGAGTCTGGGAAGTCCTTTAGCCTGTCTGTCTCTTCTAGAGGCTGTAGCTCCCAAATATCCCCATAACTCTCATCACTCTCGTCGTCATCGTCATCGTCGTCTTCAATGTCATATTTCCCGCCGCTCTTATACTTATACCTAGCTTCACCATCCCGCTTCAGCTTTATGCGGATGGCTCTATACGCAAACACAACTCTGTTCAAAGTCCGCCCTTGAGATACTGTTTGGGCACTGGAGGCGTTTATGTTGAATCCTAGGCCCCCTAGAACCGTTGCTTTTGCCGCAACTCTAAGCTTAGCGCTGTGATGGTTTTCGTTTGTGGACTTGGAGAACCCGGAGGCGATCTTCAATCCCGTGATCATATATACCCTCTTCCTGCCCACGAGGCTATTATCTAGAAAGTTTTGAACTCTGCATGATGCTCGAATACTCTCAGTTACGAAATCTTGATTCGGTTCGAACTCTGGAGTCTCGAGCAACTCGCAGTGATACACGTTTTTCTTATGACGGGCGAAGGAGTAGATGAGGTCCGTAGACCCTCCAAAGCCGACTCCCTGGATAGCGTTGGCATTGAAATCGGCATGCGTTTGGTGGCCCCGGATGTCTTTTTCGTCAAAATCGGCGGCGACGCTTTGGTTGATGAGATGTTTAGGAACAGCGATTGAATCCTGTTGATTTAGAGGGGCTTTTAGCATTTCAAGGTTGGAAAAGATGCTTCCAAGTCTTGGGGCCACATCGCTGTCAGGATTAATGTCAAAACTCGGTGCCTGAAAATAATACAATTTGCTCATCGTAACAATTCTCTAATAGCTAATAGTTCAATAAGACACTTTTCTGCAGTTATCGAGGTATATTCCTCCCGACTGTAGTCATGTGATGTCGCTTCCAGGGAGGGGTTGGGCTGAAAATTGTCAGCAGAGATAAGTACAGGTACATGTATCGTTCTTCAAACTTAGCATCCAACATTACGTGTTGCTTAAATAAAGCAAGAGTAAACTGAAAGCCTGGAATATATGTAAAAGCAGTAGCTAAAGTAAAAGTAGTAGCTATAGTAGAAGCAGCAGTTATAGCAAAAGCAGTGGCTATAGTAGAAGTAGTAAGTACAGTAAAGCAATAGAGATGATAGAAGTAATAGAAGAAGTAAACTTTCAGGATTCTCTTTTCCTCCTCAATTAACAATTTCATACTGCTGGCTTAAACAAGAAAGCCTTTAATCTCTCCCTGTATCCAAGATTCGTCTCGCTTAGAGTCAAAGAGCCCCCAGTGCTGGATCCACCAGTAGCCAGAATGCATGTGACCATCGGGATCTTTTAGTCGTTCAAACATACGCCGCATGGAATCAATTCGATGGAGACTCTCCCACTCTTGGCGTGACAGAAATCCTCTTGCATAATCAAGAATGACTGCCGCGACTCCAGCAGCAATCGGGGCCGCACATGATGTACCGCTCATGTCTTTGTTATCGCCGGGCAAGTTCAAGTTTGGCGGCCATGCTGACCTGACGCATTCTCCAAGGACCATGATCCTCATGTTCTCCTTTGGACTGGGAGTAAATGATGATTTATTGCCGTAGCCGTCACCGGAATAAATACAGATCACATGCGACTCAATGGCAGGCCATGCAACTCCGTCAGGACGGTTCTTGCCGTCATTGGAAGCGGCCGCAAACATGAGGACGTCCTTGAAAGCGGCATATTTAATGGCGTCGTATACCACCTCGTTTTTGCCTCCAAATCCGAAAGACATGACGATAATGTCGACCTTCCACTGGTCTACAGCGTACCGTATAGCCTGGGCTATAACATCAGAAATAGTGTAGCAGTTTTAGAAAGAAGGGGTCTCACTTCAGCAATATTCTGTGCTGACTTCTCAACATCAGGCCTCTTTTTAAACACCCGAGCAACGTGGATAGCAGCATTTGGCGCAATCTTGCGCAAGAGAACAGCGAGATGCGTGCCATGGCCGACGTCGTCTTTCCATTCTGCATCTTCTCCTACCCAGCTGCGATATTCGAATCTAGGATTTGCATCGTACATGTCCTTTTGGTCCTAGGAGAGCTCAATACCGCTGTCTAGAATAGCAATTCTGACTCTTTGCGACCCGGTGTCGCGTAGCGTTTCTATTCGATTAAGAGCATCCGTGTGCCATTCGAACCACGCATCGGCTGCTATTTTCCTGAATGACGTGTAACTCCATTAGTTATTGGTTGTCTCATACAAACCCACTGCCGTTATCATCACTAACTTGTCGCCTTCATGACGCACGTCTCTGCCTACTTTTCCTCCGAGAAGGCAGAATTTGCGCGTCTCGATGAGATTTATTGCTGGTTCTGGCGCACGAAAAGAGTTATAAGAGTTTTAACGACATTTAAGCTGAGTAAAGGTGGCCATACCAGTTATTTCAGCCAGAGTTACGTTGGCTGCTGTTGAAAGTGACCTTTCATTAGCGCCTGACTGGTCGAGATCCTCGGTGTGTTTTTCCAGCATCAAATCCTCATGTAGTCTGTCTAAAGAAACCTGATACCCGTCACTGAGATCTGAAGCCAAAGGCTGTATAATGCATGATAGTATGTATTGTCTGATTGGACCCTCCTCGGACAGTATCTTACATGGAAAATTTGATGGCGGCTCAAGTATAAGGCAAGAACGTATGGCCTTGATTAAGGCGCGAGATATCCTCTTGGAGCGATCGCGAGATATCTGACGCTCCAACTCCTGGAGCTGTTGCAAGGCCTGCATGCCGTCGCTATTGAATTGTTCCCACGAAGTCTTCTCGTAAATTTGGCATTTGTGGCAATCTCTAAAAAGATGATGCCAAGGGCCAATATTGCAGGATGTGAGTGGTATTGCATATGATTTGGCGAATCATGCTCAGCTTGTTGAAATGCGACAGAAAGATATGGAAATGCCAACGCGGGAGATGGTGAGTTGCTGAATTGGCGGACGAAGTAGATTTTGTCACTGCTCCATGCTGTTTGAAACCACGAGCCCGGATATAGGAAGAGCATCGAGTTTGCCAGAACGTAGCAGAGAATGAGTTTGTCTTTTGGCGTGTATTTTGAGAAATCTGAGACCGAAACACCATCTCCTAAGAGCTGTTGAAGAGACTCCATCTGGGTGTGGTGATTGACACCCTCCGAAGGCCTGGGTTTGAGGTGCCATAGTTTATCATTCTGGGCCAAGAAGTCGACTTGAAAGTGTTGGCTCTTCGATAGCCGGTGGCAAATGTCGTTGTTGACGGACTGCCGAGCTCTTGATACCGACGTTTCGGGTCTGCACTCGAGTCAGAGATGCATAGTAAATTCCCATCTTGTAAGCTTCCAACTCACCGAGGCTTGACGACCTCAACATTCGTCACTTTCCACTCGACATTATCTTTACAAACAGGTAATAGAACTTCGAATTGAGCCAGAGTGTTATGCGCTGTAATTTCCTGCTGTGTCGCTCTTGATACCAATCGGCGGTGCGTAAACAGATTGAGTCTCGCCTCTCTTAACCCATATGGCCTCGCCCGCTGAACGCAATGGCATTTCCAATGCCGCTCTAAGAGGCCATACGTTCTGTCAGCTATGTCTTTCATGCCATAGCTCGGATGCCTGGAGAGATCAAACTGCTCAGCTATTCCACAGGGGGTCCGAAAATACACGTCCAAGAGATGCTCTGTGGCTCTTCTAATCCGTTTGAGAAACTTGTCGCGTTCTGCTTTACACCTCTTCTCTTCCTTATGAAACAGAGGAGTGCTGCGGCCGATGATGCTCAAGTATCGATTGCGAAGCTCGCTTGACTGGCCCTGTAATTCGAAGCATTCATCATAGCCTCCTAAATCTTCCGACCGGATGCATTCGGCAAGCTTGTCTAGGCGAGGAAACTTGCCCGACTTATCATGCTGCATATCGCTGACCTATTTGATGATGGTAAGCAACCTCAATCATGGACGTGAGAATCGCCAAGTGGCATGCTTGAAACCTACCTTACTCGGCATGGAGAAGATAAAAGGCATCCGTCTATTGGGGATTCGGCTCTCAAGGGCTTTTAACAGCCTGCTAACATGTTCGTCTTCGAGGCCAGAATTCCATTCTCCGCGAGATGTAGATACCGCCAATCCTATATTTACCAAGTCGGAATAGCAGTCTTGAGCGTCTGGTCCGCTGTCAATGAACTCTTTGGCGAGTGCCCCAAAGGCGGGCACCACCCAAGAGAGAAGCTCCAGCTGCCACATTAAACTTAAATGCCGTTCTGTAGCAGAGAAAGCGATAAATTTGAGATGCAAGAAATGGCCAGATGAGTGTGGCTTGGTGAGAATCGAAGTTGGAGTTCCATTTAATTGGAGTTGATGCATGTACAGGCAATCCTGCTGCCCCGCCATAAGGATCTTCTCCGCCCACAACCCTGTCGCCATGCATGTATTTTGAGGCTCTGCTGTCAGACCACTACTAGGACCTGTCTATCTACTAACAACTGGACGCCAAGACCCAATTTGAACAGACTTTGGTTTCATAATAAGGCGACATTTTTGTCGGGGCATTGGGCATCACAGGACACGATGAACCGGGGCTTCGAGGCCGTGTCTGAAGACACCTCAAATCTCGGACATGTCGCGCTGGCATGCCAGATACATCTACAAGAGCTATTGAAGGAAGGGGAATCTCAAGAGGATGCTACTAAAGCTGGAGAAGGGTACATGTACTGGGCCTCTCGTCAATCTGCCGAATTTAACCTATGGTGCACCAAAGTTGGAGTCTACGGCGAGGGTCTGAGAGCCATTGATGTGAGATTAAAGGATATACCAGGGATTTTTGAGCTTCTAACGCAGCTCCTTCAGTCGCTGGAACATGACCTTGCAGGTTGTCGTCTCTCTATTCCCATGCTATAAATGGAGGGGTCGTTGATGGGTGCTGACTGCAGCAACCATAATTAGAACTGCGACAACCCGACAAAGAACCCGAACATGCGCTCAACGACCATGATGGTTTAGGTGATGATTCTCAGTCAGATTCATCATCTCTCTCCTTCATGTCTCTCTCCTCTTCTGAAAAGTCGGAGGCAGAGGCGGAGGCAAAGGGCGTCATCGAGAATGCCCTTTCAGCGTCTGAGAAACGCCATGCAGCGTTACGAACACATGTCGAAGACACAATCGATCGACTACATGGCCACGCACTACAAATTGACCGCGCGGGAGCCAAACACCGACGGGAGCGGATAGAAGTTTATCGACAGAAAGAAGCCCCCAAATGGGCTTATGAAGCGTACAAGGAACTCGCAAACCGAGCAGCTAAAAGTTACTTTCCGTCCGCGTCTGAGACATTTCGACAGAGAATAGGGGAATCGTTCGCTAGGCGCAGAATTCGCTTCGATTACCTCGCGGAGCACCAAAAGAAGAGAGCCGTTGGAGCGACTGTTCATCAGCCGCAACCCTCACCTGTCAAAGTTCCATCTGCTAAAGGCACCGATGAGCCAGCGCATGTATTCAACACAAAGGAAGACGATGCAGATGCATTCAGTCAACGTGTCTCACATGATCAGTACACCGTCTATTCAGCTACCGTGAATACCAAACTCGATATACAGCCTCAGCCAAGGCACCAAGAACGCGCAGAGAGCGTGGCCTCTGTAGCGCTGCGGCATCCCGGATTCCCGCCACCTCCTAAACTCTGTGGCGATAGTTTTCAGTGTCCATATTGTCGACTGGATTTTCGTGCCCATGAGGCAGGGAAAGAGCGCTGGAGGTGAGTTTCAGCTGCTTCTCAGATTTCCCAAGGCTAATAAGTTGAGTCATGCAACAGCCAGCATGTCATTCAAGATTTCGAGCCGTATTTCTGCACCTTGGAGAAATGTAAAGCGCCATTTGATGTACCCAACTCTTTTGATGGCCTGTTAGATCACTTGCAGAGCCATCTCGAAGAGCGATACCATATCGATATGCCAGACGGGAAGCACGAGGAGTTTGATGAAACAGAGTTTGAACGTCATCTTGCACGGCACGGAGAAATGTCCGCTGAAATGGAATCTATCATGAAGAAAGCGAGTCGACGCAAAGGCCCGTTCTTGTTTGACAGCTGCCCTTTCTGTGGGGGCTATCCCGATGTTATTGAAAAGCTCTTCCCAGACTCGGATACTCTAGAGGCTCAAAAGGCGTTGCGAAAACACATTAAACAGCATATGCAGGATATCGCCCTTTTCCTTCCTCCGTACCGAGAGGATATCTTGGACGAAGACGACGACCTCAAAAGCTTTGCTGTCACGGGCCAAAGTGCCAACATTGAAGACATCGAAGGTCTAGGGGAGTTTCCGGAGATTTGTGACCAAAAAGACTGTGATTGCAAAAGTCGAGGAAGAAGTATCACAGATGTTTTGACAGATGTATCGATTACAGTAACGCCGGAAGACATGGACACCCAGGTATATATTCCAACACTGACACTCCCATATGATACAGACCCGGATCTCTGGAAGGAGCTGTTTCCCACTTCTGCTGTATACGATAGCTCCCCGGTGCCAGATGAGTATTTTATCGGAGACGAGCATCTTCGATCGTTCATCGCATCGCTTTCACCACAATCTCACGATATTTCACCATCGATATCTAAAATAGCCGAGGCTCTTAGTGCATATAACCCGATTGAGGATTCACAGGCTTTCCAAGATTGTATGAGATCGCTAGCCGTTCCAGAGATAGACACGGAGATTAGCCACTTCCATCCCATCACGAAGATCACAGGCGAGTGGGTATTTGAGCGCAAGGAATATTTGGACTGGGTTGCTGGTCACCATACGCTGCTCTGGATAAACGGTAGACCGGGTTCAGGAAAAACCTCGTTACTAAACCGTCTTCTTGCAAAACATCGAAATAAGACCAATTCTGGAACCAGCGATATTGTCCTCTCTTTTAACTTCAGACGCGATGGCGATGAGCTCCAAAAGGCTCGGCACGACCTTTACCAGTCTCTTCTCTATCAAGTTCTCGAGCAGGCCCCCGATACATTACCTGAACTTATTAGAACCTTCGAACAGAGATGCAAGCAAAGCAGAGAAACAGGTGAACCATGGCACTGGGACCCAGATGTGCTGCGGCTATTCTTTGTAATAGCTGTTTCAAGAATCTGCCAGTCTGACAGTATCTGGTTGTTTCTTGACGCTCTGGAAGTATGCAGTCAAGAGAATGTCGTCTGTCTTACTGAAGAACTCGAGGCTTTAATCCCCCCCTCATCTGCCAGCTCGAAAAAGGCCCATGTGTGCCTGACCGGTCATAGTCATATGCACTTGGATCCAAACATTTCCTTGCAAATATATCCCGAGAACGAGAACCAAGGTGATATGGTAATGCACATACGGGATCAAATTTCTGAAGCTACACTGCGCGCAACTAATATTTTGCCAATCATTATTAAGAAAGCTAATGGAGTCTTTACACTGGCGATTCTTTTCGTGGAAAAAGTGCTAGAACTTGAGCGAAAACAAGTCTCGGCGCAAGTCATCGAAGAAGAATTAGAATATATCGGCTCGGCCATCGAGCTATATCACAATCTCATTGCAAGACGTCGACCACTTTCATGGTCTCTAAGGACCTTATACACCATAGATGAGGCCATAACCCAACTGCTTATTGATGAGGATGCAGAGACTTGGTTCAAACAAACACTCGGCCAGACGCCCCTATTATGGGCTATGGAAAGGGGATATGAAGTGGCAGCTAACATGTTGCTTGATAAAGGCGCCGAAATGTAACTTGGACCTTCGCCAAATGCAACACCAATGACGCCGTCGACAGCTGTAGAGGCTCAAGATGGTGTTCCGTCGCCTCCTATTCAGATATACTCAGTTCCAAGGAGCTCGTCTGACGGCCTTATAACAGCCGATGCCAGTCTGATTAGCACTTCTGCCCTTGATTCGATTTATTTTCATCATTTCGCTAAAGAATCTACTCCTCAGCAGTTGGAGTCTAGTAGTATCTGCAGCTTGAGTATCATAGCCGATCTCCGGGAAGCGTCGGACAAGATCAGCGTCCGGCTAGACAAAATGCGAAAACAAATTCCGGCCAGAAATATACCGATGGTAGGCGATACAAGAAAAGAGTGTTTTCTTTGCAAGACTTCATTTGAACCGCTCCAAGCCAAGCACTGCTGTCGAGCCTGCGGCTTGTTCTTTGATTACAGGTGCACTGCTGTCATATCAACTCCTAACAGACAGAGGAAGCAAGATCAGAAAGAAGATGTTGTCATCATGGCCAGGGAGATTTTAGGGCCGCTACTCATCAATGAGCCTACGGTGCAGTTTCTCCTTGCGCAAGCATACAAGATGCCGCAGCGGGGGTGGGAGGCGGTAAAATCGATCCTTGAGAAGAATTTCCGCGCTAGAGACGACTTGAGTTACTTGGCGGATTTGTTGGAGAGAGGAGAAACTGGAAATGGTGATGGAAAGGAAGCTGAAATAAATACTTATTCGGGCTCTCTCCGAGTTTGCAAAAACTGCATCCCCATCATCAACGACAGCCAGCCGCACGTCTTGCCAGCGTTTCTCTCGCTCTCAGAGCAAGGTGCGTAACATCTCCCTTGAACATTATACATGTTCCTTGCAATCACAAAAATAGAACTGGCTTTACTAATGTTGCACGGGACTGCGCAGATTTGAAACGTCAGTTCCAGATGCGGAGCCAGGCCGGGCGAGCCCGACAGGCGCAAGATATACGAGACGACAACTTGGGAGAAGCGCGATGGGCTGTTTACACGCAGCTAGATAACCACACAAAGATGGATCGCTACGATGATGTCCAGCCTTTTGTACAAAATCGTATCAAGCTACAGGTGCCTGAGAATACGTCCGACTACGTCAACGCCTCTCCTATCACTTTGACATCTCCATGTGATCCGAGCCAACCTCCACTGCGCTATATCGCGATGCAAGGCCCTACTCGAGCGTCCATTGACCACGTCTGGCGCATGGTTGCCGAGCAAACATCATCACCGGCAGTAATTGTTCAAATTACAACCATGTATGAGCTAGCGACATATATGAGCCCTCAGTATGTTCCTGACAACACAAAGCCTTGGGACTTTAACGAATCAAATGAATGGGGCGACAATTGGAGCGCAAAACTTCGCGTTCGCGTTGTCTCTCATGAGATGTTAAGCGGCGGCACTGAGATGTCTAAGCTGTTGCTGCATGTGCATGGATAAGAGGAACCGCGTGTAGTCTGGCATTTTTTCTACAAGAACTGGGACGCCTATGATCCTTTTAATATGAATCACCTAGACTACTTTGTGGAAGTAATGAAGTTGTCGTGGCAACATAATGCGCCGTCTAATCCACGCATTATTCACTGCAACGACGGCATTGGTCGGACGAGCGTGTTCATTGCTCTTGATCACCTTATCAGAGAGCTAAACCTTGGAGCTCTTGCAAGCTACGATCTACTACAGGAGGGTGACGATCTAATCTCTGACACGGTTGAGATCCTGCGCCAGCAGCGCCACAATATGGTTCATCGTGAACGTCACTATCTACTCCTCTATGAAGTAATGAAGAAGCTCTAGTATGACAAGTACGGCGTTGTGGCTGAAGAAGACTCTGGTGAACCGGCGGCTTAAAGACGCGAGGACTCGATTCCTCCTGAGCAATGCATCATTTATGGCGGCGGGGCCTAGCAATCCCTATCTAGCTGCACTTATCTGATCAAATGCCAATACCCGGCAATGTTACTGCGCCTCGCTCACGACCATAACCAACCCAGGTATTAATACAAGCCAGCTAAATAATACGTGTATTTGAACAGACACAAACTACTACAGACAATGCACAGTACTCCCTCTAAAATTCAATGTCTTCCACTTCTTGGTTTGGTGCTGCCTGCGGCCAACCCCAGCCCCAGCCTGGTAAGCAAAACGCGGGGTTCTCATAGCATGGAGCGTAGCCCCGCCCAGCCTTTGCGTATCTATCCGTTAACGTGAGTCTCTGCCTAAACATGCAGCCTTCAAGATGATCAGCGATACAAGATTTAAAGAGCCACACCAGGCAAGGCAACAGCGTATCACATACATCACGATCACATGATTGTGTGTTGAGCTACGCGGTATCCAGTTCGATGAACACGAAGTTGCTCCAGCTCGCATTCATGGACGTGCCCAGGTAGATCCAAGATGGCATCTCTTTCAGCTCTTCCACAGGAATTGGCTTCTCAGGTCCTCCAACTCCTCGGAGTCGGTGACAAAATTAGCCTCAGTGCTACTTGCAAAAATTGGCGAGCTCGATTGGCGCCAGACGTCTTCAAGACAATTCGCCTCACAAACGAGGAGAGAGTTGCGCAATCTGTACTGAGCGCCGTCGAAGCTCACGGCCAGTACACAACCAGCATCGAGTTCGAATCTCACTGCGGGCTCAGTGTCGAGATAAATCCACCTGCCCTCCCACCACCCGCAGTCAAGGTCTTGCAAGGCCATCTGACTCCGAATTTAAAGACTGTCAGTGTCCGCTTTGGCTTTGAGAATAACAATGGGGAAGCCTGGGATGCCTTTGAAGGAGGATCAATATGGACATCCCAAGACGCGGAAACCGAAGAATACATCCGAGAGAGGGAAGGGGCATGGCATTGGCGGGCTCTTATGAACGAGACTTGGCGGGCGCTGGCAGCCAATATGCATGTGAGAGAGCTTATCATAGACGAGTGTGTTGCCAAGTGGACGTCTACTTTCCGCTCACAAGAGTTCCGGCAATTTCTCTCCCGGTTAGAGTCTGCAAGCTTCAACTTCCTCGGCTTAGACAAACGTGGAGGTTCGATGGCCAATACAGTGGTGGGATATAAGAGTTCCTTTCTGGCCTGGATAATTCTTTCTTACATCATATGACGCAACTGAAACACCTCACTATCATTGTGTCGGATCCCATCGGCCTTGAGGGGCCCAATTATACTCCGCTTGCGCTCAAGCCGGGAGATCTTCCACTATTGGAATCGCTCAAGATTAGAAGGTGTTTCGTTGGCCCGGAGTTGGTTTCATTCATACAGGGCCACACTCGAATTCTCAAGTCTCTCGATATCAGGGACTGTGTTAGTGGGGGTATCATTGACCCGGCAGACAATACCTCGGCCGAGTATGACTGGGCAGACAATGGCATGACGTGGACCGAGTTTTTTGATGCGGTCTACAAGGCAGAACCAGCGCTCACCGAGTTGAAAGCTGGAATCAGCTATCTCCGGGATGAAGGCGAGCTTGAGCCCGATTATCGGTTCGAGGACGAGCCTGAAACTTTCCGAGAGATTCGGCGAAAGCTCAAGGCCGACCCAAGCTTGCGGTGGCTGGCATATGGGCATATAGACCACAAGTATGGCTCGCTCTTACTAGATGACGAGACAAATGAAGAGCAGTTTGAAAGTGGCAACGACCAGAGGGCATTGAATCGACTCATGGTCCTTGTAAATGAGAATGCCACAAAGGCAAAGCAATGATCTTGGATACGACATCATGGTCAGTCCGATGCTGGAAAGCATAATACATAGTCTACGGTATTCATGAACAGATTTCATTGTTTCGCCCGATGTATCCCTACAGAAATCCCGAAACATCTTCACTCAAGGAGAGATTACAATCGTTCTTCATTTTCAACAATTCCATGCTCACTTGCCTACGGCAAACATGAAGTTTCCAGTAGAAGCGGTTATGGATCAGTCACGGCACGGTGACCAGACAATGACGGCTCTTACACTCCGTATTGCACATACAGGTCAAGGTATATCTCAGCAGGCAGCTCATATGTAAAAGCCGAATATAAGTTAAACTGCTGTTAATTCAAGCACATACGACCATGGGTAGTGGAGAAGTCGGGGTTCGGTCAAGTTCTACCAATGCGCTTCAGTGTCTTCTTTACAAGAGTCAGGCCGGGTTGTAACAATTAGCTGAATACTTTAGGTGGGGTTATTATAATTAACACTTGATGAATAAACAATAATTCATAGATTGCGTACATTTTCTTCTGTGCTGCCGTCAGCTCGATTAGGCAGCAGTGGGGAGCTGAGGCATTTCCCACAGTGTCGTGGTCCTCAGATCAAACTCCATCACACATACTCATTCACTCGCCTCTGATCTAGCTGCAACATTCAATCCTCCTAAAGCATTTCAAATTATGCCGAACCTTCTCACTTTTCGAGATTTTGACGTTTTGCATGAGGACTTTGCCAGAACTCCCGCTGTTACAGAGCTAATCCGTTTAAAAACACCTCCCGAAGAAACATTTTTTTACAATTTCTCTTCCGTGACGAAATCTAATCCAAGCGATTATCGGGCATTATGCGAGTTTTGTAGCGTTCTACAGCTAGCAGATGTACGTCTCATTCGCACTAGAAGCCCTAATAGGGACGAGCCATCAGAACTAGAAGCAGATGTTCCTGGGTATAAGGGAACTCTAGCATATAGTCGACAAGATGTCGTCCCGCTGCTTCCTGGGCTCGGCGCATCTGCGAATTCTGGCTGTGGATTTTGTGCTCTGCTTCGAAATGCTATGATCTGGCACTTTCAACAATTTCCATTACAGCGTCTGCCTGATGACACGATCCAGATCGTCAAGATATGCCATCACTGGAACCATGGGTTATCAGCATTCACTATTCATAGCCCCTCCCTTTGGAGCCGTACACATAAATTCGATTACCTTACTTTCAGGGTCACTGCCAGCCCTACGGGTATGACTTGTAACAATTCTTCACGCCCAAGTAATGGCATTTTCCTCTAACATCAGCCGTTTTTTAGACGAATGCGCTTCAATCTTCGACATTTGTTCCAACCGTATCCCAGACAATGTGATTTCTCCATCCGGTATATTGACTTTGAAGCAATGGGTTTTTGGCAACAATAAGTCAAAAGCCTTTGAAGCAATTTATCGGCCCACCAGACTGATTTACGTGGAGAGCAGGAAGGAGTCAGGCTCGATCCGTCTTGTAGAGAGCCACTCTCAAGCGGACGAGGAGCCTCAACCATACTTGGCACTTAGCTACTGCTGGGGACCGAAAGCTCCTTCACTCAAGACGACAAAAAGCAATTACGCTTATCTAAAGAGCTGTATATCTTATCATACTATGCCCAAAACTTATCAAGATACAGTACGTATCGCGCGAGCATTGGGCGTCAAGTATATATGGATTGACGCGCTTTGTATCATTCAAGACGATGTTTCAGACTGGGAGACAGAGTCGAAGCTGATGGCGGAAATCTATCAGAATGCCTTGGTAACAATAATACCGCTCTGTACATCAACATGTGATGAGGGCTTCCTTGAACGAAATCCAAGCCTCAAGATCCAATACATGCACCACTCTATTGAGGGAAATATCAGTGGCTCATTCTTTATCCGTCACATACCTTTCTCTTATGACAATGCAGAATTCGCAATACGCTCCTCGCCGACTTTCTCAAACGCACCCATAGATCTGGAACTTAGGAAATCGCCTTGGCGGGCCCGCGGCTGGACATTTCAAGAGGACATGTTTGCAACCAGGAAGCTATATTTTGGCCATATGATGATGTATTGGGATTCTTTTCAGCCTCTTGATGTTATGAAAACTGAGGATAAGATAATCGATGATACACTTGACCGCGTTCAAACTGCCAAGCTACGCAAGACTCAGTCATCATCTGGGTTGTTGTCTGGTCATGATTACGACGCCTGGTACGATTCAATCGTTGATTATTCTGAAAAACTACTCACATTTGAGGCTGATCGACTGCCAGCCGTGTCTTCTTATGCCAAGCGTATCGCTGGCGAGGATGTATACTTGGCTGGTTTGTGGAAGAATGATCTTCATCGTGGCTTGCTTTGGAAAATCCAGAGGAAGAAGCGTAAAACCTTTGGTAGTCTAATGAGCGATTTGGCATGCTCAGCCAAATATATTGCACCCTCTTGGTCTTGGGCAAGTCGTCGCGCTGCCCTGCTCTGGGACGGATCTGACGCGATGCAGCTTGAATGTGCCGTTCTAGAAGCTGAAGCAGGCATTCAAGGATCAGAGACTTATGGACGTGTACGAAGTGGGCATCTCTTGCTTCGTGGGAAGGTCAGTAGCATCCCAGGTGCAAAACTCCAAAAGCTGCCTCTTAAAACGCCTTATTATAGCCTTCAAAATGAGTGGCTAGCTTCAGAAGGTGGGCGATATGTTGCACAGTGCGCTCTTGATTGGAGAGAGACAGATGAGTGTGGCAAACAGCATTCAGAGGCTGGTGGAGAAGGTATCCAGAAAATTATCATGCTGCTCACTTCCAGTGGCTATACGGATAAACCAAGTGCATTCTCCAGAACACCACAAGAGCGGCAAGACAATAATGAGGCTCAACCGCTTGAGGTCTTGCACGGGCTCCTTCTTTATCCGACGGGAGAGGCGAATGAGTACTGGCGAGTTGGACTCTTCCACTCATTAACAGATGAAATGGGGGGCAGAGGATATTTCGAAAAATGCGAAGAGCGTACTCTACGTGTTATATAGACATGCATGATACATGTGCGCAGGGCCCGTTTTTCTTGAGCTCTTTCTATAGGAATTTGGGCTCTTGGTAGGAAATCCCTATTTCATAATAGGCAAAGCCAATCCGAGTCCAATCACCAGTCTCCCTTTTGTCTAGTTACTATTACCAACTGTCTTAGTAACAGAACTATTTTTGGTTTTTTCAGTACTACTATTAGTTTTCGCATCTTCATTGCCTTTAAGAAAACAAAATGAAAATAAATTCGTTTTGTCCATAGGCTGGAGAAAATTAAGAGAATTTATTATAGGCGAATAAAAACTAAATTAATTTCTAGTAGCAAAATGAAAAGCGAACAACTATTGACTACCTCTTTTGCAGCCCTATTACCTACAAAACAACTGCTCATTTCTGCCTCCGGAGATCGAAGCCAACACTGCTGTTTCGAATGCAGTCAATACGGCTGTCTCCAGAGACGGAAAACCCCGCATTCAACATGTTGGCAGGTAGCTAAGGCACATCTTCCATATATTTCTGTCTCTGCAGTTGGACATTCAACTAACCCAACTCTATGTTCACAAGTCGGGATAGTTCCGTCGCTCGGTGCGGCAACTTCCGATGTTTGGACTCTGCCCCACCAAGGGGCGCTTAGAAAGCAGACAACAATGAAAGGGTCAATTGGCAACGACGATTTAGTATAGCTATAGAGTTCCAAATATATGTCCTATGGAATATTATCTTCAATGATTCCATTTAGCGGGATGTGCTTATTGAGCAAACCATCTAGAAAGAGTTGCGATGGCTGTAGAACGGCTTGTTTCGTGACGTCAAGCCAGCACTCATGTTAGTCTTGTGCGAAGATGTACTCTACTGCTCTTTGGCAAGTATAACAACATGAAATATAAAAGGCAAGCAGGAGCCATGCATCAATTGAAACATTCATCATCCAACATTCCAAGTATCTCGTCTACTACAACTCTACTACAACTCTATTTGAAGCATTTCAATCCAATTTCTACAACATTTACAACCATTCAAAATGTCTCCCAGAATCCTCTTCGTTCTCACTAGCCGAGCTAAGATGAACAATGGTGCACCTACTGGATGGTACTTGGTTAGTAGTTTCCCAGCCGCTGTCCCTTGAGTTTTTTTTCTTGGAAACAGTTACTCACACGTCAAATTCTCAGCCTGAGTTTGCCCGCCCTTACTTCCACCTGATTGGTCCAGATGAGGCAAAGCCCAGAGCCGAAATCGTCGTTGCTTCCCCTGCTGGTGGCCATGCTCCCATTGACGAAGTATCTGTGAAGAACTTCAAGGACGATGCCTCGGTCAAGTTCTATGAAACCAAGAAGAACCTTTGGGAGCAGACCGCTGCCCTCAAGGATTTCCACGGAAAGGCATCCGAGTTTGATGCCATTTTCTACCCCGGTGGCCACGGCCCCATGTTCGACCTCGTCAACGACCAGGACTCCATCAAGCTGATTGAAGAATTCTACAATGCCGGCAAGGTTGTTGCAGCTGTCTGCCACGGCCCCATCGCTTTCGTGAACGCCGTTGTGGACGGAAAGCCGCTCCTCAGCGGCCGCAGGGCCACTGGCTTCAGCAACGCCGAAGAAGACGCCATCAAGCTGTCCGAGGCCATGCCAGCTCTGCTCGAGGATGAAATCAAGCGCGTAGGTGGCACCTATGTTAAAGCAGATGCCCTATGGAAGGAGCAGGTCGTCGTTGATGGACGAATCATCACCGGCCAGAACCCCAACTCTGCCCAGGGTGTTGGTATCGCCATTGCTCAGGCACTTGGTAAGTTTGGTAACTCTCGAGGTATTCTGTCAAAGATTCTAACCTTGTGACTTAGGTCTTGACTCTGCATAAAGGCTAGATATCTGAAGCATTTTTTCTGGCAGTGTAGGCGGTATGAACTGTCTGTGACTGGCGAAGTATAGGGGATATAGATGGACAATGGTAGAGATTAGAGCGCTAGCAATAGGAGTGAAAGAATAGACTAAATTGATTTGAAAAGGTTCTGCTTGTACGTGTTTTCAACAAACTAAGTGTAATTTGTATTGATCTTGGGGCTTGTATTTGTTTTAGTTACTGATACAAAGTCCAATTGATGTTTATTATAAGTTGGCAGTAGGGCGGGATAATATATATTATAGGTAGCTTTATTAGTCAATAACCGATTTAGTTTGATTCACTCTATAAGCTAGATGGGGATCCTATCCTTACCCTAGGTAATAGATTGTGAGGCACAATGGGATTTACAACAAGCATTAATGTTTGAGTGTACTAAAGACGAGGATTGGGTATAAGCGCCTTCCAAAAATAAGCACTTACGACCGTATCAAGTAATTGGTAGACTATGGCTTATGAGAGGAGTCTATGTATAAATGGTACTATTTGGCTACAGGCAGTGGCAAAGTTAGCGTGCCATCAACTTCTTTACCGCAGCTCGATATCTTTCTGTTTCGGGCGGCTGCGGCTTTTTAGAGTGTAGGCCTGTGTGAATGCTATCTGAGACCCGTAAAACTCGCCTAATGCGCTAGACGGAAGTGCATGTAAGCAGCATGGAGCCGTTTTTCGCTTATATTTGTAAGCTAAACAGCAAAATACGGGCACTTGAGACGCTTAGATAGAAACAACGCCCGCTGAAATGAGGGGTTCAAGAATCTACGAGTACAAATATACTGTTGATAGCAGAATATATCTCTATTTGATTGTATTCTGAGTTTTGTTTTCTATATATTGAGTCATCTATATATATAACGGCTACAAAACATTACGCTACCATGAGCAGCGCCACAGATGACATCGTCTCTCTATTTCGCGGCCATGTAGCGGCTCTCGCCAAGCAAGATTGGGCCACAATCACGGCCAGGCTTCATCCAGAGCTGACTCGGAATCACCGGCCTCAAACCGCCGAGCAGTATGTCAATCAAGCGAAGGAAGGATTTAAAGCGCTCCCCGACCTACATGTCACGGTGGACCAGGTATTTGCCGATAAAAGCAACAGCTTCGTTTTCGGTCGCCTGATCGTGCGTGGCACCCTCAAGCAAGAGTTTATGGGAATCAAGCCCTCTGGACGCCCCTTTGAGTTTTCGGAACTCACGTTTTATGAGTACAAGGATGGTAAAGTTCTGCGAATCTTGACAGCTACGGATAAAGAGTCGATAAAGAACCAAGTCGAAAGCCTTACCCGGACGCCATTCGATACAGGATACGGCTATGAGCTTCCTGAGCAAGTGACCGGGTTGAAGGAGAAATTTATAAAATTCATCGAATGTGTAACCAAAGACAATGCCAGGGAATCTATTCTCGAATATAGTGCTCCAGAAGTATTGTTTAATGGGATACAAAAGGTCAAGGCAGAGGAGATAATTCAACAGAATCTTGTCTTACAAGACGCCCTCACAGAGTTGAAAGTGGAAGTTGACGGGCTGGTTGTTGACGAAGAACACCAGCGGGTTGGTTCTGCTTATTTCGTCACTGGACGAGTTGCCAAACCCTACAAAGGCTTTTTGCCAGGCCAACTGTTTCAACAATACAATTACGTTATTCATTTCATTAATGGGGATGGGAAACTCGGGGCGATAATATCAGTAGTAGAAAGCGAGAGGGCTATCGAATGAGGCAGCACGCTGATAAACTGACATAGTAGGATAGACAACTGAGATTCAATCCTTCGTTTACTTTACAGTACGGATGGAATTACACTTTCGTGACCCCTCATTTGCACTCTTAATTAAACTCGCGAGGTCATTGTAGCAATTAGTAGTGCGCGATATCAAGGCGGCCTTTCAATCTGCTGGGACATGTCAAATCATCATCAGTGAGCGCTCAACGTAGACCTCGCTTATTCATCGAGAATTATGAGCTGAAATTCTATTAACTGTTTTATTATGTTCTTAAATCACCACGTCATGTTCAAGATGGCATTGGGTTAACTGCGAGCGCTTCTGTGACTGCGCGGCAAGCTAAATCTATCTTTTTAATATACACTTGGCCACGCAAAACGCAAACCAGGCTGTTCTATGACTATTCCTAAGGCGTCTCAAATCCATCAGCGGCTAAATCCTTTTGTAGCGGTTGTTGACTTGGTTATCGATGATTAGCACCGCCACGAAGGATCAGGCAACCACCTCAACATTTAGGGCGAAACTTCAGAACTACCACTCTTTGCTCTGCGCCTTGGCCAGCGGCTGTTGAAACAATGTTGTATAAGAACTAGCGACTTTGCGAAACCAACCGCCGAGGTGTGGAAGACAGATGCAATTTGATGGCTTTTTTTGATGTCGCACTGGTATATTAGTGGAGTTATAATCTCAGGCAAGCTGACGTGCAATAACCATAGCCAGTCTGTCGCACTATCTCATACTATTACTGCATCTGAGTACATCTTCGTGCAAAGCGCCTTTGGGTGGAAGACTCATCAAACATGTCTGGCCTCGAAATCGTGGCTCTCGTGCCCAGCATCATATCCGCGTGGTGCGCTGTCGCTGTTGAGTACAGATCGTGGCGCAAACGCAGGGCGAAGCGAACGAGCGAACGGAAGAATACTTTGTTGCAGACTCATTTACAGAGTATTGGTCCGATGTTGAATAGTCAGTTCCAGGAGCACTTCCGGCGAGGAGGTGGCGCATTCCAACGGGGCGACGGTAAGTAACTCGCTTCAAGAGAGAGAGGAAAAAAGACAATGTTAAAGACTGCGAAGAATAAAGAGAATGTGCTCGAGTGTCACTATATTAGATTCAAGTTCGCTGATGCTTTTTACAGAGATAGGAATATCTGGTTTAAAAGATCAGTTAATCCACGCTCAAAGGGTAGAAATCGATCTCCTAAGGAGCCAGCGAGACAATCCTAGCCATGTGATTCATCCCAATCATGATTCTATTTTCGGAGAGTCTAGCACTGGGCGCGATCAGACCATGACGATACTCTCTCAGCAATACCAACGCCTATCGCAAGCGCAACCGATTCAGCAAATGCCACTCTTCCCGTCATCTTCATCGTCTTTTCCTTCTCAAAGTCAAGCAGCCGTGTCTCAGGCGAATAATTCCGGAGCCATGGTGTTATCCAACGCTGGTTCTTCTGGAAACTCACCGATTCTCATGGTTAGAAAGCGGCTCCAGGTAGATGCCTATGGAGTTGCGGATTTCCAAAGCTGCACGAGTTCTGGCGGGCCCTGCCAACCCGGCTGCTACAAGATAATATGCAACTTTGGAATGACTGAAGTACATGTGCGAGGCATTCTTATGAATTGCTCTGTTACAGGGGCCACTTTCAACGGTGTCATGTATGCCATTCCCCCATTCCTCCTTCTATTGCTCCGGTGCTCTGGTAATTAGTACTTGCTGACAGGTAGTTTTTTTCCGGCTTGTTAGGCCGTACCCGAATTGTCGAATATTTTCGTATGTCCCTGGTACAGCAAATACACCTGTACTTAAGGGATTCAAAGGCTGTTTTACTGTTTCTCCGGGGGCAGACAATGTTGTCGCGTTTGAGTTGTGGTGGATGGGACAATGATGCATCTTGGTATGCTTAACAAGATCCGTTCTTCTAAGCCAAGGCTTGACTTTACAAGCATCAATGTCAACTAAAAGGCTAACTAAGTCTTTCTTTGTACCTCCAGTTTCTTAAAACTCTAACTTCGTTTGCATTTTAGTCGCCACCACAGTATCTTTGTATTATGGTGAAGTAAATTGCTCTTTTGGTATATCCTCCAAGTTATATACTCCCATAGTCACCCATGGTCATATATATAGATACGTTCCCTGTTGACAGGTCCGATAAGTGCGTTTTTAATCTCCTATATACGAAGTGAGTAGTTATCCCTGTGGCGGCTGAAGTGATTAAAATACAGCGCAGTAGCCGGATGTAGATGAACTATTTGCTATACGCATGTCAAGAGAATAAACTAGCGGGAGTCGCTTACAGCTTCAAGCACGGCTCCAGCAGCTCTCCTATACTCTTGGTGGGTAAAGCTGTAGTTGCGTAACATAAGTGGGCAATGGTAAAGATTCATGACTCAGTACTTGGTTATAGACAACTGTAGCTTCTCCTCAATCACATACGACCATAGGTAGTGGAGAATTCGGGGTCCCGCCAAGTTCTTTATCGAGGTTCAGGGTCTGTCATTTTTGGAGTCTTGGGGTTCTAAATTCGGAGCCACATGGCTCTGTTTTCCGAAGCAAACTGAACCAACAGTTCAGATAGCATACCTATTATAGCACCACATGGTTATATCATTTTCAACGGTACCAACTTAACAGCTAAGTACTTTTTTTTTTCTTTTAATCCGACGTGGGTAACCGCAAAGCAGGAATCTTGCTATCCATACTCTTTTCTGAGATACCCTTGTCACATCCGCTTCCTCTGAACACTGTGCACGTGTCGCCTCTTAAAGCGTCAATTCTGTCTGTACAAAGGCTACACACAGTTTCCCCTCTTGTTATATGCATGCAGCCTTTTTGTTTTGACCCCTTGAGAATCTTCCTGAACCACCATACACTTATTGTGGGATGCATGTAATCGCTGATCTCGGTATAGCCAGCATTGAGCTATTATCAATTCTAACTTACATGAAAATTGCATTCGCAATCTCACCGGACGCAGGACTGGCGCTATAGCTAGCAAAAGGTAGTGGTGACGTGTTACAACCGTAAAAATGCACTGATATAGGAAATCGTGGGACTTGTCCAACGCATCACCGACGCGCTCCTCCGTTCCGCCACTAATGTGTCTGATTCATTACTCACATCGAAACAGGTCTTCACATGTCATTAGACAACATTTGGCGGTGATAGTATGTTCGAGGAGAGCGCATCTATGCCAAAAAGACTCAGTACCAAAAGAATAAAAACATAAATAATGAAAGAATAACTCAAGGCCAGGTTACTCTTCCACTTATGGTCACATCTGACTAGAATACGTACTCGGTCAATGGAAACAAGCTGTTGATGGGCCAGTTAGCCAATCCATGCTGGGTTGTAAAGATCACAGAATTCACAGTTAAGGTAATCTTAATATGTTGGTGCCCCTCTATCAATGACTATCTCAGTACGACTTCTGTATCGGCGCTCGAGTATGCCGCTCAGTGTGGACCGATAGAAGATGGCAGGCTGCATAATCAGCGCACCAAAATCTCATGCGAGGCTTATACTGTTGACCCTAGTACGTAAAGGTCCTGTGTTACATTTACGACTGGTCTTCCCAAATTCTATTATTGCAAGATGAATACAAAACAAATAAAAAATTGGTGATGATTCTCATTAAATTGATAACAGGGTTAACTGACATTCATATGAGCTGGGGCTTTTATAGCTTCAGTGTTAGACTGATTAACACGGCGTTTCGTTTCCTTTAACAGCCTGTGTCTTTTCAGCGGGTCCGATTCCGCCCACCACTTCTCTTCCCATTCGTTGAGCCTACCAGGAAAGAACTCCTCGAGAAGTGACCGCCCGTGATTTTCATACTTCTGTTCCAATTCCATCAGTGTCCACATGACCTTTTCCTCGCCAAAGACTGCAGGGATTTCACCGTGCTCTGATGATATCTTCACAAGCTCTATTGGAAGGCCAAGCGACGGCGGATATCGCGGGGTGCCAGCAACTAAGAGATTGTGAAGCATCCCTAAACCCCCTATAGCAAGCAGATACCACGTGTTTGTTTTGATGCCAGTGCTCGTTATCAGAAGAGCCAGCCACATTATGGCGAGGACGAAAGTAAAGAATCGTGTAGACGTCATGTCGGAAGTCCATCCAGCTGCCAGGGCTTCCAAGTCCAGCTCGCCCCTCAGCCCGTGCACGATGATAACATGATGTGAGCCATTCCCACGTGTCAAGGCAACCTGTTTCTCGGCATTCAGCTTTTGGGCGTCCCATTTCTCCCGCCGCCATTGCGGGAGCGATCCGGAGGCGTATGATAATATGTTGCCGGCTGCCGTTACGAGCAAAATAGACCAGTCGCCTTCTACACCAAGGGGAATGGCACTAATTCCTAGCTGTATGGCCGTCATGGCCACGCCGCTCCACCACACCCAGTCCCGTGAGGGGATACCGACCGATCGGCTATCAGACCAGTTATATATCGCGATGCAGAGGGCAGCTCGGTGTATTTGCATGTCCGTCGTGCTGGATCTAGCTTCCTCGTCGGCAGGAACCTTGAAGGCACACACGTTGTTGGCCTTTTCTGCCACATCTTTGGGCATCCAGAAAGTATACGTCTGGAACAATCGTCCCAGGACCCATGACTGGTTGGCTCTTCGGTAGCCGGACTTGAGATTGATGATCTGCAGCGATACTTCCGGCGGACATCTCATGAGGCGGTTCTCTCCAATCGCCGAGAGCACAGCCGAGATTGCGTAGGCAACTGAGCCGAAGGAAAAGGTCAATGGCGTGAGATATCCGCCCGCGAGGCTGGCAAGTGCCAGCTGCACAACATCACCCCCTAGGATCAGTAACACGGAGAAGATATCGCCCGGTGCCGTCCATTGTTGCCGTTGCGATTCTGCTGTAGAGTCTTGCATGATTTAGACGTCTGACCTTGGTAACGGCCAAGCTATAGGCTGCATGTACTCTCCCAGCCGAATGAACTTGCAAATGCTGAATGGTGGGACTTGTGTCCAGCGCGAGTCACTGCGGGTGCGGTTCTTGAAGGAGAGCACAAATGGGCACTTGTTTGCAAAGCAGAGAAACTTGTAAACTGCGATATGTGATGCAAGTCCTGCATGATTTACCGATGCTAATATTTCACGTGCGCGCCATATACATGGGCCAATCACACTGGCAGGACAGACGATGAAGTGTGTGCTGGGAAACCTCTTTTGGTTTCGCGTCGCGTAAGACTTCCAATCAAGCCCGTCGGCAGCCTACATCTTTCTTCTAGTGTCAGTATGAGTTATTTGCTTAGCAAGCGCATGAATACCGCAATTGTTTGTTTGTGGACAATGCGCCGAATTCAAGCTATAAAGTGAACTATTGGATGTAAGATAGAATACCTACCTAGTAGATACTCTGGATTACATGTAGTACCCTCCTTGTATATGTGTGGGCGCACTGCAGGATGACGAGCCAAACGTAAATCATTCCCTCTGCTTTGAGTGGACCAGAATTAAGGGTTGAAATATGGCTGGATTTCTGTGGGGGAAGATGATTCTTTGGTTGATTTCATCACAGCTAAGTTGGAAAAAAAAAAAAGGTTCTAACACAGTTTAACCAATTTGAATGGGACTAGATGCATGTGGATTGGTCACTTGCAACCATTCACCCTTGTTCACAGGATATGGCAATGGTTCAAATATTGACTTGCTTCATTATTATCAGGATATTAACCGAATAATTCTTTATGTAGATGATTCACCATCCTTTTTCTATCTTTTGTAGGCAAGAAGAGTATCAATAACATTGCCATACTAAGCTTCTCAACAGTAGATCTCCAGAGCAAATGGAGTGATTAGGCCTACAGTGAGCTTGATTATGAAGGAGCCAGTGTTCCCAGAATTACTGGCCTTGACAGTTTAGAACCCCGCGGGATGGCTGATTACGGCGAGTTCAATAGTCCACTCAGAATCAGCCGAGTGGATCAACAGAAATTAAGCTGAGATGCGACGGGAGTAGCCGAAGCTAGGACTTGTTTCGGATGATAGCCACTGCACTAACAGTCTATGTACTTTGTTCCTTTTCAGCATTACCTACTACCTTAGGTACCTAGGTAGGTAGGTAGGTAGTAAGATGGAAAGCATTTGACCCAAAGGGGGGGGGAATAGCTTAATGGACCCTATATTTTCAATTAGTTGTGATTGTATGTGCCTCAGAATTTGTCTATAAGAACATCGGAAAAGAGAACTTGCAAGGTCCAGCAACCATGGCTCTACACATACATAAGCTACCTAGGTTGGGATGCAACAGTCAATTTGAGCACTGGTACCCAATAGCCCTCCCTTGAGATGAGGGTTCATGGCTCATTTCAAGACACTAATTGTCCGGGGCTCTTGATGATATCGGGCCCACCCACGCAGAAAGAGCGCCGCTTCCATTTGGATGTCCATTGAAGCGCACCACAGTGCATCACAAAGTAAGAACGCACGTGGTAGCGGTTCTGGGCGTGCTCTTCCACTATCATAGCGCGAAGATTGTTACCTCTCGCTTCTGCCGGCATTATATTGAAAAAACCTAGCATGACGGCGAATGACTGCGATTTATGCGAAACAATGGCCTCACCGTCCAAGCCATTTGCGGTGACCAAGTCAGGATGAATTTCCCAGGTTGACCCGTCGCTTGCTCTTAGTGCTGTAGGAATATTTGGGTCATTGTATAAGAAACTGGCGGGCAAGATGGTTGATGGGGGAGCGGCAACAGCAACAGCTGCCAGCGCCTCGAATGTAAAGTAGCCATATTCGTCCATTGATCCTGTAAGCGGCGGGAACATGCCTATTTCATTCGGGTAGACGGCTTCTGTCAGCTGAATCAACCGCTCATCGCCATTGGGGAGAGCATAGGTAGCACGACCGGCCACAGAGGTCCGCGGGAAAATGGGAAATGTCGATAGACTTGAGCATGGCGGCAAACCTACAGACATGCCAAGCCAACTGGCACTGCGGCCTTGGCCAAGGATCTCTCTGGCGAGCGCAATCGTGGCACTGAGTCTATCGCCCACACCAAAGGCTTTTGGGTCCAGCGTGACACCGAGAAGGCCCATGATGCTGAAGACCACGTCGACCGGGCGTGACGATGTGCGCACAAATGCGCACTGCCAGATGCAAAATTCACGCATTTCTTCCGTATCAAGATGCGCGTCTATGGCAAAGATAAGTGCTGAGACATGGGGGAGCTGGATATCAGAATTTGCGGTTGACACCATTTTCGTGGGGAGTTGGGCAACTGGTTGTTTATCGTGTGGCCCTCCAAATAGCCTGCAATGCATTTGAATGGATGACGAAACTTGGTTGGCGTCACTCGAAATGAATGTGAAGGATCCAGCAACACACATGGTCAGGGCAGCGTCCAAGCTCACCATGGCCGACCTCCCAGGGGTGACTATCTCTATAGGCTCGCTTCCTCGCTCACCCGCAACCTTCATTTCTATCTCGCCGGCTTTAAGTGTCCAGGCAAATAAGACGGCGCACGAGGGAGGAGCTACAACCTCTTGCAGCGTCCAAGCCCGATGAATCCATAGCGTCTCTTCGGCCAAAGACACCAGAGCACGCAGCCCGCCGGGGATGACAATACAGACAGTGGCAAAGGAATATATTCGGTACATCTCTCGAATCTGCCACAGCTTGTCCTTTTTGCTTAATTGCATGATACACAGTCGATCCAACCAGATGAAGGATGCGCCACAAGCTATGGCCGCCGTACATGCATCGAAGAGAACATCGAGACCTGCGCCAAGGACGGAAAACTCCGATGTTTCTAGCTTAGGGCCATCGACTGGAAAGTTCCCTTGCCAGACATAGGAGAGAGCAGCATAGCAAAGGCGCGGGAAATCTGTGAATTCTATAATTTGGAGGCTTCGATCTTAGATGACTTTTGAGCAATTGATAAGACGATAGCGTTCGGGCGTTGCGGAAAACATGAAGTTGATCGCATGGTGACCGTGTGAGAGTTCGTCAAACGATATCGTACAAATCTCTTTTGGTGTTGCGCCTTCCAGGGGGACTTTTGGCGATAGAAGGCTCTCTATGGCCTTTGTCTTTTCGGATATGCGTTTCGGATATCCCGGTAGATAAGATGGAATGCCTGAGATGACTCGTCGCCGAGCTTGAGGATCAGGTAGATGTGCCATTTAGAAACAGTTTATATAAGGTAGAGATCCAGAGCTTCGGAAACTACTTTGCCTTCTTCGCCCCTCTATGTATTGGGAATAGGAGCAGGGTGTAGGTGAAGTTGGTGTATAACATAACACTAGGAGTGAGTAGTTGTAACAAAGTGAATTGCCAGGGTACCTCTTTCTGAGTAACTAGGTAAGGAGATTATTGTTCAACATTTCACTCTTTAATTGTGAGGTTCCTGTTTCTTTCGAGCTGCGGGGGAGGTTGTATTCGGCCTTGTCAAAGTGTAGTAGTCTGGATGCTACTGTTGCTGCCTTACGGCCGCGGGGTATACGAGTATGTTGTGCCTGGTGTGTTAGATTGTACTTTGAGAGTGTGTGGACCTTTGGGTAGCACACCTCCCTTGGAAATTGCGGAATATTTTATACCAATTTACAGAGGCCCATGTACTGGGAACCTGCTGCAGGCAATCGTTATTGTTTGTCCAGCCCCACCAGTTGCAACACACCGAAGACGTTAAAAAATAATAGGCCCACAAATATCTCTGAATACATGTATTGTGTAGCTCCCAACCTATGGCCATGGATCAGATAGCAAACTCGAATAGATTGGGCCGCGAACCAATTCCTGCAAAGTCCGTCGATGCCCAAGACTATGGTCGCATCGAGGTAGACGATAACCAAGTACCCGGCCAGCCGCAACAAAAGCTTCAATTCCTTGTATTTTGCAACTGTTGTGAAGAGTCAGCCTCTCTTGCTAGGTTTCAACATTGTATACTAAAGAGCTAATTTCAAAGATACTCGCTGTAACAATAAACTATAGAAAATACTCAGTGATATATAATTTACTACTTGAGTACCCTAGTCCCGGTTAATGTGGGCAGGCAATCGGGGTAGCAGTGAGCAATAAGCAGTCGTGATCTTTGTCGCAAAGATGTATGCATAAGAACCCAGGCGATTGTGGTCATGGTTATCTGTGCTGGCCACTTGCTAAAACTATTCAAATGAGGACATTCTAGTTTGTGTATATAAATGAAATTAAGAATCATCGGTAATGGCGAGACTACTAATAACTCTGCAGTTAGATGTAAGATGAGTGATGTTGCTCTGTCTGATTATGGAGGATTATTTCGCAAGTTATGTAGAGCGATCAGTATCCTTCATACCGACCTTTGATGATTGGCTAATTCATATAATATAATCAATGATAACGAGAGTTACGCCTCGCAAGGCTGTCGCCTGCATGAAACATACCACTCCATCACACGGCATCTTCGAACCCTGGCATTCCTTCCTAATCTCTCAACTTCTAAACCCGACTTATTCAGCATTATCTAATGCTTGCTATAATATGCCTCAACTATATTAAGCATCTAGCAATAAGTTCGCTAATCGGTGGCCTTAACTAGATAATATCTTCTTAATACTCCTTATTGTTAGCGGTAATGTAATATAACTCGCATGCGCTGCTATGGCGGGCGGCATAACTATGCCACCTAACCCTATTACCTTTTCTTTAGCTGGGTTGCCTACGCAGTGTTAGCTCTGCTATCTGCTATTAGAGAGAATAAACCGATAAGCTGCCAGCCGGAAGTGCAATTAATAGTTATTAATCTAAAGTTAGGGTATCGTCAATCTAATAACTTATGGCTACTTAGCCGGTTGGTTAAGACGTACGAATACTAGATGCCTGATGAAGTATGGAATAGCTTGTATCCTCCATTGAAAGGGGGTAGAGCAGATGCTGGGCCTTTAGATGAAGAGAAGAATCACGACAGTGCAGAGCCTATGTTAACACCAGCAGGATTTCGTTCCTCTTTGCATCGCAGTGTATAAATGGCGAAAAGGCTTTAAGCCTGGAGTACCAGTACGCGATCTGGCTTAGTGGAGTGGCTATTTTATCTCATTAATCCAGCTTAGTATTGCTACTATACCTCTCGGCCTTTACGGTAATTAGGCAATTCTACTCTCTACAGTTTCTAAAACTGTGTTATTATATTTCTCAGTATTGTTGCCACAATAGCGAGAAGAGAAGTGGAAGGCTCAAAAGACAGAAAAGCCTAAATCTGTGGCGCTTACGGCAGGCAATGGATCTTCAACTGTTATCATTATCAAAGGCACCGAAAATGTGCTCGATCTGGAGGACCTTGCGGCCGGTCGGGCCTCGGAGATGTCTTCAACACACTATCTTACATTTATGTTATCACTGTTATAGTTAGTTCTGCTAATCACTTATACCGGCATCCAGCTTCATACATAGTATCTTCTTACCGTTAGTGGAATCGGCATACTACATAACATTATCGTGCCGGCTATACCCCGCCGACCTAAAGCTCTGGGAATCCACATTAAGCTGAAACAATCGAAAGTCATGCCACAATCGGAGTCAAAATCTAATACTAAAGAGATATTTGGCGAGTCAAAAGTCATGTGGTCGCTGATAGAGTTGGAGATGAAATATCCGGGCTGGGGTAAAGCACTGAGAGATGAATTCTTTCCGGGAGAACTATGGGAGGAAGAGAAGAAATGGTGGGACTGCAATGAGGATAATGAGACTGAAAGAGAGCGTAAAAGACGTGAAATAATAATTGGTATGAAAGGAAACACGAGGAAACGAAGAGGAAGAAAAAGAAAGTGAAGGAGGGGGGCACAAGGAAAAGGGAAAGAAGACTGGACAATGGTGTTTGTGAACGCCCGCAAGGTTCTTTCAAATCGCCCGAATAGGATGCATCTCGAGCCGGGGGTATCATAGTGACAGATTCCGAGTCTTTATTCATAAGAGTTCTTCGAGCAGTTTATGACTCCACAGCCCGGCTAGATATTTGGTATTTCTCCATGCATGCTGAAATGTTTAGGGTCATCGCAGTTGTGCACTACATCTATCTACATGGCTAAAGATAAATCAGAAGTCTGTTTCAATCTGGCTTCTATTTGTTCCACTATGAGTTCCGGTGAGTTTGGGTGATGGTCTATGAAGAGGCAGCCTAGATTATACTATGCACTCCTTTGGAAGCATGCTTTTGCCAACAAGAACTTCATGGTTCCCTGCCCCTCCTACCATAAAGAATAAGTAGCCTAAGAAAGATTCAAATGCATGAGGCTTTACGCTTATGCTGATTTGATCAACTGATTTCAAGACTGATCGGCTCACTAAGCCCGGTATTTCCTTAATCGCCTGCATCCCTACAACAGTGAACATGACCAAGTCGAGATGCTTTGATATCTCGACTGCACAAGATATTGTGGTTCCACAAATGAGACAGATAAGAAACATCTTCAGCTCTTGCTGGAAAACCTTCCCTTCGAGCTGGAGCTTCTCTGTGTTCACATTTCCATGGCGTACAAGCTTGCCGATAGGCGCTATAACTTTGGCTGTATCACGATAGATCGGATCAGACCTGTATTGGTTCAATGCTGATTCTGCAAACCGTATTGCTAAAAACCGATGTAGGATGTTTCGCTCGTCATTGAGTTGCCGGTCAGATCCTAAGAAAGGACCCGACGGCGGTGATAAGCTGACATGCAGGACAAGATTTGTATTTCTTTCGCAAATCGTAATCAGTTTTTCCAGCTCCTCTTCGTTTCGGATATTCATGGGACAAATTTGAACACTAGGTTTGCTATCTGCATTTCCTTCCGCGCCAAAATCAAGGCCGCTGAATGTTGTTTGCCTCTCTACCAGGAATTCATTCGTCATCATCAATATGGGATCGAGAGCCTCGGTTACATCCGTCGGATTATCCAAAGCCCAAGGTTGTTCAGAATCGCTGGGCATTGTAGTCACCAAACTCTTGGGAATTTTGGGCAAGAGTTTGAATCCATTGCTCGTATCGCCTCCGAATTGCTCACAAGCATCCTCCAGTAGCTGGCTGAAAGACAAGCGTCGGGGATTTTGCGGCGCTCGGTATCCTTCTATATCTGGGAAAACAGCGAGGACATAATCCCGTGGCTTTGCCGTCATTCGTCCACTTCTCCACGCCTCCATAATCGGCATGTAATTGCCCACGGGGCCGATTTTGCCACCATACTGCGAAACGCTAAATTGCCTCTTGTATAGGAGGTCAAGATAAGCATTCATGCTTGCATCCCCTTTGTCTGAGAAGATTCCATGATATGCCAGCTTATCATAGATGAAGCTTAATGCGGCTTCTCGTTTGGCAATGGCCTTTCTTTCCATTTTATAACGCTCCAAAGGAGGCAGGACAGTCGTTAGACGAGCGCAGACTGTTTTATTGAGAAAGATCATCTTCAGATTCATAGCATAAAGACCTTCCTGTCGGGTCCATAAGCGATCAAACCAGGGATCCATTAGCGAAAGATTGGCACATTTCCTCGCGTGACTGGCTTCCTCAATTTTGAAAACTTGGTTGTCAACAAGGCCTTCGTGAGCGGCTTGCTCTGCACTGCTTGCCCATTGTTGGCAGACAGGTGACTCTATAAGCACGATGACAACGCGACTCGATTTATAAATTATCGGAATTGCCATGAGTTGAGAAGAGATACTAATTGGAGACTCAGCCCTTTGGTCAATGCAAAACAGGTCCATCCAGAACCAGTCATGGCCACAGATGTCTGGCCTTTTTAGTATGTTCAGAATGTCTGTCTTTCCGGGACTTAGTTGGACTGGTCCTATTCCAGAGATATTATGTGTTTGAATGGTAGACGGGTCTCCCCAAACGTGAGAAATGGCGACATAAAATTCTTCGGTTGTAGACGCCTGCTTCCGCTCAACGTACAGGGTTCCATCATCTCGTTCGCGGATGCGAGCCAGATAGATGCTCATTGCGGCCGTTTCAATTGTGAATTGAAGCTGTTTGACTCGACTTTTTCTTTCAATACTGACTGAATCATGTAACCGCTGTTAGATAATTATGTTTCCTCATCAAATATTGTTTAAAGACGGTGCATTATGGAGAATAACATGAGGCAGCTGATGAAGCATACCAAGTATTTTCCAACACTCAGAGCCTGCGTAAGAAAAATATAACGTAGATAATGGAGCACAGATTCTCCCTGTAAAGTTTTCTACGAACTTTTGGCATCGCCGGGGCCACCAATTTATATGGGAGAAGTATGGTTTGTGATTCTGAGGTTGAGGCCGCACTGCAGCTGCGGCCCAATCCAAGCCTTGTGTACCTAGGTACCTAGTGGATGGGACAGAGTACATGTACATGTACTTCCAAAAAGTACCTATATCTTTTAGCAATAGCGCGCGGACGGTGTGCATTATGAAAATGCTTGATGTAGATGATACTTTGTTTCAACAGGTTAATTTAGGCTACATTTGTGCCTACCTGTATTGGGTTGTATTTGCAGTCATCTATCATCAATACATATGCTCGTTGACGTGTCATATTACAGATGGCTTGTCCTGCTTGCGGGGCTTTTACACGACAGGACAGAAAGCGAGATGTTTCTCCGCCTATGACACTCATCCGTAGTGCCACAGATGAGGCGATGGGGCGAGGAGAATTTACCGCATCTGCTAGCCCTTGCAGATTCATTCTCAATTTCGATAATAATATGCCGCAGTAAACTATTGATTCATCACAGCCATCCTAGCCGGGGCAGGATTTGATCCAGGGTATATGTATGTTCTGTGTCATGGCCAAGCCCATCCCCCATGGGCCGTTTCTACGACCCGTGCCACCACTTGACACTCGATGTGTTTATGAAGAATGAGCTGTCATATAAAGTCTTACTATCTCACAGGTACTTTCATATTAACGCGCCGAATGATATCTACTATACTTCTACTCTTTTTGGCTACAATTGGTGCTGCTGGGCAAAAGGTCTCGTTAGCGATGGAAGAATTCTTACGTTCCCCCGTGACCTTGCTCCAAAAACTTCATCAAGCAAAAGGTTGAAGAGCACGTATTGGCCAACCCCGTCATAAACGAAGATGATATGGATACCGCAGAGAACTTTCGTAGTTTAGAGGAACGCATATTAAGAACCTTTTCGTATCCCGTTAATATAGACTCAAGTAATATAAGGCCAGGGTGTATTGAAACCTAAATAACCGTTACACTGATAAATATGCTAGAGTCGCGATAGCACTATCTTGAGATACATATTCTGGAGGAGGTAGGGTCGCCCAACTATTTGGTGGTAAAAGGCTACATGTAGGTTATAATGAATATATATTCCGTATACTCATATTAATATTGTTATAATTACTTTTTTAAACAATTACATGGGGTTATTTCTGCTCCAGAAGATCCTCCTATTTGTAAATGGCTTCTCTTTGCCTTCCCTGTGTTAAGGTTAAACACAAAACAATGTCCAATTCTTTCCCAAAGGCCAGACTCAGACCTCCGAAGTTGATAAGCTTCGGGGCCCCCAAATGCCGCATTTTGCCTCACAATCATAGTTCTGTATCCTACCACCATAACGTGGGTTGTACTAACGTGCAATGAACTAAGAGTGAATGTTTCTCCGAGGTTGTTGGAGACGGATGGTTTGCCATATGCGTCGCAATGAACTTCATAAATCTCTGTACACACCAAATCCCCATTGGCAGAAGGTACCGCAGGTGTTAATATTTTGATATCGAAAGTTGAGATATAATCGTTAGTGAGAATATAAGGCTTCAAATCAACGTGTTGTCCTTCAACCACATACTCAGGAGTTTGATGAGGATGGTGTCGTGGGATCATGGGGAACAACCCCTGTTAGGGACTAAACGGGAGGTCATGCCCAATATCTAGCCATGAAGGCAGCGCTGACGTTTTGCGTGCAAGTTCTACTATAAGATCGCCCATATTTCTGTTATAATCAACCTCAAGGTGAACATCAAGTAGATGCATAATACTGAAAACCATATCCTGAGGATACTTGGAAGTCCGCGACCATATACTCCGCCAGATGCCAGCTTGTCTCATTGCTGGCGATTCGGCAAGCAAAATGGCTCCCAAAGCTGAGAGGGCTGGACCACGGCCAAGGCAATTGACAGTCCATTGTATGGTATCAATAGGCTCATTTGTATCTTTCTTGAACTTCGTGATCCTGATATTGGCATATGTGGAGTGAAACAGATCACGAATTTCCATGATTCCAAGTTCACCGTCAACTTGGTCAATGGGAGGAAACCACCCCGGTGACATACTAGATGCTGACCAATGCATCTCGTCAGTTATTTTCGGCCTGCCATCCAAACCCAGTACATATGTTTTGGGGCAGAGCGTTGCCCCTTGAAGGGTCCAGGCTCGGGTAATCCATGGAGCCTCAAGCTCGATGGCTTGTGCAGCTGAAACGCCTCCAGGCATAATAATAACCGCAGCGGCTTTCTCGTACAAGTATCCCATCTGTTGGACTTGTAGCTTCTTATCAGATGCAGATGTTTGGTTAAGGCAAATGAAATCTAGCCATAGCAGTTCATATTTCAGATGTTGGGCTGCAAGCGCTGCCTGTTGTAGGCCATGCCAGCTGATAGTATGCGGCGAATCTTGGCCAATCTCAATATCGAGTTGTCGGTTCGCATTTTGTGAAATTCTTGTAACCTCGGCAGAGGGTGTCCAAGAGTGTGATATCGCGACGTAGCTAGGAAACGCCTCAGACTTCTCATTCCAGTCCACTTCTCTCCATTCTGAAAGACTGATCCTGGCGTCGCCGCAAGAAAGAAGACTGCTCACGCTGAACAATCTCAAGGCTCCATCAACATAATTGGATCCATAGGTCCAGCGCCTTTGATCCGATTCACGTAAGGTATGGATTGCGATACTAGACATGGCTCTCTACTTGGCTTTGACCCTCTTTTTATTCAAATAGTATTCATATGCCGATTAATGTGAGCTGAAGAAATGCCTAGTAGATTGTATGATCATGAAGCGAAAATGAAAGAGGGGAAACCGCAGCAACCTACCTACCTAGCTAATCCACAATGCTGTACCTTGTGACTTTGCTCCACTCAGATGCGACTTGTCCAGCCTCATCAATAACACACCGAAGAGTTCTATGATAGGTTCATAAATGCCTCTGTGGATCTGTTGCGGCCCCCAACGTATGTGCCAAGAATGAGACAGCAGGCCTAGGAAGCTTAGGTTGCCAGTCAAGTTGTACTAAGCCTTCATGTATTTATGCCCAAAAATCCGTGTCAAGTTAGACACTGCATCAGGCGGTTGTAAGATATCTAACCAGCCAAACAAAACATCTAAAATAAAAAGCTACTGATTTACTATAGCTGTCATAGTCGAGAAAGGGTTAAGCAAAGCATATGCCCTATCTTACCCAAGAGGATAGATCTTATATGTGTTAGGAAATATTAATAAAAGAGCTGTTACATGAAGGCAGCCAATAAGCCTTTCGAGCAAAGTGTTGACAATATTTCAGCAAGCTTTACGAATGTTATATGATGTAGACAAATTTTTGGAAGCCGTCTATTGACATCCACCGAGAATAGTCCTAGAAGCAACCCCACCCGTAAACACTCTCCTGGAGCTTCGAGCAAGGGCCGATGGTTGAATTCCTCGTAGAACGGGGCGCGGACATCGACCCCCGAGATGTATCGGGAAACACACCATTGCATCACGCGGCAGTAGGTGGAAAGGAAGACATGGTCAGATTGCTATTGAAACATGGCGCCGAGGTCGATTCCTCCACGTATGATTTTGCTACACCATTAATGGTAGCCGCAGGCAAGGGCCGAAATAAAATCATCGAGATGCTACTTGGCTCGGGGGCTCAGTTAGAACCCCGAGATAGTTCAGGCCGAACTCCCTTTTCCTGGGCTGCAGGGAATGGACATGAAGCGACGGTAGAATTACTGCTTGGAAGAGGCGCTGAACTGGAATCTTGCGATCAATTAAACAGAACCCCTTTCTCATGGGCCGCGGAAAACGGCCAGCTGGGAACTATGCTACTCCTGCTGGAGAAAGGTGCCCAAAGGAATTCCAGAGACAGCGACTCAAGAACGCCGTATTTATATGCTGCAAAGGGAGGACATTTACAAGTAGTCCGAGAGCTGATAGAAAAGGGGGTTGAGGTGGAATACAAAGACAATAACAACTCAACGGCGCTTGATCTGGCCGCAATTAATGGCCACGAGGCAGTGGTTCAGCTGCTACTCAAAAATGGAGCCCAAGCAGATGGTCACGGTACAGCTCTTACTCCACTGTTGCATGCTATTGAACACGGACACTACGCCGTAGTCCAGCAGCTACTCGAACACGGAGCCCAAGTAGATGGTCACGATGCAGGTTTTACTCCACTGTTGAGTGCTATTGAACACGGACACTACGCCGTGGCAAAACTGCTTCTCAGCAAAGGTGCCTCGCTGGAATCCAAGGATTCTTATTTTGGTCGAGAAGTGCTGTCATGGGTTGCCGGAAATCCCCTCACTAATCAAACAATCATGTATACAAAGTTCGCGTATCCCGACTCTGATAGGTATTCATTTGACTACAAGGTGCCTCCTGAAGAACATCTGGAAATTTTAGTCCGGTTACTGCTTGATCAAGGCGCCAAACCAAATTCGCGGGACAATACGGGCCGAATGCCAGTGTCGTGGGCCGCTCAAAATGGAAGAAAGAAAATGCTCGAGATGCTGTTGGATAAAACCTCCGATGTAGAGTGCGGCGATGATAACGACCGCACGCTCATATCCTGGGCTGCCGAAGGTGGACAAGCTGCTATCATCAAGCTACTACTTGCGAGAAATGCCAAGCTAGATTCGAGAGATAAATTTGGCCGAACACCACTCTCTCATGCTACTTCACAGGATGGATGGGGACCAATCGTGGAGTTGATGCTTGACCATGGAGCTGAATTTGATTCACGCGACAATTCGGGCCGAACCCCCCTTTCTTGGGCCGCGAACAACATTACTCAATCGTCAGCACAGATGGTTATTAGCAAGGGAGCTGATATAGAGTCTGAGGATGGCTCAGGATGGACACCTTTATTCTGGGCCGTAAAACATGAACAGGACTCTTCTGTGCGTTTCTTTCTGGAAAAGGGTGCTTCTTGGAAAGACCGTGAGGATAGTTCAGGTCATGGTCTATTAACCTATGTCTCCAAGTGTACAAAAAGTACAAGTCGGGAACTGTTTCCATAGGTAATGAAGATACAATAAGTGTGCTAAGGTGGTGCACTGTAACGCATTCGGATACTTTTGACATATAATTGTTGTTCAGGCCTTTATAAGTAAACCATTTATCTGCATATGCCAATCCATCCACCGCAATTGGATATTTCATTTCCTCTATTTACGACAACGGCTAGATAGGTACAGATACATGAGGTAGGTACCTAACAAGAGCTAAATTTCTCATATAGTATTCGTATAATCATTTATATGCTTGATTGCACGAATATCTAGCACATACGACCATAGGTAGTGGAAAATTCGGGGTCCCGTCAAGTTCTATAATGCGGTTCAATGTCTTCTGTTTCTAGCGCCCATGGCTTCTGAAATCGGAATTACACGGCTCCTATTTCTAAATTAACTAAACCAACAGTTTAAATACGTACCTATTATAGCAACACATAACTATATCGTTGTTAACAGTATTAATTTAATTAACTACCTTTTTTTTTTTAAGTCTGATATCAGTTAACCACTAAACAAGGAACCTTTACTATTCACACTACCTCTGAGATACCCTTGCTACATCCGCCTCCCCTTAACGCTACATGTCTCCTTTTAAAGAATTAATTCTGTTAGTATGAAGGCTACACAAGGTTTTCCTTTTTATTATATGCATGATAACCTTTTTTTAGTTAATCCCTTAGGAATCTGCCTGAACCCTCACAAACTTATTAGTGTGGGATGCGTGTAATGGTTGATCCTGGCTATAGCTAACATTGAGAGCTATTAGCAATTCTAACTTGATTACGGTCGCAAATCTCAACTAACGCAGGACTGGGTTCTGAGGCAACAAGTCATAATTAGGATCCTCACACTTAAACTCCATCCTTGCGATTTCCTGCGGAGTTTCAAATTCATTGACCCAATTTGGCCTAAAAGAGTAAATTCTCTGTCCGTATCATCCATGTGTCCCGAGACTGATGATGGTGTGGAAGGAAAAGGATGGAATAACCTACGATTCTAAAGACGGGCTCCCTAGGTGATCTTCGAGCGCGCTCAAGAGGCACATGCTCCTTTCGTAGATCAACTTTGCCGTAGTGTGGAAGGCAGATGGCCGTTTCAAGATGTTTACGCAGGAGAGTACAACTGGCCAACATTGGATCGGTTATGATCACATTGTCTGGTGGTGAAGAAGGCTGACATAGACACAGTGTGCCGGAGACCCTCCGCCAGACCACTAACTCTGGCTTATCTTGCTTACTGACCGGACAGGCCACAATATGTGTGGTGTACAATATGTATGGTGTAGCCAGGTATGGAGCATGATGAAGCTCGTGCGGGACGGCGTAGAAAGCTGGCGGTAGAGGTTTCTCACATTTGACGAGTAGCTCTCGGGCAAGGAGCGAGAGAAGTTGGCTAGCTCTATCTCAAAGTCTACGGCCAAGTCCCGAAATGCGCCTCCGATGCCGCCCGCCATAACAGGGGCGTACGCTTTCGTGAGCGGCATCCTGCAGGGAATTAATAGCTTGTTATGAGTATAGGCACGAACATGTCAGTGTCTGTAGAACACTCACTCGTGGATCATGCGGCGTATGTCGAGGATGCGGATCAGATATGCATAAATTCACTGGTCTTGGTTTTCTCCATGCTTGCGAGACTCCTGGAGTGTACACACACTGGTAGACAGTTCGGCATCAAAACGATCTCTTGTCGTAAGGTGGACTCAGGTGGATGCTGTCGGTTGGGCAGCAAGACAACTCAGCTCGTCCGCCGCAGTTGAGCGCGTCGAGCATCCAGAGAGCCCAGATCAAGCGCCGTCGCCATTCCTATGCAGTCCGAGTCACGGCCGGGTCCTCGTGATTCATGACCATGACATAGGCCGGCGTCGCGGTGAAGGAAGCCAAGCCCATGAGCTTGCAGAACCGCCGGGAAGCCCCGTGACCAAAGGCTATCAGGATAAGGGCGGAGACGTCGGTCCGCATGATATGCATCTCGGCCACTTCAGTCCATTATGCAAGGAGACAGATCCCTGCGCCTATATGAATCCTTTAAAGCAGATGGGTTTCTAAACTCCAGTGTCGCAACCATGGATTCTTCGAAAAATCTGACGAGTTGACGTAGGAAGGCCCCTGGCTCAGCTCCAGGGCCACAAGCTTTAGGGTCGCTCTGAGCTAGGCCGTCTAGTAGGATAGGGTTCTCCCCGATAGCTATTTCCATTTCTGCAATTTTCGCTTCAAGCCTCGTTGCCTCATCTAGCCCAAGATCTTTGTAAACTTTGGCCGTTCTCATCTCAAGCAAGAACACAAGGACATCTGACTGGTGTCGCTTCTTCGCTACCGTCATCGGCGTGTCAAAATGCGGCGCACTGCCGCAAAGAGCGTCCATATTTGCGCCATAGCGGACAAGGACCTTAACAGTTTCTAAGTCGCCTTTCTCTGCTGCCGCAAAAAGTGCGGTGTGGTTGACGGTAGTGTGTCTAGGTTCCGGGGCTGGCGAATCTAATCCAGCAGTGAATACCCGCTCGATGATTTTTGTTACCTCCTCTATAGTCAGGCCGGATATCTCGACGGCGGATATCGAGCGCGGGTCCGCCATTCGTCTATTGATATTGAATGCAGCAGGAAATTTGTTAGGAGCTCTGGGAAATTGGAGACGGGTTTAGAAGGTTTGTGGATGTTCGCAGTGCCAGGAGATGGCTCCCAACTCTTAATAGCCAGAGATCGCAGGAAACTGGCCTAATGATCTAGGTCGTCTTGCCCAAGGCCTCGTTGGGCTGAGTCGTAGGGTTCGCACTTAGAATAAAAGTCTGAGGCCGGGTATCAGTGACAGGAGCCTCCGTGATGGGATTTCCTGTCTAGGTAGGATGACGGTTGGGGGGATAGAGTGGTGGGAGCTGTTGGGTAACGAGGATAAGATATAGAAGATTGTGCAATATATAAGCAGGGATTAGGGTTAAATAGGATTTAGGGTGTTGGCCAATCTAGATACGTAGTACTAGGATCGTGAGTAGTATTTTGGTGTGGTCGCAAGAAATAAATGTTTTTTCCAACTAACTGTGGGCAGGTCCCTATTTATCCCTGGCTATGCATGTCAGGAAGGTTCGCACAAGTTCCCACTATCAGGTGATGATGAATTGGAGTAGGTCTAGAGCCACCAACGAAAGTTCAGTGAGAGATGTAGGGTGGGCCGAAAATGAGGGGTACCTGTAGGAATGAGGGGTACCTGTAGGAATGAGGGGGGAGATTACACGCCTTAGGGCATTCTCAGCTGCTCCGCTAATCACCAAAATTCCACGTAACTAGCCTAGTACATAAGCCCCGGCCCGATCCCTTATATGGGGCCTCCTTTCGTAGCTCAATTTGACCATCTCTTCTGCCCATACCCTTTGTTGCACACCTCGTCTTTCGAGATATGTTAGATTGACTCCTGTGTGGCCTCTGATACAGTATGACGATAACTCTGCCTTGGTCAGAATCGGTGGATTACATAAATAACCCTCAGAGGAAAAGAGGGGTCAGAGTTAGATCCTTAGTCAATAACATCATCGGTTTCTTGGTCCACACTCGTGAGTTGCCGGCTCGTCCTGCGAGAGCTGTCTCAGTGCCCCTTCTGCCGATCCTGCGCTAGCTCTCACGCCTGCAGACCTCTCTCCGCCAGCCCCTCCATCATCATTGCCAGGATTCCCATATACCACTTCTGCAACTACAGGTTCAGCAGCGACTGTCCTCCCGCCCCGACATTGACGGTCATGTCGGCCCTTACATTCACCAGTAGCCCCGATGCTACTCATCTGCCCTCCTCGCCGCGTCGTGCGGCGGCGTCCTCTTGTCGCTGGTCATGGCGTCGACGTCCGCGCCGTGTGCGAGGAGTACCGAGACACACTCCGGGTGGCTGTGTCGTGCGGCGATGTGAAGCGGCGTCCCGCCGAGCATATCAGCGGCATTGGCGTCAGCTCCGCGCTGCAGCAGGAGGCGCAGGGAGTTCGGGGACCCTTTAAGGGCGGTGATATGCGCCAGCGTGATGTCGTCCTCCGTCTTCTCCTTGGGATCTGCGCCAGCGTCGAGGAGGAGCCGGAGGATCTCGGGCTCTTCTGGGCTGTGGCAGGCGGCTGCTTGGACAATGGGGCGGAAAAGTTGTCCGCCTCGCTCTGTCGCAAGATTGACGTCCGCGTTATGAGCTAAGAGAAGCTCTACTGCCCGTTTGCATCGGGTCTCGATAGCTAGGATCAGAGGCGTGGTGTCGCCGTGGGAGAGTGATGAGATGCGGTTTACATCTGTGAGGCTTTCTTCGAGGAGGGCCTTAAGGACAGCCTCGCACCGGTCATCTAGCTTGTTCATCTGCTGAATCGCAAACAGAAGTGGTGTCCAGCCGTCAGCAGCGGCGATGTTCGGGTCGATCCCTTTTCGGAGCAGAGGGGCAACAGCTAGAGTGGGATCGTGGCCGGCTATGACGGCGAGATGGAGGGGTGTGTTCCCGTTCCCGTCTGCTAACTGGGGATTCGCTCCAAGATCCAGGAGCAGGGATACCGGAGGAGGAAACGGCCTCTCCATTGCCGCTATGTGAAGTGGCGTTTGGCCTTCGTTGTCTTTAGCGTCCAGCTGGGCACCGTGCCTAACTAGATTCCGGATCACCTCTACGTGTCCGTAGTCCACTGCAGTATGCAGAGGAATCCGATTATCATTTGCTCGTGCATTTGGATCCGCTTTCCCGTCAAGCAGTATGGTTGCCACGCCATTGGTACCGTAGAGGCTGGACACATGAAGCGGAACCCAGCCCTTGCTGTCCCGGACCTCGGTGTTGGCCTTCCACTTGAGCAAGAGGGCGGCCATGGCCTCGTTACCGCTGCGGCTCACGGCATGAAGTGCCGCCCACGAGACGGAGCACTCGATATTAGGATCTGCTCCTGCCTCGAGTAGAAGGGCAGCGGCTTCGAGGTGATCGTGGCAAACGGCAGCGAAGAGTGCCGTTTCTCCTAGCCCGTCTCTGACGTTGACGTTGACCCTAGGCTGCCGACCAAGACCCTCTAGGCGGGATATATCTCCACGCACGGCGGCGTTGACGATGGGTTCATTCTGTACGAACCGTCTTGCCATGTCCATCATGGCGATAGCGGCTTGGTGGGAAGGAACCTCAGATCCCCTCCCCTCGTCAGTTGTTCCCGCAGGTTCATCGTCCTCAAAATCAGAGTCTTCCGCCATGACGGCACGCAGTAGTGCTAGGCGATCAGCGGCAGAGAGGTTGGCCAGAGGGTCGTCGGTTAAAGCGTCCATCTTGTCGAGAGCGAGCAGTCCTTATTGAGATGTTGAACGTTACATCAAGTTTGGCGAGGTCGGCCTTCGATGTTGAACTCGGTGAGTTGATATTGGGAGCAACGATCAATGATGTTTCCTTTATCACAAGCCAATAATACCTGATTCCCAAACTGCGCCATGAACGCCACTAGAGTGGGGAGCTGAACACTAGTTGCAGATCGAGACCCTGGGATGTCGTCAACACGGACGCTACGGAGCTAGATGACATGCATATGCGTTCACCCCCACAACTTTATTAAATCAAGCGAGATTGCGGGGTGGGAGGGCCGATGCGCTCTGCGGACTGTAGCTTACGTGAATGCTGGGCAAACATTGCGCCTTGGCAGTTTTGATTGTGTCGATAGCTGCAATCTCCTGGCAATCTTTGTCGGGAGGCCTGCCACCTTGACCCTCGGACAGGTTTCGGTTGGTGCAGGCATCTGAGAGATCGGAATGGCAATGGATACCATAAGCCTTCCGGACTTCCTCGAGATTCGCCATGTTAGCTTGTCCTTACGATCACAAGTTTGGGGTATTGTGTGCTAGCTGGTGTTCTAGGGATGACCAAGCGACGCCTAGCTGTCTTTGTTTCGACTTGACCGTTTTGTATGACTTTATTGGCATGACCAATCGGGTGTGCTCTATATTGTGATGATGAGGGATAGCGCCCCAGTATCTGCGATTTTGACTCCGCGAGGTTCTATAGGCTGGCCATTTCCGTGACCAATACTTGACGGTGCTTTCTGAAGGTATTTGCTCGGGTCTGTGGCTTACTCTCGGTGATCGGTGGGCCAGGTCTCGTCTGTACATCCCTACAAACACACGTACAAGAGGAATCGGGACGGTAGCCCACCATAAGCATTATCACTTTAGCGTATGCATCATCATTGCCAGCGCATTATAACATCTGGAGTCTCAAGATTAATGATCGTATGCTTGCAAACTGATACTACAGAATGCGTGTGGTCATTGGACGACACCCTCCTGTATCAATCCATGGGAAATACGCATAGAGCAGCTGGCAAAGAGTAGGTAACCCCCTAGTTCTTTGATGGCGCTCTGACTTGGCGCAGATCCTACAGTCATTTCACTAAGCCCTATCACTATTGGAGCATCAAACAATAGCTGGTCAACGATATCAATGCATTATCACAAGCAAGACTCTCTAGATAGCAAACGTAGATCAATAGAATCGTAAAAGTCGAATCAGTCATCTTACGGAGTGCCAGGCGTTGGCAAGCTCTGGTTGTTGAGACCCTAAGGTTTTCCATCCAATGTCCGGCCTTTCAGGCATATGGTTTTACCCTTAGAGGTTATAATTGGAGATGTCCTGCAGGCCTAGTTTCCCAGATAGGACAGTGTATAATAATAATAATAATAATAATAATAATAATAATAATAATAATAATAATAATAATAGTAATAATAATAGTAGTAGTAGTAGTAGTAGTAGTAGTAGTAGTAGTAGTAGTAGTAGTAGTAGTAGTAGTAGTAGTAGTAGTAGTAGTAGTAGTAGTAGTAGTAGTAATATTATTAATTGCCTGAGGAACTTCTAACTTGTGTAGAACTTGCCATAAGTTGCGTCCACTTCAATTCCTTTGTCCATAATATAACTAGTTTTGATTCCTCAAAGTGCTTTTTCTTAGTTCTCTCTGTGATGCTCCGCTGATGAAATTCATCACGGCCATGGAGAACCCAGAAATAGCGAAACCGGCTCGTCGCTATGTAGCATCGGCTAAATCTCGATAATCATTTGATCGAGGCCAGGCTCAATCACTGTCTCCAGGGGAACGAGCTGGATATCGTTGACATCAGGGTCAGTGCTTGACAGATTAGCATCATTCGAAGCTTTCACCCAATCTATGGAATCTGGGTCTGCCGTCGATTAGCTATTCGCCACCCAGAACGAAGCATATCAAATCTCACCATCGCCAGGAGAGTCATCCGCCCCTGCATAAGTCATCGGTCCGTCAAGCGAAGTAGCCTCCCGCTTCGCTATGGTGATTTCAGGCACGTTTTCGCCTTGCATCAACTGGAGGATGCGGTTCCGCCTCGCGACCTGGCGGTAGCGGACGGCGAATATCCTCTCCCCGAACAGGCTCGCCATTTGCACAATCGTCTTGTCCCGGTCGCAACCCGCCTTGATTTTGACCTCGAGCCATGGGGGGATGGGCACGCCCGCCACCGCGAGAATCTCTGTGACAGAGAGGCTGAGGCGGCCGGTCCAGTTCTTCGATGCGAGCCACTGCGCCTCCGCGTTGATACACGTCTTGAAGCCGACAACCATGTACAACTTGGATTGCTCGCCGAGGGTCTCGAGAATATCCTTACGCACCTTTAGATCCTGCCACATGGCTTTGAGGACCTGCGATTGGCGTGGCAGGTTGAACGTCCTTATGGTTTGGGCCGACACGTCGACATTGGAACCACCGCCCCAGCCTCCCTCGGTCTTGACAATCTCCGACAGCTGGAAACCAACTATGTTGCTCGTCAAGGTATCAACGACCTCTTGCGCGTTCTTGGCTTCAGTTATCAAGGGCGGCAATTCATAGAACGGGCTAGGGTCAAGTGGTGTCCAGTCTTGAGTTGGATTGTTTGGGTTCGGACAGAGCCGCCCAAGGAAGGTATCCAGCACCGTGGCTGGAGTTCCGTTGCTCTCTTGCACTGCTGAGACATCTATGAGGTCAGATGTGCCAAGAAGCAGGAACGAGGGTTTTGGGGTCATGTTGCTTGTGAGGTGAAGCCCGTGGGTCTTGGAGATCTCTTGAGTTTCCTTCTAATGGAACAATCCTGTCTGGCTGACATGCTTGTTAGGATGTGGCCTACTTTATTAGTCGTCACCAGCGAGACATATCTGCGCCCTTGGATCATGTTGCTATTCATGTGGTATGGCCTGAATTCGATGACATAATATTATCCAAGTCAATACCAATCTTAGAATAAGGTTCCCAAGAAGCCGAGCTGGAGCCACCAAATGAAGCCTAAACTTAATGCGTAGTCTAAGCATCTCTGATGTAGCGTGTGGAAAATATTACTATGCATACATATGAGAACGGCAGTGACCACCCTCTTCCTACCATGGACTTCCCTGGGTCCCTAGTCTTATAGACATCACGAAGGCTTCAATTTAGACAGAGATTACGACGTTATTGTTATATCGGTAGAAGAGTGCAGACACTGGGCCTCTGAGTCGACCGTTCGAAGCGACTTGCAGGGGCTGAAGATGGCGGTACTTTTCAATTTTTGGTTCTCACTGTTGATAAGTTTTTTTCTTTCAGCTCATGTGATGGGTGCGATGGTAGTTTGGTTGGTGAATGGCTACTTTTGTCAGTTGCGGCTGTGACAAACTTTCACTACTAAACGGGCTGTTGCAGTGGCTGTGGCAAAGAGCAATGCGTGGGCTGAAAAGGGCTGGAAGTTTCGTCTTTATTTACAAAACGAACGCACACGAGATTGAAGAGAGAGGATAATCGATAGCGTTCAGCCACCGATAAAAGTAATCACTGGAAGACAGCTTCAGCCTCAACACTCCCCGATGTCATCTTCAGAGTCTCTTCTCTCATGTAGTATGACTATACCACTTCGTTCTACCCCAATCAAGAGGCCAAAATGAACCAGGGAGAGTATCGGCTCGCCTTCCAGGCCCACAATGTGGTGTCAGGTGAGCTACAAGGAGAGTTACTCCTATTTTCCAATTCGGCGATGTCTGCAAACCCGGTGAGTCGGGCTCCTCGTTCACTTCGTCTACTCTCTGCAGAAGACGAAGAGGACGTGAGATGGTCGTTGGAAGACTACATCTACGATCCATTTATGTCTGGCCGGTCCATAAATGCTTCGACAATCTTAAAATATCACTATGAGCAACTCAAGCAGGGCCTGCAGATTGAGCAGATTCTCAAGGAAAGCGGAGTTTGCCTGCAAGGAGAACAGTTGCTACCATTAGATATCCAGGACTGCGATACAAATATAGCCCAACAGGATAAACATTACGTGTATCCGCACTGGGAACTATTGGAGCGAGAACCAGTCTTTGCTAATGGCCCGTCTCTCGCGGTGCGGCATGTCTTATCCCCCGCTTCTGGACAATCTGCCGTGAGAATCGAGACGGCCGACCCTTTCGATATCTTGCTGGTGACATCCAGGAAGCAGAAAAAGAGTGTTGACATCCAGCCGCGGCTGGTATCGATGCCCCTCTATTCCCTTGTCAACGGCATCCCGGGGTCGCGCGTTAGGATTGACATCATGCGACCGGATACGTTTGAGTCATTTAAACAATATCTCGCACAAAAGAAGTACAGCCTCGTGCACTTCGATTTACATGGCGATGTCGATCGCCGAACCGGTGACAGGTAGGTAAGCCCGAACCCACATATGAAAGACAAATTGACTGATGCTGAGATATAACTCCAGTGTCCTCATATTTGACGGTATTTCCATCAGCGGAAGCACAGTTGCCGAGGAGCTGAAGCGCGTGGGAATCAAGTTTGTGGTTCTCAACGCCTGCCGGAGTGCTCACCCGACCCAAGATCGGCATACCAACGCTAATTTGGCCAAGACTTTGGTGCAAAGTGGTGTTGGCACTGTCATTGGCATGGTATACTCCATTATGCCAGACGCAGTGACAGAATTTCTCGGTCACTTCTACAAAAGTCTACTGCTTGAAGGCCGAGATGTGCTCACCTCCATCAGAACTGGCCGGACAGCTTTGCGGACCAAGGGGAACAGAAAGGTCAAGTTCGGGTGGAGAGTGCCCATCGAGGACCACATACTACCTGTCTTGTATCAATCAGATCCTACAGATGTCCGACTCAGATTTGCTGACACTTTAAAACACGTGAAGGCAGACGACACGGCGGCACAGCCACCAGCTCTTGAATGGAGGGACTATGACATCCACGCCATAGAAAAACTGCTGTTCAAGAACCGCATAGTCTGTCTTTTTGGTTCCCTTGGCGTGGGAAAAGCGACGCTTCTGAGACACTTGAGGTGGTGGTGGCAAGCGACCAGCTTCATCTCGAAGTCTATCGCCTTGGATTTCTTTGATTGCAGCCCATCAGACTTGTCGCAACCTGGGTTCGTGCGAGACAAGCTTTCTTCCCAGCTCTGTGGGCTTAACTCTGCACCTCTTCTCGAGGTTGGTAGAAATGACACTGCTCTTTGCAGACTTCTAGAAGGTCAAAACTGTCTTGTCTTGCTAGAAAATATTGACTGGATTAGTCGTCATGATATCAGCACGGAAGTAATCGAACGAGAAATTAATACGCTTCTGTCTGCATTGCAGAACCTCTCATCCCGTTGCTTCGTGCTGATCTCGACATCGTCACACCAACTAAGCTGGCTTGACCACGCCCCAGCTAGCTATGATCTCGGGCCCCTTGATCCGTATTCCGCAACGCAGTTGGCAGCCATGATGATCGGGTGGGACGACAGCAGCGATAATGCTCCAACCGGAGAATCCAGGTGGCTGGAACGTGTGTTACAGACACTCTCATTTCATCCAGCAGCCATCTGCTCCTTTTTGCCCCCAGCATATGAGTCCGCGGGCTCCTGCGCTGAACTCTTTCGCAGGCTGCATATTGGAGCTATGGAGGACGCATGGGAACTACAGGCTACGCTCCGCGTCCAACGTCAGTTTGAATATGCAAGTAAAGCCTTAGGGCCACTAGTTTCAATATTTGCGGCGGTTCAACAGAATTGCTCACAGGGCTATTTAAAGCAACAACTAGCTGCTAACATACGCGCTTCTAAAGCAGGGCAGGAGGAATCCAAGGAAAAGGCCAAAGTAGATCAACTTGAGCACATTTTGGGAGTCCTCGGAACATGTGGAATCGGTCGTGAAGCACGTCGGCATCAAGGTGGGACATTAGAGACTGTGGACATCCACCCCCTGTTCTGCCATTACCTTCGTCGTTTTGTATGTACACCCGCACAACTGACTCTTGCCTTCTCAAACCTCGTCCTTCATACACACAATGTTTGTCAAGAGTTCATGAATCAACCACTCTTCACGCCGGCGATGAACGAGACGTTGCGCGTCGAATGGTTTCCCATGATAACCTCACTCTACTACCTGACTCAGAAGTGCGCCAGCATCGGCACGATTGACCGCTGTTTCGATCTCCCCTGGATATTTGCCGCCCTCCGAGTCCACCAACGTAGTCTCTGGCAGCTCGCCGACGAAGAGGAGGTCATCGCCGACATCACTTTGCGAGGTCTGCGGTGCGTGCTCCCGGAGCTGAAGCTTTCTAGCAATCACGCTTGGAAAATCCAGGCGAGGGTATACCTCACGAATAGACTACAGAAACTCTCACAGCCAGACAACTGGTTGGTGTTACTGATGCTGCAGTGGCTCGTGGTGTATTGGTACGACTTGAGTCGACACGTCGCGAGAACTATCAACGGCTACATGATGCAACTTCTTGACACCGTCAGCGTGGTTAATAACGGTCAAGAAGAATCTTTGCATCACCTTGAGGGCTTTTTGAAAAGCATTGGGTACTTATTTGCAACTGAACTAGGCGCCATGGATGATACCTGGCATCTTGAAGAATACTTGCCAATCTGGCAGGCCCTCCAAATGAGCGACATGTTTCCTAATCATCTGCACCAAAGGTTTCTTCAGACTTGGGAACAGGACCTTCGCTTTCGACTCAACCATCTTGAGGCCAGTTTAGAGGTCAGAATCGTCGAGTTACTGCCAGTAAGTCTCTTCCTTGGATAGATCTGTGGATTCTGAATTCATATTCGGACAGGGTAAAATTGATCGCCTAGGCGCTGTTGGCCAGATCAGCAAGGAGAGAGCCCAGGCCCTGGACGACGATTTCAATATGATTGAAGCAATGCGAAAACCTGCACAGTTTGAGAACAAAGTCGCACACTTCCGCGCCGCCCTTCAGGAGGCTTCGGCGAGACACGATTCACGACGGATTCGGCACCTACTCAAGTGCCTTGTCAGGGTATCGCTTCTAATTTTTAAACAAGTTTTTAGTTAAAAAGAATATTCCGCTAACGTATCGCAAGATTCTGAATAACTACGGTGATCCGGTCGGCACCGTGCAAGTCCTGCAGCGCCTGGCAGCTACACAGGATGAGCTCGAAAACATGCCCGGGTACGTTGGATCTCAGTTTGCCGAAAACGAATTCGAAAGATGGAGACTCGAGATCCAAATGGACTGCACAGAGAGGCTCGGGTGGAGCGGTGCAGACGATATGGGAAGACGGCAACGGGCAGCGATGGACCGGCTGCTGGAAGTCCGCGAGGCCAACTGGACCCTGGAAGATAGGCAGGCCGAAGAGCTGCAGCAACAGAGAGCGTTTTTACGGGGACGATTGGAAAATTTTCAGGATGGGAAAGCTCTTCGTGACGCCGGCGGATTCTATGGCATCCGGCCCATGGCCGATATCCCCATTAGCCCGGATGAGTTGGCATCATGGCCAGATTATCAAAAAGTGGCTTTCGATGGTCTCGATCCCTCAAGACTCAGGGGTCTCAAGCGGATACTGCCGTCGAAACCCCAGCCGCCGAGTGACTTGTATCTCTCAAGGCCCTTTGCGGTAGTCGCTCAATGGCTGTCAGCTGCTTGGTACCTCGAGATGGCAGCTGGTAATGGCGGCAGTGGTGGCGCTGGAGGTGGTGGGAAGCAGCCCCATACGCCGTCGGTCAAGTTTGATCGCAGAAGCAATCCACTTGATGTCTATCTCCTGGCGGAGCATCTGAGATATGCCCAACCAGATGACCTAGCTCGCCCGTCCACAAGCCCATGGAAGTTCCCCGCCATCGTGCCTGATTGGTACAAGTCGAATCTGAAGCCCGAGACGGAAGTGGCCAGGGCAGTAGAAACCTGGTTTGAAGAAATTCGCAAGCTTAATGAGATGAGGCAGCAGGTCAATGATGCTCGGGAGGAATATATTCGCTATAAAGAGGCAATTAAATGAGGTCGGTAAGGTCTATCCTTCAATTGTGCGAAGCCTCCACCAAGGTGCCGGCAGGAGGTACATTGAGTACCGAGGCCGGTTCTGTCCTAGCCTGTTACACACTGACTTGAACCCTTGACAGGCCAGGGATGCGTCTTGTCGTATTCGATCACGGGGTGTGAGCTCACGACAGGCACTTAGAGAGCTACCCAGAACGAAAACCTTACAATAATAATTAGCTATATATTATAAGTTGTTAGTTGTGAACATCTAGTACATACGACCATAGGTAGTGGAGAATTCGGGGTCCCGTCTGCTCCCCCATAGACAAGCCACTAACCGGCAGATTAGTAGTCAAGTGGGTGACCATTGGCGAACACCGGCTGTTGTATGTTTTTTTTTTTTTTTTTTTGCGTTTTATGCTATTCGCTCTTCTTTCCTATCTCTTTTTGTCCATCTTCGGCTGTGAAGCGATCTGGTAAGACTGGCTGGGCAGACTATGCCAATCTTGGAATACTAGTTGTGAAATCCCCCTCTGCGACTTGAACCACTGAAACACTAGATCTTATGTGATACTCAAGTCCATTCGATGGAAAGTTCATAGGCTGACTTGGTCAGTTGAACCAGTACAGATGTTCAAGCTAAAGCTAAACAACGGCTCTTCCCATCCTTCATAAAGACGGTTGTTATACAGCGTGTCATTTTTTATGTATATAAGTTAGTCTTATAGCTAAAAGGAAGCTACAAGCACCTAAGCATAAAAGACATTCCTTTTTTTAAACAGTTAATAAAATGTGCCCAGGCTGATTGCAGACCTAGAACCCAACTAATATTGTTTACTTGGCTATAGGAAAGTCAAGGTCTATCCCAGCAAATTGGTGCTGAAGTTCATGACTAAGTACAAACAGCATATGTGGAACATTCTTGGTTCAAGAGAAGCCTGCCTCAACCTCACCCTCTTTAGCAATTCATCCTGGTAACATTGTCGGTCCCAGTATCTGTCTAAAGTCCTTGCATAGTCCTCAATTTGAAATAGTCTTGTCTTTCTAGAGTGCTATATGAGACCGCTGTTCTTCTCAATAGCTGTCTAAGCTCGGGTAGATGACTAATAATCAGAATCAAGAAGTAACAGATCGTAATCGTCGGTCATGGCCACAGTGTTGGTAAGACGTTAACCAGAGCATCTTGGTTAATCGTGAGTAAACTTAACAACGCAAGCCCGAAGCCTACGCCGACGGTGAACGTTTCTCGTAGTATGTTGAAAGTCGACCACCCATGTTGCTTACATACAGCATGTAGAACGGTCATCAAGATCAATACTAGTCCGGCTGTAATAAAGGCATAGATGAACTCGCAAAACAGTTAGGGAGACGAAAGTATGCATTTTATGAGCGATATATTTCAATGAAATATTGGCAAAAAAGGTTGGATTCATGCACTGCAGAAGATAGCAACCAAAGGCTCTGTATCCAGTAATGATTTCCTTATCTGACTAAACAACATGAAGACGGTTTAGAAAAGTCTCTTCTCTCAGATTCTAAAGCTCAACTATATCACTCATCCAAGAAAGATGACTTCTATCTCATTTAGGGCTAAAAAGAAACCGCAGCGGTGGAAGAGTCAAAGTAAAAGTATCCTTGGCCTCCTTATCAAATCTCTCTCCGAGATCCTCTTCAGCAATCGCAATACTATACTCAAGTGCGATCCGGCTAATGACCATCCGTAGCTCCATCATGGCGAAATTTCTGCCCGGACAGGCCCATTGGCCTCGAGCAAAGGGAATCCACGGAGCCTTTTCTGTAGAGAGTTTCTCCCATCTTTCCGGTCTAAAGTCATGCGCGTCTGACCAGAAACGCGGGTCTCGCTGTATTGTGTAAGTCGGGACCGAAATAACTGTGCCGCCTGGGATAAAGTCGTCGTCAATCATCAGACCCTGTGGGGGCGCCACTCGGGGTAGGCCTCCTGGAACTGAAGGCTTGAGTCGCAGTGTCTCCTGGATAACATAGTCTACGTATGGGATACTTTTCTCATATGTCCAGTCGTTGGCGCCTGTCGGAAATTGCTCTTCGACTGCTGCTTGAAGTTGGCGATAGCTATCGGGGTTTTTCGCGAGGAAATAAAGCCTGCATCCATCATATTAGTGAGACTGACGAAGCCAAACAGATGTATAAACAAGGGGATCAAGTGGAAGACTCCTTACGCATTAGTTATAACTGCACTCGTTGTATCACTGGCCACAATGCTTTATTAATATACTGAAATGGTAGGTAAAAGACTACGCGCACATCACATACCTTCCAGTAATAATCAAGAGACGAGCATCCTCTTGCATAGCCATCTCACCAGGAGGAGCTGACGAATCGCCCTCATTGAATGCCTTGATCAGCCAAGATATGACGTCTCGCGGATCCCGGTCTTTAAACATTGCCCCTTCATGAGCCACAACCTGTTAGATAGTTAGCATTCGAGGCGACATACAATGGCCAAGCATGGTAATCAATCGGTGCGACCTTACGACCTCACCTTACGCTTCTCCTGGAGTTGCTGGTGACACCATGCAGTGAACCGAGAAAAGCCCGCTGCGGCCCCTGGCACTTTCGAGATCATAGACAATAACCAGGGTGCTGTACCCAGAACGCCAATAGCCAGCATGCTATCATGAACGCCTTTGATGGCCGGGTGCTCGCTCCCTGATTCGAGCATATGGAAGTCTTTCGAAAAACCTTTGGAGAGTTAACAACGAGGATGTACTAGCTGATCTGTATTACGAATATGCGTTTGTGGACTATGTAGGTGGCCTGCACTTACCAATATCTCCCATGACATCGAATCCAAAGAACATGGCATATTCAGTCATGTCAATCGGGCAACCACCGTGTTCCGCAATTTTTGATAGCAAAAGATCTACTTTGGCTTTTACTCGTGGTGCATAGACAGCCAGGGCTTTGCCACATAGTTATTAGCATCGTTTTGCACAAGACGCAGGTACAAAGAAGAACGTCACTCTTCATACCTCGAAAGCCAAATCCCCTCTCCCAAGCCTTCTTACGGAGCTTGTGCACCTTTAGAATTCGAGTCGAGTTAAGAGAAATCTTAGTTACGTCATTCGATACCTGTGCGTACCAAGGCGATCTTGTTGTTCGTGTGGGATGTTCGTAGATGATCTTAATAGCAGACGGTCGATTGATGGATAGTTCGCGGGGGCCTGTAATGACTATTAGAGCATGCTCGGCATTCGGATATTGTAGCTTTCACGATGCTTATGTGGTGGATTTGGCAAATACATATGACGAAGACGCACCAACTCGAACAATATCTCCATACTGTTTATGTAGGTTTTGCACATCTTTGTAGGCTTGCACCTGCCTTGCCGCATTATTCATGGCATAGAATCGAGATATTTTAGCCAAAAAGGGTCCTGGAAACCGTTTTAGAGGATGCAAAAAGGCTCTGTAGACGAAAATACTGGATACAACTCCTGCATTATACGCAGTTGCGATGAGTAAAGCGCGAGCCAATGCCAGAATAACGCCATAGCCAGCAAAGTATACATTGCCAATGATCAAGACGAAAAATGTGATGAGATATGTGGAAAATATTTGCCAAGCATAGCCATCAATCTCAAATGGTCGGAAAACTAGGTGGTGAGAAACAACGCCCGCCAATAGCGAGACAGCTGCTGTTACTTGAGCTGAGGACTGCAAGGCTGCAACTAATATGTGGCTGGGCCTTGAAGCCATCTTGAACGACGGAAGTAACTTTCAGCTCTAATAAAGCATAACGACAATGTCACATGGAGGAGAGAAAAGGGCAGATAAAGAACTCGAAGGGTAGAGACTAGGATGAGCTCTCTCAATTTGCCTAAAGTTGCGAGATAACGAGGCTAAACTACTTGCTGTCTACTGTATGTCTTGCCTTTGCTCCACAAGGGATCAAACTCAACAGATCACCCAATATTCTGTGCATGGAAGTTTCCCATGCGCAAATGGCAGATATGCTAGGCTTGCGCAATACCTGGGAAAAGCAACTTAGTGATGCGGGGGAATCTATCTCTACCCATGAACTATGGAAGTCCGAGTCGGCGTTTATACCCACTGCATGTACTTTACGAACTGGTGGAGGCAACAAGGAGGATGCTGGTGACAATGTTACGTTCAACAAGCAATACAGCCAACCAATGGCTAGCAAATACCGCCGCCGTTTCCAGATGGGGTTGTGACAGGTCGAAAGTCAGGGGTATAGATCCACAATATGTTGTGCCAGCCAATGTCAGTCTGATCGCGGCATGATGGTGGGATGCGAATGGCGGGTTTTCGGCATCATCTGCATATGGAAGGAGTATAGGCAGAAGCTCATCCCACATAAACACACCGCAGATCAATCTCAACACTGAGGGTAATTTTGCACAATGGCACAGTTGAAGAGACGAGTTGAGAAAAGGTTTAGGTAACCACTTGGTTATTGCACATATAGCAAAGGGTCAACCCTCTATATACATTTGGGCAAGCAAGTATTATTGTATATATTATATGGTATTCAAATACACCTCCACTCACCCTTGAACCGTCAACCGCCTATCTCGTCTCGAAACGGGTTTCAGACCAATAACAGTTACGGTCTCGCCCGAGACGTCAGCCTGATGAAGAGACACAATCTCAAATTGAGTACCTGGGGAAGCGATATACTCTAACTTGCGTGGATCATCCGACAGGGGCGTGATGAACGGCAGATCATCCCATAGCCACGCATCAGACGGCGGGTTCAGCGCAAGAACTATTCCGTTGGAATACCTCATCGCAACATCGAGGCTATCCGTAAAGCTCCAAGTCATCTTCGTCGTGATGGTCTTTCCCACAGACAAGTAGCTAGCCAGCGCATCGGTCAGTGAGTGTGCAAGCTGAGTGCCGATGGGACCCGAATTCAAGGGGCATTCGTAGAACTCGATGCCGAAATGTTTTGTACTGAGCTGGTGAAGATCAACCTGCCCGCTAAACAGCTGCGCCTTAGACGCAAGCGATGTCCGAGGCAAAGATCGCGCAGCTGCAGCAAGGAGGCGGTTTTCGATCTCGCTAAACCTGTAAACGTCATCCACGACCTCGTCAAACTGCGCCTTGAGATGATCTAGTGAGTGTGCGGGCTCCATCAAAAAGGTCCGCATGAAAGCCGGGTCCTTTGGCGTGTATGCGGAGAAGTTGCTCTGCCAAATTTTAATAGAAAGGCTCTCGCGATCCAACGGATGAGGAAGAGTAGCAATTCCGGAATCGATATCCGTGTACTGGAAGATCTTGAACAAGACCATGCGCGCAAAGGACGCCGTCGTCCAGTCGTAAACACACATGGCGAGCTCAAAGCTATAGGGGGTGAAGGGAAAGTATTGTCTTCCCAAAGCCCTAATCTGCGCGAAAGACTTTGGATGCTCATGCGGAATGTTTTGATATGGCACAAATTTGTTGCTAATCATCTTGCTGATAAACGCCACATCCTCGGTGGAGATGTCGGGCAAAGGCTTCAACACACCGGACACTTGCGTCGAAATACTATAACAAGCTGCTCACAGTAAGCTATGTCATAAACATGCATATGCAGGCATCTAGCTATGCTCAGAATGCGAGGAATCAACAAACCTGTGATTATATCTGGCACTTGGATAAGGCCAAGTGTGAAACTGCCACCATCATTGCCAATTTGAAGAGACAGATTCAGTAGGTATGAGCCGTTTTGCAATGATGGACAAGTAAAGCCACCATCCACTCCGCGCCTCTTCAACCAGAGAGTTGCCCCATTTGCATCCAGGGCCATTGCATTTGCTGAATGCACCTCGGTGATGTCGAGAAATCCATGGCGGTCAACAATCAGACGAGATGAAGTCCCCTGACTACCTCGAGTGGCCTCCAGAGGATTGCCATCGCTGAACCAAAGGCGCGACGCAGCGAGTATCCGAACAAGGTGCCACATATCAAACAGTTACAGTATAGGCTCTGACTCTACAAGAGCTGCATTGCCAGTGATGCTTCAGGCAGCCCCAAAAACCACAGAGTCACCTCGTTTCTTATACAGACATCCGCATGGCGATCCAGAGCCCGCAGGTCTCCTCTTGGCTTCTTAGCCTTTACGTCTTCTCCCATCCAAGCTAGAATGTCTCAGTCGACCCTGCATGGCTGAAATGATGGATAGGTCATCACGTGTGTGTACAGTCTAAGTCATATGTAGACACAGCAAACTGTCACACGCTGACGATGCACAGACGAGGAACATACAGCCTATCAAATGCTGCTAGGCAAGACGCATTGGCAGCAAGTAAGCAATTCTCGTGGTATAATCCATATACACAGCGATATCGCAAAGGGACGACCCGATCGTGCAGCTAAGCCAGTGTCTTCATTTTCTCCAGTTGCCCACCACTGCCGGCACGCTCTAATAAGATCTGTCCACGCAGCCACTTGATTCGCTTGGCGATCCCCGGGCCGCTTTTCTGTTTGTGTGACATAACGGAATAGAGCTGGACGAGCTGAGCAGGGCCAAAACTTGGCAAATATGCCCGGATGGCGGAAGATGGGAAGACCTCGTCTCCATTTCGACGCGTTGATGCGGTACCTACCCATGTCTTCAGGTTCTCCACGATGGCGTCAAAGCGACCAGGGGCTGTTCAGCTCTTCAGTGAGGTCTTGCCGCTTTCCCTTATGGAGAAGCCTCGGTTTTTTGCCCTCTCTACGTAATAACGGGGCCAAGATTAGAGAGAGCAACCTCCACCTGTAGCGTAGGCGCTTTGTCCAAGATTGATGATGGGATCGCAGACGGCAAAATCATATATTTTGTGGAAAATACATGACAAGGGTTTTGTTTATCGCCGGCAATAAAAACATGTCGGACAGCAAAAAGCTAAGACTATATGTGCTGATGTGGTACACTTGTCTTACAACACTTTGTCTTGCACCGATCCTCTATGTCAATAAAACATGGAAAATTAAGCTCTAGGCCCAAAGAAAAGATAGCAATCACAACTTCGCGTGTTAGTTCCAGCCTATTCACAAGACACGCAAAAAGTCTACACTTAGTATAAGACAATACGAATACAAGAGCACGACTGGAGTATTTACAGTGCCGGAAGAGGCAACATTGGCAGTTTTTATTCCATTTCCATTTAATACAGGGTATGTTGGCAGCAGCTCTCTCACAATGCTGACTAAGTTACTGCCACCGTCGCAAGAAGGATGAGCGGGATGGATCAAGCATCTTCCGGCCAGCCAATCAGGCGCGTCCCGACAAAGCCGATCGCGCGTCTTTGGTAGCGAGCCACGCGATGATTTTCCTCTTTTGAGTCTGCCGACTTCCGCAATGGAATCCGATCATTCGAGCCTGTTGAACCACTCGCCGAAGGTGACAGCCGGGCTCACAAGATGTACTGTAAATCTCGACCTCATTGCTATGAAATACTGCCCAAGATAGTTTAGATGTCTAGAAGATTAGTCTACAACGAGCAACCAGGGAATGTCAATTAAATCAGTCCAACAGCCTTAGTATTCGCCGTCGGAGAACTAGGACCAGCCTAATTGTTGTTGGTCCTCTCGCTTGAGTAATTAGTCTGGTCAAGCGCCAGTTTAGCTCGTACTAAATGAAGCCACGATGGCTAGTCGGCAACTAAGGGGTGGGCCAGATTTAAAGTGTTGAGCTAGAGGTTCTATAAGAAGCGCTTGAAGCCTCCCAAGCCTCTACTGAATTTTGCAGTGCATTTTGTATGCAAAAAAGCACCCTTCTTTCCCTTATAAGTTGATGCGTTAATATGTCTTATAACAAAAAGACAACTCCGGGTGGTCTAGTTGGTTATGACATTCGGCTGTAATGGATTACATGTCACCGAAAAGTCGGCGGTTCAAATCCTCCCCTGGAGATAAATTTTTTTCTTTTTCTTTTTGCTGAGCTCTAATAACGCTAGAGAGAAGATAGCTAGCGCAAAAACCCACTGTCTTATCCACATTAAAATGGAGTGATATCTGCTTAGTAACAGTCTGCTTAGTACTCATCTCGTTCTCCGCACTTTTTCAGACTTGTAACACTTAGAAATTGATGACTTGGAAGTGGTTGAAGAGTACAGAGCTACTAGTATTCCTAGTATTATTACCTTGTTATTTTAATGTTAAGGAGACCACGCAGTAGTCTGATAATGAAAGATCCTCTGTGCTTGATCTTGATGTAGCCAATCTTAGCAACTGCTGAGACACTATAGCAAGCTCTTTCTTCAAGCACAATAATGGTTTTCACAACGCTCGGGGTTATTCGTCAACGCCTCTAACGGTACCCGGAGACTCCAGCCGAACAATTGAAGACAGTATAAGCCTATCTTGATTATCAAACTCACAATGACGCATGATTTTCTCTTTGACGCTTTCGTGAACTTTTGTAAGTCGTAGTGTTACGCGTGTTCACGGACTACCTATCCGGCAAAGTTCCGTATTCCTCGCGAATTGTGGATATTCTCATCGCCTAGTTGACAACTCCGCAGCCTTTAAATATCACTTCTATCTTGACTTCTTGTCTTCATTTTACTTGCAACCACTTTCTATTCAATTAATAAACACCAAATAGCCAATATTCTCATCATGGAACAAATCAACATCGTCCGCTTCTCCCCCTCTGAACACGACAAATTCCTCCCTGCCATAATCCAAATGCACATTGACTGTATCGAGTCTGACGGTGCCCTGCTGCGCTTCCATCCGCCATTCGCTCTCGAAAAGCGCCAGAAAATGGAAGCTTTTTGGAAAGCTCGTCTTTCCCAAATCCCCACCGGTCATAGAATCACCTTGATTGCATTGACATCCTCGGATGGCCAGCAGGAAACTGACATTGCCGGTATTGTGGAGTTGGGCATGCCGGAAGCAGATACGGGCCCCTTCCGGGGTGATTTGGAGATGTTGATGGTGTCGCCAAAGTACCGCCGTAGAGGATTGGCAAGCAAACTGATTGATGCGCTGGAAGAGATTGCGAAAGAAGAGAAAAGAACACTGCTAGTAAGTTGAAAAGTCGGATATTATCTTTGTTGGCTGTAAATCTTACATGTGCCTGCGCAGCTGCTATCTACGGACATTGGCTCAACAGCCGAAAAATACTTGTATCCTCGCCGGGGCTATATTTTGGTAACTCTCTTAATGTTCTTTCATGAATGTTTGGTCTTTGCATTAACCTTTTTTTTTTTTCTTTTCCAGATGGGAACGGTCCCCAACTATGGCATCTCGCCGACTGACGGCTCGCTAAAGGATGGCGCATTCTTCTATAAGCAATTAATAGCGCCCGTGCCGGGAGCTTGATAAGCATTTGTTACTCAGTTTTATCATAGAGAAAGACATTATTTGAAGAATGAAAGAGATAGAACTTCTAAGACTCCAGAAGAATATCGCAAGTTTACAAATTATATGTCATCGGAAAGTGCAACGCGCGTACCTACGTAGTCAAAGGCAGCATTCGGCCTATTATCCTCTAATCGCTCCATTGGCGCCCATTCCTCCCCCAAACCCGTCGGAAATACGAACAACATCTCCTTTGAATCTGACAAACTCATTCTACATTTTCTTGCATGAATCCTTCGTCTCAGCCCCTTCAACCTCACTGGTTTGCTCGGTTCGAGGCGGCCTGATTCAGGTCCGGTTTAGCTCACTCGGCCGAGTGGGGCAGATGTCCCGGCCGAGACGGGCTACCAAGCTACCTTATTCGATCAGCTATACTCAAGATATCGCCTGTGATCAAAGACCGCCATGATCTAAATTATAACTCAAAAATATAGAAAGACAAGATGTAAAAGCTTTAGCTAGATATAGACTCTAATAACATTATTTTCCTTACCGTTCACTTGAATTTAAATTAAATTGATTGGCCGACTTGCAGCCACGGTTAACTGATAGCCATCGGCCTAACTTTGACGTTGGCTTTAGCTAGCTTGCAGAAGCGGCTGACTCGCCACAAGGCTGATTCACCGTTTGGACATTGGATTGGACGTCGGAAGTCCGAAGGATTGCTTGACTGGCGAGGCCATGATCCTTTACGAGATGACGTTGATACCTGCCTAGGTATGGTCGCTCTATGTATATATATATATCAGCTAGTCTTCAAACAATCCCTCAAGCCATCAAAACTTATACTTTCAATAACACCAGCAACACCAGCTACAAAATACAGCAGTATTCGCCTTTATACGTCCGATATAACAGATACTCGTCACAGCAACGTTCATCCACTCTTTCCATCTCACCACCAAAGCCTCACACAATGTCCACCCCATCTGGCATCGCCATCATCGGCGCAGGCCTCTCCGGCCTCACCCTTGCCCTCGCCCTCCACCGCCAAAACATCCCCTGCACCATCTACGAGTCCCGCGAGGCGTCTCTCGACATCGGAGGCGCCCTCATGCTCTCCCCCAACGCACTCAAGATCCTCGACGCCCTAGGCGTATACAAAAATATCGCCCCCCTGGGCCATCACTTCGAGAAGCTCTACTTCCATTCCGATGACGACACGCCAGTTGATGACTTCGACTTTGGCTCCCAGGAAAGACACGGCTTCAAAGCTGTCCGCATCTACCGTTACGAGCTCATCAACGTCCTCGTGACCATGGTCCGCGAGGCCGGCATCCCCGTCGAGTTCCAAAAGAAGTTTGACCATGTCGTCTCAGAATCTTCCACTTCTGTTACTTGGACCTTTGCCGACGGATCCACCGCCAGCGCAAAGCTCCTCGTCGGAGCCGATGGCATTCACTCCCGCGTCCGCAAGCACCTATACCCGGATCTCACTCCCAAATTCACAAACATGATTGGCGTTACCGCCGCCGTGCCTCGCGCGCAACTTCAAGCAGAGCCCAACTACCCGCTGCCCGTGACAATCATGAGCCCCAAGCACGGGGCCTTTGTCATTGCTCCGCAGCTCGCTGACGGCTCAGAAGTCTTCATCGGAAAGCCAAAGCGTCTTGAGAGCGAGTATGACCGCGCGGGATGGGACGAGTTGTTAAACAACAAGGCTTGGTGTGTTGATTTTCTGCGCGAGGGCAGCGCCGACTTCCCTCCCATCGTGGCCAATGCCGTGTCCAACATCCCGCTCAAAAGCATCAACTTGTGGCCCTTCTACGTTGTCCCCAAGCTGGATACCTGGGCCAAAGGTCGTGTCGTGATCCTCGGCGACGCAGCTCATGCGATCCCTCCAACCGCCGGCCAAGGCGTAAACCAAGCCTTTGAAGACGTGTATACGTTTGCCGGCATAGTCGCCAAAGTGCAACAGAAGAAGGAGTCAGAAGACGGCAAGGAAGACGCTGCGCGGATCGGTAAAGCGTTGAAGAACTGGCAGTTGGGTAGACAGGCGCGTGTGGACAGAGTATTGGACCTGAACGACAAGGTGAACAACAGACGACTGCCCGATGCAGTCAAAGCTGGCAACTTTGAACCGTTTGACTTGGATTGGTTATATGATGTTGATTTCGAAAAGATGATCGCCGAGTGGGCAAGCTGATTGCCTGTTTTTCCCAAGCGTGAAAATTGAACCTAGCCTGTCTTTAGCTCTATTAGTTTACCTGAAGTTTTAATTTCCAACTGTTATGAGTGAATATGTGCTTTAATTCTGCCTCATGCCAAAATTGTCTCAGTGGGTGTTTGGACTCACCTGCTGGTTCGACCGATAGCCGCATAACTTAGCAAATGAATATATACTGGGACATCCCTAATGCTCGAAAGTAATGGAAACAAAATAAGCAAGACCTTTGCATGGTCGCTTTTGGCGTAACCAAGGACCCTGTTGCAGTTTCATCTTGGCCACCGCACTAATATCCATTTTCAACGACACATAGATTCCTTTGGAATAGGTTTTTTGCATCACATCATCATTTGAAGCATTATCTCTTCTACACATTCCCGGAGAGAGCCACCAGGCGCCAAGGCCTCCCATTTTATAAATCCCCATGAATAATTTGAAAAAGAAAAAAAGCAATCCACGCTTCTAGTATTATATCTCTCTAGTCATCTACTCAATCAAATAGTTGTCTGCCGTAGACCTGACGTCTTTGGAGAATGTGACCTCCTCGTTTTCGTCAAGCAAAGAAACGGATGTGACCTAAGACATTTGTTAGTGACAATAATTCTTTTGGCCCAGCACAGTGTTGGATGTGATATGCAACTTACATCAACGTCCACGAACGGTGTTGTCTTGTTGAAACGAACAGTCATGGGGAAGAAGTCATTCTCATCGTTGCTTTCGGCTTCAAACTCAAATGATCCATTAGGGTTCTCGTCATCGACCGAGCCAATATTCCACTCCAAGGAGTCTCCAGACACTTCGTAGGAAGCATCGAAGCTGGAAACAATAGGTTCGCTTCCCTGGTAAGGAATGATTACGCTGACATCGCGCAGGGCATCGCCACCTGTCAACTCGTATTCGACTGTGATGTTGTACTTGTCGGAATCCTTGTTGATCCAGACAGTGAAGGTGATGGGGCATGCGCTTGCGTCGTCTGCCTTTGGCGAAGCTCTCCATCGCAGCAGTCCAACTCCTTGGTTGATGGGGAATCCTCGAGCACTGTTGCTCATTTGCAGAATCTTGGAGCTGTTGAAGAGGTTGCGGTCCACGTTCGGGTGAGGGCGGAACTGGGCGCCATGCGATGGAACGGCATGCAGGCCGAGCTTGAGTTTGGCTAGGCTTGGGTCCGAAACTCGCAGCGTAAGGTCTCCGTTGACTGAAATCGAGTTGACTGCGCCCTCTCTTGAGAGCTTGGCACTTATCGTCTCGGCAATTGTGACATGAATAGCGTCCCGGTCCAGGGTGGATGACATGCGTGGCTCTGGCTCAGCGGCCGCCGCAGGTGTAGGGGTGATAAGAGGAGCATCGTCAGCTCCGGCGCCAAGCTCACCTCGGACCTTTTCGAAAATGTCGGTGTTCTTTGACTTCTTGCCGAGCTGCATACCCTTCGCCTTGAGCGTAGACGGCCTGTCAAACCAATTAGCATTTTCGCAGAGCAAACGGAGCAGGTTAGCGGTGCGCACTTGTTGAATGTCTTGTTCTTTTCGGCTTCGTATGAGTCAAAGGCGCTGGCACTTGGTTGGGAGGGAGGAGTATATGTAGGATAGACAGGTGTGCGTGGCGCGGCGGGGCGACCACTTCTCGCCGACTCCTTGCGCTGCATCTCCAATTGCTTCGCCTTGCGTTTCCGCTCTTCCGTGGCCTCGAGCTCTTTATTCTACATCGGTTCATGTTAGTATCTCGGCCCGTCATGGCGGAAACAGAGTAGGATCCATACCCGTGCAATGATCTCCTGGATGCGCTCTTCGTGACTCTCCATCTCCAGGAAGGTCTTGATCTGGCTGATGGTCAAGTTCTCTCGGTAGCCAAGAGTAACCAGCTCGTCGAATGCGCTGAGAAGCTCGTAGGCATTTCGGACAATTTCTCTCTCGTCCAGAGCCCTGCAGGTGCTCGTCACCACCTGGGCAAACAGGTGTAGCGAATCGATGTCTTGGAGGATGTTGGACTGGCGGTTGGTGATGAGCACCATGTAGAGCTCGTCGAGAGGCTGGTAAACGAATCGCACATTGTCCTGCTCGACGATCGTGTGCTGCGTGCCGCTGTCTGCGAGCTTGGGAAACGATGCAAGGAGGGCCTCGATGCGGGATCTGGGCATCTCTCGAAACTGCCTGGAGAGGACAGCTTTCCCGCCTCGGGTGCAAACTGAGGCCGCAAGGACAACCTGGTTCACAGTTAGCGGTCAATGATACTGCACGCATCGTTCTGGAGCTGTGTGCGCACCATTTTGGCAGTAGAAAGCGCTGAAGTGCCGTGGAAGTGAGGCTTTGGTGGGATGGTCAGCGTCGGCCAGAGGGTTCAATTGAGCCACGTCTAACTCAGGAGCTGCTTCAGTGACGAGGCTACTGCGCTGGCCCAGAAAAGCGGCGTCACGTGTTGGCTTCGGTGGAGGGGCTCTGCTGCTGAGAGCTGGCCGAGGGGCACAGGTATACGCTACAATATTTTGGACATGCTTCCATGTAAAGTCCATTCAAGAAGATGGGCTATAGAGTACTCAGTACTTGTATGCTTGACTTGAGGTACTTAGAACCTAAAAGCCTCTCGACATTAAGTCCCAAAACCCAAGTACTGTCTACTTTTTCAACGTCCGCTCGCCCCGTTTCTGCTCTTGGGCTAATCACAGCGCACTAAGCCTGGTTTAGGCAGCTCTCCTCACGTGTGGGCCAGCTGGTCTCAAAGCTCGCTGTTTTCGCTGAAAGAATGTTGTCGCATTCATTTAGCCTCAGCCGTGAAGCTTCACCATATTCCATCTCTCCACGCCACCGCGAATACGGACCATCCTCTCCTGTTCAGGCTCCGTACGACGCGTTTCTCGTGTCGCCCGATTCTATTGTCCTTATTCTTTTCCCCTGAACATCAATGTGTTGCTCTCACACTCGCAATAAACAGCCGGCAAACACTATATCGTGCGTGGCGTAACACGGCAAATCCACTTCTCGCTCCTGCGCAACGCCTTCTACTTCTATCCCAGAGCTTCCGAGACCCATATTTGGTGTCATTGCATAACGGAAGACCATATATCTGCTTGCAGACCCCCTTAGACCGAAGCACTTGTGACAGAACTCTCATAACCTGTCTATTCGACCGTTGATGTACTTCTGAGGCCGTGGCACACCATGGCAGAACTCGATATGGATGTCGACTTGGCGCCGCCAATGAAATTCGACGAGCATGTGGACGAGGATCTGATTGATTACGATATCGACACAACGGAGGACCATAGCCGCGAGCAGTTTTCATCTCACCAAGATGAGCACACTTCGGGTGCGCCAGAACGCGTACTTCCAGTTGAAGGCATGGAAGGCGCCGATTCGAGATACACCGAAGTTGGACAAGCCGAAGAGATAGTCCAGCTTTCGGAAGTGAGCCACCCGCAGGGCGACATGGGCTTTGAACACGCTGAAGCTGTGGCGCAATCACACCAAGATTCGGAAGCGTACGCCTCGACGCATCATGATAAAGATACTGCTCTGGAAACGGAGCAAGCAAAAGACTTCCATGAGAGCCATGGAAACGCAAATACTGGTGACATAGTTGGTACCGAGGCAGAGCACGCTGTAGATGAGATTGATTATGAAGACGAAGATGCTACAGTTACACAAGGTTCCCCCAAGAAGCCGGACGATGCAAACGGTGGCGTGCACGAGGGTCACTCAAATGACGACATGACTGCCGCAGAAATTGTCGCCAGTACCACCACAGCGGTGCCGGCTAGCCTTCCTCCAGCAGAAGCGCCCGTTGGTAGCTCCGAGGTGCCAGAGCCAGCATCAAAAGATGACGAAGATGAGATAACCTGGGAGAATGACGGTGAAGATGACGCAGAAAAGCATGGCGAACAGGAATCCGCAGCTGACTTTGAAGACACTGTCGCTACATATGACCACGCTGAGAATGACCCAGACCAGCCAGCATATGAGCAGCATTCTCACGCTACCGACTCAGACTATGATGCAGACGCCGTGGTAGAAGTTTCGGAAGAGAAGACGTCTCCGGCATATCATCAAGACGATTCGCCATCGCAAGCAGAAGAGCAGGATTCAGAAGCAGCTGATTTCCCAGCAATCACTGTGCAATACAAAGGAGACGAATTTCCATTCTTTTCCCAAGCGAAAACTGAGGGTTTCTTTTCTGATCTTTCGGTCTTGGATCAGTCGATGGAATCAGTGCTTGTTGGATTACGATCAGAGCTGGAGAATGAGATTTCCGCACAAGATGAACTTGTCTTTCAAGTTGATGAACTTGGGCTCGAATTTGCAGAGGTGTGTATAGTATCGGGCCACACAGATGAAAAAGCAGTAAACTAACTTTTCTATAGGCTACAGCGCATAATACGCTCACAAGCATTACGCTGCGACAAGTGTTGGAGATCTTTGACTTGCTAGTAAAGAATCAAGATCCTGATAGCTCACGAACTCTATACACGTACCTCTTCACGAGATCGAGCGCTAGTAAACGATTCGATTTTCTGGCTGAGAGCGCTGCGGCTGGAAGAGGGCTTGATGAAGTGATTCATCTTTTTGAGAATCCGGTTGCACACCACCATGCCCTTGCTGAAGCCGAGCATGAGCATGATCATGATCATGGCGAAGATAGCGAAACTAACGAGGCTACGGAAATTCATGAGAGCGCCGAAGATGATGATGAGATTGAAGAAAATGAAGGTGCGGATGCCGATACCGAAGAGTCCGAGGCTTCAGAAGAAGATGAGGAAGAAGAGGAAGAGGATGAAGAGGAGACTTCAGCCGCCGAGGAGCAACCTGTGGAATCTGCAGATCAGTATGAGGACGAAGAAGAGGAAGAGGAAGAGGAAGATGAAGATGTCGGCGAAGACTTCATGGCAGAGGCTGAAGACTTCATCAGAGATGCTGAGGAGAACGCGAACCAAGAAGGGGAGTATAGTGATGATGCAGAAGAGAGCTACGAACAGCTTCAAGCTGTGGTTGTAGAGCCCGTAAATCATTCCGGGCATGCAAATGCAACTGCAGAGGCCGATAACGCGCCAGATGCAACGTATTCATACGGTACGGTCACTATCCCTCTCACGGTGTTTGTTTTGCCGAATGCTAACCAGCTACATTCAGATGATGAAGATGAAGACGCTGACGCCAATCCGTTCATCCACCTCGAGATGCAGGAGGCTATGGTAGATGACGGAGTTGAAATTCAATATGAGGCCACGGCACATGTGGAAGGGGGCAACGAAGACTCACACCAGCTTGCTATGCATCCAGTAGACGAATTCATAAACACCAATGAGGCGGAAACCGGCACGACCAACACACTAGCCGACAATGCAGAAGCCATCTCTGCCCTGTTGGATATTGGCGCGGACCAAGGGCTGGAAGAGATTACCAACGAGGATCTAGCCTTTGAAGATGAGATGCCTGAAATCGACTGGAGAGATGATCTAGACGCCCTTGACGATGCCAAAGACGAGATAGCCGGTGCAGACTCTGCCCTACCAAAACGGCGTCGCACCGAGGATGAACAAGGCGTGGAAGACGAACAAGGTGAGTCCAAGCGAAGCTTGTTATGCTTAGTACGCGGTGGAAAAATGCTAACTTCTTTGTTCGGCAGATGCCAAACGCCGTCGGCCATGATTTTTTTCCATGCCCGACAAGACTAACAACGAGGAGAGACCAAGTTCCCCCCAAATGCATATTGTCGCAGCCACGTCTGGACCATCCTGATAGGGCGAGATGGCCCATTTCTTGTAACGGAGTACTAACCACAGTCAGCAGCGTGACATTTTACGGATTTTAAAATCTCTGATGATTATCTACACGCACCATAGGACACGCCATTGCATATTTCACGCTTCTGACTGAAAATAAGACAGGATTCCAGGTAGGGGCCTAAATGGCTATACTAACAATACGAAACTGTACGACTATGTAGCCGCAGGCGACTTCGCTTTTGGGTCGGCGTCGAGCAATCAGCTTGTTTATCAGCTTCCTTTTTTTTTTTGAACCTTTTCATTATTCTTGTTATTCTCTCCCCCTCCCCTTTAACATTATTATCTTGGCTCTCTCTTCATATGAAGGTCGGCGGCTTTGATATCACATACTTTGAATTTAAGAGCCAGATTAGTATTTGGCGTAAGCTATATGCTTTTCACTTAAATCACTGGAGAAAGAATAGATATCTGGAGGGCTACTATGGCGTGACATTGGAAGGAAAAAAGGATGCCACGCAAAGGATGTTTTGGCGTTTTGGAAATAGGGCTCCGGTATTATCTAGTAGAAGGTCAAGTATGTCTGCGTATAGATTATTGCTTAGTTCTATGGACGGAGAGGTCTGTTTATGTCTTTATTGCACACATTGAGTTGCCAGAATTGGATCTTAGAGATCAGCGGGAATTTCATGACATGATATGACTTATGGATGATATATCCTTGAAATCGATGTTGAGGCTGATGGCGTTGATGCTTGTTGTTAGTACTCAAAGCAATGGTTTATGACTAGCAATTACGTCCCCTGCTTTCAACTCAGTTGGTCACGGGATTCCGAGTCCAACACAACATCCGACGTGGTGTAGTGGCTAGCATACCGCGCTTTCAATATGAAGGTCCGCGGCGATCCGGGTTCGACTCCCGGCGCCGGAAGATTTACTTTTTGACTTTTGATTTTGCAAAAAAAATCTTTTTTTTGGGTGTTAGAGTGTTACGCGTTTCCCTGCTCCTTGCAATTCTCTGTCAGGTTGAGAACAGCGCCTATGGCATATCCAATAATTTGTCTGATTATACGCTCTTTTGAGAGGAAACGTAATACTTTGTCCGTGTCCCGAGTCTGTTACTGACGCACATATTGCCCGTACCCGCGGCCTTAACAGGCTTACATGTGACGGTCGGTACGGGTATCTTTGCTGCTGGCCTGTCTCTATAGAAGACTGCGAATCACATCTCGCACATAAAGCGTACGTAATACAAGGGGCGTGTGTTTGCGCGTCCTCTACTCCACTTATCCAGGGGCTTGAAGTTTTTCTTGGTTTTCCCTCGCCGCACATCTTATCCCCAATCGATCAGGAGGAAAAAGGGCCCCTAGTGGTTGAAGCATTGCGCAGGTCGATCACTTTCTTGGCACTGTGTGAAATCCTTGGAAAAGGGCCCCACAGCGAGCGATTCAGGGCGGGCGAGAGGCAACGGGTACCGCTAAAGTTCTATCGCTAGCTGCGAGTAATGGATTTACAGCAAGTAGTAGTATGATCAGACGAGATGCAAACAAGTGAGAAATGCAAGCTGATGGATGACCTGCCTTAGAGGCTGACTGCCTACATGTACATGTCATAGGCCTACAGGGCTGATGGGTACATTTCTTACTCCGTGTCTGCATGACCTGCGTGCATTTTAGCGGGCGTGAGACTTTTGTCGGGGGCAATTGAGGCGCAGCATGTTTTCAATGTCTAAGACGATGGCATCTGTCCGAGTCTCGTGATGCCGGTAGTCGATATCTGACTAGCTCTACTACTTACTGGCAGTACTAGCATTGCAAAGAGGAAGGCGACTACAGAGCTGTTTATGTTGTAGATACCTGCCAATAGAAAAGGCAGCTCTACAGTATATTGAATTGTAGTCCATTTAGAGGCTGATGGTCTACAGTCCCTACCTTGTGAACAGAGCTGGCCCATGACGTCGGCGGGTTTGAATAAAACCCTTCTTCCCACGCGTTCCGGTTGATAAGCGGATCTTGAGCCGTTTTGCGCTCCGGCCTTCGGAATTTACGAGACTTGACAACCGTGTTTTTTCGTGTCCTGTCTTTAACCGCGTTGATAGGGCACACAAGGCTAAGGCTTGTTTGTACGAGTTCCTACTTCAGCTCAGTTGGCGACGCAGCCTTTCCTATTCGAGCTCAGCAGATCTAACAGAGAGGCTGTGCGGTGTCACTCAATTTACAAGTCCCAATACAGTAAAATTCAGTACCTGCATCTATTTCGTATTGAATCCCACAACCCCAGAGTCAACTGCTGCTGCTGCTGCTGCACGACTGCCCGAATACGAAGCGCCATCATTTTGTTGAATGAGGCAGCCAACCAGGCCAAGAAGAGATTGATATCTCCAGCCTTGCCGTAATGAATCAACGAATAGCAGCAGCAACCCTTGTCGTCGCCGAATAGTGGGCAGATCGCTGGCCATCTGCTGGGCAAATCTAAATGGATATGGGGACCGCAGTAGATTGCCTGATGACGATGAAACAAGCCAGACGCGACAGGGGGCTCGTTTGTTTTAGGACGCCGCGATCCACAGCAGCGCATCTACCGGCAGCAGGTGATGAAATTGCTTGGCTCGAAAAGGCGCCCCTCCACGCCTTGCTTGGAAAGATATGGACGTACAGTATCACATCACGTCTGGGCGCTTCAAATGCCCTTTGCACTGGGTTCAGCACCGTAGTAGACGCTTTAGTGGTAAAGTGATACATCAAAGCCTTGCCGCTTGTACCCTCGCCATCCATGCACGTAGCCTCTACCTGTTGGATCCCTCGCCGCGACACCCTCCCCCATGTACCCGCAACCTCAGTCCGTCCATCTTTTTTTAGGTCTCTACCTCCCCGCCCTGTAAGAAAGCCCCTCAGGTACCCGTCACAACCTGTGCTCCAGCCCGGCTAGCGCTCCAGGGCATTGCGCCTCTGTCCAGGCCCGCTGATACCGATGCCGCGCCCTGTAGCCACGCAGCAGCAACCGCTAAAAAGCCCCGGGACGACGCTGGTGAGACACGCATCCCATTCCCCAAGGCTCGCCCACCCCCCCGATCAAGCGCCACACACGGCCCAAGGCCAAAAACAAAAGTCCAATCATCCCATTCGATGCCAGACCTCCTCCAATAAACCCACAAGCCACCAGAAAATACATCCGCGATCGTTCCTTTTTCCCTTCCCTTGCCTTCTTTTTCTCTCTCTCCTTTGTGCGCCAATCATCGCCCGGTCCTTTTTCCTTCTCCCCCTCCCTCTCCTTTAGGACAAACTTCGGCGTTGCGTCTGCGGTGCATTTGCATCTTTGATTTTTTTTTTCCTTGACTTCGAAGCTACCTTCCAGAGACGGAATTGGGATTACGACAGTACAACAGGCATCTGGTACGACATACTAGTAGATAGCGGGACACGAAGCCACTACTCTAGCACAGTCCCTCGACGCTGCTCCTTTACAACGACAAAAAAGCAAAGAACGCCAGCGACAACGACAGCCTCGAAGACGAGCCTCGCGCTTTTGATAGGCCTGACCTGCTCCAACGAAGCTACTCGCAAGCCTTCCCCCGCCGTGGAGTCGCCACAAAGCCTTTAGCCGATCGACCACAAACCGTCTCTGTGACTTTCTTTCTTGCTTCCTCGACAACCTCCATTCGCTACCGTCTGGTCCTTGCGCACGCTCATTTTGTCTCGTTTGCGACTCTCCCCTTGTCCAGGGAGCCGCTGAAGAACGTACTCCGCCGACGCCACACACTCCGTGGCCCTCTCGCGCGCTTCATCATTTGAGAGACCACTCGCTCAGCATGATTGAGGACAAGTACGTTTTCGCTTAGAAGGGGCCTCTTTGGGGGACGAGAGAGGTGCGCTCGTCGTGGGATGCCATTCGCTGACTCCATCGCGTCTAGATACATCGGCCTGGCGTTGGCCATGTCATCGGCCTTGGCCATTGGTACGTCCTCATCCTCTCTGCGATTCTTGCAGCGTGTCATTCTTTTGCTGACGCTCCCATCTCTGCAGGCACCAGTTTCGTCATCACCAAAAAGGTCAGATTCTTTCTCCGGCGACCCATGACGGCTCTCAGCGGCAAACGATGCTCAACCGGCCTAACCGATAGACGAGAACATCTCGGCTGACAATGTGCACAGGGATTATTACAAGCTGAAGAGCGACACGGCTTCGAAGGCGATGGATTTGTATACATGAAAAGCCCCATGTGGTGGGCAGGAATTGCAACTCGTGAGCAACTGGCGCCGATGTCGAATATGAACAGTCACTTTCTAACACCTCTCTGCAGTTGGCATCGGAGAAATCTGCAACTTCGCAGCCTACGCTTTTGCCCCGGCTATCCTGGTGACTCCTCTGGGAGCTCTCAGTGTCCTGATCGGCGCCGTGCTGGGATCCTATTTCCTGGATGAGGAGCTTGGCACGCTGGGAAAGCTGGGCAGTGCTATTTGCCTGATCGGTGCCGTCATCATCGTTTTGCACGCCCCTCCCGACGAGGAAATCGAGACGGTCGATGAAATTCTACAATATGCCATCCAGCCAGGTACGAACGAACAACAAGCCTTGCTCCGAAGCTTGCCTCCCTTTTTTAACATCTTTTGATGTTCCCATTCCCCCCAACTCTTTGGATACTCTGAATTTGGGTCTGATTTGGAAGACTAACTACGACAATGACCAGGTTTCCTGTTGTATGCCTTTGCTGTCGTGGCTTTTGCCGTCTTCATGATCTACCGAATTGCCCCCGTCTATGGCAGGCGAAACGCCCTGATCTACCTGTCCATCTGCTCCACCGTCGGCTCCATCTCTGTCATGTCCGTCAAGGCCTTTGGCATTGCTCTTAAGCTCACATTCGCTGGCCACAACCAATTCTCGCACCCTTCAACCTACGTCTTTATGATTCTCACGACAGTCTGCATCCTAACGCAGATGAACTACTTTAACAAGGCTCTCGCGTCGTTCCCGACCAACATGTAAGTCGAAACCTGCCGGCTGTTTTCTACTTCCCACGTTTTGGTGACTCTCACTAACCATGTCATTAGTGTCAACCCGCTCTACTACGTCACATTCACCACGGCGACACTCTGCGCCTCCTTCATCCTCTTCAGCGGCTTCAACACGACCGACCCTGTCAATACACTTTCATTGCTCTGCGGCTTCCTCGTCACCTTCACTGGAGTGTACTTGCTGAACCTTTCTCGCGGAGATCCTCACGGACAGAGACTGGCTGCGAACCGAGGCGACTTTGATGCTGCCGGCACAGATATGATCTCTGGCTTTCAAACTCGCCGCAGCATGCAATCCCGAAGGAGCGAAAATACCTCGAGGCACAGCCTGAGCAGCTTCCACGGCGATAGACAGGGCCTGATCCGGGCCTACGATGAGGAGGAGGCCGCAGGTTTCGGCCTCACCGACCTCGCCGACAGCGAAGACGACGACCGCCGTCTTAACGGTGCGAACGGCTCCAATGGCATGGTAAACGGCTCGGCAAACGGCAAGAAGCAGTACACCAGCAGTGACATTGAGCTTGAGTCACGAAAGGATGCCGACAGGTAGTTTAGGGAACTCTGTCACTCAACTTTTCTTTTCTATTCTTTTCTATCACAACTATGGAATACATCAGAGAGATATCGAAGTATGATGGATATACACGCAGCCATTGTCACACATCACTTGTGAGATGAACCAAACAGTCAGCCCAGAGTGGCCAACCATATCTGTACATTGCCTTTCAACGCCATTTCTGGAGGGAACAAAAGGGGAAAGTCACGTCTTCACTGACCAGGGAGAGGGATCCTAGCTGCGCTTGCAGGTTTCAGCCACTGCGGCCGCTTTAAAATCCGATAGAGGGAGATATGGAGAATTCATCAGCCCAGGCGGCTTCGAAGTACTTGTTCCTTGTTCTCTTCTGGTTTTCAACACACCTCCCCATTGGTTGTCAAGTTTCCTTTTTTATCGTCTACATCGGGAGCAAAGCTGCAGCATCCGCAGCTAAGTGAAAAGGAGGGGGGGTTTCCGGTTACAAGCTTATTTTTCGTCTCTTTTTGCTATTCTATTCCTCTTAGAGGAGCGGCGTTTGTTTGTTGTTCTGTGCGGGGTGTGGGATAACTTAATTGCTTATTTTCTTTTTATTTTACGGTAAACATGACTGATCGGAAAGGAAACTGGATTTGAAAGCATGCTCCTGTTGTACGATATTTTGGAATCTTTTTTTTTTTTTGGTTAGCATTTTCTTTGGTTGATGCCAAGGTAGAAAAAGAAAGAAATGAAGACAGTGGGCTGTTGTGGCCTTGGGAACAACAAAGAAAAAAAAAGGAGACTGAGAGGCACAGAGGGAAACAAAGAGTTCTCTCAGTATGTTTTTGTTCCTGTGTTGGTGAGATTTGTGGCAAGTGTATTACTATCACTTTTGACTTGTACCAGGAGGCTCTCTGACTGATGCCTTGCAATACCCTTTCTCTTTACTCTTTCAACCCCTTTTTTTGGCTACCTACCTATATATACAAATATATAGATGTATTACGCATACATATACCATTGGTTTACTGTACGAGGCGAGTGACTTGATTTGGTAATGATCCGTTTTTTACTTGGAAGATTTTCAAGTCTCACTTTTTTAATGTATGGCTTAATGTTGTCTACCATGTTTTTAAAAAAACAAGACGAAACCTTTCCATGCCCTTAGCAGATGCAAATGTTCATTGACGCCTAAAGTTTGACCGCCATCCCTTTGCCTTGTGGCTTGATATCATCCACGCTTACACAACAACAAACGTTCCTATCTTTGTTGGTTTCTTCTTTCTCTCTTCATCATGCTCATACAAAAAGAAAAAGAACTCTCCCTCCTTCAACCCATTTTTTACCACCCATCAGCTGCGCCGTCAGCATCCTACTGCTGCTCCTCAGCGGCGGGCTGGGCCTCCTCCTCAGCGGCACCCTCCTGCTCGGCAACTCGCGCATCCTGGCTGGCCTGGGCCTGGGCGGCCTTGGCACCGTAGTCCTGGCTGACGGGCTGGAGAACAGCAGCCTCCTCCTTGGGCTCGATGATGGTGACGGCGTCGGGGAGAGACTTCTGGGGGCCGGCCTTGCCCTCGGGGTCGGAGCCGCGCATGATCTTGACCTTGATACCCAGGACACCCTGTCGGAGCAGGACGTGGCGGGTGGCGCTGTCGATGAAGTCCTTTGCGGGCTGGCCAGAGTGGATCATGAAGCCGTCGGTGAACTTCATGGACTTGGCACGGGCGGCACGGAGCTTGCCGGAGACGACAACCTCGCAGCCCTTGGCGCCGGACTCCATGATGAAGCGCAGGACACCATAGCAGGCACGGCGGACGGCCAGGCCGTTGAGCAGCTTGTAGCGCAGAGACTCGCACTGGGCGACGGCAGAGAGACCGCGGTTCTGGACCTTGGCGGCGTAGAGGGAGACGGAGTTCTCGGGGAACTTGAATCGCTTCTGGATCAGTGAGGTGAGCTCGCGGATGCGGCGGCCCTGCTCGCCGAGGACCTCCTGGGTGTGGGTGGCGCGGACGATGATGTCGGTGACGGTGGGAGTGACGCGGACCTCGACGCCGGAGTAGCCCTCCTCAGCAAGCTCGCGCTGGAAGAACTCGTTGAGCTCGGCGTAGAAGACACCGTCAGCGACGAACTTTCTCCGCTTGGAGCTGGACAAGATTGTTAGTACATGTAGACGTTAAAAAGTGGTGATTATGGTGGTCATGGTGGTGACAGTTCGTTTATCGAGCAGACGGCAATTCGACCCTGGCTCTTCGTTCATATGTCCTTCTTTGTCTGCTCCTCATAGCCAATGCTCTCTGTATGCCTTCCTCCTCTTCCTCTCTCATTCTTTCATCTTCGCAATCCCTCCTCCACGAAGCAAATTGATGCCATCATCACCACCAACGACATAGAAAAAGAGCCAGGGCCGTAACTGCGTGTGTATCGATAATGACGAGGGGCTGTAATCAAAGGACGGCTTTGCACTCACATCTGAGCACCAGGGTGGGACATTTTGAATTATTTTCGAGTCTTGCTGTTGACTAGAAATTCTGTCTTGTTGCAGAGGGGGAGAAAGTTCGCGGGTTTTCCAGAGACGAGGCACTTGGAGGGCTGGGGGGGAGCTTCGCTGGAAAGTGAGTGGCCCTGAGAGCGGTTTGGCGCTTCAATCAATTTTGCCGTTTGTGTGGGTTGAGCCCTAAACCGGGACTTTTTTTTTTATTTTTCTCTAATTTTTTGAGCGAGGAGTACGTACCTGGCACTAGTTCGCGGAATGCTAGCGCGGACTCGTTCCCGCTGTAACGAAGAATCCGGAAAATCAGTTTGGGCGATTTGCCGACGCTGTCCCGCCGTCTGCTTCTTTTCCCCTCTGCCGCTTTTTAGCACTCCACACTGCTGCTCTCCTAGCATCTGATCTGCTATGGTCAAGCCCTGTAGGCCCTTGCTCCAGCGCCATGGCCGCGCCTGACGCTCGCTCGGGCGCCCCCAAGCCAGAGCCCCGCCCCCAGCAACTGCCCCGCCAGCATCGGCCCTGCTGAGCCTGGACCTGTGATGCCGCTTCGAGACCTTCTGACGACGCTCCTCTGCTTATCATCGCCAGTCTCTTTTGCCTTGCATCTCCGGCTCTGGCCACGGTCGACGACTTCCTGGCAATTGCTGTGGCGGTTGCAATGCTCTGCGACGGCGCGGCCTGTTGGTGACTCTCTGCGTTCTGGCGGCATTAAGAAATCAGAGACTCGACGCTCCTCGGCCAAAGCATCGCTTCCTCGCCATCCTTCGATCGATCGTCTTCTTTTTGCCTAGTCACGCAGTCACTGCTGCTCCCAACAAAGCTGAGCTTCTGCACCGCCGTTCGCTGTTTCTGTTGAGTTACTGTGCCACCGCAACTCTTTTCATTTCTCTTTACGACACGATACGCCTTCTTTCTTTATATGATTTATAATTATACAAGCTGTTATATGACGCTTTCGTGACGAGCCCGGCAACCTCCGCTTCAACGTCTACCACAGCTCCTATAGCCTCCAAAGACGGCTGGATTAATCACGATGGAGGCAAAGAAGGTATGTGCTTCTCATGCCGCAGCTCTGCTACTTGCAGCTCTTTGACGAGGCGCGAATCACCTGTCCTGACGTAAGGACCTTTGCAGATTATCGAGCATGTCCAGGGCATCAACGGCGGCCAAACAGCCACCGGCACGCTGACCCTGACCGACTTCCACATGATCTTCAGCGCAGTTATCCCGTCGCCAGCACAGAATGAACAAGAGCCCGCGCAACCGCAAAGGAAGCGGGAGCGATGGATCACGTATCCCATGCTCTCGCACTGCACGTTCCGGCCGACGCCTCCGTCATCCCGTCAGGCCCCGTCGATACGCATCCAATGCCGAGACTTCACTTACATCACCTTCAACTTCACCACTACGGAGATCGCGAGAGAAGCCTACGACCACATCAAGTGCCGCACCTGTAAACTTGGGACCGTTCGGAACCTTTTTGCTTTTAGCCATAAGCCCCCTAAGATGGAGAGAGAGGTCGATGGCTGGAACATCTACGATCCCAAGGCAGAGTTTCGCCGACAAGGCATCAGCGAAAAGCTGCCGGACAAGGGCTGGAGGATCACAAACATCAACCACGACTATAGCTTATGCGATACCTATCCGGCAGTTCTCGTAGTACCATCCAAGATTTCTGATAATGTCCTCAAATATGCCAAGGAGTACCGCTCGAGAAATCGGATCCCGGCTCTCACATATCTCCACCCGGTAAACAACTGCTCCATTACCAGGAGCTCTCAGCCGCTGGCAGGCATCACCCGGAGGACCAATGTTCAAGATGAGAAGCTCGTGGCTGCGTCCTTTTCAGCTCTTACGAATAATGGAAGTGGAAGTTCCGAGGACCCGTCGCCGATGTCGAGCCAGACGGATATGTTCAATAGCACTGTTATGCTGGAGACTCAGCTGTCAGACAAGGAGCGATACGAGGACGAGCTCATTTCCAAGTCCACGGCCATTTACGACGACAAGACAGGCAAGCGGCTCATCTATGGCGCTCAGCAGAACAATCTGATTGTCGATGCCCGCCCCACAATCAATGCCATCTTGAACCAGGCCCAGGGGATGGGCTCGGAACCCATGGACAAGTACAGATTCGCAGAAAAGATTTTCCTGAACATTGACAATATTCATATTATGCGAAGCTCATTGCTCAAGGTGGTCGATGCGCTCAAGGATGCCGACATATCTCCTCTACCCCCCAATCGCGATCTGCTGCAGAATAGCAACTGGCTAAAACATATTCACGACATTCTTGATGGAACCGCTATCATCGCTCGTCAAGTAGGCATCAAGCATTCGCACGTCTTGATCCACTGCTCGGATGGCTGGGATCGTACCAGTCAGCTCAGCGCCCTCGCCCAGATCATGCTGGATCCTTACTACCGCACCATTGATGGGTTCATTGTCCTCATTGAAAAGGACTGGTTGTCGTTTGGATACATGTTTAGGCTGCGTTCCGGCCACCTCAATTCCGAGGACTGGTTCACCATCCAGAAAGACGCATTCGCGGGATTAAAGGTCCAGCCCGGGGAGAATGACGGCCGCAGCGATGCCTTTCAAAATGTCATCAGCGGTGCGAAGCGTCTTTTCAGCTCCAACAAAGATGACGCCGACTTGGCCACCATGGGCGAAACCGCCAGCGGCCAAGTAGTCGACGAAGAAGCCACTGTGCAGAAGATGATCAGTCCAGTCTTCCACCAGTTCCTCGACTGCATGTACCAGCTGCTGCGGCAGAACCCGACGCGCTTTGAGTTCAATGAACGTTTCCTCCGCCGTCTGCTCTATCATTTGCACTCTTGCCAATACGGAACGTTTTTGTACAACTCGGAGAAACAGAGGAAAACTGCAGAGGTGGCGCAGAAGACGGCATCCGTGTGGGACTACTTCCTGTGTCGAAGGCCCGAATTCACGAATCCTGATTACGACCCTACCGTTGATGATCATGTCAAGGGCAAGGAGCGTATCATCTTGCCAAGGCTCAAAGAAATTCGCTGGTGGCATCAGCTTTTCGGCCGGACAGAGGACGAGATGAACGGTGCACTCAACGCTGCCGCCATTGCTGAGAGCGACAGAGAGGCTGCTACCTCAACTTTGAGCTACCCTAGCGTTGTCCAAGCAACAGAGGTTCCAGAGGACCCGGCATCGCGCCCGGCATCGCGATCGGCGTCGTCGGCTCCGAGCCCACAGCCCCCGAGTCTTTCGGCCAGCCAGTCGGTCATTTCACCAACAGAGACTGCGCATGGCATCCTGACTCCTGAAGACAGGCAAGCCGCTCTGCAACACAGCGTGTCTGCGGACGGGATGGGTGCATTCGCCGCTCTTCGCGATGGCATCGCTGGTTTGAACATTAGCAAAGCTGTCATGTCCAATTTCGGACGTGCCGCCGAGCCTGTTCCCGAGCACTCGGCTGCGGCATCCATTTCTCGCGAACAAGAGATGCGAGAGATGACTTAGGACGTCGTGTTTTCGGACCAAGACCCGGCACCTTATGAGATTAAGGTGAAAGCAAACACCGTATATCACCACTATAAACGGCCGCGTACAATCTCAGAACTGACGATTGAGGATCTCGGACGGCCGAGCTTAGATGAGCTAGTTGTCATTCCAAAATTGGACGAGAAAATTGTCACTCCGCCTGATTGCCTTGGTATTAAAGCAGCAATATTGTAGTTTTGCTTTTTTTTTCTCCATTCTTCTTTATATCTTTTTTTTTTCCAATGGGGAGAACAAAGCTGCAACTGGGGGGGCTAAGAAGACTGCAGCGTGAAATAAGCGTTTATCATGGCTACAACGGGTTGACAGGAGTTTTTCATGCGCGATAGAAACTTGGCATACATCTCCTCCCTTTTACGAACATTCAGCTGAAAGGGGCACATGATGGGGCATAATGAATGTCGATGGAAGGACATGGCAGGATGACATTTACTACCAAAAGCGACGTAATCAGATCAGGATATACAAGTTTTCTTACGGATGGCGTGCAGCAGCTGTGTTACTGCATATGAGTACAAAAACCCAGATATATGCGGTATGGACGATAGGCTGGAGTAGAATGTAGAGAGCAGTCTCAGCGATTCTATGGGAAGCGTTTTGTCTCTTTCTCTTTGACTTTTATGACTGCTCCAAGTTTGCAAAGCGTATGATTTGAACAAATTCCAACCCAAGTTTAATAGTTCGACTTTTGAAGCATGTTCACTTTATGTTGTTGTTTGATAGACATTGGAACAATGCTAGTTTTGGACTGTTTTTATTTTGCTATATTGCAGCTAAGATCATCTGAGTGTGATCGGAAGAGATACACACATTCAACTAATAAACAGTGCTTGAAATGTCTAGTGCTTTTTCTTCTTTTAAACAAGTCAAAATCTACTTTATCCCTTGCGTTTCTTTTTACATTTTATCAAAAATCTCGGGCTATCCTTTTTCTCTTCAATGTAGATTATAAGAAGACTTCTAGGTTAATCTCCAATGTACTGACGGGGAATCTGGAAAATATATACGTTAGCGTCACGATTCCTCGTTTATAGCGTAAAGAGGGACAGAGAGAGAGAGAGGAATACCTTAGATCAAACTTTTCTAGCACAGAGGGATGCAGAATGCCAAACTCGCCGATGCGCTGCTCCTTGCCTCCAAGACGGAGATACACCGCCGCGGCGTGGCCGTGGAAAAAGGTGTCCTCGTTGAGCTCCTCGATCCAGTAGCCATCGGGCTTGACGGCAGCGTCCTTGCCTTCGGCGATAAAGTTGGTGCGGAGCATGAGCAGCAAGCGGTCCAGCAGGCCGTGGACGACCTCGAAGCCGCTCGACTTTCCGCACCAGGCGGCGGCAAAGTGGCGCTCGTTGCGGGCTCTCCGCTCCAACTTCTCGTCTTTGAAGACGACGTCAGCGGCCTCGAAGATTTTGATGGGCAGGCTGTGGCCCTTGTTCTCGCGGATAGTCTTGATCAGGCCGGGCAGCAGGGAGGTGCGGACGACCTGGTACTCCAGCGTCTTGGGGTTGGCGAGCCGCACGACGGTGGTGCCATCGTCCTTGCGGTTGAGCCAGGCAAAGTTCTCGTCGTGGCTGCAGAGGGTCAGGGGCATGACCTCGCTCCATCCGGCCATGGCGGCCTCGATGCGCACAATGTCGCTGAGCTTGTTGATGGGCAGAGGGGCGGCGACGGTGGCACCACGGTTGGGAGAGCTGCGAGGCAGCCTGTTGAAGCCGTAGCAGACGGCGACGTCCTCCATAATGTCGGCCTGGTGCAGGACATCGGCACGGGTAGGGGGGATGGCGACCTCCAGCAGGTTGGGGTCTTTGTCCGACGGCCGGGCGACGTAGGCCATCTTAGACAGCAGCTTGCAGAGGCTCTCGCGAGACTCGTTGAGGCCGGTGCAGCTGTTGAGGTAGTCGACCTCGGCGTGGGTGACGCGAGGACGGAGATGGGGGGTGACGCGAGTCTGGTTGTTGTGGTCCGAGATGATCTTGACGGGCTCGACAGTGAAGGGCTCAGCGCAGTACTCGGAGAACATGGTGACCATCATGTCGGTGACAATGTCCAGCTTGGTGATGTCGGTGGCGGTGATCTCAATGAAGACGTTTGTGGTGTTGAGGGTGATTTTGGAGTGGTCGCCGTTGATGATGGGGGGCAGCGAGCAGATGACGCGGTTGGAGTCGAGAATGAGGGGGTATACGGGGGCATCCTTGATGATGTGTAGGTAGCGTCCGAGATGTCGGTCGTTTTCGTAAAAGGTCATGAGGGACTCGCCGGTGAGCTCCTGGGTCTGGTTCAGGGGGACGAACTTGAAGTCCCGCGGAGGCAGGGCCTCGTATGTGAAGGGGCCCTTGATGGTGTCCAGATCGTGGGTTCCGATGGACACCAGTGTTCGCTGACGGGCCAGGTTCTGGTGCAGCTTGTCCTGCAGCGCAATGAAGGACTCGTAGCGGTCCTTGGTGAACTTGATGTTGCGGAGGATGGCGCCAGACACGTAGGGTCGGACCTTTGAGCACTCGGGAGAGACGGTAATGGTCTGGAGGATGCCGTCCTTTGGCTCTACGACTCTGAAGTTGGGGGGCGTGGTGCGGCCCATGAAGATGTTGAGGTTGAGGGCAATGCCCTCGAAGCAGAGCATGTCATATCGGTTCGCGGGGATCTCGATCTTGAGCTGGGGGGGCTCCTGGACGCCGTCGACGATAGGACGCTCCTCGTCCTCGGTGTCCTCGTCGAGCTCGATGCCGAATTCGAAGCAGAGATCCTCAAACTCTGGCTTGGTGAATCTAGAGGGGTGGTGAGACTGTTAGTTGGGCCGCCGTATAGAGATTGGTCATGGTGTTGAATATGTATGTGGATTAAATATCATATGAAGCCAACAAAAGAATTATGGATGGAGTCGTTGACAGAGCAACTTACTTTCGGCCAAGGGCCTCGAAGAGCTTATACTTGTCGACGGAGATGGTCGGCATGGTGGCGAAGGGATTCGATGCTGATTGATGTGCCAGGCAAAGACCGAGATCGTGGGTTGTCGCTCTCTCTGTTTGAGTCACAGGAATTTTTGGGAATGGCGGGGTGATAGCAGCGTTGATAGTGGGATGATGCAGAGGGACTTGGCCATGCTGCGGGAACTGCTAGGGGCGGCCAGGTACCTCACTAACGGGCGAGATTGGGCAGCCGGGTCCTGATATCGGCGGGGTGAGATGCGGTTGCCCGGAACATCGATGCTCCTTGCTCCTCTGCTGATATCATTCAGTGCGGCTCTGCCTGTATTTTGCCCCTAGCAGGCCGTTGTAAGGCTTCGGCGCCCGATTCTGCAAGCACCTGAGGCTCAGTGTTTGCAGGTCTAGATATTTCCCAATTACACGATGAACTATTCATGTTTGTATAATGTGTAAGGGAATTGCTAGGCTGTGCAGCAGAGAGGCAACAGAGGTGGACGAGGGGCAGATATAAAGATTGAACGCAGTAGCAGTTTGTGATAAGCTTGCTGTCATTGTACAGCAGCCGTAGCAACAGTTCTGTAGCATGCTCGAGTGCAAACCCGTATTGTTGCTAGGTGTGACGCATCCTGGCCTTTGTCTGTCAATATGTCTTCATTTCAGCTTTATGCCTTCTGCTGTTACAGGCGTTTCTCATCCAGTGTTCTCCGCTTCGTTTCAACGTCTTCTGGGCACCTGCATGCACCTAAAACTGGAAACGAACATCTGCTGAGAGATATCGACCTGTATTGATCTCATTGGACCTTGGTGCGTACGCCTGCCAAGTACCAGTACAAGCGTGCGCGCACCGCAAAGGGGCAAATTGCACAGCGACGAAATGCCTACAGGGGACAAGCGGGGGCTCGCAATACTTCGTTGGCGGGGCAGCTGCCGTTAGAGTACTAGCAGTGACACCACCATAGCTGCTAACACTGCATAGAGGCCATAGGCGCTGTCGCCCTGCCAAAGCATGTACCTCTGCCTAGCGCCTCTTCCCCCCAGCGGCAGCAGCTCTGCTGTGCTCCAGGCCTTCCTTCAGCGCCGCCAGGTACCCCCTACATGCTCAACTCCTGCTGGCAACTGACACCACACCTTTTAGCTGGGCTCCAACACAGCTGGTTTCTCTCTTCGCATCTTCACCCCTCCTCGCCAATTCCAAGCTTCGCTCTGCACCGCTGCATCTGCGAAGCCTCGCTCTGCCGTCTGGAATCGCCTCAGCCTCGCCTCGTGCCGCTGCTTCTCGTGCTCGCAGGATCCGCCTCTCTAGCGGCAAAGGCGCCCTGTCGCTGCTCAATTCCGCGCAAGATCCATTGCATCACCTCCAATCTCGACCTTGAATCCACCTCGGCCTGAGCCTCAGCCGCAGCCTTCCAGCCAACGCCCACCGCGCCATCGGCCTCGCCTCGTCTGCTTCGCTCGATCGCCGCTTGTCTCCCTCTTCTCTTATCGATATCCGGCCTTGTACAGCATCTGCGGTGCTCCGACGACTCGTTGTGCCCGCTTCAACGCGCCCTTCTCCTTTTCCCCCGCCGCTCGTCTCTGCTTCTCCCTCGTGACACGCCATGGCCGAAGCGACAAACGCCAGCGACGAGCTCTACCCCATCGCCGTGCTCATCGATGAGCTCAAGGTACCTTGTGCCCGACCTCTATTTTCCTTTCCTGCCCTCTGTCCATGTTTTTCTGGCGGCGTGATGCTGATTCCGGGCTCTTTTCCTGCTAGCACGACGATGTCTTGCTCCGACTCAACGCGATCCACCGGCTCTCTACAATTGCTCTTGCCCTCGGCGCCGAGCGGACAAGAGATGAGCTGATTCCCTTTCTCGACGGTCAGTAGCAGTCCGACTCTGCCATAGCCATTTCTGCCACTCTTCGTATTTCCCTTCCCTTTTCGCTCTCGCTAGCTATACGCCGATATAGGCCTTACCTGACATTTTCATCACAGAGTCTGTCGAGGATGAGGACGAAGTCTTGGTTGCTCTGAGCGAGGAGCTTGGCAACTTCATCGAATACGTTGGAGGCCCTTCGTGGGGCCACGTCCTGCTCTCCCCTCTCGAGAACCTCGCCGCCATAGAGGAGCCCGTCGTTCGAGACAAGGTAAGCTTTAAAAGGACAAATGATATGCATACTGACGCTAGTTGGAGCACCTTTTGCTGATGGCGCTTGTCTGAACAATCTAGGCCGTCGAGTCTCTCAACAAGATCTGCGAGGAGCTCTCGCCCCAACAAGTCGAAGAGTTCTTCATTCCCCTCACAATTAGACTCGCCAAGGCGGATTGGTTCACATCCAAGGTTTCCGGATGTGGCCTCTTCACAGCTCCGTACAAGAAAGTCTCTCCTCCCGTCCAGGAGCAGCTCCGTCAACAGTTTGGCCTGCTCGTCCACGACGAGACCCCCATGGTCCGACGTCAAGCCGCGTCCAACCTCGCCAAGTTTGTCAAGGAGATGCCGGCTGCCATTGTTATCGACGAAATGATTCCCCTCTTCCAGCACCTCGTTCAGGACGACCAGGACAGTGTTCGATTACTCACTGTAGAGATTCTCATTGCCATCGCCGAGGGCGTCCCCAAGGAGCAGCAGGCCGGCCACGGAGTCTTGTTGACTTCTCTGCGAAATCTGATAGAGGATAAGAGCTGGAGAGTCAGGTACATGATTGCCGATAGATTTGAAAAGGTCAGCGGTGCTCCCTTGGATCAGAATCCTAGTAACGTCTGCCCCTTTACTAACTTTTCATCCTTCTTAGATCGCCAAGGCAGTCGACGAGGAAGTTCTCAACAGAGACCTGGTGCCTGCATTCGTCAAGCTTCTTAAGGACAATGAGGCGGAGGTGCGGACAGCCATTGCTGGCCAAATTCCCGGATTTTGCAGCCTCATAGACCAGCAGACTCTTCTCAACGACATCATGGGAAGCGTCGAGGACCTTGTCTCGGACACGTCGCAGCACGTGCGCGCTGCATTGGGAACTCAAATCAGTGGCCTGGCCCCGATATTGGGCAAGCAGGAGTATGTGATAATCACTGCGATGAGTGGTAAAATGATGAGCTAATCAAGCGCGATAGGACAATCGACCATCTTCTGCCCATGTTCCTCCAGATGCTCAAGGATGAGTTCCCCGAAGTCAGACTTCACATCATCTCAAAGCTTGAGCTAGTTAACCAAGGTACGAAACTTGAACACGCGTCATGAAATTTGGAAGCATATAAGCTAACAATTAAATAAAAGTCATCGGCATTGAGCCTCTGTCTGTCTCACTGCTGCCAGCCATTGTCAACCTGGCAGAGGACAAGCAGTGGCGCGTGCGTCTCGCCATCATCGAGTACATTCCCCTGCTGGCCAGTCAGCTCGGCGTCAAGTTCTTTGACGAAAAGCTCAGCAACCTGTGCATGGGATGGCTTGGCGACACAGTCTTTTCCATCCGTGAGGCTGCTACGCACAACCTGAAGAAATTGACTGAAGTATTTGGCGTGGAGTGGGCAAGCGAGGCCATCATCCCCAAGGTCATGACCATGGGCAACCACCCGAACTACCTGTACCGAATGACTACCTGCTTTGCCATTTCGGTAAGTTTGACTTGGCATGTTTAATATTGTCTCCCAAAGTGGCTAACCGTGATGTTTCCATGCAGACTCTGGCCTCTGTTGTCAGCATAGATGTCATTTCCAAGTCAATCCTGCCCATGCTGGACAAGATGACTGACGACGACATCCCCAACATCCGATTCAACGTGGCCAAGACCTACTCGGTGCTCATCAACGCCCTGCAGCGTCTGCCCGAGCAGGGCACCCTTTACACAATTGAGAAGCAGGAGACGCCGGCTGAGCAGGCCACGCCCTCGCCCCGGGGCCAAGAGTTGATTCAGCAGCGTATCATCCCGAACCTGACCAAGCTGCAGAAGGATGACGATGTAGATGTCCGGTACTATGCGACGCAGGCGGTAGCTGAGGCAAATGGCACCGGAGCCTCAGGAGGCGGAGAGCCAATGAATACTTCACCATAGATGAGAGAGAAGCCGTAATGAAGCAATGATTTTGTCCGTTACTCTATGCTGCCGCACATTCGACTGTCTTATTGTTGATAATTACCCCTTCTTGTCTTACAACTTTGGACAACTTTTGGCGTGCGAGAGTAGAAGTCGTCCTTTTGACCATCAAACAGGAGAAGAAGAAGAAAAAGCAAGGATTCAGTGAAGAAGAAAAAAAGCGTCAAAATCGAATAAAGACGAGTGAATATTACCAGGGACTTGGAGAAAGCTAAGGATAGGAGAGGAGACAAAAAACGATGGACTGGTGGGTAATGAGTGAGTGATTGGATGGATGGATGGATGGATGGATGAGGTATAGAGGGGGAAGCATCATGTAGATTGGAGGAACTAGCCTCAGATGTATAATGTAGGGTAGGAAGCAACACGCACTGTTTTACATTTTCATGGGGACTCGCCCGGGCTGCTAGTGGTGTGATTGCTGTTTGTTACTTGCTTTGATGCTGAAAACATGTTGTTAGGGTTTGTATCCCATCTAAGGGGTCGATTTGAATTCATAACAGATGCCATATATACAGAGATTCTATTTTCTATTTTCCCTGATGTATGAACTCTGTCTCTCACAGACGCTCTCTCCACATCTCATTCTCCATGGTATCAAAAAACTCCGACTCAATCCCAGATCCTCCCGCTTTAAGACCCGCCATTCCTCTCACTTCCTCCTAAAGCACAACGTACTAATCGTTTGCCCCTTGACCCCCCCAAACGTAAACGTCGGATAATCCACCCTGCCCACAACACTCAACTCCCCATCCGCATCATCAACAAACCACGCCCGCAGCTCGGGCTCGGTCCAGTTGCAGCTCGTGATGAGGAAGATGCCGCCGTGGCTGAGCAGCTGGAGCAGGCGGCGGCGGTAGATTTCGCAAGGGTGCTGCTGCTGTTCTGATGATGTTGTGGAGAGGCTGATGGCGTCAAAGGTGCCTTTGTCGAGGATGATGTCGAAGAGGCGTGAGGGGGAGGGGGTGTGGGATAGGGGAGAGGAGGCGTTTTCTGAGGGAGACGCGGTGAGGGTTAGAGGGCCGTTGAGGAGGTCCCATTCGAGGAAGTTGACTGGTGGTAATGACTCTTCTTCTTCTTCTTCTCTCCTGCTCTCGGCGATATTCTTTGCCAGAGCAACGCTCTGCGCGCTGTAATCTACTCCTAGCATGGCGCCCTCCCAGCCCTCGTCCCTCAGGGCAAACAGCAGCGAGCCATTCCCACAACCGAGATCCAAGAAAGACGCTTCTTGCTGCGATAGACTCTCAGGCAAAACGTCTTGATCGTCTTCGGCGAGGGATTCGAGAAAGGCGACGATGCGGGCCTCTGCGTCGGAGTCGTCGAACCAATTTGTGCCTGTGTCGGAGGGGTTGGCGGCGTGGTTTGTGAGTTCGGTTGTGTAGAGGGAGTCCCAGCTGATTTAGTTGTCAGTTACACGTCTTAGACATATTTTTGCTGGTAATGTTTTCTGCTTACTATTCTTTCGTGCCGAGTTTAGAAGGAGGCAGATACGCCGGTTTATTTGATGATGTCATGTTATATATCTGTGTATATATGGCAGTATAATAAAAAAGAGATTCGGCTGGAATTGCAATGTAGCTGTAAAGAAGTTGAAATTGGGGGTGTAATTGATGATTGATATCAAAAGCTATGATATGGGATGGAGGGGCAGCGAAATTATTCAATTGCTGCCGATGCGGTCGCTGAAAAGGGAAGGCGGTGAGATTGCAAGCATGAGGGGCATTGAAGATGGAAATTGTCTTGTCGAAGAAAATTGGCATTCTATATAGGTAATTTAATTACTACTAGTATTAAGCTGCATTTACATGCAAAAGCCTTGAAAAGTATTACACCAGGATAGTCTTTTTCATTATTTATAAGAGAAGTATCTCTCTCTATGAAGTAATAAATCCACAAGTGCCAAAAAAAGAAAAAAAGAAAAAAAAAAAAAGTAGAGGTCAATGAAAAGATTACACAAACGCCTCCCATGCATGCCCAAGAGCAGAAACAGCCTGCCATCCTGTTCCTCTCCGTCTTTACACACAAGACCATAAACTATAATGAATAGTTTTGTAAGAAACAAAGTGACCTCAATAAGCTGGGTTGTTTTCCACTCCCTTTCCATCAACACCATGCCTGTGTGTGTGTGTATCATCCAAGCAAGTCAAGTCATAAAAAAGGCCCAGTCCCAAAAAAGCAGTTGAAGCAACCATCAACAGAAACAAAAGAAAGAAAGCATCATGGTAGTATATGTATGTATTGAAACAAAAACAAAACAGAAAGCCTCTTGTCGCTCAGTAGAAGCTCTCCACCATGGTGTCCTTCAATGAGGTGTTGATGTTGCTGGGGCCCTGGCCCTCGCCGAGTCGGAAGACGCTCTCGATGACGCTGAGCTCTGTGGAGGTGGTGTCGAGGCCCGTGACGGCCATCCAGTCGTTGACGACCATGCCGGCGCCGACGACGTTGCTGCCCCGGTTGACGGAGCCGGCGACGAGGGGCACCTGCAGCAGGCTGGACAGCTCGTCCTGGTCCTGGATGCTGGTCTTGGGGTGCACGAGGCCGCCCTGGTTGGACAGGCTCATGTAGCTGCCGACCAGCACGTTGTCGGCCACGGTCTGGCGGAAGACCTCGACGCCCAGCACGTCGGCGATGATCTCCTCCGTCTCGCGCTCGAGGTCCGGGTGCACCAGGGCGATGTGGTCGTTGGTCGCAATGACGTTTCCGAGGGCCGACAGGCGCTCCTCGATGCGCTGGATGCGCACCGAGTCGGGCAGCGAGTTGCGCAGGTGCTGCAGCTCCTGGTCCGAGGTGGTCGTGGGCACCAGCAGGCCCTTGCGGTTGCCGGCGGTGAGGCGGCCGATGATGCGCGTGCCAGCAATGGTGGTGCGCACGATGGGGATGACGTCCTGCAGCTCGGCCTCGAAGACACTGCGCGGGTGGTGATGTTAGATTTTTGGTGTTTTGGTGGTTCATGCAGAAGTGCTTCTTTACCTGTAAAAGTTCTCGCTGGCGCCGAGGGCCACCAGGGCGTATGAGTTAGTCAACGTCGCGAAGACGCCAACGCTGCAGAAGAATGCCAGGTTAGTCAAGATATTCAACCCTCTCATAATTTTGTCTTGTGAAAAGCAGCATCGCAGAGAGCATCCGAGAGACATATTCAATCTTCAATGCCTCTGCTCTACCCCTCCCCCACCAAAGCCGCAATGCAGCATCGCAGGACTAAGAAAAATTCAGACAAGAAACATACTCGTTAGAGTTTTCAAACTGCGCGCGAACAGCCATGATGCTAGTATTTCCAACAGTCGTTTCCTGTATAGCCGTAATGGTGAAGAAAAAGAGGGTGAAAAAGAGGTTTGTCGCTTGGTAGATGCAAAGAGCAAAAAAGGCAGCTGATGCAAAGATAGCTTAGCAGGTAACTAATTTTTTTTTCTGCCGGAATGAGGGAAGCGGTGGGGAGAGACGGTGGTTTATCAGCACCTCTTTAAGTACCTACCTGCTTAGTAGATCAGATCAGGTTGCTTCCAGCGATGACTCTCAGCGGAGCACCCGCTAAAGCCGCTGCTAGGAATCAGCCTCTCCAGATCCGCCTGCTAGTCCCCAGCCTCAATCTCATTTTGATCTCAGAGCGGCCTTCCATCTCGTCACACTAGAGCAAAATGAAGAATTGATAAATGAAGAAAAAAAAAAAAAAAGAAAAAAAATTTAATTAACAAAGAGTCACAGCTAATCTCCTCAAAAAGAAACAAATCCGTCTCCCATATCCAGTTTAGCTGTTCAAAATGCGCCTCCCCCCCCAAAAGCAAGGATGCCAAATCACGCCCTCGATTTTATGACTCAGTGACCAGGGTCTGCTGCTGTGGCTGTTTAGCTGCAAGGAAAGATACATATGCTTCTCCGCTAATTTACGTGCAGCACGCTTGTACCCCGTGTGACTCAGTCCCACGAAACCTCAAGAGCAACCAAGTGCTGGAATCGTGCATTGCCACTGACGCAGGGTCCTGCGATGACTCTTTTCTTAAAAATCTTTAACAAACATTCAATTTCAATCGAAAAGGGGGAATAAGATATGCAAGATTAGAAAGTTGACAGAGAAAAGGCCTTTCCACGTAAGGCTGACAAGCTTGGCAGCATTAAGCTGTGCAACTATCACCATAAGTAGTACTACTAGTCACCAATAACCAAAGAGCAAAGAGCAGTCACACATAGCAATCATGTCTCTCATTCTACTCTAATAGCCTCTCAGGACCGTCCGTCTAACTTTATGCTTTTTTTCCCTTCATCATCCTCAGACGGCCGCCAAGTAAGTCTACAAAAAAGACAAGCCTCCCTATCCTCCCGTCGTCATCTCTCATCCAATGAAAGGGAAAAATGCTCCCAGTCACCGTTTCACATAACTTCCATGAGATAGAGTAAAATAAAGAGAAGAAGAAAATATGTGCTCCTCATAACCATCGACAATGCCAGCAAGAGAGCAGCATATGAATTATAGAAGAGAAAAAAAGAAAAGGGGAAGGGGATCAAAATATGATGGGATATCCATTCGATGCCTGCCTCGGTATGGAAAAGGAAAGAAACGAGAAAAAAGGAAAAATGATTCAATCACAAGTATCCTCCGCTACATCGCCCATACTGGTGCCTTCACCAAGACTTGCCGGCCTCTTACTTCGAGAGCCACAAATCCTGCAAACCGCACCCGACTTGCATCTTTGGCGAAGCCTAGTTGTAGATTATCTTGTCAGTTAAAATGTCCCAAAATTGGTGTGATGGCCCCGATACGGGGGAGTAGAAAATGTAACCTACCAGCTTTGCTCGAGTCTCCACTGCTGCTACTCTTGTCCTTGTCCGCGTCGCTATCTGGCTTGCTAGACTCTCCCTCCTTCTGGCCGTCCAGGGGGGGCAACGGCGTCTTTTCAACGTCCATCACGCCGGCCTGCAGCACGTCGCCCGGCAGCGGATACTGGATGGTGACGTCGCGGCTCTCTCGGGGCATGTTGGCCGCAATGCCGACAGCGAGCTCCATAATCATCGAGGTACTGCCGTCAACCCCGGCCGGTGGCGGCTCGATCAGGAACTGATACAGGTGAGCGGTCAGATTCGTCTGCGTCTTAGTAATTAATGATGCTCGGTTGTCGGCCGCCGCTGAGGAGCTCAGCTTCTGCTGCAGGCCGTCCAGCGTCGCCATTCGCCAGTTGACTACCTTGGTGGTCAAGGCATCAAACTCTTCCTGGCTGTGCATGGTGTACGCATTGCCCCGGATGTTGAGTTCAATTTCCTTGAGCTGGGCGCTAAGGGCCGCGTCTAGGTCTGGGTGGAAGCACTTGTTGAAGACTTCGTCCACAATCCACTTGGTAATGACGGCTCTGCCAACTGCCGTCATCTCCTGCTTTCCTGTCTTGAGGGCGTCGGGGCTGACATAATTCTCCAGCCACTGCGGCAGGCGTCGCCAGTCCTTGCGGATGTTGAATGCTAGATTGTTGATGGCGCCATTCAGTCGGTTGAATCGGTTGACATACTCGTTGTCGTCCAACGCGGTGCGCGACTGCGACATGCGTTGATTGGCGACGGCATTCTGCAGATGCTCAACTTGGCCGTTGAGCTGTTCGATCTGAGACTTGCCATCAAAATAAAGGCGCTTGACGTTTTTGTACTTTGTGACTGTTTGTATTTCAAGGTTACTTGTGGTTAGCCAGCATGAACAAGACACATACAGCGTGTGAGGCGACAGGGGCAGATACAGGGGCGGAAGACTTACGCAGTTCCTTAAAGGCTTTATCAGATTCGGTACTGTCACGCTCGTGGGTAGAAGGCTGAGGGCTATTCCGGCCTTGGTCGCCAGTCGCTGCTTCGTATCGCGGAGGAGCACCGGCAGCAGCAGCGCCAGCGCCGGCTGCAGCACCAGAGGCAGCGGCTGCGCCGCCGGTTGAGCTGGCAGGCTGTTGGCCGGGCTGAAGAGATGCGCCGGGCGCGTTCAGGTTGTTTGAGTTTGTGTGCGTGTGACGATATCCCGGCGGCGCTCCAGGCAGGGCCTTTTCAGCATCGGCCGGCCGGCGATTCGTCGGTACGCCTCCTCCTCCAGGCGGTGCCATGGCGGGCTGCGAGATTTGCTGTTGGTTTGCGGGCTGTGAGGGCGGCAGGGCAACGTTGGAGGCTTGGTCGTGAGCCTGCGGCACTGAGTAGTGGATCGCAGGAGACGGCTGCTGGTTCAACGATCGCTGGTCAGAGTCGGGGGCTGGAGACTCGCGCGACAGCTGGGATACGGTTTCCGGGTTCTGCTGCTGTTGCGGTCCCGTGACTAGATGCGTGGTGACGATGCGCGGATCGGTGGTTTGTTGATACTGATCTTGCGGTGAGTTTGTGTTGCTGTAATACTGCTGGGACGTTGAAGGTGGGGGCGGCAGCTGCTGATCGTAAGCGGCCTGCTGTTGTTGCTGTTGCTGAGGATCGTATCGAAGCTGCTGCTGCTGCTGCTGTTGCTGAAGCTGCTGTTGGTGATGCTGCAGCTGCAGGGATTCCTGTGATGAGAGCACGTGAGGTTGAGGTTGAGGCTGCAGCTGAGATGGCGAGTTCTGATGCTGGGAAATGCTCGGTGAGGGGTGGTGAAGTGCAGAAGGAGGGGGCGCGTGGTAGACGGCGTCGTCGTAGGGCGATGCGATGTCGTCTGGGGCGCCAATTCCGCGTGCTGTGTTGATGGGGGGCACCGAGTGTCGTGGGTCGATTCGCAGATCGGGTTGTTGCTGATGCTGCTGCTGCAGGTCGTGATACTGGTCTGCAGCGTAGTACTCTTCAGCCTCGCCCACTCCTTGCAGCGGCGACGTCTGGTGCACGGACGAGCTGGGCGTGTGCGAGTGCCAATCGCGGTCTGACACGGCAAGGCCAGTCTTGAGGTTTGGCGGCGGCTGCTGCTGCTGCTGCTGGCTAAGCGTGCTGACTCTCTTGGACGGCCTGCGGGCGAGTCCGACGGTGTTATCGTAAGACGCTGACGATGAGGGGTTCTGCTGATCACGGTGGCTGTCGTGGCCACGGCCGGAGAAGAGGCCCTTGATGATCTTTTGGGCGGAGCGCTTCTTGGACGTGGCAGAGGCCTGGCCAGCAGCCTGAGGTTGCTGTTGCTGTTGTTGCTGGTTCTGGTGATAGCCGGGCTGGTCGTGCAGCGACGTCTGCGAGATGTTTAGCAGATTGTGGAGGCTGTAGCGCTGGCTCTGACGGGCCCCGGCGGTGGAGGTGGAGGAAGAAGCGGAGTCGAAGTCGCCGGGCTGCTGAAACTGCTGCTGAGGTTGATGGCCTTGCTGTTGTTGTTGTTGCTGCTGTAGTTGTTGTTGCGATAACTGCTGCTGTTGAGGAGGTTGCTTCTGCAGCTTGTTTTGTTGAGGCGGCGGTGGTGGAAGCGTCTGCTGCAGCTGTTGTTGTTGTTGTTGATGTTGTTGTAGCTGTTGCTGTTGAGGCGGTAGGGGACCCCCCTGCTGGAGCTGCTGGAAGTGCTGGTGCTGGTGCTGCTGTAACTGGTGCTGCTGGAGCTGGCGCTCGTCATAAGCGGGCACTGCCACGGCGGGGTTCTGGCTCTGAAACAGCTGGGCGTGAGACGGCGGCGGTCCTCCAGATGACAGCCTGGGCTGCTGCTGCTGCTGATTATGCTGCTGCTGGAATTGAAGCTGCTGTTGCTGCTGATTGAGCTGTTGGTTATGCTGCTGCTGAAGCACAAACGACTCGCTGGAGCTCAGCGCGGAGGAAGAGCCCGTGGGCAAGGCTGACTGCGCGCGCAAATCTGCCTCAGCGTTCGTCGTCGTCGTCGTCGCACCTGGACCCGGGCCGCTGCCAGCTGGACTTGGACTTGCACCTCCAACCGCCGCTGGGCCTGGCGCTGCTCTTGTACTCGCCGTCGTGCTGCTGAGGCCCGACCCGGCGCCGACCTGCTGCTGCTGCTGCTGTGGCGCCTCGGCCGCAATCGCGTGCTGCGACCGGTTGCTGTGCTTGCCCAGGCGACCGAAGCTGGGCATCCTCGAACCACGAGAAGGTTTTGGCTGGGGGAGGTTTATTTTTGGCGATGAGCTGGCCCGGCACGTCTACCTACTAGGTAAGGTAGTCTGAAAGGGGTGGTGTGGGCTGTGGACGTGGACGGACTGGCTCTCAGTCAACGCCAACAACTCCAACTATACTATACCAGAAACCTTCTGCAGGTGACAATGAAACTCAATGTACCTGCTAGCACCCGGCAAAGCTAACAAGGCTCTGGTCTGAACTGAGTCCTTTTTTTCCCGCTGATGGATGCACCTAGTTTCCCGGTTTTTTGCACTTACTTGTGCTGCTGCAATGCTATGTCTTTCCCGCGGGCCAGATCCCGAGGCTTAGACAAACGCAGTGCGAGCCGCTGCGGGGAGTGAGGCTGTGTTGGAAAAAAAAAACTGGACAAGTCCACGGGTAGATGCAATGCAGTAGTGTTGCGGTGCGTCTCGGGAAGCGCAAGGCTGTGTTGAGCAGAAACGGTGAGACGACAAAAACAGCAAAGCCCACACGAGAAACCGTGGCTTCTCCTCCTTTTCTTGCTGATCAAAGGTGACAATACGACGTCTTGTTTTGTTTTCTTTTTTCTCGTGGCCAATGCCCGAGTTGCAGCGAGACAAAAGTAGACGCCAGATATGCAGCCCTCCCCGCGGGATTGTGCACGGCGTGCGCTGCGTGATTGGACGCCAGAAAGAGCTCGACAATGGGGTTACCAGAAAGCGATTAGTACTGTAAGAGGAAGAGAAGAGAGAAACGCGAGGGAGAGCAAAAGCGGTCTCTTGAGGAGCTCAGCTTGGCCTGCACTGGCTTTAACAGGCTGTAATCCTCGCTGCTATCCAGAAGCCCTTGGCCAAGAGGCTCTTCACAGGGCTGAAACCGGTGTGTCTAGGCTGGTCTTGTCCATAACTTTCTACCTGCCGCCCAATGGCAAAAGACAGAAAAGCCCTCGTACTGGGCTGTCAACGCCCACGCAGGCATCCGAAGCTGCCAGTGAACGAGCTGCGAATCGAATCCACACGAGAGCCGCAAGCACCTGGACTTCGGGCGAGGCTTGCCCAGGTGGGACAAGCTCGACTGGTGGGATTGAGATGGATGCGCCAAGGGCCCTCTGCGGTGGATCTGCGAGTTATTATTAGAATGCGGCATGCCCTGTGGTTCTGGTGATTGGACACACATCAGCTGCTGCTGTAGATGTACATATATCCTGTTTTTTGTTGTATTTCTTCCCTTCTTTCAGCTGCACATGGAAGAGCGGATGGATCAATTCATCAACTAGCAATTGTTCAGCTTGTCTCGTCTGATTAAACCTCCGCTTACTTGCACCCATTTACCCGGGGAACATTGCTGCCCTCTAGTCCTCCTACACGTATTACCTACCAGCAGTAAGTAAGTACTAGTAATCAAATAAACACTACGTACCAGAGAGCTTGTCATCGACACTCGTCTAGGAGCATGCAGGGACCTGATTAAGCCATACGGCCCGATTGACAACCTTGAAGTAATCCACATCCCAACCAAGCCTGGCACTTTCCATCTAGGTGCACGCGCTCATTAGGGCTCAATACTATTCCGTACCCTGAAAGACCGATCTTCCGCTTCTCTTTTCTCCGCGATGCTGACAACTTCCGGCTGTTTACGGCATGGAAAGAGACAAGACTAGCACATGTAAAAAGGAGAGCTTCAAGGAAGCCAGCCAGTAGAGTTCACGCCAAGGTACATACATGCAGTCTAGGATGGAAATGTCTGGTCCGTATCATCTATCACTTCGGCTTGCTGCACCCTGCACGCCAGTATGCCAGTATGCCGTAAATAGCAGCAGCAGTACGGCAATTGCAATAATACTAGTAGCAGTGTGCGCTTTGGTCCAATATCAAGGAAATAATCCGTGGCATTGCATGATACGCGAGATAAACACCGTCTTATCTAGATTGATTGTCTGCTTACCGCCATTGGGCGATTGGGTAGGTAGTAGCGCATGCATGTATATCACCCGGCTGGCTGTGCTGCAGCACATGAATCCATCCATCCATCTTTTTGTCTAGCAATCAAAAGGGGGACCTGCATGCGGAAGAACAGACGAAACAATGGAGGCAATGATGTCATTTCTTTGCTTCTTTCTTCTTCTCCATCGCCATCAATTGAGCTCACCAGACTTGAGTTTCTAAAAATTGACTCAATTCAGTTCAAATCTCTTCGCTTCTCCTGCGTGAAGCCTTTTCGGGCATGACTTATGACGTGGCATGCACTACGGTGTCTGTCAGACTGGATAATTTACTTACATACAGGCATTCAGAGATGAAGAAAGAAGAAGAAAATGACACTGGTGAGGATATTGCGAATATTGCTAATAGCGGTTGAACCCGTCTCAGCTGTTTCTCAGCTTCTTTGCCTCTCCTATCAGCTTAGATATGCTATATACATTATCACCTTGCCTACTTACCTTACTACTTTTTTTTTTCTTCGCCTAATATAGCCAAAAACCACCTTAAATAATTAATTTTCATATAGATACTTTTTCTTTTTCATTATAGTTACATGCGCCATTCATGATGGCCATACGCGCAATATCTAACTCTGACCTGAAGTTTCATATTTATACCCACCAGATCCAGTAGTTCCGAGATAGGAAATGCCAAGTTTTTCTTACACCCAACTCAAGCACCTCAGCTACATGCATCTACATAATTTATAGCACAGCCAAACAGGGCCAAAAAAAATTGAGAGAAGAAACAGAATATGCTTAGTCATTTTCCTGAATGACACAAACTTAGTTTACTACACAAGCACAGCTCTCATGATATTGTCCATTAACGGCAAAGATCCATCAACCACCATGTAGCGGTTCATCCAAAGCGCTGGCTCTGTTTTGCGGGGTTTCGTGGGGAATCGGCGCTCTGGCGGGGTCGTTTGATAGCCGGAGCCGTTTACGGAGGCTGGCCAGAGTCGTTATCGGACTCTCGCTGATAGCAATGAGGACGCCATATGTAACAGCTTTTCTTAATTTCTCGCCAACACTCATGGATCAGTAGCTGGATCTTTCTTCGTGCTTCTGTGATGCCTTAGTTCATGTGTTTGCGATAACTGAGACCGAAAACAGCAGCCGCCTCCATCATGCTGCTTCTCTCCCCAATCGTCTTGTTAGCAACAGCAGCCCTGCTTGCCGCCATCCAACTCATCCGATGCGTCAGATCGCCTCTAAGCAAAATCCCAGGCCCGACAATCTCCAAATTTACGAGTTTATTCTTCAAATGGAAAGAGATTCATGCCCAAAGAACTGCCTATGTCCACCAGCTTCACCTGCAGTATGGCCCTGTTGTCCGCATAGCCCCCAATGAGGTATCTTTTACGTCCTGGGAGGCGCTCAAGGAGATTTACTGCTCCGGAGGCAGCGGATATGACAAGACTGAATTTTACGACCTTTTCAAGATTTACGGGAGAAGGTGAGAAACCAGGACTTGAGTCTCTCGGAGGAATAGCTTTCTGACTATTGGCTGTTGAATTAGAACCATGTTTACTACGCTGGATAAAGCAGGCGTATGTTCCACTTAGGCACTGAATTGCCCGGATGGTATACATATGCATTAACTGACATGATGTTGAATAGCACGCCAAGCGGAAAAGAATTCTTGCCGACCGCTATGCAAACAGCAACGTCGTGAAAAGTGCATCTGTTGCCGGAGTCCAAGAACGCTCGTCCAAATTTCTGCGACGCTGTGTTTCGTCTCCGGGTGGCGTGGCAGACATTTTTGTAAGTCCTCCGGTTGATAAACTGTAAAAAACATCACGAGGCCTCACAAACTAATGGATTATCTCTAGATGCGTTTGTCTTTCCAAAACCATCATAAGTAACTTACCAGAAGTAAAATTGCTAACCAGTTGGCGTATATATAGCCTTGCATGCATATGCCTGTGACTGCGTCACTCACCACCTATTTCATCCTCATGGAACCGACTGCATTACAAACAAAGACGACGAGGAAATGATGCATCAGGTAGCAGCAGACGACAGCTTGCAGAGCAAGTCAAAACCTCACACTTTCACAAAGCAAAAATTGTATTGACTCAGCTCTGTAGACCGCCTCATCTCGCACTACGTCCCTACGTTGTACCGTCTATTTTCAAAAGTCCTTTACATCTTTGTGAAGCCACGAGAAACCCCCCTGGCAGACGACTACGTGCTGGAAACCAGCCAGATCAGCGGCCCAGCATCCTTCACCCTCATGAGCCGCTTCGAGGAAAAGTCCAGTGACCTCGACTACATCGACAAAGCAGCAGAATGTCTCGACCACATGGCCGCCGGCATCGACACCACCGGCGACGGGCTCTGCTTCCTCCTCTGGGAGCTCTCCCAGCCACGATCCCTCGGCTTCCAGCGCAAGCTCGCAGACGAACTGCACAGGAATCCAGAAGCTCCTCTTGATCGCCTGCCATATCTCGATGCCGTGATCAACGAGGGCCTGCGGTGCTTCCCGCCGATTCCAATGTCCCTGCCGCGGTACGTTCCGCAGGGGGGCCGCTCGATAGACAACTTTTGGCTACCTGAGCAGACGATTGTGAGCTGCCAGGCATATTCGGTTCATCGCCTCAACAGCGAGGTATTTCCGGATGGAGATCGATTCAATCCTGATCGCTGGCTGGAGCAAGAGGGCGATGCAGACCGCAGGCGGATGCAGTTTGCCTTTTCCAACGGAGGCCGAGGCTGTGTTGGAAAGCAGTAAGTTGAATGGCTTTAGGCTCTCTGATTGGCATTCATGAACTTCTCCAGAGCTGACCAAGATTGATTTGTACTTAGCCTCGCTCTTATCGAAATGAAGACACTGCTGCGAGACATCTATTCCAGCTACAGCACCACGCCGCATAAGTCGATGAAGGTGGAGGACATGGCCATGTCGGATCAGCTCATCTCATCGAGGCCCCAGGCCCAGAAATGCCTTCTTCATTTTCACCCACTCGACGTGAGTAGCCATCAGGCAGGTGTATAAAGTACTAATTAAGTACGGAAAGTGTGCTCTCGTGGACATACATGTGGGTGGCACGTGTGCATCATACGTTGGTACTAGTATCTACTAGGCACGACCGAGGTAGTTCGAGCTACCCTACAGCTTTATATATGGCGTCCATTTTTTGAGCAAATGGATATATCAAATGCCTTTTTTGGAAAAAGTTAATTGAGTATTAAAGCATTGAACTCTATAGCTGTAATTGTGATCGATTATATGTACATGTATGTACATGTACGTGTGCCTATACGTGTACACGTGTGGTGGGAGGATTCAATGCTAGGGTTGTGCCCAACGGCAACCACCAAGACTCATCGCGAACGGTATACAGACAGCAATTGGCTGGAGAACTCATGCACATGCACAGTCAAACTTAGTAGCAAGATTTTCGTGCAAGGCTGCAGCGATTGGACTCATCGAAGATCTCCAAAAGCCCTTAAGCCCGAAGTCCGGCAATATGGATATTTGATTCCTTCGCAGTTTCGACAAACACCGAGGGAACTGTATCATCAGTCACACAGCTCCTCCCCAACTCCCTCTTCTCCTCTTGTTCTTCTGACTAATACAAATCAACTACTATTCTGCTACCAATGGGCAAATACGGTGGCGTGATGTTTACTATGCAATGGTATGGGGATTATGGACTATTTTCCATGTGCGTTTGCTTCGAGTCCCGGCTCTCCGCACCAGGGCCTAGGGCATACAGGCATGAGCCGCCGATTCCGTGCCAAGCACCGCTGTAGCAAACGGCTCCATGCAGCCTAGAACGCGCCGCCAATCCGACACGCAGAGCCAGACGGCTTGACCAGCCAGTCTCAGCAGCCCATTCGAGCACACTTTTCGCTGCCATTGCCTCGGTGTATCCGGAGATGTGCCGCGCCCCGTGTCGGCGTAGATGCATGCTAGACTTCCCGTCCTCTGTAACTTTTTGCGCTAGAGAAGCCGAGGGCGCTGAAGACGCCGCAAGTGTGCCTGTCCCACTGCTGCTTTAGTGGATATGGACCCTTCTGCAGCGCCGCGGTGCACTAAAGTGCAAAGCAAAAACACCTGAGCACAGAAATTTTCTGAAAAATTCCGCGCTTGCTGACAACTTTTGCCCCCACCTGCATCTCGGCCTGATTCAAAATCCTGGTAGCCTCTTTATATTCTTTCTCCTTCCCTCCTTCTCTTCTTCCTTTTCCCCTCATCCAACTCGACGACTCCGTATCGACTCCGTCAGATACTGCATCTGCCAGAATCTCCGAGCTTCTCGATCACCGCCATCTGCCAGGCCTGCTGACTGTCTCATCGGTCGCAGCGCACCTCTTTTCTACAGCGAACTGTTCGCCTCCAACTGAAAACACACTCAATCAGCCGCACTTACCCGCAGAGCCATCTGTCATCTTTTCTTCATAAGTCTTCTCTAGATTGTCTGCTTCTTCACCAGCATTCTGCCCACTTAGCAGTCCATTGCCTGTCCCAAGCTGTTTATGTATCAGCACGATTCCGCCACCGTATCCAGACGTTTCTTCACGCTGCAGTTATTTCGCATACCGCGGAAACCTAGCAGTCCCGATATCAGATCCGACGGTTGATATTGGCCTCGATTTCAGAGTTCATGCCTGTCCCACTGCAGTCCAGAATCTGTCCGGTCCTCCCTATGTTCAGTACGCATAACTGTTGAACTTTTTCAGTTCCCTTCGTCCTCGACTCGCCCGCTATATCCAGCGTCAAGAACTAAAAACTACGCCTCGAGTCGCTTCATGCCGATATCTTTCGTCACAAACGTAATCATTTAGCCCACAAGCCCTCAAGACCTCGTCTCGTCACTTAAAAACCACAATATCCAAGTCTTCAGAAAAATAAACCTTTTACAACCGTCATCATGGCTCTCGTCAACGTTCGTCGCGATGTCAGCGATGCCTTCTACCGCTACAAGATGGAGCGCATCCAGACCAAGATTGAAGGCAAGGGTAACGGTATCAAGACCGTTGTCGTCAACTTGTCCAGCGTCGCTCAGTCTCTTGCTCGCCCTGGTTCCTATGTCATCAAGTACTTTGGTTTCGAGCTTGGTGCTCAGACCAACATTGACCCCAAGGACGACCGTTGGATCATCAACGGCGCCCACGATGCTGCCAAGCTGCAGGACCATCTCGATGGCTTCATCAACAAATTCGTCCTCTGCAAGAAATGCAAGAACCCTGAGACCGATGTCATCATCAAAGATGATCACATCATCCTCGATTGCAAGGCTTGCGGTCAGCGCACCGACGTTGACCTCCGCTTGAAGCTTAGTGGATTCATCCTTAAGAACCAGCCCAAGAAGGGCAAGAAGGACAAGGCTGAGCGCCGAGCTGCCAAAAAGGCCAAGCAGAATGGCCATGCCAAGGAGAATGGCGCCGGCAGCGGCGAAGATGGCTCTGAGCACGGCTCCAACGAGACTGGCGACAACGAGGCCGACGTCGGCAGCGATGACGAGTTCCAAAAAGTCCAGGCCGAGGCAATTACCGCTGCCAACGCTGAACACGAGATCAAGGATGATGAGTGGGCTGTCGACATGAGCGCGGAAGCCGTCAAGGCCCGCCAAGCACAGCTGCCCGGCGAGCTCAAGCAGAAGCTCAACATTGGCGGCGACGACGAAGACGAGGACGGCGAGGGTGGTGGCAACACCGTCTACGACGACCTTGGCAACTGGATTGTCCAGGAGGCTGAAGAGAAGGGTGGCGTTGACAAGGTCGACTCCATCAACATTTATGTCAAGGCCAAGGAGCTTGGCATCGAGAACAAGCACCGATCTGTTCTCGTTCTGGTGCAGACCGTCTTTGACAAGAACATCCTTGCCCAGATTCCCAAGCGCGCAAGCATGCTTAAACAGGTACGCTATTCCGTCCTCCATTGATTCCCCTACCAACTATGTTCTTCTTTGACTAATTTTGCCACTCACAGTTTGTTACGTCTGAGAAGCATGAAAAGGCCCTGCTCGGTGGCACTGAGCGCCTCGTCGGCACCCTCAGCAAGGAGCACCCCGAATTGCTGCAGCAAGTCGCCAAGATCCTGCAGCTGTACTATGAGCATGATCTTGCTACCGAGGAAGTCCTCATCCCCTGGGGCTCCAAGGCCAGCAAGAAGTACGTCGACGTTGCTACTTCTCGCAAGGTCCGCAAGGCTGCTGAGCCCTTTATCAACTGGCTCAAGGAGGCCGAAGAGGAGGAATCCTCTGAAGAGGACGAGTAAAATCGCCTCTTGTTCCTCCTTTGACATGCCCATTGCTTTTTAGCGTGCTATTTTTCTCTTATCATTTGCTAGATTGGAATTTGATGATATGGGAAGTGAACAATAGCTGGGTAGTTGTCGAGGGGAGTTGACACTGAAATAAGCTCCTTTTTGTTTTTATATAGGCATAATACATTGTTACATGTATTGAACTTGTAGGACAAACGGACTTTGTAGGTGGTATCACTAGGTAGATTGCTTCTTTTGAAATCATACAGTCCACTCACTTCTTGCTCTCTCCGCAATGATGTATGATATGTGAATTTGTGTCACACGTGCTATATCATCAATGTATTTGGTATCCTGCTTCTGATTCCCTAGGGTATCTCTTCGAACCCGACTTGCCAGCACTGTCTTAAAATACTCATTTAAAAATAATAATAAAAAAACAAAAAGCTTGTATCCCATCTGAAGCCCATGCCGTCATTTTAAACCACAATAAAAGCTGGAAAAAAAAAAAACAAGGAAGTCTGTGCAAATCCGGCCGTCGGTTTATGCCTTACTATTGCACGTTGCCGTCAGCAGCCGATGGTGCATCTTCCATGTTCGCATCGCCATTGGCTGGGGTCTCTTCTTCTTCTTCCTCGGCTTTTTCAGTTTCAGTGGCCTTTTCCGCGTAAATGAATTCTCCAACGCTGGTGGCCGTTTCTTCGAGGTTGTCGTTGTCTACAATGACAGTGTCATATAGCTCATTCATTTTGGACTCGTCAAAGGTTTCGTCTGTGGAGGATTTGATGAATATGTAGCGGGCTGAGAAGTCCATGTCCTTGGCGAATTGGGCGGCCTGGTAGCATATATACATTAGTGACTGACTGGATGATAAAACGGTGGCATCTTTTCTTTACTTACCTCGACATCAAGCTCAATGACAGGCACTTTGCCCGTTTCAACGATAGCTTCGACAGCCTTGCTGCTTGTGCCATAGTCCACTCCATCACGAGTTGTATACTCGACCAATCGGTCGCCGTCTCGCAGCTGATTAAACTCCTGGGCTTTGACAAAGTGGAAGGTCTTACCATTGACCTCTCCATCCTCAGGCTCGCGCACGGCATGGCGTACCACAGGGGCGAATACTCCCTTGTGCAGATCCATGAGTGCAGTCTTTAGCGATGAGATGTCGATGCCAGATGACGCAGACAGAATGATGGGGTCGCGATTCTTGGGCATGTCGTCCTCGCTCGCGGTTGGCTCGGTGTCCTCTTCGTCTTCAGCCCCTTCGACATCGTCCTCAAAAATGAGGTTGATCTTCTTCGGGTCATCGAGCTTATCAAAGGCCGCCAACTTGAATCTCGATGCTATCCGGAGGGCTCTCCAGCTCTTGCTTGCTTTGCCTGCAACGGCTGCGGCCTTTGTATCGCTGTTGGTCGGCATCTCAATCTCAAAGTCGTCGTCTGCGATTTTGCTCTTGAACGCATCTAGCTCGGGCAGCTGGTACCGCTCCGAATCCTTCAGCTTATCCAGTGCCGAAGTTTCGTCCTCGTTTGCGAGAAAATCGAGGGGTACCGCGTTGAGAGGATTTGGCCGCAGCCGCTTGCTGGTTGCCATGCGCTGGGCGGCTTCCTTTGCCTCGACGAAGCCTTTGGCCGATACTGGGTCGCGCTGGATGGGCGGGCAACTGGCCATCTTCCAAAAGACCCAGTTCTTGTCCCTAGCTAGCACTGTTTCTACCATGCGAAAAAAGTATGGCCCATCAGCGCCCTGCCTGAGATAGTCTGAAATCACCTTTTTGATATCGGCAGCCCACTTGGTCTAGAGAAAGGAAACAGTAAGTATGTGGATATTGAGTGTTGTCAAAGGTGGAATTGGAATTCTCTTACATTTTCTTCATTCAGCTGGCCATGATATATGACGGACTTGTTAGAGATGTTGATGTTTGTTCGTTTCTCTCTTTCTTCTTTTGATAGGGATAGGAGAAAGTCTGTGATGATGAGGGCCTGAACAAGGACGTGTCGCCGGAACGAGAGATCGCTAATCTGTAGTGGATTTTATTGTTAGAGGCTTGCCAATGCGGGCACAGGGTGGCTATGGCGATACTTGCCTCAAGCTGAAACAAGTCCTTACTCGTAAGGTATTTGGGATTAAACGCCTCTGGAAGCGTCTCGGTTCCATCGTCATCCCTCTTTCTCTTGAGAGTTCGCTTGAGGTTCTCCATGGACTTTGATGTATACAAGCTGTCGTCATGGATCGCCTGGAAAGCCTTGATGGTCAATTCTAGGCTGCTTTTGAACTTTGTAAAATTGGCCACGTCAAACAGCTTCAAGGGTTGGCTGAAGCTTTCTTGTAAAGCCCAGAATAGAGGATAGAGTGTATCAGAATCTGGCGCTTGCGCTTTGTTTGAATCTTGAGCTCCGTTCTTTGCACCGGCTTTGGGAGCGCTCGATTCCTTTGGCGTTTCTGCCTGGGCATCAACTTCCATTTTGCCGTCGTCATCTTCCGGTGTTTCGAAAGATGTCACATTCTCGACATGATATTCTCCTCGTAGATTGACGGAGCTTCTGTCTCCCAGCGGGAAGCTCTGAAACATAAAAATGAATACTCGTCCGCAGAAAGCTGTGTCCTCAGCGCGAGAGAGCCTTCGCAACAGCTCGTTGCAGCTTCGAAGAATAACAAGATTCTTCTGTTTAAAGTGCTTGGCCGTGATGCGCTCTCGCCTTGATTCAAGAAAGTCGAATATTATGCGGCATCCCGCGATCGTCTGGCTGTCGAGAAGCTCCTCCACGAGCCAAAAGAGGAGAGCTGGATCGCATTGGCCATCGTCGGAGAGTATCGATAGAATATCCAGCAAATTCCACATCCGCACAAATTTGGGGCTATCAATTGACGTTGTCGCCTTCATGGATTAGTGTCTGGAGGGGCTCGAACAGAGGTTGTTTGTCGGCTTACGATTAGCTTGCTGAAGGAATCGCGAGCCGCTGTTTCGACGACGGCGAACTGTCGAGATCTGAGCGAGTCTTGGGGCGCATTGCTTTCAGAGCCCGCAATGCTAGAGCGGGCAAGCGAAGAGGAGACTCGATCGTAGATGTTGGCAAAGTCGGATTTCGAGAGAGCCGGCTCGATGGTCGCCGCCTCTTTCGCAGCAGAGGCTTCGTCGAGCAGCTCATTCAGAAGCTCCCCAAACGCGCTCACAGCGGAGACGCCTGGGTTCTCGAGGTCGAGGGCCGGCATCGCGAAAGATTCGGATTTTAAACTCTAAAGCGAGGCCCAAGTCAACCCGTGTCGAGTTGCCGACACGGATGGCTGGATCGCCGCGATGCGAGCGCGATCGTTGAAAGAAGGCGAAGCCGAGTTTAGTCGGAATTAAGGGGCGTGAATCTGGGCGTGGATAAATTTGGCAGAGGCGAGATTGCGAAGGTTGCGTTGCCAGCGATTCGTCGTCTGTAAAAGAAAGTTTAAGTTGAGTCGCGAATTACTCGAAGGTGAGGCGAGAAGGCTGAGACTAGAGATGCCCGCATGGTTCCATGCTGCTGCAGGTACACAAGTCAGCCGCAAGCGTTGCATACACAGGGCGGTACTAGCTGCCAAAAGATACCTGGCAAGACGTACGTGCAACTGCCGCTCAGTGGGTCCAGCTCGCGCAAGGCTGAAATTTTGTGCACAGGGAACGTCGCCAGGCGTGGACGCAACTTCGGCTGCGCATGTATGCCCACTCTGTCCTGGAAAAAAGCTCCTCCTGCACCCTCTAACTAGTCCATCAGCTTTTGGACGCCAGGCCGGATCTCTCAACCAGCTCATGACGCGACTATAGCCTCACAATGCCTACCGCGAAGCGATCCAGAGGCACCGGCGCCGGCAGAGCAGCAGCGACACGTCCGCCGCCAAAGGACACCGCAGACGGCCGTCCAACGCCCGCAGAGGTGGAGGAGCAGGAGCACCAGTTTGTGCAGATTGCGCGGAAGCACTGGCTGAAGCCTGGCAAGAAGACTGCCAAGGTCAAGGTCAAGAATGACGTGGTCAAGCAGGGCATCTGGGATGTTTTGGAGCAGGATGGCTTCTCATATAAGCTGCTGCTGCTGCTGGAGAGCTTACAGACATTGGAGAAGTATGCTTTCCTTTGGAATTAGGGGATTTAAGCTGTTTTAGAGTTGTTTTAACGCGTTGTTATAGCTACCTATGGCCTGGATATTCCGACGAGTCGTCCAACCATCATGTCCTCATATTAGCTTTGATCTGCAACGTCAAGAGGCGTGAGCACCTCGAAACATGGAGTGAGTCTGACTGGTCAGCCAAGTTGAAGCTACGTCTAACGTGAATCAAATGATAGAAATCTTCGAGGAGAGACCCGACGACTTTTCGTCCCTGTTCCGCCGCATTCTATCCATGACCCTCGACCGCACATTGTCTACGACCTTGCGAACGCACCTCCTCTGCTTCCTCATCTATGCCTTCCAGAGCCTCGATTGCACCATTGTGAGAAAGGAATGTGCTCCTTTGGTATCAATTGGCATCTGGCATAACCTATCTACTGAGAAGCGCCAAGAGGCCCATCTCGACTCCTCCCCGCATCTTAGAAAAGCTTGGAGAGCTGCCCAAAAACGATATGATGCGGCAGATGAGGCCACCAAAGCGCGGCTACGGTTCGAGCGTTCGTGGTTGTACACCCTCATTCTTGATTTTACCAACCAACTGTACGACGAGAGTGGCCAGTCAGACCAGACGCTTCTTTACTGTGAACGATTCACCGAGTTTATATCTGATCTGCAGAGCCAACTGCCTACTCGGCGATATGTCAATTCCCTAGTCCAAGACTTGCATCTCGTTCCTTTGATGAGGCTGTCTCCGCTTTATAACGACGTGTCTAGCGCTCTGCTGCGTGATCTTCACGCTCTTCTCTCTCACTACACATTCTTTGCCATTGATGACCAGACTGGCATACAGTTGAACCGAACAGAGGCCTTTGATAGGCATTGCACATTACTCGGCAAGCTTCAGCGGATTGCCTTGAAGCATTTCAAAGATAAGCTCACCATCCTGGCTCTGTCAAATTACGGCGCAGTTGATAAGCGAGAGGAGTTGGTATCACATCTTGAGCCTCTGTCCGATGGCGAGCTGCTGGAGCTGGTGAATCTTTTGGATCTCAGGTCCACATACCCTGATAGTTTCAATGTGGCCATTGATCGCAAATTTCTCATCGAGTTTCTCCTGACTACTTTTGAGCGAAAGAAGACCTTCCAGGAAGTTGCTCAGAGAATAAGCTTGGTTCCAAGCGAAGACACCCTGTTTGATGAGGGCTTTCAACGGGCAGATTCCTACGACGGCTCACATCCTCTAGCCCTCCCAAAGCTGAATCTGCAGTATCTTTCGGTTGGTGATTTTCTCTGGAGGGCACTGGTACTCTATCGCTGCGAGTCGTTCTATGGGATCCGCAAGGATATCGAGGCTGCGCTGCGCCGTCTTCGACCAGAAAGCAGACGGCCTGGTGAAACACACTTTGCGGGCTTCTCAAAAATGGCGATGCCAATTGCTAAACCGACAATACTAGAAGTCGTTCCTGCTCTCGTTGGAGACGATAAACCGTCTGTAGTTCGGGCTGAAGTATCCTTTGATGTGAAACGCTTAGGAGACGGTGTGCGCAGAGAGTGGGACACACTTCGTCCAGGCGATGTCGTCTTTTTGCTAGCAGTCCAGCCCCCTGCATCCAGCCAAGGAGTAACCAATGGCAGTTCAACCCAGTCAGAAGCTAATAAGGCCGGCGTCCTGGCGGTACGAACTGCTGAAGTTGTTCAGATCACGGACGACAGAGGCCGTCACACTAGAGAAAGGGGAGAACGCCTGGATCCAAAACGGCGCATTCAGCTCAAGCTAGATTCGGCAACTTACGCCCATGATGCTGAGCAAGCCGCGGTGGGTAAGCCCGATGTCTATGCAGGCATTAACTTGCTGCTCAGGCGGAACAAGAGGGAGAACAATTTTAAACCTGTTTTGGAAGCTATCCGCACCCTTGTCTTATCCGATATGCCACTACCTTCATGGCTTTATGAAGTGTTTTTGGGTTATGGCGACCCAGCTGGCGCCCACTACAAGAACCTGCCGAATAGGCTCAAGACAATCGACTACAGAGACACATTTTTGGGCTGGCAGCATCTTGTTGAAAGCTTGCCTGGAAAGACGGTTGAGCCGGGTGATGATGTAACTGGCAGTTTTGGACCGCCATATGTACTTGAAGCAGTCGACAAAGCAGAAGAGCCTCAGGGTGGCAAGCCATCCAAAAAGCGACGGCGCGATTTGGAACCGGCACTGCTGTCAGAGGTAGAAACTCTCAAGGTTTCCACCTACAAGCCTCCCAACAATGGCCCTTATCCCTTTGATGCGCCAAAGCAAAACGCTGTGAGGTTTACTGCTGCTCAAATCGAGGCCATCATGTCTGGATCTCAACCTGGATTGACCGTCGTTGTCGGACCCCCAGGCACAGGCAAGACCGATGTCGCTACACAAATCATAAACAACATTTACCATAACTTTCCGAACCAAAAGACATTGCTTATCGCCCATAGTAACCAGGCTCTCAACCAACTCTTTTCTAAAATCATTGCACTGGACATCGACGAAAGACACCTATTACGTCTCGGTCACGGCGAGGAAGATTTGGACACTGAAGGCAGCTTCAGCAAGTATGGTCGCGTCGAGTCCTTTTTGGACAACAGGGACAGGTTTCTTTTTGAGGTTAAGAAGCTGGCAGAAAGCTTGGGGGCTCCAGGAGCACATGAAAACTCGGCTGAAACCGCAGGGTATTTCAACGTTGCTTATGTAGAGCCAGCCTGGGCCAAGTTTCTTCTGGTAGCAGAGTCCGACGCGTCTAGCGCGGCTGACATTGTCCAGCATTTCCCTTTTCACGCTTACTTTGCGGATGCTCCTCAGCCCCTATTCCCCGAGGAAGCAGACCGAGCACAAGTCCTGGATATTGCTCAGGGATGTTACCGCCACATTTCCAAGATCTTTTCTGAGCTGGCAGACATCCGGCCCTTTGAGATCCTGCGACGTGAGAAGGACAAGGCCAACTATCTCCTCACTAATGAAGCTCGCATTGTTGCAATGACAACCACCCACGCGGCCATCAGGAGAGGTGAGATTGCGGCACTCGGCTTTCACTATGACAATGTTGTTATGGAAGAAGCGGCACAAATTACCGAGATTGAGACGTTCATTCCCCTTGCAATGCAAAAGCCTGTAGACGGGCAACTGCCACTGCAACGAGTCGTATTATGCGGAGACCATTTCCAAAACTCGCCCGTTATCCAGAGCTTGGCGTTCCGACACTATGCCAACCTGGAACAGTCGCTATTCTCACGACTGGTCCGGCTTGGTGTGCCCACGGTGACCTTGGATCAACAAGGTCGTGCTCGGCCATCCATCGCCAAGCTGTACGAGTGGCGGTACCCCAAGCTCGACAGCCTTCCCGACGTACAGACCAACCCAGAGTTCTTGCGGGCCAATGCTGGCTTCAAATACGACTTCCAATTCATTAATGTTCCTGACTACAAGGGCAAGGGTGAAGCGGAACCGACGCCGCACTTTATTCAGAATCTTGGTGAGGCTGAATACGCGGTGGCCATTTACCAATACATGCGGCTCCTAGGATACCCGGCCGAAAAGATTAGCATACTTACAACATATGCTGGCCAAAAGGCTCTGGTGCGAGACGTGCTCTCCCACCGATGTGCTTCGAGTCCCATTTTTGGTCTGCCCAAGGCTGTTGCTACAGTCGACAAATACCAGGGAGAACAAAACGACTGTGAGTTGTCTTTTGTTCCATCGCTAACTTGTGAGAAATCAAAAACTAACAGAGTCTCTAGACATTATTCTTTCACTGACTCGCACGTCACGAGTGGGCTATCTCCGCGACGTCCGTCGTATGACTGTGGCCTTTTCTCGCGCCAGACTTGGACTCTACGTTCTTGGACGCCGAGAGGTGTTTGAAGCCTGCCCTGAGCTTCGACCGGCTTTCGACGTGCTTTTACAACGCCCGGATAAACTAATGCTAGTGACAGGGGAGCTGTACGGAGCTGAACGGCAAAACACAGAAGAAGACGGCCCAGTAGAGGGTGAAGTCGCCATGGAGGGCGTTGAGCACATAGGGCAGTATGTATTTGAAATGACGCAAACCAAGATCAACCAGCTACAGGCAGAGCAAGGCTTGCTGATGGAATCTATGACAATCGACGACGCGGGCGAGGAGGGACAGGGTGGCTATTACGATGAGGAAGAAGACAAAGCTCTAGAACCGGATATTCTTGAAGTCCGAGAGGGAGAGGCGAATTAGGGATTGCAGTTTCCAGGGACGTGGAATCATACCAACTTGAACAGAACAGGATAGAAGTAATGAAAGGAAAAGGGACATTTGAGTAACATGAAAGGATTTGACAAAGGAACGAGCCATGATTTTGAAAACTTCTTTTGGTTTTGTCTTTGGCCGAAAGGGGCTTCTACCATTTTTCATATATCGAATATACTTTTAGACAATGGCAGAAAGAAACAAGCGTGTGTTTTCCTTTTTTTTCCGGGCTGTTGGAGATTGATGCACATGTGATTGCATGGGGGCGAGACAGTGCGTCATTGGAGGCGGATGATCTGCGACTTGCAGATGGTATAAAGTACCTATATGATGAACGCTCTGCTTCTTTGGACTTGTATGGAGAGGGGCAGTTCGTTTTATATAAATGAGAATCTACTTTGCCATTTGTGAAAAATGAAGAGGGATAAGAAAGACTGGAAATATATTAGTGTTGTTCTTTGAGTATGTACTTATGATCGATTGGTGCTATTGAAGATAGAATGGAACATATGCTTTCTTTCGCTCAACTACCCGCATAGATCAGTTGTACAGTCTATCGCATTAAATCTACAATATGAACTGTCAAGGATCGTGTCTCAGTACAAAACACGCACATCTTTCCCATTTCACCAATCAGCGGGTTATTCCTTCGTACCGGAACATCGGTCACAGTGGCCGCATGGCATCGTCATCAGCAGCGGCACTTGCCGACTTGGGCCTTTTCCGGAAGCAAATTGTCTCGACGAAGAGTCACTTCACTTGTAAGCCAAGAATTCTCGGATTTCAATCAGGTGATGAGGAATGGCTGCCTCTCGCCATTTTGTTTGGTGGCACAAAGGCGAATATGGTTTTTGTGATGCTGCGTTTGGGTGGTACTGCTCTTGGTTCGGAGATACACTCTGTATCAAGGAGCACGCAGAAAAATGGCCAGTAAAATCCAGTGCCATTTACTAATCGGTCTTTGTCTTTGTATAGTCATTAGCATCAATCTCATTATACTACTTGTATTCCCCTACTGATATCAACTTTGAAAATGAAAGCTTCTTAGGGCATTAATACTAGTACTACTAGTAGAACCTGGAGGTACCTACCTACTCTGTACGTTTATGCGTGGCTAGACAGTGCCGCACATTGGATGATTTCGCACTGTATTCAAGAAAACGCCACTAAAAAATTCTAGCACGGGTTTGGGGAAACAATCGGCGCTCTCTAAATTTTTTTTTTTTTGCTGTTATACTTACGCCCCGGTGTGTCTTTCACACAACTCTTTTTTTTGTTTGCTCCCTTCGCATGTAGTGAAATGAGGGTGGCTTTTTTCTTAGCGGGCGACTACGTACGTGTAGAACGATAGTCTGTATCCGGGGCGGGCCCTCGTAATTTCGTTTGAGAGCAGTTTCTAGCACTCTGACGATAGGCTACTACTACTACTACTACTACTACTACTACTGCTGCTGCTGCTGCTGCTTCAGCTTTTAATTGTATATATGCATGGTAATTCAATGCTTGTATGTATAGGCTAATTGCTTTATTCAGCTACAGCTGGAGTGTTGGATAATAGGCTGGGCAACTTTTTCTTTTCTCTTCAGTGCTATCAGCGGCGGGACAAGCCGTTTTGTTTGCGAGAAATCTATTCGTAGCCTAGCTAAGAATGATCATTCGGCCATTCTCTCCTTGCATCTCTTCTTTATTTCCTCAACAGAGAAATCGCCTCGTCAAAATACAACAAACAGATGGCGATGGGCGCTGTGGCTGATGGCGGGGTTCATCAAAAAGTTTCCAGGTACCAGGTACCATTCGCCTCTCTTTCAGCCACAGCTGCAAACGTCGTCAGCCTTGACTTTGCTTTGAACGGAGCCTGTCACAAGGAGTAATTTCGGAGTTGATGCTGTGATTTCTATTCCTGTCTTTCTATTCTTTTCTTTCTCTTTGTTCATCTTCATAATTGTCCATCCATCTTTTAGACTACAACTCTTTGACGCTCCGGCACATAATCAAGTACATACAAGTAGCCTGGTTCTGTTTGGTGAAGCTACTAGATCCACGTAGACGCAGGGAGATTCAGGCAGCATCACAAAAGCCGATCTTACGGGGCACCCCAGGATTCATCATGAAAAAGTGGTCATGCATAGTGAGCTGTTACACGATTATTCATCCGGGCTCTCCCTTGTCTGTGAGACCGCTCCGTACTTCTCTCAATGTGGCTCAGCTAGTTCGGAGTTTAGATGCCTTGCCACCAAAACCGGGAGCGGTGCATATGGAGATAAGAAGTTTATTCGGCTGCCCTGCAGAAAATCTATATGGTTACGTCTTAGGACTTTTCAAGTATGGAGTGATGGCCATACTCAGAGCCTGCTCAAACTCGCTTGACTCACAGGTGGCTGCTATGACTCCCAACCAGGGCTGGGATGCTTTGAAAAGTATCACATGCCAAGCCTTGTTTGTGCCCTGTGGCGGCGTGGTCTTTCATCAACGCCACATGCAGAAACGAGCACTTTGTTTTGTGCGATAAGACAAAAACGGCTCTACCATGTATTGTCATGGCTTGTTCTAGTCCATGGATCTTCTTTTTGTGTTCTTTGACCCTTTGGCACAATGCCTGTCAAGGTAGGTATCTACCAAATGCTTGTACTCCGCAAGAGCCTTATCGGAGCTAGAAGCCACTAGCGGCCTAGGGTTGATGCTGGGCTGAGGTCAAAGTCACGTGGTGATAACGCCAACTACATGTCTACCTCCATTACGAAAGACACAGCATGATGGAAGAAGATTGTAACTGAAGGGCGCTTGGGATGATATCTGGATGTCGGGAACAGTGAAAGAGGGACGGGAAAGATAGTGACTGCATCATGGAACCGGCAGGACCTGGCAGTGAACACGAGCAGCAGCAGCAGGGAGCGGCAGTGAGATGGTACCTCGTAGTGCTACTGGTTCAGAGTTTCTGACCTGCGTCAAAGATCCATCGGGCATATCCACAAGTCTCTCATTTCCCCCGGTGATACGAAGCAGGCGGACAAACGGCCGTGTGTTGGGTCTGTTTGCGAGAAAGAAGAGGCCGCAGTGGATCTTCAAAAATAGAAGCGGCAATGAAAGAAAACAAAAGCTGTCTGTTGAACGCGTTTAATAACTAGATAGATGCCGAGGTGGGGACTGCTATTGTTTCTCAGCTCTCGCTCACTTTCACAGCCTGTTGGCGCATAATCGGTGCGCTGAAAAAGCATAAAACTCTCACGTATCTACAGCCTAAAGTACCCGATACTCCTCGCAAACAAACCAGAAGAACCAAGAAGAACAGCGAGCCAATCTCACAATCATAGTACAAGACTCCCAGCAAGCACCCAGGTACTGTGGCACTTCCTTCTAGACCGTGCTAAATGCCAACTAACTGAAGCCTCAAGAAGCCTCAGTCCGCTCAACAGCCCGCTGTGCCGTACTGTACATGAAATCTTAGCGGCGTGCAGCGTCTGAACAGCCTTTTAGCGCCACCCCTCCTTTTAGCGGCGCCTTGGCCACTGCCCCTTCCCGCCCACATCCTGTATTCCTGCTGCCCAAAATTTTCTTGCTGGACCTCCTCTCCAACCTTCATCACCAACCACGAGAGCAGTGCGGTGGATTTTATTCTTCTCGCCTGGCCTTTTTCTCTCCTCACCAGCATTGGGAATCTCTTCTGTGGCCTCGGTAGCAGAAGACTCAATTCCCTGCTCGTTCCTCGACGCCCCGCGGGATCGTAGCCAGTCTGCGATCGTTTCCCCCACCGGTCGGCCTCATCTCCTCGCCGCTTCATTTTCGACCATCGATCGAGCCAGTCGTTGTCGAACGAGCCGAACCAACATCCTCTCTTCTTGAGCGTTCCCGGTCTTTTCGCCGAGAACAATCCCAGAGAGCAAGTGAAGGATCGCTGAGTCGATTCTGAACACCACCCACCCGGAAAAAAACAGGAAAAAAAAGCCGGCACGGCCTTTTTTTTTTTTTTTTTTTTTCTGAACCTTCTTTTTTTTTCGCCCCGCCAACGAAAACAACACCACCAAGCCTTTCGTTTTCTCGCATCGCGAACCACCCGCTCCCCATATGACGTCGCCTGCGAATCAGCAGAACCCCATCCCGGCGACCAACACCAACGCTCCTACGGCAACTTCATATGCCTCCGCAGCAGGTGCGCCAAAGAAGCCCGCTCAGGCGCCTGTAGTTGCGCCCGGCTCAAACGCCCCCCTGGTAGTTGGCTCAGCTGCCTCGACGGCACAGAATGCCAAAGCTGCCTCAACTCCTTCTCCAGTAAACGGCAAACAGGCCGCGGCCCCCACCGTCGCTCGCGGCAGCACTCTCAACGGCTCTGCCCCCGACCATCTTCGAAAAGGCTCCGTCACCATGGCTGCCAACGGCCCCAGCGGCTTCGTCCCCAATGGCGGCTCTATTGGCGCCGCCAAGTCTGCCATCCAGTTTGGCTACGACTCGCCTGCCATGGGCCACAGCACTCCTCATGTTGGCCACTCGGCTCCTATTCCAGTTCCCGAGGGCAACAGCCACCACCGAGTGCCCTCTCCTGCTCACTCTCCTGCGCCCATTCCCCAGCCCTCTGCTAGCGGTGGCCGACCTCCGTCCAGCCTGCAGCAGCCGACCAACCAGATGACCTTTGGTAGCCTTGGAAGTGAAGGCGATGTAAGTGCTTTCTGTTTCTCCCCACATCGGCCTTGTTCTACTCAGGCCCCTGGCTATCGATTACTGACATGTCCTTCCAGCGCCACATGAGACAAGGCTCCGTGCCACCAAACCAAAACTTGGCATCGCAACCCAACTCACACTTCCGCCGCGAGTCCAGCCATTCTGTGCAGAGCGACACCGGCCGTGGCAACTTTAACCCTCAGAACAACCGAAACCGTGCCTCGTTCAACCCTCATGCTGCTCAGTTCAACAACAACCACCAGATGGGCTACCCTCCCAACAACCAATATCGACCTGGCCCTAACCAGAACCGCGGCATGCCTCCTCCTTTCCAGCCGAATCGACCCTACCCGAACTCACCGCAGCCCATGGCCCGAAGCCCTGCTCTGCCGCATTCGCAGCCCGGTACCCCCAGCATGGCTAATGCCATGCCTGGTATGGGAGGAGCCTCTCCTCAGTTCCATTACCCGCCACCCATGGCGCCGCAGCATCAGCAACAAGTACAGTACCCCCTTCCTGCAGTCTCAAAAATGCATTATTACAAGCCCAACTGCAAAAAGACAAAGGGCCGTCGTGAGCACGACAGGTCTTTTCAGACGGGACGCCCCTTGGACCCCGCGCGTGAGCCATATACCAGCGACGTTCTGCAGCAGCAACAGCAGCAGCAGCATCAACGCCGTTTCGGCAACTATGGCCAACGTGCAGATTCAATGCGGCGGACCCACGACAAGAACAACATGTGTCCGGTTTCTAGTGGAATTCAACAGGACTCACCTTCTTCTCCCAACCCCATTTTCAACAATCTCTCCCCCAATCACCCACATCCACTTGACCTTTCTCCTGAAAATGGAGGATTTGAGCGCTTGCTAACTTGGAAAAATCAGACGTACGGATTCCCCCCGCAGCAAATGAACCAATATGGCCAGCCCATGTCTGTGCCATACGCCGCCTACAATGCCATGCCTTACATGGGACCTCCCCAGCCCAACGCTCAACCTTACAACCAAACCTTCGTACCTCCTTACCATCAACAGAGCCACAGCATGTCTCGATCGCCCTCACAGGCTGAGCGGGCTCCCAGCGTCAGCCAGCCAAGCCAGCCCGCCATCGTTTCATCTAACCCACAGGCTCTCAACGCCCAGACAAAGGGTGGAAGCCCCTTTGCTCCCCGCCAAAGGAAGAGCGCCGCAATTCAAATTAAAAACCTTGCCGGTGAGGTTGTTGATACTTCGGCTTTCAAGCAGCCAGCTTCTCCTTCGCCAAGCACCCATCAGACCAAGACTCCTCCCGTCGCCTCAACTCCAACTCCCCCGCAAAAGCCGGACACGCCCACTCACTCTCGGACAGAGAGTCAGTCAGCACACCGGTCAGCCAAGGAGATCCAGGATGAGCTCAGGAAAAAGATTTTGGAGGCTACCCAGAATCAGCTACTCGCTGCCAAAGAAGAAGAAGAGAAGAAGGACAAAGAGGCTCCTAAGCCGGATGAGGCTACTCCTGAAGTCAAGCCCGAGACCAAAGCTGAGCCCGTCGAAACCAAAGCCGAGGTCAAGGCTGAGGAAGCCAAGGCCGAAGAGCCCAGGGCTGAAGAGCCCAAGGTCGAGGCACCCAAGGTTGAAGAGCCAGCCGCCAAGAAACCCGAAGAGGCCAAACCTGAGCCCGAGCCCAAGATTGAGGAGCCCAAGGTTGAAGAGCCCAAGGTTGAAGAGCCCAAGGTTGCAGAGCCCAAGGTTGAAGAGCCCAAGGTTGAAGAGCCCAAGGTTGAAGAGCCCAAGGTTGCAGAGCCCAAGGTTGAAGAGCCCAAGGTTGAAGAGTCCAAGGTTGAAGAGCCAGCTTCCAGCGCGCCTGCCGAAGCCCCCAAGGCAGCTGAAGAAGCTCAGAAGCCTGAGGAGCCAGCCAAGGCTGAAACCGAAGATGAGGAGCTTGATCGGATTATTGCCGAGATGGAAGCAGCCGAGGCTAAGCGTGAAGCAGAGGAGGCAGAGCACAAGAAGAAGAGAGATGCCGACAAGGCTGCGGCCAAGGCGGCGGAAGAGAAGAATGCCAAGACCACTGCTGAAGAACAGGACCGAAAGCTTCGAGAACAGGAACGAGAGATGGAAAGACTCGAAGAAGAAAAGGAGAAGCGACGAGAAGCCGCTGAAGCTTCTGGAAAGACTCTCTCCTTTACTGAAGCTCTTGCTGCGGCTCGTGGCGGAAAGAAGGACGAGTCTGCCGACTCAGTTGCCGATAAGCTGGGCGACCTGAGCATTGGAGACAAGTCAGCTGAGGCTGCCGGCCCCAAGGAGAAGCGAGTTGCCAAGCCTGCTGCTCTGAACCTGGCACCCATCAAGACTGGCGCGGTGGAACCTCCTCAGCCCAGCGCCGCTCTTCAGTCTTTGAAGTCTGCTCGCTTCCTTGCGGTCATGAACCAGGATATCTATCCCGAAGGAATCAAGTCTCCCAACCCAGCGCTCAATGCTGCCGTCGCCAAGAAGGGCAAGACTTTCAAGTACGACGCCGCTTTCATGCTCCAGTTCCAAAAGGTCTTCACGGAACAACCCTCACTGCAGTTCCACCAGCAAATTAAGCAGCTGATTGGCGATGGTGACGGTGGCCGATCTGCATCGCGAGGCCAGACCCCCAGCTCAGCAAGACAAGGATCTCGTGGCGGAGGTGGCTTCCCTGGTGGCTCTTTTGGTGTCCCTACAGGACGCACTCTGCCTCCCGGAACCACATCAGCCGATCGCATGGCCATCGCCAGCGGCGCCCTGCCAAGGCCGCAGGTCAACCCGATGGCATCCTTCCAGCGTCCTGGCTCTGGTTTCCCCGGATCCTCCGCCATGTCTCGCACTTCTTCTTCAAATATGCGCAACATGCCCAACTCTCCCCGCCAGTCCAGCCGGTCTACCCGTGGTAGCCGACGCAACGATAACACTGCCAAGGAAGCACAGGCTGCTAAGACCATGCCTCTCACTGCTGGCCAGGAACTCAAGCCCATCGTTGTTTCTGCCACCGGATGGAAGCCTACTAGTCTTGGAGCCAAGCCCGGTGCCGCAGCTTCTACCCAAAGCCAGCACATGGAGCCAGAGATGGTTCAGCGAAAGGTCAAGGCCGCTCTCAACAAGATGACGCCTGAGAACTTTGACCGCATTGCGGATCAGATCTTGCTTATTGCCTCGCAGTCAAAGGATGAGTCTGATGGACGGACACTGCGCCAGGTCATCCAGCTCACCTTTGAGAAGGCCACTGATGAAGCCCACTGGGCCTCCATGTACGCCAAGTTCTGCAAGCGCATGCTTGAGACTATGAGCCCTGAAATTCGTGATGAGAACATCAAGGACAAGAACGGTCAAGTTGTCAGCGGCGGCAACCTCTTCCGCAAGTACCTCCTGAACCGATGCCAGGAGGAGTTTGAGCGTGGCTGGACAACCAACCTGCCGGACGCCCCAGAGGGTGCTGAAGATGCCGAAAATAAATCTTCTGCGGATGCTAAGCCTACGGAGGCTGCTCTGCTGTCTGACGAATACTACGCCGCCGCTGCCGCTAAGCGACGAGGTCTTGGTCTCGTTCAGTTCATTGGAGAGCTGTTCAAGCTGGGCATGCTTACAGAGCGTATCATGCACGAGTGTGTCCGCAAGCTGGTCGACTACCAGGGTCTGCCGGACGAGGCTGAAGTCGAGTCTCTCTGCAAGCTACTCCGCACTATTGGTGCCAACCTTGACGAAACCAAGGGCCGTCCTTTGGTAGACGCCTACTTCCAGCGCATCCAGGGCATGGTTGACATGCCTGAGCTGCAGAGCCGTATCAAATTCATGCTCATGGACATTATCGATCTCCGTAGAGCCCGCTGGGTCTCGAAGGAGGCTAACAAGGGCCCCAAGACCTTGGATGAGGTTCGCGCAGAGGTAAGTTTCTATTTTCTTTCTACTATCCTCCCATCCTCTATTCATCCACGGAGTACTAATTATCATCGAATTAGGCCGAAGCTCAGCAAGCTGCCAAGGCTCAGGAAGCCGCACGAAGCAACCAGCGAGGTCCTGGCGGTGGCCGACCTCCCGTTGGCCGCGGTGATGCTCGCGGCTTTTCTGGAGGCTTCCAGCAGCAGACTAGCAACCAGGTTGGCGTGGACGACCTGAGACGTCTGAAGGGCTCATCTATGAACAGAGCATCAAGCGGAAATGTCACACTGGGCCCCGCATCCATGCTCTCCTCTCGTAGCAACAGTGGAAGACGTTTCGGACCTGGTGGCGCCCTTGGCCGCTCTGGTGATGATTCCAACGGCTCTTCACGCGCTGGAACTCCTGGACCAACAAGTTCCAATGCGTTCAGGTAAGCAGCTCCCCTTTCCCCCTCTCAACCCCTCCTTTTCCAACTAAACACTAACATCTACCCAGCTTGCTTGCTACCATGGACGGAGACCACCCGGCCTCCCCTCCTTCTGCTGGACCCTCGCCTCTCATGTCTAAGGCTGTCCCTGCCACTGACAAGAAGGACAATGAATAAAACAAGTTTTCTTTATTCTCGGTGTCTCTGCATTTTGGGGAGGGAAATAGACTAAAGGCGGGGCTGTGTTTTTTTTCTTCTTGCATTTACAAGGCTTTTATGCAACGTTTCACTAAAAGTTTGAGCACGCATTTTACTCGCGATACCTTTTGCCCCATAGATCATTTGACCATAACGGGTGGACAGATGTTGCCTCCCCCAAAGAGGAGGGGAGAGGAATTTGTTTTCTTTTCCTTTTCTCTTTCCCCTTTTCTACGGTCTTCGGACTTGGGGAATTCATCATGATTTTCTTTTATTCATGAATTGTGTTTATAGCTTCTTCTAATGTCCCTTTTTGGTGTGCTCCAATCTTTAATACTGAGTGGCTCGGAGTTGAAAAACAAAAGGGACACAAGTTGATGTCATCATCGCCTGGCGTAAAGGATCACGCCTGGGAGAAATATTACGGATGCAAATACCCACCCTGTTGGTTTTTGGGGGAGGGAAATTCGGCAATACGAGATGGTTGACCACGCCCAACGTTGGGATGTATGAGAGAGGAGAAAAATTAGGGAATGCTTGATGTTAGGAAGCTGAATGACTTTTTTTTACCCTTTTAGCATGAAGGTCAAGATGAATCAATGTGGCAAGACAATTGAATGGCTACCACTTGTTTCTGGCCGTCGTGGATGCTGTATTTACGACATGGGATGGGAAGAGGAAAATGGAAGATGGAAGGGGAGAAGGAATAGGCAAACCAGGAAACAGATGTGGGGATGGATTGTTTTCTTGTTATTAAGGAGGGAGGGTGGGAAAAGGACATTGTCTTGATATCTGATATTTACTCCTTTTTGTTGCCTTTTTAATTTCTCTTTCTGTTGATTTGTTTTTTCTCTTCGACCCATTTTGTAAATCTGCTTTTTCCACGATGTGCTGTGTACATACGACACGCACATTGGTCGGCTGATTGATTTGACTTGATTATTGGCTTCTTCTCTCCTCTTTTAGGGACGTTGGAGTTTTCTTTTGATTTTCCTCCCCACGAATATGATGAAAGTCTTATCTTTTCTCCCTTCCATTCTTCTTCTCACGTTATTTATTCTAGTGAGAGATTGATTGTGTCGAGATATAAGGCGATGAGAATGAGAAAGGGGGAAGGTCAAAAAATCGGGGATATAGTTTTTGTAAGTTTTTGTAGATGGAAATAATATGAGTATGAATCAAATGAGTGCTTTTCAATGTACGCACATGTGCTTTATAATACAATCAAGGATCGTCTTTCATTCATCGTGTGTATAGCATAAACAAGCTCATAAGTGGAAATTGTGTAAACTATAGTTTTGTATAAACATTTCTCAATCTCTCTTCCTCAAATCATAAACAGTTTTTCTTTCCATCTTATCCAATACAACGATCTAAAAAGTTGCATAAAACTCCCAAGAACGCCATTCCCATCTCTCTTACACACAAGACAGATTACAAATGCAATAAAAACATGCCCGTCATAGATATATTTCCCTCCCACCCCCACCCCCCCTTCCTCTCATGAGGCAGCAAACATTTTGCTAAATCCAAGTTTCGCAAAAAGCGTGTCCATGGCAACCCATTGTCTGCCGCACTTATCCAGGTATTTATCCACCGCCGTCTTGACCGTCGTAAAGCGCACGCGGTTGTGCTCAGCCAAGGCCCGAATCTTCTCTCGCTCCTGCGTCGAAATCTCATTCGTGGTATCAGCCGCTCTGGTCTTGGCCTTGTCTACATCCCACAGGCTGGCAAAGTACACCAACTGGTTGTAGATGGCCTTTTCGGTGTACTCGTAGTGCATCGTGCCGTTACAGTCTCGCGCCAGACCCTTGGGGCCTAAGCAGCAGGTGCCGTAGACGCTCATCTGGCGAGTTCGGTTGCCGCACTGGGGTTCGTTGCAGACAAGCCAGCCTTCGTAGTATTGAGATGTCTGGAGACGCACCGCGTGCTCGACCTGTGCTACGACGGAGAGCGTGGGGATGACTGCGCCGCAGCCTGGGCATATGACTCCCGACGCGGTGACGCGATCAGCAGAACACATGAGACCTTCAAACACTGTTGATGCTTTGCACTTTCGGCAGCGTAGAGAAAGTCGCTTGCAGTCGACAAAACGGACTTCGTCAGGAATCTGAGACTCGAGAGGGTGAATCTCAAGATCGTCACTTGAGCTGTTCTGCTGCGTTTGAGTGGAACTATATCGGCGAACGTCCAGGCCGAGCTGTTCAGCAAGCTGAGAGGTGGAGGTACCCGCAATGTTGGCACAGAGACGCTCAACAGGCGGGAAAATCTGTTTGGCTATGTACCAGTCGACATCGGGTTGCAGATTCGGGTCAGCCTTGAGGTCCGGCGGAGCATAGGCTCGCTTTGGCGCAGGTTCAGAGCTTTGGCTGGTGCCTGTGACGATGTAGGAAATAACATCGCCCTTGCGCACAGTCTTACCTCTGGCTAGGTCGCGGAGCGCAACTTGTACTTGAGGCATAGAGTCGGCGTTGGGGTATTCCTTGGGGCCCTTTCCGAGTTGCGTGTAAATGGTATATTTCGGCACCGGGACAGTAAACTCCCTCATCTTGGTAGCCGTTTCTCGTAGGTATTCGTGAATGCGAGCCACAGCAACCTCGATATCATCACCAGACAAAATCTCATCAAGTAAATGCTTGGATACCTCCTTGGAAAGAGCACAGTATTCACGACGCTTCATATCCAGACCCTTCACCTCCATCTTCTCAATGAATTTGCCGTCCTTTTCAATCAAGTTGATAGCAGCGTACTTCTTCTTGGCTTGCAGCAAGATGCGACGGAAAACGTTGTCAATATCGATTTCCAGCAACCTGTACTGTTCGTTGACGGCCTTTTTGAACTCGTTGCCGACCTTGAAAGCGTCGGCAACATTATCCACGTTGGCATTAATCATGACGGAGTCAGTGTCACCGTAAATGACCTGCAGAGACTTACTCTCGGCAAGATCCTTGGTGCTGCGAAGAATTTCTCGACCCTTGTGCGTTGTCAAAATAGCCAGAGGACGAGCATAGAAACGAGATTTTGTGTATCCCAAACAGCCGTACATGGAGTTGGCTGTCAGTTTCAAGGCTAGCTGTTTGATGTCCCAAGTAGCAAGCTGCTCGGGTGTGGCCTTTTTATCCTTCATCAGACTTTTCACCTGACGACGACGGCTGACGAGCGTGGCAATGAGTCGAGGGAGAATGCCCTGGTCCTGGTTCACAGGAACCTCGGGAACTGCATCGTCATCTTCGGCCTGGAAGCAGGTGTTAGTCAATGGTTGGGTCTGTGTTCTGTGTCAACATCAGCTTACCGATGCTGTTCTGTCTACCGTGGTGAAGCAAATGTTATACTCCTGAATGATAGAGGGATACAGAGAGTTGAAGTCCATGACGAGTACAAACTTGTCATACAGACCCTTTTCCGGCTCAAAGACAAGACCACCCTTGTACTTGTCCTTCTTCTTGCCCTCACCAGCCTCTTCATCAATTTCTTCTTCGGCCTTTTGACGTCCCCTGAATGTCTGCTTATCAGGACAGATATACTTGTTGCGGTAGAATTCATGAAGCAGAATGTATTCGTTTCGCTCGGCGCGTGTTCCCGTCAAAGTACGAGCCCAAGAGTTACCAGCCAAATTTGTCAAGACTTTAGTGAGAGGAAGCAGCTGCACACTGACGGCCAATGCAGCGATGTAGTGTGTGTCAGCTTCCATATGGGTCACATAGTCCATGAGACCCTGGCTCTCCTTGGCCCAAGTGTTTAGGGCAACCTCGTTATCAACATCACGGCGACGATTATCACCCGTGAGATACAAGCTGCACATTTCTGTCAAGCTCCACGTCTGACACTTGAACATGGCGGATTTTCCTGCATCGTTGGCAAGATCGCAGAGCAACCGACCCGCCATGACCTGGCGCTCGGCAAACACGTTGCCACCAACCTTGCCGATAGCAGACGGCCACTGAGATCGACGTAGTCTTCCAAGTCTTGACCATTGGTGAGTCTTCTTCTCGAACAGGCGATTTAGCAGTACGCTGTAATCAACACCTTCTAGCTGGTGACCGAGAATGACATCAGGGTCGGCTACATCGACTTGGGCCAAGAAGAAGCTCAGAACATCCGATTCTTGCTTCTTCAAAACAACGAGACCTCTATTTCGCTTCTTTACCAGGGTGTCAAAACCCATGGGGAAAGCTTGGCCATGAGGCCGAATGACGGTAAATGTTCTGCACGGAAGCTTCTCAGCGGGAGTTGTATCGCTCAAAAGCACCTTGTCATAGATTCGGGCACTGATAGCCAAGACCTCTTGCTTGTTCTCCTTGGCATTGAATGCAGTTCGGAGAGCAATGCTCATAAGTGTCAGAGGGGGCATTTCCATGTTATCAGAATCGGGAATGGCAGTGACCATGTTAGGATGTTCAGCCAAAACCTCAAGCTTGCAGTGAGAGGCATTCTTGATGGCGCCAAAATCAGCATCTTGAATCTTCAGCCAGCAAGGGCCCATGATGTTTTTCCAGAGAACAAACTGTTCAAATAGAGCAGTGTTGGTTCCAAAAACATGAGAAAAGGTCTCTCCTTTTATGTCCATGTTGAGTGTAGGTTCTGTGAAAAGCAGGTTAACAGACTGCTCATTAGTCAACAGGGGGCCGTTGGTTTTCAAGACATACTTGTGTAAGGATACAATAGCTTCATGTAATCTGCTTCCTTGGGGATATCTGACAGCTCAAACGCATACTTGCGCTCGGATTTTTTGATCTTGTACATGCCGACGTTCATCTTGGTCATGATTTCGTCAACCTCGTTATAGACATCGCCCATGTCGACATCTTCACCAGTCTCCTCGCCATCTCGAACGCGCTGTTGGCGGGGCAAGAAGTAGAGCTTGCGCAGAATATTGTCAACCTTGACGAAGCAGCTGACGTATGAACGTGTCTTCTTGTTCAGCACTTTGCCAAAGAGACATAGGCTGCCGTTGATTTCGGTGTAGTCAGTCCAGAAGAAATTTAGGGATCCATCGGCTTCAATGGCGTCGTTGTGGTCAATCTTGCCGATGCCTCTGGATTCTGTCTCTGATGAGCTGACGACATTCAGCTTTTCTGTGAGTTCGTTCCATGATGTTGGGTCAACAGAAGTGTCTGGAGCTTTGACCGGAGACGACTGCGGCGGTTCTTCCTTGATGATCTTCTTCACAGGTCGCGAGCCTGCCATGTTGACACTGGCTACCTTGACAGCACCGGCATGAGCAATCTCCATCATGTCGTCATCGTCGTCACTTTGAGGCTCCTGCTTTATAAGAGCCTTGCGCTGGGCGACTTTGGCAGCGGGCGAAGACGGTGCCGGGTCGCTCATGGGCATATCGGCAGTGCTCATGGGCTCGTCATCAATCAAGGGCACAAGACCGTCGTCGTCGTCGAAGTTCGCGGGTGGTGGTGACGGTGACGGCAGCCGTATGTTGACCCTCTTTTGCTTCTTGGAGCTAGGTTCTGGCGCAGGGGATAGCTCTCGAGGTCTGCGTCGTTCGCCACCAGATCGTTCGATTTTGGAGGCTCTTGGTGCGGGAGCTGGGACGTTGGCGTCAACCTCTCCCAGCAGATCGGCTAGAAAGTCGTCGTCGGCCTTGGTTTTGACAACCTGTGGTTCTTGGTAAGCTGTCCGCGCAGGTTATTGCTCTGCTAGAATCGATGTCTTGTACCTTGGGCTTGGGCTGGGCTTTGCCAGCGCCTTTGGTAAAGTACTCGCTGATGCTGCGGTCGTTGGCATCCCGCTTGGCCTGCTCGTCCTGGAGGCTCTTTTTTGCTGTCACTCAGAAATTAGCACCGTTCACCGTTGAAGCAAGCCAGACTTCAAGCCACTACTCACATGCTTTGCTCGGCCTCCCACGCGCTGGCAGGCCTTCTCCCTCGCTGTCCGACTCGTACTGCCGCACTCTGTCCCAGTCCTCCCGCCCATCGTCGGCATAGCCCTCGCCATTGTCGTCGACCACAAAGTCGTCCTGGTTCAGCCGCTCCCGCACAATCTTCTTGTATCCAGCCTCGTCAACCTCGTCGTACAGATTGTCCGCATCTTCTACCTGGTAGCTCTCGAATGCCTTTTTGCCCGCCTGGCGGAGGGCCTTGAGTTCGGCGAGCTTTGCCCGGTGATCGACCTTTGGCATGTTGGAGTGGCGTGTCTTGCGGGTATCATGAACGAATGGCTAGAGGTGGGAATTCAAAATGCAGACATCAGGCAAGGCCACTCGCTTTGCAGCTGATGAAGAGAGGCGGGGGATTCGGGCTTTTGGCGAGGTTTCAGTTGGTTTGTGAAGTACCATCCCACATGCCCTGGCCGCCAATTAATACAAGCCTGCAGGAAACGCGTCTTTACGCGTGGGTCGCGTTGTTGCTAACGCGCTATAATTAATTGGCTGTTAGTGCGTCAGGGCCGCTGTAATCGGTACGTGGGGTCGCTAAGAGGGGCACGTCGATTTATGCAGCGTTCTGGCGATATGAACTTATTGAGATGACTGCAGCTCAATGGCATTGAAATGAGCCAAATAATCAGTTGACTTTACAAGATCCTCAGCAGTGAGAGAGATCAATTTTAATGCGAGAAGATACTTGAAGAGGAGATCAAATTGTATAACAGCTTTAAAAGACAGCCCAAGAATCTCCTTGTCCCTCCTATTTATAAGAGGATTGATGGTATACAGTATCCGTCTATATCATACACTCATAAATCGTACATGTTTAATACGTCCTCTGCCTCCTGGTAGCATCCCCATATCTCCTAGGCCGCCTCTCTTCATCCTGGAATCGTCTTGGCCTGCTGGCATCCCACGACCTTCTAGGCCGCCTGTCTTCCTCCTCTCGGGGCTGTCTTGTCCTGCCGGCATCCCAAGGCCTCCGGGGCTGCCTCTCCTCTTCTACTGGAGCTTGTCTTGTCGTATTCCAGACAAAGTCGCCTCCTGGCCTGAACCCGCTATTCAGTCTGTCCTCTTCACTGATGTTTTCCTCCTCATGTGGCTCAGCAGCATCTCGTGCCTGATCCGGACCGCCACGGCGAGCCTTTCGCACGTTGGGCTCTCTTTCATCACGGCCCGAGTAAAACTTTTGAATCTCGCGGTTAATCTTTGCGCCAACTGAGCGGAGTTCCTTGGCGTCCTTCTCGGGGAGCATCTCCTCGTAGATGACCTTGTTGAATGCGCTGAACATGAGGCGTGCCAGGGCAATGACCTCGCGCTGACTGTTGTAGACTGCTCCTGAACTGGAATCATTACCTTTCGGAATCTCTTTGAAGAAGTGATAGTGAGCCTTTTTGTAAGGCTCCCAGAGATGTGCGAGGGCAGTTGTTATCTGCAGCCCATAGTCACGTTTGGCGCCTTCTTTATCGCCCTTTTCGACTCTTTCGCGGAACTGGAAATGGCTGACGAGGGCAACACGCAAGTACATGCGAAGAGCGTGCAAACCCGGGACGGAAAGGCGCTCAAGCATGGACTCGAGCACTCGGTTTGAATTGGCAATGGCATTGGGGTTGATGTTGTCGCGGACACAAGTCTCCATGGCGATCTCGTAGTGCTTGGCGTCGATGAACTCGTCGGGAACAAGGCTCAGGATAGAGGAGGCGTGAGCGCTGGCTTTGGCAACCTTGAGCATGCCAAACATGCGCAGCCAATTGTCGTTGTCCGGTATAATACCATAGTGGCGAACCAACAAGTTCCAGTATTTGATGCCGCATGTGGTGAGCTTTGAGGAGGCCAGAGTCGTCAAGACCAGAGCCAGGGTGTTTCGGCTAGGGATAGCATATACGGCTCTAGTCGAAGGCACCTTCTTTGCAGCGCCGGTAACAGAGATTTTCTGCATCTCAGAGTCTTGGAATGCATCCATGGTGGTGTCCTGAGCGAGATTGGGGATGCTCATGGTCTGTTGTAGTAAGTTGAGTACCTCCCTCTTGTCTTCCCGCTTAGGAGCAAGGAGAAGCAAACGGCCCATGGAGCACACCAGCTCTTCATCAATGACCAACCGGGCTTGTCTCCAGTGGTCAATGACCTCGGTCCAAATACTCTTTCCGCGATCCACAGCTTTTTGCAAATTTGCAGCTTGTTGCTCCGGCGTGATATCCTTGACTTCTCCGTCGCGGATTGCCTGAAACCGCAAGGCATTTAGGATGGTGGTATACGTATATGACGTAGGGGCGCGGGTAGACTCATTGGCAGTATCCGCGATGAGGAACATGGAGTCGAGGTCACCGGCTCTCGCGCAAACGTTGAGAACAGCGTTCATGTGTATGGAGTTTGGCTGCAGGCGCTTGTCCTTGAGAAGGACGTTGTAGAGCCTGACAGCTTCAGCCACCGCAAGCTTGGGATGCTGCGATTGAGCGCAGCCTCGGAAAATGACTGTGAAAGTCTGGACATTGGGTAGCTGTCCTCTTTTTTTCATCTAGCTCGTTTGTTAGCATTGAGGAGTAGAGACCATGAGGAGACTCGAGAGGGACCAACATCATTGTACAGCTTGATCGCTTCTCTCAGCTTCTGCTTGCCCAGCAGATAGCCGATGAGGTGGTTCCAGGCCACGACAACCTGGCGATCTTTGCCCGCAGTCTTTGTCAAGAGCAAGGCTTCTTCAAACCTGTCAGTGGCGAGGGCATTTTCCACGTATTGCGCAATCTTCCATGGATCGTCCGTGTTCATATGCGCCAGCTCCTTCTTCACAATGCGCTCCAGCCGCTCCTGGTTCTTCTTGTTGGAGACTTCGGAATCGACCGGCTCCAAGATGAGGTTCCGTGGAGCATCGGTCCGTTCAGCGATTGTGGATGCTATTGTAGAGGCATACCGTCTGCTGGCCTGTAGAGGAGCTGCTGGTAGGATGGCGGTTCTGCGAGTCGATGCTTGCAAGGCGCGGCGCAAGCAAGCGGCGCAAGTTCCCAAGCTTCCTGACATTGCGCTGGATATCAAAGAATAACAAGTAACAACTTTGTTTTATTTATTGTCTTCTTTTAAGAGCCACTAGAACAGCGTAGCAATCTGAAAATAAAAGACTCGAATTCAGCATGGCTACTCTCAGCCTCACCTTGTCTATCTCTGCATCTACAACTTTGCCATCCATCAAAAGCTGGAAAATTATTATCTTATCCCTATCTTATCGCCCGCCCACTAGACAGGGGGCTCCCGCCACCTCCAAAACCCGCTAAACCGCCCCCAGAAATAGCGCTGCAGCCCGGCCTGCCTTGAAGCGGCACCTCCAGCCAATCACATGCCCCGGCAGCCTCCCAAAGTCTCACCAAGGGACCATTTTACTCTCCCTTCAGCGCTCAGCCGTAACGACCAGAGAGAGACGCGACTAAGAAAAAAAGGCAGCCAGAATCCATCCATCTACGCTCTGGCTTCACAATTTGCTTTTGAAAGCTTCGTCCTCTTCTTTTCGCATTTTCAGTTAATTATCGACGATACGAGAACATCTTTCTACACTTATCAACGAAACGACGCTGAAAGCCGTACAAAATGGCGCCTGTTGCCACCGAGTTCGAAAAAATCATCAATACCGGTACGCTCTATTTGCCCGCCGTCGCGCGCGCGCACTCGCACTCGCACCCGCAGAATCGAGAATCTCCATCACGACACAATTGTCTTTTGCATCAGACAAAATCAAAATACTAATTAGCTGTATAGCCCGAGAGCGCAAGAAGAACGAGGCTCTCGCCGATAAGATCTTCTCCAGGGGCCGTCGCCAGAGCGCACCGACAAACTCCAAGCCTCAGATCGGAGGATCGCTCGCCAGCCGTGTCGGCGTGAAGAAGGTATTGAAAGATCGCCACCTTCATCATTAATTTCTAACCTTGCTAATTGTTGTTAAAAGTCCCAGCCTCAGAACAAAGCCATCGCCGCGCCCTCATCCCGACGCCGCAGAGCGAGCGTGCCCGCCGGCGACGTCAACGGCGAATGGACTCACGACCTGCACAGCTCCGTCAACCGCCCCAACAGCAACAACTCCCCCGCCAATGCGCCCCTCAGCTCCCGAATCACTCTCCCCGGCGGTGCTGCCGCCAAAAAGGCCGCTGCCAAGAAGAAGGTCGCCCGGCTGACGGCTGCCTTTGACCGCATGGAGACGGACGACTCCGTCAAGCGCCAGGTCAACATTGTAAAGAACGGCGGTAAGGCCCAGAACCAGAACCAGAACCAGACGCGAGATGCCGGCATGACGATCCGGGGACTCGCAGGGCCCTTTGCCGTCATGGCGCAGAACTTTGCGCCTGGGACGACGGCGGCGGATATCGAGAGTGCAATGACGCCGGTGGGGGGCGAGATGGTCAGCTGCGAAATCGTCAAGACGCAGCCATTCATCGTTGTCGAGATGGCGTTTGCATCGAGAGAGGGCGGCGAGAAAGTCATTGAGACGTTCAACAACAAGACTGTAAGAGCAAAACCCTCTCCCTCGTTTGTTCCATCATCGCTAACCCCCTTTTCAGGCCGACGGCAGAGTCATCAAAGTCTACCCCAAGCCAGGCGGCTACAAGGCTAATCGCAATTCACCCTTCTCAGGCCGCCAGAAGTCATCCCAAGACGACCTCATGGGCGACTACGACACCGACCTCATAGACAGAGAAAACGTGCCCCCCTCATCAAGGGGCGGCAGCAGCAACAACAGGCTGCAGTACAACAACGATGGCAATAAGAATAACAACGTTAACAAGCGAGGCCGAGGATTCCAAAGGGGCTCCAACAACAACGGCGGACGATAGACTCGTTCACGGTTGGGAGAATTTAAAAAGAGACATTCTGTATCATAGTCGTGTGTCAAAAGGTCGAAGCTCAACATACCTCTCTTCTGTCCTTTCTTCCTTATTATATTTGCTTTTTATTTTTATTTTTTCGTTTTCTTGTATCTATCTTCCATAGGGTTTTAGGATTACACAGCGGGTTTCTTTTTGCCATGGAAGGGGGTGGGGATTAATTCGGACATATATGATACGGCCAATAATCTAGCGTTTTATTGCTTTTTCTACCTTTTTCCTTTCGTCCCTCTTATGACACTTCTTTTGGGCAATAACAATGGTAATGTGTGTGTGAGTAGTGATGATAAATTATCTTTAAAAAGTAGGGGGCGGTATGGATGAGTTGGATGAAACAGGAAATGCCGTGGAACCTAAATACTGGTAGAACAAAAATTAGATTTCAATTCGGAACAGAACAACAGCAGTACCTTATATATGTAGAGTACATCCATTGATGGAGTACATCACGGAATCAGCGTCCATTCACACCAAGTCAGCATTCTCATACAATGCCCTCAAATAAGCACCCCAAAAAAGGAGAGGCAAAGTAAAACGCATGGCAGCACTGAACCCCTTTTCAATTCATAATATAAAATCACACCTCCCCTTCAATTGCAATTTCGTCTCTCTTTCTTCTTTCTTCTCTCTATCCTTTGGGGAAAAAAAGCTCCCCTTTTTCTTTTCTCTCCAACACCCCTTCCCTCCCTTTATCCCACCAGCCCTGGAACAGTCAAGCAAACAAACAAACGCAAAAAAGTAGGCCAGTCTCGATTTTGCAGATACTACATACATATAAAAGAACTATGAGAAACCGAGGAACAAGACAAAATAAGACATCAATTGCAGAATAGGAAGTATAGTCGTACAGGTAGGGGAAACAGGAAATCAATCTCACAAGGAAAAGGAGGCGCATAGAAAAAACCCCCAATTGCCCTGCCATCCATCCACAATCCCGCACCAAAACGCGAAACTATTACGGACTGCCATCTGGTACATCTGAAGAGAAATCGGTCTCCAGCCACCTAACGTATAGAATAGCCGAAGCGTATTTCTTTCCACTGATCTGTCGAAATCCACAAGCTTCATGTATCATGAAGTCACACGGTAGGGAATCGTATGTGGTTGAAACATCATCACAGGCAAAGAGGGTATGAGGCTCGGTTATGGGCAATTTCAAATAAAACATCCTTTGTCGACTAGGCGGGCCTTTTGCTTTCCGCCGCAACTTAAAACACACACAAGCCGCCAATGGTTCATACATGACCATACTTCTCAATATCGTTACGACTTTCTTTCAAGCCATCGGCGCGGTAGGCGAGGAAACGCTGCGCTCATGGGGTTATACCTCCCATGAGCGATATGGCCAACGGCGGCGGATGCTTCTTTGTCTGATGCCCCAATCATAAATCCTAACAATACCCATGACATGATGACAATAACTACCACATTCAGAAGATAGCAGACTTCTTTCGTTTCGGATCGGAAAAAAAACAAGAAAAGTAAATAGGTCAAAAGCCTCAATGCCACGGGTTCTGGTTGCCCATAAAACCTTCTTCCAGAGTCCGCTCTTCCAGGTTACGAATAAAGTCCCTGTTGCTTCGCTGACCACCCTGTTGAATCCGGCTTCCTCGTCGGCCGGCGCGCGCTGCCGCATCACCTAAGCCCTCACCAGTTGGAGGATAGTATGCCGGGCTGGGCTGGAGCCGGATGGGCTGGCTCGGGTCAAGGTGGCTCGCAACACGCTGCAGCGCTGGAGGGATGCCGCTTTGCTGTTGCTCCATGGTTGAAGCCCGTTGTCGGTTCGTCCTCATGCCGCCTTGCTGATACATGTTGGGCTGCGCCGAGTTCGGGTACTGCGATGACGGCAGCTGCTGAGGAGCCTGTTGCATGCCCATCTGGCCGTACTGAGCAGTCTGTGGTTGTCCGTATTGCGGGGGCACGTTTCCATGAGCAGCTCCGGGGTTATAGAGGCCACTGTTGGAGTACAGCGGAGCCGGCACATGGGCAGACTGCGGATACTGACCACCACCCATTGGAGACCCGTATCCACCCTGCGCCGGGTTGACCTGCGACTGCACTGCCTGCGCCTGAGCTTGGGCCTGGGCTTGTGCCTGCGCCTGGGCTTGTGCAGCTTGTGCCTGAGCCTGTGCGGCTCGCTGTTTGCTAAGGGCCTCTGCCTGCTGCTGTTGCTGAGTTCCGGGAGCTGGCGACCTATTAAGAGAGCTCGACTTGAGATTCATCGGCGGGACAAAAGGTCCTGTGTACTTTTGTTGCGTAATGAAGGGATGTAGCTTTGCTTGCTGTGGTGACCATCGCTCTAGAGGGTTAATGTTAAGAAGGCCCCTGACGAAATCGATGAAAGCAATGCGGTTGTTCATCTCTGTACGGGGGGTGATGACGGATCAGGTTAGCCATATTCAAGCAGATCTTAGTGCCAGGAATTCTTACCTCGATCAATCTCGCTCTGCTTCATATTCTTCCGAGGCATGGGATATGACTTGATAATCTCCGGGAGCGTGTTTGCCTGGAAATACTTCTTACTAGGCTGCTCCTTGGTGTTGTGCTCCCGCGAGTACTGCTCCATGCTCTTCATGTGGTATGTCCGCCTTCCAAACTCGTCTTGTCTCCTTTCAAAGAACTCGAGGCCCTGCTTGCCCATGTCAATCATCCAATTAGGAGGATTGCCAAGCATCTCCACGATTCGAGCAATCTGGTTGTACTCTGACGATCCGGGGAAGAGGGGCAGTCCCAAGAACAGCTCCACCACGATACAGCCCAGTGACCACATGTCAATTGCAGACGAGTAAGGCAAGCCCAGCAAGACCTCGGGTGAGCGATAGAATCTGGACTGGATATAGGTGTAGACGGTCTGGCGCTCGTCACAGGCGGATCCAAAATCAATGATTTTGATGATGGGACTCTCGAGATTCTTTAGCAGGATATTTTCCGGTTTCAGATCGCAATGGATCAGTCGAGCTTTGTTGAGCAGCGCCAGGCCATTGAGGAGCTGCTGGGCAAAGACACGGACCAGAGTGGTACTGAGGCCGCGGAACTGGTTTTGCTTGATGAGCTCATACAGGTTGACGCTGAGCAGTTCGAAGACGAGACACAGATGCTGGCGGTGGATAAATGTATCTTTGAGACGGAGAAGATGGTGGTCGTCGTTTTTGTCGAGTTTCGTATTGAGCTTGTTGAGGTGTAAAAGTCAGTACACAGGGCAAGCTATCAACAAGCCAATGAGGGGGGGGGCTCCGGTTTGGAAGACGTACCAGATCAAGCACAGAAACTTCCATCATACTCTGGTTAAAGTAAGCCGTGCGATTCTTGATGACCTTGACGGCAACAACCTCTTGCGTCTTGAGGTTCTGGCATTTGACGACCTGGCCAAAAGTACCCTGGCCCAGCACATCGAGAATGAGGTATCGATTCCTGCAGAAATTGGATGTGAGTCAGAGGGAGCAACGTCGCTGAGAGAAGGATTCAGTAATTGTAATGACGCACTTGTGGCCAGCTTCCTCGGAGCCCAGAATGTCATTCACGTAGAGGATATAATCGCTGTCCTCGTTGTCGTAGCCATCGTTCTTGGTGCCCTTGCTGGGCTTTGTTAGGACTCGGCGAGGGTTCCGCGACGACTCGTACTTGAAGCTCGGGTTGCAGATGCGATATGTGGCAGGCAGATGGGCCGTCAAAGCTTGGAGAGGCTAATGACACACATTGTAGCGATATATTAGACGACCAACTCATAGAGTGAAAGAGGGGGGAAAAAACTCACGCTGATGAAGCCTCCCTCGGGGTTTGCCCGCCTGAAGCGCGGCTGGCGCGTGTTCTTGGGCTGCAGCTCGCTGGGCGACTTGATCTTCTTCACCTCGGGCACCGTCCTCATGGCGGGCGGGTTCTGGCGGCGTGGGGCCTTTGCGTCGTTGAAGGCGCCGTCGAGCGCGGCAACGGCAGACGAGGGGTAGCCGTCGAGGGTGGTGTAGGAGGCAATGGGCGGCAGCTGGGGCGGGCCCTGGCCGCGAGCAGCGTAGTAGGGGCTCTGCGAGTAGTCGCCGGCGTTGGGCGGCGTGTGCTGCGACGGCGAGCTGGTGAAGTGCGGCTTGGACGAGGCGTAGGGCGACGTTGGCGACAGCGTGTCCATAGGCGAGTAGCGCTGGGCGGCGGACGAGGGCTGGCTCTGGCTGACGCTGCCGCTGTGGCTGTGGTGATGCTGGAGCGGCGGGGGTTGCTGTTGTTGATGCTGTTGTTGATGCTGTTGCTGCAGTTGCTGCTGCTGCTGCTGCTGCTGCTGGTCCTGCGGCGAGTAGAGCCCCGACGAGCGGGCGGTGCCCGACAGGTGCGATTGGTGGTGCGGCCTCATGGGGTACTTGATGCCGGCGTGGGCATCGTGGGCGTCGTGCATGGCGATGTCGCCGCTGGTGTCGCGCGCGAGGGGCGAGGGGACGGCGTGGAGGCTGCCGGAGCTATGGTGGGCGCTGGGCTGCAGCGGGTGCGGGAGCTGCGGCGGGAGCTGCGACGAGAGCTGAGGCTGCTGGAGATGCTGCTGCTGTTGGAGATGGTGATGCTGGCCTTGGTGTTGGCTCTGCTGGTACTGGTCGAAGCTGTAGGCCGACGCCGCTCGGCTCGACGACGACGACGCGGCAGCAACGGGCGGCACGGCAGAGGCAGAGGCGTGGCCGGCAGCCGAGATGGACAGCGGCGACGGATAGTCTCGCGATGGCTGGCCGTTGGCGGTGCGTCGTTGCTCTCGTTGCGAGTCGGGGAACCACTGCGGATTGTCCATGGCGGGTGGACTGGGCTGGGCTGGGCAGAAAGGGCCACGGCCAAGGAGGGGCGTCAGCGCGGGCTGCGAGCCTGTCCTGTGCTGTGCAGCGGCTTGAGGGAGAGAGACAGAGAGAGTCAGAAGGGCCCGGGGCAACGGGCTGCAAGAAGCCCAGCGACAGCAGCGCTATTATTGGCGGGCTCTTGTTTGTTTAATTTTTTTTTTCTCCCCTTGTCGTGTCTCTCTTGTTAAGTTTTCTTTCTTCTTTGGTGTACCTGCTTTCCTGAATGACAAAAGGCTTGCTCTCTCTCGTCTTTCGTTGGTTCCGGGAGCCGCTCGTCTGCGCTGCGCGGCACACAATTGGGCGCGCGCTGTGGAGGCCCGAAAGCAAAGCACGCAGCCAGCACGAGCTAGATAGTGTTGACCGGCGGACCCAGCTTTTTTTGGCGATTGAACCTGCTTCGATTCTTGCTTGATGCGGAGGCGGATGGACGCTGTGGAGATCGGTCTGGTCTGGTCTGGTATGCTGCCCGGCTGTCGTGCTCGATTTGCTAGTACTAGCAGCAATTGAGCACAGCGAGCACCTCAGTCCTAGGATTAGCGCGCCAGCATGTGCTTCGTCATGGCACCTCCTGCATAGCAACGCCCAGGACGAGGGATGGAGAAGGAAGCAGGAAGCAGAAGAAGAGTAAAAAAAAAAAAAAGAGGGCTGGGATGGCGCCGGAAATGCTTGACAGTCAATGGAAGGTTAATCGCATAATAACGTCTAGGCGGCTCTTGTGGCTGGCTCAAAAAAGGCCGAAGCCGACTCGAGCTGGTTTCGCGTGCACAGCGCTGAAGATTACAGCGGGCAGCGCTCTAGGCCTCTCGACTCCAGGTGCAGTCTAGCGTCTGACTGGGTGGTCGCTACGCTGCGTCAGTCCTAGCCCCGCCGTGGTAACAAAGTCGGCGCAGCCAGTCTGGGCGTGAGACGAGGGGGTGAAACTCTAGAGCAGCAGATCTCGGGGGCCCAAAGCCATGCTGCGTCAGTGATGCAGTGGGGGTTTGGACATTGATATCAAATCACTGGTGGCAACATAGACTACCACCTAGCGAGATGCCAATGACAGCATTTCAACTACATGCGCCTATTTACTGTGCAACACCCACTAACCTTGCTGCGATATGCAACCCATTTTGGCCGCAGTATACGAGCATCAGAATTGAACCATTACACCACATCCCCGTCAGAGACATCCGTTGTCCCAGACACTGGAACATCAACAAACCACAAACACGCACCCTGTGCTTCCCTCCATGGCCCACTAAAAGACGGCGAGCTGTCCACGTAATCTGGCCGCCATATCCAGGATCCCTACAGTCGACGATGCTTTGCTTGGCTGCTGCAAAGTTGAAACAGCACGATCAACGCATTGTGCTACCACTACCAACACCAATAGACGCAGTGCTTGTGCCATGGAGCTGTACATCCATCTATTCAAACCAGCATGAAAACAACAAAAGCAGGCCTTGTAGTATCTGTAACGTATTATCCGAACCAGCGTAAAGGTTTGCAGCTAAAAATGCTACAGTACATGCGCGTGCGGCCTATTCCGTCCGCAATAAACTCCACATCCACTCTTTGACGCCGTCTTCAGCGAGTCAGCATCGCCAATTGCTCCAGCCGCGTTGCCGCCCAGCAGCAGTCACAAAGAAATCACCAATAGATGTCAAATTATCGCATCCCCAAGGGAAAAGGAATCAAACGTATCAGCATAATGCCTCGTTGTATCAAATTCATTGGCCCTAAAGAGAGAGCCAAAAACAAGGAATTAAGCACCCGTGCTTTTTTTTTCTCCATAATGACAAACCACTTTCATGCTTCCGAATGGCTTTTGCATCCATGGTGGCGATTCTGGCTGCATACAGCTTGTGTATGCATGCGTAATGGATGATGGGAAAAGCTGTGCTCGTCATTCCGGGAAAGTAGGTCCACGCCTGTAGATAGACGCCCGTTCGGAAGCATGAAGGCGGTTTATCATTACGGACTGTCTTATTGCGATATCATCGGTATTACATGGCCTAGAAGCTCAATTTCTCTCATCATTACACTTCATGTTGAGTAAATGTACATGTACCTAAGCTCCCCATCACATGCAAAAAGGCCTAGCACCCGTTCAGCCCCGCCTCGTCAACCCTGAAGCGAGTGCTACACTTTGCGCAAGAGCAAAAGTGCCCTGTCGTCTGCCTCGTACGATCAACAGCTGTCCTCATGTATTCGCCCCGATATGCCATTTAGAAGACACCCAGCAATTGAGCTGAGCAAGACTCAGTAGAGCTTTTCAGACATTAATCAATGCATCATCATCTGCAGCCGACTAATACTACATACATTTTCTCGCCGGACCAAGAATTTTATGGGAAGAAGTTACATGTAACCAGCACCTCAGCTGCAGCTCAGCAAGGCAGCCAGCCCATATACCACAAATACACAACTGCTAAATGTTAATGATACTTAAAAATAGCAGTAGATTCAGTAGCATCAGCGCATCAGTGGCATCAGCGCATCAGTGGTATCAGCAGCATCAGTAGCATCAGGAGCAGCAGTAGCTAGAGTGTTGAATTAGTATAAACAACATCCTTATTTCTTTGTAATGCTCCGAGGCAAGCAGTCTGGCTACACTCATACCTAGGTACTCCGCCTTTTCACACAAAATATGCTCTTCTCATATAAACCAACCCTTTTGACACAATATGGTGATGCCATGCGAAATTCTTTCATATAGCGCAAGACAAGAGAAAATTCGTAATCATCATCATATGAGGGGAACAGGCGTTTTAAAACAACAAGCAATAAAAGGAGAGAGAGAGAGAGAGAATAGATGAAGAGAGAGAAATGGTATCTCCAAGAGTGGCGCTTATCAAGAAAGTAAAAATGAAAGTAAAAATCAAGATCAAAAATCATTCCAACTTTTCGTTTCTCTCGTGCATGAAATAAAAAGAAAATTACACGGCAAAGCGCCTGGAAGAGACAGCCCTTTGCAAATCACACTGGAAAAGAAAAGAAGAAGATGGCTGATACAGAATGAAAAAGAGCCGATATGATGGAAATGGCAGTAGATAAAAAGGGGAGTGGGGGAGAGGAGACGAGAGAGAGGATCAAGAAATCAACAAGAACCGGGGAGACAAGGAAAGGAGTATGTTACGTCAAATGGCAAAAAAGAAAATGAGTCCTTCCCAAACCATGACATTGTTCTTTTCTCAATCCTCCGCTCATATAGCTTGCGATCCATTCGCAGTTCAGTTCATACCCGGTGACTACGACTGATAGCCGCCGAAACCATTGTTGAAGTTTTGTCCCTGGTTCTGGTTCCACTGGCCGTTGGGACCCTGGTGCCCGCGACCATATCCTCCGGCACTCTGAGGGCCCCCATAACCCATGGGGGAGCCGCTGTATCCTGCAGGAGAGGCGGCTTGCGGGCCGCCAAAGTTGCCCTGCTGTCCGTTGTACTGAGCTACAATTGGAGTGTCATGTTAGTGTCCTGGTTCTTCAAGCCAGCAGGCATCATCACCACCGATGCTGAATCAGCTCAACTCACCTCCGTACTGCGGGTAGTAGGTAGGAGTACCAGGGAAGCCAGGCGCCTGAGAAGTCTGAGGGCTGTATGGCTGCTGCTGAGGGTCAAACGATTGAGAGTTGGGCGTCTTGTCCTTGCCCCACTAGATGACATTGTCAGCCACTCATATGTTAGGTCGTCACTTAATAGCAGTCTACTTACGCTGCACTTCAAGGGTCGGCCGTTGACATTGTATCCGTTCATCTGGCAGATGGCCATTGCCGCATTCTCATGCGTGTCCATCTTGATAAAGGCAAAGCCGCGGTCGGCCTGGAATCGCGACTCCACCACAAATCCAAAGTTTTGGAACAGAGGGACAACATCGGTGTGAGTCGTGTAAGGAGTGAGATTTCCCACGTAGCAGGTTGTCTGCCAGTTGGGCGTCTGCGCCAGGATCATTTCGTAACTAGCGATGCCGTGGGCAGGGAACTGGTGGTGGCCAAAGGGAGTAGTAGGCGTCATGCCCATAGCCTGCATCGCCTGCTGCTGAGCCATTGAAGGCTGGCCCTTTTGGTTGGCCCAGTTGCAGCGAATCGCCCTTGATCCGAGCCACTCTCCATCCATGGAGCTCAGGGCCTTTTCGGCGTCGGGCCGGTCACGGAAAGCGACAAAGCCATAGCCTCGAGACCTGCCCGTCTTCATGTCCCACATGACGCGAGCTTCCGAGACGGAGCCAAAGGCAGAAAAGGCCTGGTGGAGGATATCATCGTTGACCTCATTTGAAAGGTCGCCAACGAAGATGTGGAAATGGTTGGAGGTGTCCTCCTTGGTCGTGGTGTTGGACTGATAGGCCCAGTTGACTCGAATCTCCTGTTTTGACAAAGATGTGTGTCAGCGCCTAATAGCGTCGGAACCAAGAAAGTAGTCAGCTAGAATCATAAAGAGGAAACATACAGACTGATGAACCCTTCGTCCATTGAGAGTTGCCATGGCCCTATCGGCCGCACCAGGGTCATCGTACTCGACGAAGCCATAGTTGTAGCCTTTGGCCTACATCTCAGAACATGTCCTTGTCAGCAAATATCGCACACACGCAGTCTCTTGTCAGGAGCTAGGAAGAAAATAGCATACGTTCTTATCGGGGATGATCTTGACATTCTGGACATGTCCCGTGGTCTCGAATATCTGGCGCAGCACATCCTCAGTCACTCGCTGGTCCAGGCCGCCAACGTAGAGGGCCCGCTTGTTAGGCTCAGGCGCAGCTCGTCGGAAGCCCGTGGTGGGCGAGAGGATGCCACCGCCATCTACGCCAGAGCGGGGAGATGTGATGGCCGTCGGGATCGGGTTGTTGTTCTGCGGAATATGGAGAGGAGGCGGGGGGAGGTGAGTTGGGTTGCCTTGGCCGTTTTGGGCGGCAGAGGCGCCCACGGGCTGCGCAGCGGTCGAGACAGCGCCAGCGTCGGCCATTGTCGCGATTGGGAGGTTCTGCGTCGAGGATCGGGTCGAGCGCGCAGGCGGTGGTGGGAGATGGCGGCGCGCAGAGGGTGTTGCGGCCGTCGGTGGCGAAGAAGGTGGTGAGGAGAAGTCGGTAGAGAGGAGGGGTCTTAGGGGGGGGATGCAACGAAAGAGATTCCGACGACAAGCTCGCTAAAACACGGACGGCGAGAAATAAAAGACCAAACAAGCAGATGAGCTTCCAACGGGGCGTCGAAAGATGCTGGAAATGAACCGGGTCGGGTCGAGTCGAGTTGACAGACAGCTGTAGGTAGTTGGGAGATCAGGACCCTGGGAGAGCTTGCAGCGCTTTTGAGGAGGCTGAGGCGGGACACAAGAGGAACAAGACAGGGGAAGAGAAGAACCGGATGCCGAGTTGAGAAAAAGAAAGAAGAAGGAAACAACAGAACAGAAGAAAACGATACAAGGAAACGAGTCCCGCAAATCGAAACCAACCGCTCCGCTACTTTTGCACACACAGCGACTTGTCAGTTGGGAAAAGAGACGAGAAAAATTCCAGCCTGGGCTAGCTGGGCAAAAGGTGATGAGGTGAAGGTTTGTGCTGGACAAAGTGGAGGCCGGGCTTGGTGCTAACAATTTCGCCCGGTAGGCGAGGAGCGAAGCTACCCTGGATGTGTGGCGAGGCCGCAGCTTTTTCTCTGATCCACGGCCATGCTACGAGGCTACCAGTGCCACGGAAAGTTGGCGGTAAGAGGAGGAATTAGGAATTTTTTTCATATAATTAATTATAATTAATTTTTGTTTGCTATTGTTCCTGGCTTGATTGCGCAGGGGTTTTTGCATCATGGCTCATGAAGCTTAGCACTGATATGGCTTATAGCTAGACGCCTAGCGATTTGGGCATTGTGTAATTCAACAGGTATGTACTCGTCAGCCCAAGAACCATATTGCTCTAGACGGCATTGACTACAAGTACTTTATAACAACAGACTTGCACCCAGACTTGCACATCTCTCACTGCCAAGCAGGCACCTCTTATCAATCAACATCATTAGGCTCTGTCCGTTTATTGCCCCCAACGCAACAAATACGAGGCGGTGCCGTCTTGAGGCTCCTATGCGGCGCCACACCCGTTTCCGCGGCCAGTTTCAGGCAACTCCACAGCCGGACTCATGGAAGCCATTGTTATTTCGTAGGGCGAGTGCAATAGTTTTGAGGGTTTATCTTCCCTAATTGTGCGGAGTTAAAGGTGTGAGACATGCATATGTAAGTAGTATGTGACAAGGCTCCAGGCATATCATTCCTTTACGTATTGGTCCTACACGAATGCAGCTCGCCATTGGTTTTTCCCAAGGCCCAGCAGTATATGCCACAGCTAATGTAAGATTAACCCTGCAGTATTGATGCGTTGTTGCGGAGCTAAGCTCACTTTCAGCTGCTCGAAATAAAAGCCACCGTGATGGTAGTAGCAATAGACACAACTCCATCAACTGCTAATCCTCTATAGCATTAGCCAGCCGCTGCCCGCTACGGAAGATTTCCTCGAGACGAGATCTATTAGCCGTTTTTCAGTCAGCAATATGCGGGGGAAGCTGAGCCAATCCGCGTCCAAAACAGCCGCCTGAGCCACACGATCCTCAGCGGAATACGGGATCGGCTCAAGTGGTAGGCCTATCGCCCAGGACCCCGCGGAAAACGGCATATACAGCCGGTAGAGTATACTTGAGGGCACTCGCTTTAGTCTGCAAGAAGCGAGTACTGAGTACTTCTCCCGTGCACCTCAGCCACACTTCCACCCCAAATTCTACAGGGCTCTCCAGCGCTTGTACGGCCTCAAACCAGAAGCTTTTGGCGCAAGCCACAGCAAACTCTCGCCCCTTGTTGCGACTAGCAGCGATGCGGCCGTCAGCCCATCGACACGATTCCAGGGCAAACATCTCACTCTTATAAGTACTGCTGCATACCCGCGCTTGCACTCAACTTGACCTCTAGACGCTCCTGTTGCTGAGTATCTCCATCCTCGCTGCTTCACTGCCTGATTCGGCGCCCCAGCCCGTCCGATTGGCTGCTCCGTCTGCCGGCCCCAGCAAATCTCAGCCCAAGCGCCAGCGCCCTTCAGCCTCCGCGACCTTCTCTCCTGGCCCTCAGGCCTCGCTCACCAGACAACGAGCCGCAGCCCTTTGGCGCCCTGCTGGCGGATGCATATGCATGTGCCCGGCGCTCGCTGTTGATTCTAGGCCTCTCGCTGCTGTGTTCTCTGGCGTTGACGTAGACTGTTCCGCAGCATGGCGACGTCCAACTCAACCTCGGCAGCTCCCAAACAGGAACCGCTGGACGCCCTGCAGTCTCTCATCAACGATGTTGTAAGTCTCGCCTCTTGTTGTTGTTATCCTTTTCATCACCAGCTAATTAATCATTCTGCCGCCAAAGCTCGTGCAAACCGGAAAGGCTCTGCGGGCATCGCGCAAAGACTCTCGGGGGAATCTGACACACGTCCCCGGCCCTTCGCAGTCCAAGCTGCCAGAAACCATCCGCCTCTTTCACAGCGCGCTGGACGAGCTTGAAGTGGAAATTGTAAGCAATCCCTCGATACCTGTTCATTGACGCCCTCACACTCTCCCTTGTCTGAATATTCGCCTCTCTGTTGTTATAGTTACTCACCACTTACTCTCTTTGTTTGCCCCTACGGCTAGATTGAGGCAAAGTCAGTCTTGCTCAGAGATCTTAATGAGCTACAAGAGAGGAAGAAGAAACTTTTGCCTCAAACACAAACCACTCCCCAGCAGCCCATAACTATTGATATCCCATCCGAATCGCCCGAGCCCAAGGACGAGCCCATGGCCGACAGCATTGACGTGAAGCCCATGGCGCCATTTCCCAACATGAGCATCAACCTCTCAGAGGCCGACCACATGGACATCTCTGCCAAGGAGCCCAATGGCCAGCAACAGCAACCGCAACCACCACCGCCTGGCGGCATGAATGGACTGAGCGGAAAAGCCAGCCCGGCCTTCGCCTCTCGACTGCCTGCTGGAGACCACAAGCCGACTCTAGACATGCTGCCTGAAAACACCAGCACAAATCAGCCTCCTATAAAGGCAGAGCCTTCCGGTATGAACTTTACCAACATGGAATTCACCCTCGCACCACCGAGCAACGAGGCCTCTGGCCAGACGAATACGTCGTCCAAGGAGCCCTTCTTTGACCTAACTACTTTTGCTCCGGCTGATGGCGGTGACGAACTCTTGAATCTCAACAATCTCTTACCTGACCAGCCATCTGCCGGCAACAACAACAACAACAACAACAACAACAGTATCGCCAACAACAACAACCAGCCGTCAATCTCAGCCGCCGCCCATAGCATCTCAATCCCCAACGCCAACGCCGCCCCAAAGGTAGAAGAACAGAAATTCGACACCAACCTCAACACAGAGTTCTTTGGCCACGAGTCCGGAGCCGCTGACGGCATGGACTTTGACTTTAGCCTGGGCGGCTCGGGAGACGATACCTTTGACGACCTGATGAACAACCGCGACAGCAACTTTGAGCTTATGGATGCGGGCGGCGACTTTGACTCTGCCTTTTTTGGACTTGATAAGTCAGATGAGAGTGCTTCTTGAGACTTTCTGAGAGAAGAGTTTGCAGGGAAAGAGAGAGATTGTGAGAGAAGCGCTGGGCTTTGGATTTTTGATTTTTGATTTTTATTTTATTTTTCGTTTGGTATTTGACTGCAGTTTTATAATTGGGAGGATGGTTGGAGGAACAAGGTTTTCAAGTTTTTAATATCTCGGGCTCTCTATCTATATTCTTGATCGGGAACACAAAACGAACAGCGGTCACCGGTGTCTTTTGGGCAAATCTGGATGGGAAATTGGGAAGGGGGTTGGAATCAGGAATTATCATTCAAAAGACTGTATATATACCTATCTATCTATACCCGTTGCTTGCTTTTTCAAATAATTATCTCGTTACGCTTTTCACCTTTCGATTCATGATATCTTGACTGTACATATTACTTATTATATGTCTCTCCGGTTTTAACTTGAGAAATACCCCAAGTGATTATTTGATAAGGCACATGTAGCCGTGTTGCACAGGCCTCGGAACTCCTGCCAAAAAGAAAAAAAAAAAACAATTTGTCTCATTCATCACAGCATTCTTCATCCATCCTGTTATCATACAAAAGAAAAAGGAAAGAGAATTAATTAGCTCCAAATATATGGAGCATAAAGAATGGAAAATGCCTGGAAGCATTTCATGCACGAAAAAGCTAAAACTAGTATGAATGAAAGAAAACAGAGATATACTCTCTTTTTTTCTTTGATGTGGAATTGAAACCAACTTCCCCGTAGGTAGATGATATAGCGGAAGAAGAACAAGTCAGTCCAACCCAAACCACAACACGCTGACAATACCCTCCCCCAGTATCGAGGCCATTATTTTTCTTCATATTCAGAATAGTAGTGAACCTCCTGAAAGACAAAGAAAGAGCACCTTAAACTTCAACAAATGCGCCCCGTATTAGTCACAAGCTCATTCTAAGCTGTAATGTGTGTGTATGTGTGCGCCAGGGACATGAAAAGAAGGTCAAAGGAAAAAAAAAAAAGGATATGTAAGTGCGACTAATTTGGTATAATAAAGAGTAATAATCGAGTCATAAATTCGTCATGTAAGATTACGAAAGGAAGAGGGTATTTATCGTACGACAAAAGAAAGACAGAAAATGAAATGATGAGCGAAAGTAGAGTAGGCAGGTAAGAAGCTCTCGCGGAAGAGCTTCAAACCCAGCGTTATGACGACGGAGGATTGACCACGACGGTTGCCAACGCGCGCGCCTCCATCGTTTTCCTCTTGGTCAGCAGACTCTTGAATGCGCCGAGAAATAGCACCAGAGACTCTTCGTCGGGCGCGCAGAAGCGGTACGTCTTCTCCTCGGTGATGATTTGGAGGCAGTGTGTCTTGCTCTTGTTGACGGGGTCGATCTCGACGACATTGACAACGTCGGCCACTTCGACAATGGCCCGTGCCGCATATTCGGATTCGTCCTTGTACAGCACGAGTTGTCGCGCGCGCAGCACTCCCCACATGCTTTTCCACTGGCGCACGCCGCGTTTGGTTCGCTGCATCCAGAGTGAGCCCTGCCAGATGACCCGTTCAGACTCCTGCTCAGCCGTCACGGCGCTTATTTGACTCGCCGAGCGGGCTGACGTTTCTGGTCGCTGGCCTGGCAGGACGGCCTGTCGAGGCCTCGTGTCTGTATCCGTCGTTGCTTCGGGGATCGGTTTGACGGCGAGGTTCTCAAAGGATACGCCGTGGCTTCGTGGAACCTCGCTGTCGGAAAAGTCAGAGTACGAGAGCATTTCGTTGCCAGACAGGCCAGACGATTCCAGCGTGAAGGAAATGCGACGGTGACTTCCCATGAATTTGGGCGCAGAAGCATCAAAGGGCGTCAGGTTTTCGGGTGAGCTCGAAAGAGCATTGTCGATGTGATTTCCCCAGCTTTCGAGAGCCGGCGCAGTTGGCGACATGCCATGCGATCCAGGGCTGCCAAAGTACATTTCGTCCTCCTCTTCGTCAAGCCTGGCGACCTTGCGGATCAGGTCAACCCATTCTTGCGCATCCTGTGGCGTGGGGGCCGCAAAATGAAAGTTTCTCGATGCGGAAAACAGTCCAAACAGATTCTTGCGCTTGTGCTTTGGGTCCTTGAGAATGGCGACGGCAGACAGTTCTGACAGGTAAATGTGGTGTCGGAGCTTGGCTTCCTTGGCGTCCTTGTATAAAGAGACGCCATTTGGTCGTAGAACAAGGTAAATGGTCTTCCAGTTCTATGGACAACACAACGCGTTAGCACAGGGAGAAAAAAAAAAGGCGAATATTGTTCTGCGACGCGCAGCGTACCTTTGTCTTTTGGGTGCGCTTCTGGACACACCCGCTCTTGATGACACGATCAATCTCGAAGCAGCCGTTCTGGTTCACGGGAGCGACCGACGTATCCAGGGGTAAGCGACTGCGTCGGTTGGGCGCATTGTTTTCGCAGGAGCTGCGCGCGGTGAAAGCGACCTCCTGTGGTCGTGCTGCTCCCTGTTGAGGGGCAGCCATGCTTGGCAAGGATGTGGTTGCGCTCGCGAATCAAGCAGGCTTGGAGATTGTTGGTGGTAGTTGGCTCGAGGCTGGACGATGCGTCTCGATGGGAGTTCGGTTGGTGGAGCTGAGGGGGGGCTGTGGGAATGTCGATCGAGGCGAGAAGCGCGCTGTCGTCGGGGTAAACAGACGATGTATATAAAGTCGGCTCTAGCGTTTATTTAGAAAGAGGCAGCTGATGGCGAGGCGAGGCACCCAAGGCCAGAGAATAGAAATGGAAGAAGGTGGCCTCAGCCAGACCGGCCACGATGTCGAGTTTCAAGTCGGGTGATGTGCTGGCGTCTCGAGAGGCCGTATTCGTACCTGGCTGCGGTAGCGCTGAGCTGGCTGCAACGAGGACGCCTGGAGGACGCCTAGAGGACGCCTAGAGGCAAGGCTGACAGCAACAAGCAGGAGAAGCGATGATGGTTATCCCTTGCTCCAGGTACGGGCGCGTGGGCGAGAGATAAATCATGCTTTGGCCCCAGAAGTGAAAAGGGCGAGAGAACAATGCGCTGCAGGAGCTGTTTGCGGTTTCAGCTTCAAAGGCTGGATGGTGAATGAGTCGCCTTGCTGCATTGGCTGGGCCGAACGCAGAAAGCGCAGGGATGCGGCGTGCGGTGATTGGCTGCAGCGCCAGCAGAGATCGGCCAGCGTTTAAGGGGACGATGAAACAGAAACAGGGAAACGGGCTGCTTGTATGTCTTGTATGTACAGTATGCAGCTACTACTACTTGTAAGTCTTGCAAGTATGCGGGTTTCCAAGTTGTCCCGGCGGTTAGATGATGCTTGCTCCACGACTTGAGCTGGGCCGGTGGGACGGATGGTGAGGCCGATCAGCAACGCCACAAGGTGGCCAAGATGTCGCGGCGTTTTGACGTCACAAGGCTGGGCTTAGCAGCGACGTCGTAATCAATCGGTCGCACTCGCAATTGTAGCTGCGCCCCGGTGGCTGCTCTGACGGGCTTGCGCTCGCTGCAAATACGCGCCGTGGGCTCTCTTTTCTGTCCAACGGGCTCTCTGTTATGCCTGCTCCTGAGTTGACAACTGGTGCTAACAAATGCTAGCAATAGTGCTACCGATAGGGCCAACAGTTCTGAGACGCCCAGCGCCGATCCCCGTTAGGCGCGATATGCAACTTGAAGTGTTTGGCCGTGTCAATGCTCCTCTAGCCTGTCCAGGTTGTTCCTGAAGCGAGCGCTAGAATGCGCTATGGGCGCATGAATCGTCTCGGTAGATGCTTGGGCGGGCAATTACCGACAGGGGGTGAAATGAGCAGCAGAGCTACCCGGCAAAGCCATTTTTCGGGCTGTTGAGCGCTGGAGCCGGAGAAGAATCGAAGCAGCAAGAACAGAATGAATCAGCTCGAGTTCTGTTTTTTTTTTTGTTAGAATTGAATTGTTAATTGTAAAGAGAGAAAAGAGATAGATGGTAGAATTAGGCAGAAATTGAGACTTGTACGCAGCGAAAAAGGAACAGACGCCTAATACCCAACGTCTGTCGCCTATTTTTGCTTACCTGAGTAGCGACCTGCAATCTGTTAGCCCAGCAGCAAAAAAATTCTCGCCACCAGTGCTTGTTGTGCGCCGCTGTAGAATTCTGGTGAATACTCGCCATAAATCTCGTATTTGCTTGATGCCAAAATCGCAAGACGACGACTACGAAACCAGCTGTGGAATTATTTGAGAAGACGCAGCCTGCAGTCTCTTCAACATCCAGAGAGGAAGCCAGCGACGGACGAACAGGCTGAGTCAGAACAAGAAGGCAGCCATCGACACCGGACCACCACTCTGTACTGTCTCTAGTCACTCAGATCTATCATATAAAGAAAAGAGCTTGCCATGGCTGCATGCTCGCGCTGTAAGGCGCCGGATGCAAAGTTTGAGCTGCGAAATGTTGCGACTTGCGAGTGAGTCACCGCTGCAGATATACGTGTCTCACAATAGACGTCTTATTCCGAGTTATCGGTATTTTGGTACTGACTTTACACCTTAGGAACTGCTTCAGGGAATATGTAGACTCCAAGGTCATCAAGAGATTCACCGTGCTCCAGCGAGAGACCAGGGCGTCTTCAAAGCCTGAGCCCAGGAGATACGTTGCCGGCCTTTCCTTTGGGCCCTCTTCAACCGCTCTCACTCAGATTCTCGATAAGACTGCACAATATCAGGCCTCAAGGAAGGGATCATCACCTTTTGAACCCCTCGTGGTCCATATTGACACAGACCTCTCTCACCCCGCCGATGCACTTGATACCCCTGCCCAGAAGCTTCTTGCGAGATACCGCGAAAAGTTCCCGCATGTCTCATTGGAGTGTGTTCACTTGAGCAAAGTTCTTAGCGTCAAGACAATTGACTGGACTACGACACCGATGCCCGGAGATGGAAGCGACGTTGAGCGGTTACAGCAGTTCTTCTCGTTGCTGCCTTCAGTGACTTCACGCGCTGACAGTCTGAGGCTGTTTATCCGCCATCTTCTTCTTCACGTGGCCATGGAAAGGTCCTATTCCGCCTTGCTATTTGGCCACAGCACCACTGCCTTGGCCAGCCTGACCCTGTCCGAGGTTGCCAACGGCAGAGGCTTTGCGGTTCCTTGGCAGATTAGCGACGGGTTGTTTGCAGTCTGCACCTACCACCGGACCGCAGATCCGGCGGGCGCCGGAAAACCAAGCCAAGAAGGTCCCAAGATTCAGTTCCCCATATATTACCCCTTACGAGAGATTCTTAAAAACGAAGTCGTCACCTATCTCAGCACCATGCCCTCTGTCCAAGATCTTATTCCTGTGGACAAGACATCGTCAAGCGTCGTTTCTCACAAGGATCAAAGCATCGAAGAAGTCATGGCCCGGTATTTCGACGGTGTGGAGGGCCCCTACGCGGGCATAGTGACCAATGTCGTTCGCACTGCAGGCAAACTGGACCGGCTTGAAACATCGCAGTACTGCCGTTTATGCGGCATAACCCTGGACGAGGAGGGTGATTCCACCTGGGCCGGCGAGTTGGGAGACGACCCTGCAGATAGCTCCGTGACACTCAATAAGGGGAAGCTCTGTTACGGATGCAAGCGTTCTATGGGAGGATAGAGAGGAAAATAAAAAAAAAAAAGAGGGAGAAAAAAAGAAAAAAAAAGGGAACAGAGAAAACATTAAGCGAATATTCATTATAGCAGCGCCATTGCGCTCAGATCTATTCATGAGACTACCAACTCCAGTGCAAAAAATCATGCCGCCATGAGCTTTTCCCCAATTCTCCATGCCTGATGCCACCCTCCTCTTCCAAATTTGGCACATATCCTGAAATATACCCGTGATCTATTAACCAGAGACGTCACCCCCAAAGATGTAACAACTTATACTGATAATGTACGCGATGAAATCAAGCCTGCTTTAAATGACAGGGTCGACAAAGTGGGGGGTTCAACCCCCGAAATTTTTGTAACGCAAGCTCTCGAGCTTTATAGGCGCCCTTCCTCATACCCTAGCATGGGCAGGACGCGGTGCTCAACCTTTCTGACGAGCTTGGCGGTTTGTTCGGCCAAGGAGAGAGTCAAGATGGTGTGGGGGAGAATTCGGGCCAGGTGAGGGATGAAGCCCTTGTAGATGGCAAAGATTCCTTCGGTTCGGATCGTCTTTCCGAGGCAGTCGAAGATGCCGCTGTAGAGGTTGCCGTGCTGGTTGTACAGACGAGACATGATGGTATCTGCGTCGGCCGTGTTAGCCGGCAAGACTTGAAAATCGCCAAGGGGGAATACTAATACATACCAGGGGGGTGCATGAAGCAGCACACAACGAAGCCGCTGACAGCGCTGCTGCTGAGATGCAGAGCTGGGCCCTCCTCCATGCCGGCGTGCTTGACCAGCTGTCTCTTTGCTAGGAAATACGTGGGCAGCTGGACCGAAGAGCCGCAGCCCGTTCGAACCATGGCCGCCGTGATGCCGCGGTACAGGCCCAAGAAGCCCTCGCCACGATAGATTTGTCTCAGTCCATCCCAGGCATTCCGGTAGTTGTGCTGCGTGCCCACGGGCCGCACGGGCGAGAAGCTCTGCAGACGGGTCTTGACGAGGAAGAAGGGACTGCCAGCAGCCGCACCGAGGATGCCGGACGAGGCGCCGGCGAAGACGTTGATGCCCAGGTTCTGCGCGTTCTCGTTCTTGAGGAACAGCGTGGCGAGCGACTTGCGTATGGGCTCGTAGAAGCCGAGGCGGCAGCCGTTGAGCAGCACCTGGTAGACGTAGGCGGCGCCCAGACCGCGGTAGATGCCCTTGATGCCCTCGTTCTTGACGATGACGCTGATGCCGTGGATGGGGCCGCGATAGTACTGCGGCTGGGCGCCTTTGGTTTGCAGCTCGCCCTGCAGCTGCTGTCGGATCTTGAGCACCTCGGCCGGGTGGGTGACTGTGACGGCTCCGCAAGCTGCCAGAGCGCCTGCGGCGAAACCGCTGTTCGCATCAGAGTCGTGTTAGCGAAAGGACGACGAATTGCGAGGACCCAACCCCAGAATGTCCGGCGCAACCCGGAAACCGGCGAGGCATTCGAATGTGCGCGCGGGCTCAAACTTACCCTACGGTGGTCGACATGACCTTTTCTCTCTCGCCTCCCGCGCAGCTGTTGGAAATATATCAAGACGAACTGGCGAAAGGCTTTTCGTTTTTTGGTTTCGCGTTACAAGAAGCGGGAGGGTCGATGGCGGGATGATGACGGGAAGCCGACTTGCGATTTCAATTCTGGCGAAAGCGAAACCACAGCAAAAAGACCCGATGACGGCGCCACAGTCGGTCGGCTAGCAATGGCAACAACTTTTTTTTTGGATAGTTAATGGGGAAGCCCCAACGACTAGCAGCAGGTGGACACGAAACAAATCTGCTAAAAAGGGTCGTTCTAAGCTTTGGATCTTATATTCGGCTCTCTCTCTCTCCACGGGTTGAGCTTATGCGCGCCAAAAAGGGAACCAGGGAAAAACAGGGTCCTCCACCAAGGCCGAACAACGGAGATTCGGAAGTTCTGGGTCTGGGTGATTAAGTTTGGCGCCAAGCTGGTTGGCTAATTGGGAGCGAATCTAACGTCAGGGACCAATTGACGGGATCAGAAAAAAGTAAGCTGACGGCTTGGTAAACGTGGAGGAGGATTCGTGTGGCATGCAGGATTGCGGGAACGTCATCTGTATCATGTATGTGCCTGCGATGAGAGGACAGGGCATCTACTTTACGAGTATGTATTAGGCTGTGGATTGGGCGAGATAGGAGATTGACTCTTTTCTTTTTACGTTTTCTCCGTGCTTGCAGCATATTGAGCGGTTGTAGCAATGATTGATAATGAGTTGTTTGCAATCTTATAGCAAAGTTTGCCATTTGCCTATTACGGTGCGACTATACTTTGAGCCACCACAAGTTCAAGCCACGCTCGTCGGTCCAACCGGCGACGTGCCATTACGAGTAGATAGTTACTGACTAGAGCTTGAATCTAATCTGCGGAGTCTCCATGGCGAAGAAGAGAAGCTTGTCACTTATGTTGGTCGTGAGAGATTATCCAATCATCCCCGAAATGGATGCAGGTATGCACAAGTACACGAGGCCGCGCGAAACGGATCCTGGACCGGGACCCCAGGATGGCGGAACGCCGAATCGGCCAGCCGCGCATCGGCCCTTCCCACCGCTGTAACTTTTGCCGCGATTATTCAGCCCTGGTCCTGAGTTTGTGAGTAATTCAGAAGACCAAATCGTGGGGGGTGCTGTTGATTGAGTCTTGAATCTTGATAAGGTTTGTCGAATTTGATATTGTCGCAAGTTCGTGTTTACTTGTTGCTTGCTATTGTTTCAGCTCTTGATTGCAGTTTTGTGTGTAATTGGATCTAAAGACTGTTGCGCCGACGAAAGCCGGACGGCTAGCGAGGGAAGCATTCTGCGGCTAGTCGGTAAATTTGCACATGTGGGATAGAGAAAGCGAGAGGGACTGGGCACGCTTGGAATTTCTACAAGACTAGGAGCAGTGAAGCTGCCTGCGTTGTAGGCGATTGTGTTGTTGTGGGTTATAAGAGTCTGTTGAGAGACCTGCCATCGGCGACTTTTCAGTGTAGAGTGTGCCTGGATTTTCAGCTCGCTCACTAGCGCGTATCTTGCCGTATTGGTGCTCGCCAAGATGAATCTCTATTAGTATGGGGTACAAGTGATTGAGATTGAGATGGTAAATGAAATGAATATCTGATCGGGAACCGTTACCAGGCGCCATGCCAGATTTCTGTAAAAGATGCCCTAAAAGGTGAATTACTTGCATTTTAGGTTACATGTAGTAGTTGAACTTTGGCTGGTTAGGTACCTAGCTCTAAGCATCTAGAAGCTAGGTATTTTAGGAATAAGTCAATGTCTAGAACCCCAAGTTCTTTATTCAACACACCAGTTGTAGCTCAGCAAGGCGGCCAGTCTACATACCGAGGCCCATTGCACAGCAGACAAGAGTTGGTAGAACAAAGGCTGGCGCCTATGGACAGACTGACGAGCTACGACGGACTAACAGGGAAGACAACGAACGAAGGATTGACGTTTTTGCACGCAACGGAAAAGGAAATTGTGAATGGTTAATTTTGATGACTAGTTGGACGTTTTATATTCAACGGAAAAATGAGATTACAAATAATTGGTTTTGATGATTACCTTAGGTTTGATGATGGTGACCATCATATTTTCGGCGGAGGGGATGTTGGGCGACGCCCTGACATCTCCAGATGTCGGAGGAAGGAGATCCCAACAGGGATATGTAGCTGACTGCCCTCAGAGATTATTGTCTAGAGAAATCAAGCCTTTTGATCCCAAGTTCACGCCTCTGACGTCCATGTCGTGGAGATTGCGTGTAGGGATCTGGCCATCCTCCTTGCTCCGACATTGTCCCGCGATACATGTAGGCATACACAGCTGCTAAATAGTACATTTAAAAGCAGCAGTAGCAGCACCTTGTATGCTTCACCGATGCCTACTATTCAAGACACAATCTTTTGTCAAATCATGCACAGCATCACTGCTCGGGCTTCTTGTACATGTGCCTTCCAGTTTGAACAACTGTAGGGAGATTTAAGTGTGATAAGATTTCGATTGCAGTATCAATCAACTGCAAGTCGGAGCCTACAGGGGGTTATGTGAGTTGCTAAATCGGCTATGAAAGTATGGGGTCGATACCATACCTGGAGTTCCCATAAGGGCTACTGCGAATGGCAGTCTCTCCTCTTGGCCACTGACTCTCGAATGATATGGAACCTCGGCAACTATGGATCATCAATATCTGCTCGGGTTTTTTTCGTAACACGACGTCTTACTTGGGATAGCGAGGACTGGTGACTTTGTGACGGGTCCGAGAGCCAAGGCGTTTATGCCACCCTGAGGCGGCCTCCGGAATCTGGAGCTCAGTTAGACCTTGTTTTTTTTTTATCTTCCTCAACCAATGCTGAATGGGAAGCTTCTTACTCTGGGAATTCGTCTCTATATCTTGGTTCTGCACTCTCAATCGGCATAATCACGATGGCATTTGTGTTCTCATTTGCTCGAACTGCCTGTTGGAACCACTCACGGTATGTGTTGATCCTCTTGAAACCCTCGTCTCTTTGTTTTTGAGTAATGGCTTTTCCAGCGGACCTAGATTGCCATAATACAGGAGTTAGAAATAAATAGGAAAAACGTGACAGTGGGGAAAAAGGATGGAAGTGAGTTGACTGCAAATTGTAAATCTTACCAGATCCGCTCATTCTGAAGCGTTGTGTATGGCGCTCGCCCAAACAAATCCTCATGGCGAAGGCGAAACTTCTCGCTGTTCTGGTATACATCAAACGCCAAAACTTCAGTAGCCTAGCGGGATTCTTAGATGCGTGTAATTGAAGTAAGAGTAATGAGCTACATACGGGATTGATAAACTGTTGTAATGTAGTCGCAACTTTAGTTGGCGGCGACGCACTCCAGCATTTTTCAAATGATATGTCTACAAGATTAACGTTTAGCTTAGCAGCCGCCCTTTGCGCAAATGACTTTGCTTCACTAGCTTGCTTTGCATCTATTATTTTCCAGTAGTCAGTTGGCCAGATGATGGAGGAAAATTGCTGTGTGCACATTAGCCTGGTGGCAACGTTGTATCGTATGCAGGGAGAATAGGGAGAATATACTTCAGGGGCTTTCTCGAACTCATCGAATGCCAGCCATTCAGCGGCAAATTCTCTACAGTGTCCAAGGTCTCTTGCTAGGAATCCAGGGATATCCCAGGATCTATAGTGGTTAGCCTGACGCCAACCGTTTTGTGTAACTGCTCTGCTTACTGGACATATGGTTCGATTCCCTTCGTAGAGATGGCTCCAATGCTGGGACGGAAGCCGAAGCAGCCACACCAGTGGGCGGGACGGGTGATGCTGCCCCACGCTATAGATGGAATATGTCAGATACATGTAAATATACCGAGCCGTCATCTGATTTGCCAGCACCAAGCGCCGGTATGAGACAACTTACTGTCGGTGCCTAGGGCAATATCCAGGCAGTCATAGGCTACGATGGCCGCGGCACTGCCTGAGCTGCTCCCCCCTGGCGACTGGTATCCATCTGCCCTAGGATTCCACGGGGCCTGATAGTCGGTATACTCCATAGGCTCTTCCCAGTTCCCAAAGGAGTTCAGCTTCGTTTTGCCAACTACAACCACTCCACTATTCACCAACTTCTGAACGCAGTCGGCACTTTCTTCTTTCGGAGGGAAAGTATTATAAAAGGCACGATTGCCAACAGACGTCTTAATTCCCTTCAGGTCAATGTTATCCTTGATCAAGACGCGCAGTCCTCCTAGAGGAGAAGCATGGCCATAGCTCTTGATACGCGACGGTATGGCAAAGCTGAGGTCCTGGCCATCTTGACTGGTTACCCGAAATGGCTCCAGCGCACTCGACGGGCTAAAAGAATAAAATGTATCAGCGCGTAATCACCGCGAGTGGCAAAATCTATCCATAATCCATACCCTGTCTGTGGTTTCAGCGTAACCATACAGCTTGCATATGAATCCTCGACCAGCTTCCACACTTCTCTAAGCTCTTGATCCACAATCACATGGGGCCCCGGGGAGTAATCTGTCGACGAGACGAATATATATTCCTTCATGCCATTTTCCTCAAGAACTTTAATCTCCTCTTTTGATACGCAGGATTTGCGAGGTACAATAAATACAACAACGGCGAGAAATTCCTGGCTGAATACATCGTCGAGCATGTATTCAGCTAGATGCTTACTTATGAATGGGTCGAGGCCATCTTCATGTTGCGGGATCTTGAACACAGTCGCTAATCTCATTTCCCCAGATTTCATCTTCGGTAGCGCCAAGTCCTTTGAAAAGATGACGTGTTAGCTCATCTTGCGACGATTGAGATAGCAATACGAGTCATGTTACCTTTTCTGAAGGTGGTGCTATATACCTCTTTCCAGACACCGTAAAGATATAGCCTTCTGAGCCAAGGCTTGTATCAAGCGGTGCAGCATCTGGAATTGAATCGATCATCTTTCTGGGAGAAGCTGGGCCACTGGACAGAGACGCGTGACGCTTCCGCCGTGGCCAGGGAAGAAGGCATTTTGTCATCTTGGATAGGTGGCGTTTCAAACCAGGATCTTGAATGTTTAGCCGCCCAGAAGGCTGAAAGTCGGGCAGAAGAGCAGCCATATATTGAAAGCAGCTATCGTCAAAAAAGAGATGGAATGCTTTGTCGAGTATTGAATTGCTCGTACGGGGGCCTATTCGCCCTCTAATCTATTTTTACATTCCAGCGAAGAGACCTATTTGCTGATAGTAGTATCTATTTAGGTAGGATGCCAATTGTTTGCAACAATGCGCAAAGCGTTGCGACGACACCTTGCCTAAACTAAAATTAGCGAATCAATAATCAAGACAAACACGCCTAGTTACATTGGCGTTCAAGTTGTTGGTTACGCGCCGTATGGTTTGGTTGCACCAACATAGTATGTTGAATCGTTGATTTATCGCGATGAACGCGCGTGATATACCAGTAATGGCCTCTGGTATTTAATAAAGGAAGGAGGAGAATTCTTTCGCCCCGGGGTTTTCCTTTTCTCCCGCAAGGAATTTAATTGTTTGTGAAAGGAGCAGGCCTGCTGACCGGCAATGCTTCAAAGACCACTAATCAGACGACGCGCTGTTATCTTTGGGTGTTTATTGAGGTCCGTGAGGGTGTGGTGGTGCAAGACGGAGGTTGGCACCACGTTGATGATTTAAGGCGCTTGGGGCGGCCGTTGGGGGCATAAATATATAGGTGTATTATATACTGCAGGTATATAGCTTGGCCAATTAGGCCGGCTTGGATACATGTATGACGAGCCTGTTCACTTGCATGCCTAGGTATACTGATGATGGCAACCTACGTGCCATGCATTATCCGATGAGGAAACAAGCTACTGACCGTAGCCGACTCCGTAGTTTTCTCCCAATGATGTTGGGGGCATGTAGGGGGTCGATGCTCGATGTGGCCTCGTCTTTTATAAAACGGGAATTCGCTGTTTGTACCATCTCCAGAAATGTCAGAATGTTCATTTGACCTTGATCGCTTCCCTGGCAATGGCAATGGACAGAAAACAACAGACCGAGGGCGAAGTTGGCGCGGACCATGGGACAATTGAGTCCTCCATGTATTACCTCGAACGAGCGCAACTATATGATACCGAAAAGCCATATAGTATGAGATACCGGCCTGAAGAAGATATACCTCAATGTAATTATGTGAAAGTGAAGCGGCCGATCGTGGTAAAGAGTATGCGAGGACCAGGGCAATTTCGCATCGATGAATGCGGTTTCCAGCTAATTGACCTTTACTCGGATTTGACTTACGATGAGTTTTGGGAGAATGAGAAGGTACAGAGCGTATATATACCAGAGGTGCAAAGAGCTTTGAGGCTTGAATTGGGCGCAAAATATGTGCATGTTCTGGACTATGCAGTAAGCATGGAGGGGCATGGAAGGGTGACGAGTCACCTGCATTTGCAATCCAGATTGTTGATACTATAAACAGGTCAGAAAACGCCATGAAGCTTTCCCAGTCTCAACGGGGAATGAGTATCAGTACGATCAACCGACAGCATTAGCTCACATTGGTAAGATTGACGTAGAGATATCGGTTTTGTAAGTTTCCAGGCGAGAGAAAATAACAAATGATGACCTAGACTTTACTGCCAAAGAGGGCGAACGTATTATACGAGTTCTCTTCGGAGATCGAGCAGAGGAAGTTCTTCAAGGCCGCTGGCAAGCTATAAAGTGAGCATCTTCATCACAGCGAACAAAACAAAACTCCCTCTCTCTAAATCTATCATGGCAGCGTATGGAAGCCAATACAAGGCCCTCTTGATGACTGGCCGCTCGGGCTTTGTGATGCGAGATCGGTCGATTTTGCCAACGACACCATCGCTGGGGACATAGTCTTTGATGATTTTGTGACTGAGAATCTGCAAATATTTCCATCTCCAAATTTTCAATGGTACTATGTCCCAGACCAGAATACTTGGGAAGCGTTGATGTTTAAGAGTGCAGACAGCGATGAAACTGCAGTGCCAGGTATCCTTGAGTCCCTGTCATTTAGTAGCCCAGTTTGGACAAGTTGCTAACGGCTGCGACCAGGATGCCCGCATTCGGGTTTCTACAATCCTCATGCAAGGAAAGGAAATTTGAGAGAGAGTCTTGATTGTAGGGCGTTTGTGTTCTACGCGGAATTAGAAGAATACCCTCCCATTGTCGGGGATGCGTTTGAAGCCAAAGCGCAAATGATATGATGTGCGATCGAATGTAGGTAATAGCCTAACTCCTTGAGTAGCTTAAGTAGACCGCAGATAAACAGAGGCAAGAAGGATTTGGCTGCCAAAGGATTTTTTTTTGGGGGGTTTTTTTTTTAGCTATAAAAGCCTGATATTTTCTGCCCAACCTTTCTTTGTGATGATGACTTATGCGGCTCAATTGCTCCATAGTCCTTCACTTGGTGTATCCGTGATGCGACTAAGCAATTCCTTACCGTCTGACAATCTCTAGCAGACGCAAGGGATCACAAGTAGTAAGCACGTTTGTACATAAATACTAAACACTGCATATATAAAATATGAGCATCAAGCGCTCTCTCAACCTTCACCAACCCGGCGTATTTCTTTTCATTTATGAGCATTACCATGTCAAGAGACATCAGAAGTGAACTTGGCTTTCTCAAGAAAGATGTGTTCTACGACACTGTAAAGCCTTATAGTTGTCGATATACTCCATCTGATGGCACTCCGCGCCATAATTTGATGGTTGAGATGATGGACGTAACTATCCATGACGCAAGACCACTGAATCCTACTCTCGAGGGCAATGGCTTCACGTTGTCTTCATTCCCCACTGAGATGACCTATCGAGACTACGCTGATGGGGAGAAAGTTTCTACAATCTATGCGCCAGAGCTGGAGAAGCATCTTCGAGATCTATTCCAGGCACCTCATGTCAAAGTAATTGATTACGCGGTATGCTGAATTAAAATAATGACAGTAAAGTAGAGGATGAAACAGACTAACAGCCACTTTAGATTCGGCGACGGCATCCCAATTTTCCAGTCTCGACTGGATTGGAGTACGTTGACCAACAGCCAGCTAGGCTTGTGCACGTTGGTTGGTGCTTTTGTGTGGAAATTCTTCAAATTCCATTGAAATATTGACTCAATGGCCAGACTTTTCTCGCGATGAAGCTAGGCAAATGTTACAGACTCTTTACGGAGACAAAGCAAGAGAAATTCTGCAGCATCGCTGGCAAATCGTTAAGTAAAGGCACACTCGGCCCCAAAGCTCAATTATTGGCAGCATCTGACGGCTTCCAAAAGCACCTGGAAACCCCTCAAAGGACCCCTATTCGACTGGCCGTTGGCAATTGGCGATGCACAGACCTTTGATGCGGCGCACGACTACCAGTCTTCAGACGTGGTGTATCCGGGATGGGCCTACGAGAATGTCTTGGTTCACGCACGTCCTGACCAAAAGTGGTACTATTTTCATGCGCTCGAGGAGTCTGAAACAATAATATTCAAGTGCACAGATTCAGATGTCCACGCATCTCAGGGTAAGTTTCATACATACCTTGACATAGTTCGAGAACGTGGCCTAATCTTCTACATCTCAGCGTGCCCGCATGGAGCTTTTTGTAACTCTGCCCAACCAAGCTCGGAGAATCCAAGAGAGAGCATTGAATCAAGGGCATTTGTTATATGGGCTCCACTTGAAAAACTTCCAGATGAGGTCGGATCAGTGTATGGAGAGCGCTCTTAAAAGCTTGAGATGGATGAGCATACGTATCTAAACCTCTCTTCAAGATGTTGAAATGTACTCTAACTAAGCATATGGTGTACCGAAATGAATAGATAAACTGAAAATCCATGTATCTAACCCTAAGCATCATCGCGGTGTTGTGTTCTACAGAGTCTTGTTCGGTGTCATTCTAATAGCCACGCCACTGGTAAAGCCGCCGATCACCACGATATCACCCTTTTCCGTGCCATGGCTAAGACCTTTAGTCTCTGGCTTTTTCACGCCATCCTTGTTCCGTGCAATCCAGCCAGCCTTCCATGGCTGGGATTTCCCTCCTTGTCCATCCTGCAACTGATATTCACTCGTCTGGGCCTGCTGGGATTGGTCGTTGGTCCGGGACTCTTCTGTTTTGGCCCCCTGGGCTTTGACATCCTCCGTTGGAGGATTCGCTATCTTGGTCGACATAATTTGACAATTTCTTGTTCTTTTTTTTTTTTTTTTGTTTTCTTTTTTGGCGAACTAAATAGCGTTAAGATATATGCTTCATCATCATAGGTAGAATCATAGGACGAAGCTCACAGGCGAGAGAAGAATTTATGTTACTGGCAGAATCTGGCGCTTCTCCTATTTTTTTTTTCCGTCACAGAGGAGACGAAGCCTTTAAATATGCGCTTCAAGCTCCTCTTTAGTTTTCACTTAAGCAATCATATTTTGAACAGTTTTTTTAAACCACTTCATGGGTCGACTTTGCTTCCAAGCAAGGCAAAGATTTAGGCCTTCAGGTTAGGGTGGAGTACGGATAGAGCCCTCTTCCGATGGTAGGATTGAGCCCATGTAAGTTCACTGCCTAATAAAATTGCCACTGCTCTTGAGCGCCGATAGCCCTGGATTACTTCACATCTCGCCTCGCACAGATGTGTTGGTAAAACAACGCGGCGACGTGGCGCGTCCATTGCGTCGGTATAGGCTCGTAGTTGTCTAATTGGACCTCTTAAAATGGCTAAGTAAAATAAAGGCGTTACACACAGGCTTATTGGGCCCTAATCGTAGAAATCCTTCCAGCATGAGGCTGAGTATTTGAGGGGGCCGCAGCTATGCCCGCGACGTGGCAATCCCTTGTCTTGTGTATCACATGAGACATTTGTGCTCGAATAGGTGTCGGGGTCTGCTGTGTAACTGGGAGCCGCAATCACTGGCTTCCTCTTCTCATATTGGTGGGAAGTACACGAGTGGGTGTGATAAAAACGTAACACCGATGAGACTTCCCCTCTTTCGCAACACCGAATGGAATGGTAACTCTCTGTTTTTCCAGGAGTCTACCACCGCCCGCTTTGGTTCATTTTTGGACGCTCTACCAACCTAACAACACTGTATTACACGTTTTTGTTTTGACTGACTCGCCCTTGCCTACGTAGTTGGTAGTGCTTCGTTTTTTGCGCAGATGACATACGCGTCTCACCATGCTTAGGCCTTTGATCGAGCCCCCAGTGGCTGGCGATGCCTCTAATGGGCTTGAGTAAGCAAATCGTATACGATGATACTGAATCGGGGCTGAAACCTGCGCTATAGCATAGTTGTTATTCCGGCTTGGGGACTCAGCCAGCCGTCTCAAGGGGCTAGGTCATCCCTATTCTCGTGGTCAAGAAAACTTTCCGATGACCTTGGGCCTAGTGTCACAATATTCGAGTACCAACTGGATCAAGAAAATGGAAAATCTCTTTCTGACCATGTACTGAACGGCGGAAGCAACTTGCTCAAATCATTGAGAAGCCATCGGCCCAACAACAAGGTTAGTTAAAGATGACATAAAATACTATCTACCTTGGGTACTAATGATATATACCTCTCAACTTGTGTAGTCGAAACGATCCATTGTTTTTATTTCTTATAGTACTGGTGGATTCGTTCTGAAACAGGTAGGCGTATCACAGCAAAACACTTAACTGACAAGATTAGGATAACTAAAACGAGATAGGCCTTATGCCTTGTTAGAATTCATTTTCACGAATGCGGGTATCTGTTACCGGCAATTTCTGGGCTAATCTTCTTGGGTGTGCCACATTTTCAGAGAAATGCTACAGCGGCCGAAGTGAAGCAAACGATCGAATTTCTTCTCAAGTTCCATAACAAAGAAGCCAACAAGAATTGTCAAACACCAAACGATGCAAAGGCTTTGATTAGCCTATGTCGAGAATTTGAGAGATTAAATCTGAACATTCCCGCAATTTCTGTTTACGAAAGCCAGACGGCGACGAATGAGAGTAGCTACTTTGCAAGATTTTTAAACACATCACAAGGCCAAGTTGTACGTTATGGATGCCGTAATCTACTCAGTGACGCTGTACCTAATAATCACAAACAGATTGTTCCACAACGATTATCTCAAGTAGGGATTGCTGGAGAGCAGCTCGTTGACAGCCAGTCGAGTCATGCTAGAGTTTGTGATGTTGACGTGACGGGCGACGCATACGGCAAAATACAGTGCTTGCTCTCGGATATTATGAGGACGGCACCAGAGAGGATTGCACTGATGAGCTCACCATGTAAGTTCTATTCTCACTGTGTCAATATGAGCTGCTCTGACGTTAGTCAAGACAAAGTTCCGCCTCGTCTGCGATACGCCACTCTTCGAAGTGATGCTGGATCGTACGAAACTGATCATCTGCTGCCTGGAACAGCGTCTGTCCCCACATCTTATCCAGAAGGATGTTCAACTGCAGGATCGACTGTTGCATCATTCGAGATGGTGCCACTTGTGACCCCGCTAGAAGGAAGCGAAAAAGAGCCCATTCTTCCATGTTTCATGCTTAGTTCGCAGCACCGGGCGGAGCATTTCTTAGGACGTGACGATATGTTGGCGACTCTCGACAGATACTTGCTCCAAGAGCAAAAAGACGCACCAGATGATACTCAGCGAGCAAGTATACGCTCATTTGCCATCTGCGGTCTTGGTGGTGTAGGTAAAACAACATTGGCCGCTGAATATGCCGTTTCGCGGCAGCATGTCTTTGACGCCATCTTTTGGCTCAACGCAGATGACTCCAACATCCTTGGAAATAGCTTTGCGCATATATCAGCAAAATTAGGACTTGAGGAAGGATCCTCCTCTGATATAGCCGCAAGCCATAGTATTGTTATGAATTGGCTCTCTAAGCCGCTAAAGAGGCCTTCAGAGCCAGAGACGCAGGAAAATCTGGCAAAGTGGTTGATCATATTCGATAATGTTGATAACCTGGACGTGCTTTCCGAGTTTTGGCCCGGACTCGGACGAGGCTCAGTGCTTGTCACAAGTCGAGACCCGCAGGCCAAGCGGAACATGCACATACGGGATGGAACACAATTGCCTGGTCTGTCTCTGGTAAACACACAGCTGCTTCTGGAACAGTTGACAGATTCTCCTGCTACAAAGGCCCAAGAGAAAGCCATCCAATCTATTGCCGGCAAACTCGGTGGGTTACCCTTGGCCATTAACCAGATGGCTGGCCTATATCGACAACTGAGATGCTCGCATACAGACATTGCGAAACTCCTTGACGACAAAGGAATAGCGACCACCTTTCAAACCACAGCTGATCTCTACAAGGGCCAAGAAAGTCAATCTCTGGCTACAATCTGGGCGCTTGATCGATTAGAAGGTCCCACTCGAGCGCTGCTTCAAGTCATCTGTCTTCTAGACCCAGATGCGATACCGCAAGAGTTGCTGGCCAGTTTTTCTGTTGAACCAGATCTTGCAGAATACCCAAAAACCATGTTGGAATATTTAAGAGCAAGAGGGGAGTTATTGTCCTCATCCTTGATAAACTTAGACGAAGAGAGCGGAGAAATCTCCATACACCGTCTTATTCAAGACTCCGTGCTACATGACATGAGTCCTGAACAGCTAGACGCAGCTTATCACACCGCCATTGCCCTAGTTATTGCGGTTTGGCCATTTCAGTCAATGAAGGAGCATCATTCAATTGCAAGGTTTGGCAAATGTGAAACTTTTTTCCCAAGCGTCCTACGCTTGAAGGATGGGTTAGAGCCCATGATACGACAGGGAAGCTACTCACCGAAAAATTTAGGAGTAGCTCGTCTGTTTAACGATGTCGGCTGGTACGTGAGCTTTGGACCATGCATTCTGCTGGATTCGTCTGCCTCTTTTCTAACTAATCTAGGTATATGTTTGAACGAGGCCTACCAGACAAAACTGTCCCATTTTGCAATGTTGCGCTAATGATCGGAGAGCAAATGAAGAGCCTTGACAGCATTGAGGCTCACGAAGTCATTCGAGAAGGTCACTCGTTTATCGGAATCGCTCTTGTCGAAACAAATAGTCACGATAAAAGCCAAAAGCATAAACAGCAATGGCTTGATATGCTCCTCGAGAGAAGATCAGAGTCTGGACTCCAAATTAGAGACTACGAACTTGGCTATGCCTACAACGAGATTGGCGTGGCATATGGCAACAATGGCTTGTGTAAACAAGCATGCGAGGCTTTCCACGAATCTATCCAAATCTTTCAGGGCTTGGAAGATTATACAGATACTATGCTCGGATGGCCGCAGCCTAACTTGGGTTTTATGTACTGGTTATTAAAAGACTACCACAACGCCGAGAAGGTACTAATTGAGATTTTGGATATTCATGCAATTGTGTGGGGCGTTGATGATACGAGGTCATTCAAGTAAGCGACGATGTCTGCTATTATCACAATCTCCCTACTGACATAGGTTTAAAGAACTGGAAAGATTCTTTATGGGCTGGGTAACGTACTAGAGGCTCAGGGCCGGCTTCAGGAAAGTCTGGTATTTCATCAACGATGCTATGAGCAATATAGCAAAGTTCTCGGAAACAACCATCATAGATTTGGTGACGTCTGCCATAAGATGGCTGGGCACTGCATCAGATTACATCGCTTTCGAGAAGCTGAGTACGGGATAAATTAAACACACATTTTGCAGGGCGCTATAAAGCTAACAGATGACAGAGACTATCTCAACAAGGCTTTGAAAGCGTTCAAGCTGCGCCCATATCTGGTGAACGAGACTGCAAGAACAACGTACTTGAAAGGGATGCTGTACCAAGAAATGGGGCGGATGGAGGAGGCTAATAAAGAAATGAGAAGAGCATACGAAATGAGGAAACGCCTGAAAAGAACAGATAGCCGACCTTTGGAACAACTGGATGAGACAGATTTTGATCAACTGGTGGCGTTTTGGTCTAGATAGCTAAGGTACGCTTTTATGGCGAAACGCAAGACACAGCTACTCGGGAATTGAGCTATAGGATTGGTCGTAACAAGTACAAGAATACACTATATATTATCATTTCAGGAATCTGCACTATCCCATAATCTCATATGGCAGAATTCTGCCTGACTTATCGGGAATCGACGTGTATTGGACCTTATTACAAGGCGAAGGGCTTTATTTTCTTGCCTCCACCACTTGACTTCCTTTGACTTAGACATCTGACGTGGCATAGTGATACCATGCGGAAAAGAAAATGCCATGTAAGATATATGTGTCACTTGTGTAACCAACTTTAGCCTGGTACGAATTATGGGGGGTAAAAGCCAACACGGCACATGTACCTATACATCTCCAGGCAAACTAATCAGGATCTAGAGTAGTTTATGCATGTAGCCTATGTATCTATCAAAATATGCGAGTCGACATGTAGGTATATCTAAGTGGGTAGTGTAATGTTCGCCTCGGATTTACAACATGCCATGTACAAAGGAGAAGGAGAGCCACCCATTATTTGATACCTATTCGTAAGTAAGAAAACGTATCTTTGAGGCACAAAACATATTTATTAATAGATTGGTGTGCTTTTGCTTTATATGCCGTTTACGCAAAAACCGTCAAGCCTATAGACTATGTTACGACGACGTTTTTAGGGGCAAAGTACGGATACTTCTTGGCTGAATATACATGTACTCCACCGGGTTCAAGAGCAGATAAAAGTTATTCTTTACTATTTAAACGTACATATGGATATAGTAGCTCCAATGTAGCACGGTATTCATAAAATATATGCACAAATAGACATCTCGTGCCTGAGGCCAAGTTGGGCTGGCTGCCTCCCAGACACAGCCTCTCCCCCTCTCCCCCTTGCATATAGGCGTACAGATATGAGTACGTACAACTACTTCGTGCTTATGCCCTATTTTTTTCTTTTTTTTTCTAACTATATGCTGTCTTGCCTTCTCTGGCCTATGTCCTATCTTCACTTTTCTAGATTAAACTGAGAGTGAAAATGGCAACTTCTGTCGATTCTTTTTCGCCAAAAATCAGTCGCCAGTCTGTTGAGACTACGGGCAGCACGTCTAGTACTGCTGACAGTAATACAAGGCGTTAGTGTTTATGTGTCTGCTGAATAATTTTGACGCTAAACTTTGAGACAGTGAAACCAGAAGAATATGCCAGGGCTGTGGAAGACTTCTCGACATTGCTCATCGGCTCAAATTACCTTTCCCTAGGCAAATATCTTACTGGCAATAAAGATTCGACAGTGCAAATAGATGGTCCTACTGGGCTAGATAGCACATCAGACGCTGCTCTGATATACTCCTTACCTCTAGGTACCGACGGTCAACGAGCCCAGGCACCGCCAGTCATCATCCGAGACCCGAAGCAGCTTTACAAGTTTGAGTCCGAGACGAGCTGCCTAATACTTCTTCGCGGCTTCTTGTCTGCTGCGTGGATCAACAATGTTGGCAGTCGATTCTTCGTCGACCCCGAGTTTTTCGGCCGTCACTTGGACTTTCGATCTCCTCAAGACAAGTTCAATAATTTTTCCACCCCTTGCTTGCCTTCGGCTTCTTGGCATTTGATGGAACTGCCTGTAACGACTCTTGGTAGCCGCGAGAGCACCTTTAATGGATTGTCTCCATCAGCTTGGACCGAAATAGAAAGAAAAATGGGTAAAGATGCATTAGAAAGGCATCACGAGAAGCTTTTGAGCTTAAACCCCGCCTTGAACCTCGGCGAATCGATGATTCGAGACTATTACGTGTTCGATGAGATACACTTTGCAATTGACCAACGCATCTCGATATGTATGCAGCAAGCCGAAGACGGCTGGCCAGAAGGCGAAGAAAAGTTATTTAGAAGTGAGTGCAGTGTTTGGTTGTTTATCCTATGAGCAAGGTACATGTAGCTAACAGCGGATGTCAACAGTTCTGGTTTGGGCTGATGCTGGAAGCGGCACAAGTCGTGGCGAACATGATCCATGGGATGCCGAATCCTACGAGATGAAATACCATCCCGTGATCGAAAACAAACCTATGATTGCCCTCAAAAGCCATTTACTTCGGCCTGGTGCACCTGAAAAGGGATCTTGGACGCCACAGGATCCTGTTTCTCAGCTCTATCAGAACTATGGCCGCTCATTGCGCCCAGACATTCAGGCTGCTGATCCATTCTACGCGCTTGGAGAGATTTTCCAACTCTCTGCCAACTCACAGCAGCAATTTCTCAATATGATAGATGCTAAACTTCGAACATACTCTGCAAAAGGACCTGAACATGGTCACGAGATCTTACCACACCTGAAATATACGCAGCAGATTCTGTACTCTCGCATCCTGGACATTAAGCGCGTTCTGATGAGCATCGAGAACACTCTTCGTCCAGCTTGGGCAAAGTCGAATTCCCAAACTGGGAGAGAAAAGGCTCAAATCGCCTATGATACGATTCAGCGCGATTTCAAGCATCTTCTCGACCATGCGGTGTCGCTATATGATAGAACGAAAGAAGCCATCTCTGTCCTGCAGTCTAGCATCTCCATCATGGCGTCACACTTGGCTATTTTGCAAGCAGAAAAGGCCTGGAAGTTGACCTTTTTAGCTTCCGCATTTGTGCCCATATCAGTTGCTACAGGCATATTTGGCATGAATTTCAAGGAGCTTTCTGGAGACGGAATGAGTATTTACTGGTTCTTTGTTGTTGTTGCCATACTAACTATATTCACCGCTGTTCTCTTTTATTTTGATGGGGTTTGGAGAAAAGTTAGAGCACAGATGACTGTCTGAAGCATTAAACATCACAAGTATCGCACTATATAGGTATTCTATGAGAAGACGCTTTGCATGAAGACGCTTATAGTTGTCCGATTTGTATTCTTAGAGAACACCACCTTTCAATATTTTGGTACATGTCTTGTTGCGCACATGCCTCTTGACTACGAATAGTGATATGCTTGGGATTTTTTTGTTAATACGATGTGCGTTCAGCTACCACTAATATTGATAAAAGTACTTGTATGTATCAACGACTTCACTCTATTCAACTTTTAAAGAGATTGGCAACGGGGTATATGCGCTAAATAATACAGGCACCAGAAAAGAAAGAAAATTCAGAAGCTCGACCAAGATAGAAAGAGAACTCTCAGTCTTTTTGTTTATCGCCAGGCGCCGCCGCCGCCGCTGATAATAAATCATGCGCACTGCTCTGTGTAAATGCCCTCGACACCATGATTCCTCCAGACTTCAACTCATCCAACTCGACCGACATCGTCGTTTGCTGCGCAACAACCTCGGTGACAGTTTCTCCTCCAGTTCCTCCAGATAGTCCATCGCTGTTGTTGATTTTCGCCCAGTCGTGGTGTTGCAAGCTCCCCTTGTACCCTCCGCCTCGCCGCTCAGAGCTGGATGCTGTTGCGCCGCTCTTGGAATGTGTCACCGATTTGACGGTGCTTTGGATCTTATCCTTGATGATGACCAGATGGCGGTATATATGGGGAAGATTTGCGCAGAGAATGGCGCCGCAGGGTTCCCAGGCTGAGAGGATCCCTAGAGAAGCTTCGTCCCCTTGATGAAGTAAATGTGTTAGCTATATTACCACCTGATAGCTTGAATAAGTTGGCAATGACAAAACTTGCATGTAAAATCCGCAGAGGCGACTCCAAACACAAACGACAATCTGGCCGCGCTAATCGCACACGTCGCCGCCCCAATGCCAAACATGAAGCACAGAATGATCCTCCGTTCCTTGGCTGCATGAAGGCCTAGAATCACTGGAATCGGCATTGAGAAAATCCACAGATCCGCCGCCATGTTGGTGACATTCGTAAAATACGTAAAGGCCTCCTTGTCGATGCATTTCCCCCGAGTTGCGTCCCACCACGCCTGGATGGGCCGACATCCAAAGCCCAGCACAACCTCCATGACGATGATCCAGGCGCAGACAAAACAAGCGGTGCTGATGACGAGATATCGAAATGTGCGGGTGATGAAGATGCGGTAGTACAGGGCCAATACGGAGAGTTTGGTGAAACCAATGGCGATGTCGTAGAAGTGGCTGAAGATGTAGTCGCCCTGAGGATGATTGTGAGTGGCTCTCGCTCGCTTACAAGAGACGGACAATGAAACGGCATTGGGCTGTATTCACCTTGAGGAACATCTGCACATCATTTTTGGGAATTGCTTGTATATGGCGTCCGAGCCCATACGGCGGACCTTTGAAGCAATATCAGCACTGCCTTCTTCTACTATTGATAGTCGGATCATTCATTGTTCACATACCGTATACCAATCCCAGCGCACATTCGACCATGGAACATAACGTCGCCCATAGCATAAGATAGTCTTCAAAGCCAAGCCGCCCCTGAGATAAAGACACTGCCGATAATCTCCATCCTGTGCTCAATGCCTCGAGAGCAATTGGAATCGAGTAAAAGGCCGTGACTAATCCTGTCTTGGATTGGGCCAAGTATTCCGGGCTGAAAGAGGTTGAATTCGTCGCCATCTCATGTATGGATTGATGATGTATCTCAATTGAACTCTTTTCTCCCGATGAGCTGTATTGATATTTGTCTATAAGGGCGAGGACGAGGGGAAAGAGACGGAAACAGCACAGTCAGACGCTGTGCTGAGTGGCTTCGTTAATCGCGTCGTGGTGTGCCGTCTATGAAGCAAGCCGTCCCAGATGCCGTGACGAATGCTCTGCCTTTGCAAACGCAATCAAAAACCGGCAGTCAAAGCACCAACAGCTCCAAATACCAGCGACAGCCCTCTGGCCGGAGCCGTCCAATGCGTCACTGACACTTAGGCCATGTACATCAAAAATTCCAAGCAGCACATGGATATAGGTAATGGTATATGCACAATGGTTAGAGTGACGGCAGCCTGGTATGTGGAACCGAGAAATAGTCGCGGCAGGGGAAAAGAAGAAAGATATAATAAATTGAACCAAAGAAGAGATTTGCCCAGGGTCATGCGCAGTTCCAAGGGTTGCAGCGAACCACTCAAAGCAAAAGCACTCTACCCCATCAGTTAATCAAGCTGCGATCGCTGGGCATGGATCTCGCTTACTGCCACACAGTCGATATCATACCCATTACTGCCTAATAATACGACTCTGATACTGTAGTGCTACGTGCTCCATACATGCAGTAGCCACACACACCACCTGTTTCCGGTCGAATAGTCTCATCCACTTACAGAACAGGCACTACAGTACTAACGGCACCTGTACGATGCCAATCGCTACTAGAGCTGCCCGCGAAGGATCGTCGTCGCTCCTCTAGGGCGGTCCGAACCGTCCACTGAGCGGCGCGAGTCTCCAGATTGACCGTCCAACGGCTAGCAAACACATACCAGCACTGGAACATGGAGAAAAGCCTTGGCAAGGCTCTGCAGGCTGTGCAGGTTGTGTGGAAAGGGAAGATCGCCATCTTGACAGGACCGACTTGTACAAAAACAGCTTGCACTTTGACTGTTTTCGAGAAGAACAGCTGATGGTGAGGTCAGAGAGAGAGAAATGAAAAAGCCCACATTCGCAGAAGAGCATCTTACAGTACTATCTTTCTCAGCCTATGCGCCATAAGATGATCAAAGCTGAGAACTAAGCCTTGTGCGATACAAGCCCTGCAGTGAGAAAGCAAGCAAAGGATTCAATAATTGTGAGCCGTGGCTTGTCTCCGGGTTGCGCGTCATGCCAGAAACAGACATAACGGCTGTCATCAAGCAGCGTCAAGGGTAGAAATTGTAGAGTAGGATTCTCGTTCCCGAGACAGTCGTGCTGTCTGTGCTTGCCTGTACTCTGCGGAGTCATGTTCCTACATGCAATTCGCTTTCATCGCCTCACTTACACGCACCAGTAATTCCTTTTCCTAGAAATGAAAAGACGAATGAAAATTTTATTTATTTATTCCTTTCTTTAACGCAACACCAACTGCTATGAATCATCAACAGCCTCCCCGCCTCATTTTCTCTCGCCTTGCTTCATCATCGTCTCCTCCACATCCCGAAGATGCATTGCGCACGTTTCTCACCTATACCGGCACCAAAGTCAAATGTTCCCGCAAGCATCTCCATCCGCATGGACTGTCAAACGGCAACAATGCCTAAAAACGTGCATTCAAAACTCGAATTCCGCAGCATGGGGAGGTGACTAAGGTCCTTCTTGGCAGGTAGTCTAGAAGCCGAAGAATACATATGCCGTGTTGGGACACAAGTGAGCATCGTCAAAACTGCGAGGTAAAAGCTTGCGTAGCAAATACCTACTGCAGCTATCAAGTGCCGCTGAAAGGAACAAGGGATGGGGGGGACCCTGGCCTGGGCACTTATGCATGTAAGACAACATGGTTGGCGAACAAGGATACGAGGCAGAAGCAGCAAATGTCTCTTCCCTCTTTCACTTGAGTGGCCGCCGCATCCCGATGGCGTGCACATCATTAATTGCCCATCACGAGAATTGGAAAAAATGAACGAGGGAGGTTTCGTTTCGCCTTGCTGGGCTTACACGGGACACAGTCCATTGTCTTTTGGCGTTTTGCCTCGTTGCCACGTTGGATCGTCAGATTGGCCATGGCCTGAATCATATGCGGTTACTCTATTCGCTGCATGTGCGTTCAACTGCTATCACGCACCGAAGTTGCCGGCCAGTTTCTGATTCTGATTCTGTTTCCGTCTGGGGTCAAGGGACTTGGATTGGTGGAACAGGCACTCACAAGACTAGCACCACCATTTCGAGTTTTGCCGCCATCTTAATCTTCAGCAAGCCTCTATTAATCCTCAGCTGCCGTAAACTGCAATCCTTGTAACTACCTAGCAGGGATATTAAGAGCGCCATAAGCGCAAGGGAACGGGCCGCTCGCTCGCTCGCTCTTATTCTCTTTCGGCCGCAACTCATCGTCCGTGGATGTCTCATGTTTTAAATGCTACTGCTGTACTTCTAGAAACAGCAAGTCATTTGCTCTACAAACACAAGCCAGAGTCCCCATCACGCGCCACTCCTACAAGCACTCCAGCTGCCGTACAATATGAACCGATAGTCCTCCTAGTCCTTCTCGTCTACACAATAGTGTCTATATCCTATCTCGCAGTCATGCTTCTTCACAAGACCCAAGTCAGCTGAATCATGAAGCCAGCGGAAAATCACCAGCCACCCTTGTCTTCTCCAAAGCTGACACTGCCGCAAACTCCGCTGCCTCAAACGACAAGCTGCTTCATCCATCTATCTGCCTATCTGTCCCTGCAGACGGTAAAGAGGGCACCGGCTGTTCTTTTCCGAAGTCAAGAAAAATATCGATTGCGCCTCGTCATTTCCCAACTCACTTACATTGTCATCTGCCCCGAGGCACTGAAATGCCTTCACCATGAATCACATGCCAACATTGTTACCGCGTATATTAATTTATATTCTATAATAGTTACCGGCAACTCGCATTCAGCTCCCTCAGTCGCAGCTGAGGCGGCCGACATGCATACGCACGCACATTATTTGTGCCACATGCGCTGCCAGGGCCCTTTTACTTGACCTTCCCCGGACCGCTTCGGCGAGGCCGCATCTTTGTCCACCTGAACTGTGCATCTCAGCAGCAAACCTCAAACGCCATCCATGTCGCCCATACAAATATTCCAGCTGTCTTTGCCCAATCTGTCTGCTGTTTCCACATGATATTGAAATGCTGGAGTGCGGATCGAATTACGGATCGTTTAGTGCTCCCGGTCCCGGATGCGGTCGTCCTCGTTTCTCGAAACGCTCGAGGATAGCTGGCTGTATCCACCAAGATCGACTCTCTTTTTTGTTTCTGTTTCACGAACCAACGACCAGCCACTTTTCAGGACTTCCTAGTGTCTTTTTAAATTACTCTCTTTTCCCTTTTAATACTACTATTTGATTCTTAATCTTGTTCTTGTTCATAATACACACTGCTCGGGATAGAATTGGATAAAACTCCAAAGGCAAGACTCAGGCGTAGAATCTCGCTACAATGAGGCGCGTTGCCGGCTCCTTGCTTTTCACCCTGGCCGTCGTCACGGACCACGCATTCGCTGCCATTCCTTTAGAATCTACGCCAACCGTCGATCTGGGGTACGCAGTTTACGAGGGCGTCTACAACGACACCTACAACCTGAACACCTGGAAAAGGTAGAGTCTTCAATCTGAATATGAGTGAGACAGGCTTCAGCAGCTTCATGTACTTATTCACGACTCAGCATCCGATACGCCGCTCCCCCAACCGGCAACCTACGATGGCAAGCTCCTCAACCACCTCTCAATGCCACCACCCAAAATCGCCTCGTTCCCGCAGTGGATCAGCCTCCGTGGTGTCCCCAGTCTGGCGCCTACGGCGTGCCTTCAGTGTACGGCTTCAATTCCAATCTCGGCAACGAAGATTGTCTCTATCTCAACGTGTATGCGCCGCCGCAGGCAAAGGACCTGCCCGTCTTCGTCTGGATCCGTAAGTCTTGAGACAAGGACATTCGACGTGTCACCTACAAAACTAACTAATATGATAAGATGGCGGTGGCTATTCCGTCTTTTCTGCCACTTACAACCCCAGCTCTATGATAGACGACAACAACAACGGTTTCATCACCGTTGAGATTCAATACCGCCTTGGCGCCTTTGGCCAGCTCGCCTCAGCCGACGTCCAGCAGCACGGTAAACTCAACGCTGGCTTATTAGACCAGCGCTTCGCACTCCAGTGGGTGCAGAAATACATCTCCAAGTTTGGTGGTGATCCTGCCCGCGTTACACTGGGCGGCGAGTCATCTGGCGCAGGATCCGTCATGTATCAGTCTTTGGCATATGGTGGCAGAGACTCTGGATTGTTCAGCAACGTGCGTAGTTTTTATACCTCTGTATGATTCATGTTATTAATTGTCTTTAGATCATCTTGGCCAGCACTTATGTCCCACCCATCTACCAATTCAACGATTCCATCCCCACCAGCTATTACAACGACTTTGCTGCAGCCGCTGGGTGCGGGGCGACTTCACCTACGAGAAAAGAGCATTCAAGCGTATTTGACTGCCTTGTTGCCGCCGACACGAATGTCTTGCAAAATGCTAGTGGTTTGGTATCAACTTCCAGCGGCTATTTTGGAAGCTTCTCCTGGCTGCCAGTCATTGACCACGATATGATCCAAAATCGACCTTCAGAACAGCTTCAACGTGGCCAAATCAGCGGCCAACGCGTCTTAATCGGAGTATGGTCCATCCCTTCCATCACTTTTATCACTTCTATTCATCTACTATTCTCTTTCTGTAATCATTTTTTCCACACTGTGACTCTCTATACTGACAATAACTTCGATAGACCAATGCCAACGAAGGTGTCCCACTTACAAACCCCTACATCACCACCAAATCCGACTTTGACGCCTTCATATCGTCCACTCTCACTAATCTCACCACCTCTGATATTTTTGCTCTGAATCAACTTTACGGCACAGCTACTGTACAGCCTGGTAACAACGGAACCCGCTTCGATACAATGGGCGACAGTGGCCCTACGGCAAACACCGTCTCGGGCATGGCCACGGGCATCCAGCAGACAGCCTTCAACGTTGCCGCCGAATCCATCTTCCAATGTCCCTCGCAGTGGATAGCTGAAGCCTTTAGCTCAAAACGACAGGCGTGGAAGTACCAATACTCGCTCGACCCAGCATATCACGGCGCAGACCTCGGTGCGTATTTTGTCAGCACCAATGGCCCGCCGAATCCCGGCTTTCAGCGCAGCTTCCACATGATCTGGGGCAGCTTCATCATCAACGACTCTCCAGTTATATCTGTAAAGGATGCAACCGCCGGAATGGCAAATGCCACGGTTCCCATCGACGCCAATCGCCCGGATCAAATATCATGGCCGCAGTACAGCGCAGATGATGCAATATTCATCAACCTCAATACCACGGGCGGAGAGGTATCTCTGGTCACAGTGACAGATGAGCTGAGCTACTACGTCCGCAAAGGAGCCGGTATCGTCAACACCTTTCGCCTTGCCAATGCTACGTCTTGGGAGGGTGGGCGCGGCGATAGATGCAGGTTTTGGCAGTCTGTTGCACCTAGAGTGCCCAACTAAATGTTGATCAATAGAATCCATTTCTTTTTCCTCTTATGAAAGAATAGAGTAAAGGGCCGCCAACGTTTTTGTTTGTATATATCATCAAGCTCTATGATCCGCAACGAGAAGCCTCTGTAGAAATAAATTAAAACCTCGTTATTTTCCGAATGCTACTTTGAAAATGTGTATTTCACTGGCAGAAACAAGAGCAGTCGAGTCTCATATCCTATTTAATCACCCATGTCTGAATCTTACATACGCGTACCTACATGTATAAGTTGACTTACATGGAAGTGAAGGCTTCTGTAATTTGGCATTAAAGCAATAGATTCATTGCACAGCCACCGGAGTGCAACAGATACATCAATCTTAAAAGTGTAAAAACATTTTAGAAGGAATTGCAAATTTTTCAGCATCAATTCCTGTCATTCTATGCGCCTGTATCAATCCAAGTCCATCGCCCTTGAGGGGCACGTGCTTTGGCGTTGACAGGCGCTACGCGAAAACCCAAAGCGTGACGTCGTTGCTCTACCAAAATCTCAATCCAGTCCAATTCTCACCACCGCCAACAATCGCAGCACCGCTTCACCCACCACCAACCACTCAATTAGCTTGGATACTCACTATCAAACATTTTATAATACGTTATTTACTCGATACGAAGCTTCAAAAAGCACCAGCAGCGCTATTTAGGCCGCTGTGGCCCTGGTCTGTCGAAAGACGCATCGATCGCTCGCATCGCATCGCATCGCTTCCGCCGCTCAAAAGATTTGGTCGCCAGCATGGCTTCCACGCCCATGGACCTCGATCACCCCGTCGGCTCAAATGGCTCTGCGGCGCTCAATATCTCGCGCAATCTGGCCGCCAGCGCGCCCGTGTCCAACCTCAGCGACGTCGTCTCCAGCTTTCGCCCAACAAAGGTGCGTTTGCCTTGTGCCGCGGAAAAACTGCCGATACCGGACGGAGCTTCAGAAGCTGACATGGTGGAATCTATAGCTGCTACGCCGAGATGATATCAAGGACGGAAAGCCTCAGCCTCGAGTCTTGTCAATGGACTACGACGACGACGGAGAGCTGCTCATGACATCGGCGAGCGACGAGACGATTCAGATCTACAACGTTCGAGAGGGCCGGCACGACAAGAGCTTGCTGAGCAAGAAGTACGGCGTCAAGCTGGCCAAGTTTACGCATACTCGCTCTAGTATAATCTATGCGAGTACGAAACAAAACCGTGAGTGACTGCGCCATCGCGCCCCTGTCTTGTTGTTGCTGCGGCTAATCCTCTATGTATGCGCAGATGCTATCCGATACCTTGCTACTCACGACAACTCCTTTATTCGCTATTTCGAAGGCCACGATGCGGCAGTAACAGCGCTTGCCGTTCACCCCGGCACCGACAACTTTATATCATGCTCACAGGACAACACTGTCCGCCTTTGGGATACACAGACGAAGAATTGGCAGGGTCAGCTTTTCCTTCGGTCGCCGTACCTTGCTGCATACGATCCGTCAGGCACAGTCTTTGCCGTCGCATGTCCTAGCAGTGGCTCTGTCCTGCTGTATGATATCCGAAATTACGACAAGGCGCCTTTCACGACCATTGACGTCGTTGAGCAGTGTCGCGGCGTCGACTCGCAGCATCTTGTCAAGGGGTGGACCAAGCTCGAATTCTCGAACGATGGTAAGTCTATCCTTGTAGGGACAAAGGGTCGCGGACACTTCCTCCTCGATGCCTTCCAAGGCAACCTGAAGGCATATCTCCGACGGCCTGCGGGAGGGACCCATCGACTGGCTGCAGGCGACAATCTTCCTTCTAATGGTGCTGGCCCGGCTTCCAATGATCCCAATGCGTTTGAGAGCAGCGGGGATTGCTGCTTTGCGCCAGATGGACGATATGTGCTGAGTGGTGGCTCAAAGCAAGATGTGCTGGTATGGGATACGCTGAAACAGCCGTCAGAGAGCAAAGTCCTCGACCCAACATGGACGCTGCCAGACAAGAGAGAAGCTGCCGTGCTGGCATTTAACCCGCGATTCAATTTTTTTGCAACGGCGGACCAAGACCTGGTGCTTTGGTTACCGGACCCTCATGCATAGAAGCCTGGGAATGGCGAATATCCCAAAAACGTGAATCTATTTTTCATGGATGGTGATGGTATTTCAACTCTTTTGCTTGGAATAGAAGGAGAGGAAAGGGGGCCCCTGCAGATACCCGGCGTCGTAAAGAGTGGCTTCAGCGATGGGGTTGGCTGTTTCATAGCTTTGTTCTGTGTCTCTTGTATACTTTCATGTGTAGATATAGACGCTTCGATCTTTAATGGATATGACTCGAATGGCTTACTAGTGGTAGAGCTAGGTGACAAGAACTCAGTCGTCTATCCCACGGTCGTTGTACACTCATTATACCAAATCAACGCAAGGTCACCTTTATTTCTTTCGAGATGTAGCTGGGCTCTTTGGCAAAACTTTTTTCGTTTATACTTGTCACGCTGCTAGTCGTCAGCCCCTCCTCAAGCTCCATCACAGCAGCAGATACGGATCAGCACCCTTGCCTCGGAGAACTTCAACAACGCAACGTTCTGTACATAAGATTTAAAAAAAAAAAAAAATAGGTTAAAAACATACAACAGCCGGTGTTCGCTGATAGTCTCCCACTCAACTATTAATCTGCCGGTTAGTGGCCTGTCTATGGGGGAGCAGACGGGTCCCTGGATTCTCTATTATCTACGTTGTACGCGTATGTGCTTGGAAATTACTTCAACCTGACTTATAACCTAGACGTGTGGCTCGGTGAGGTACGGTCACCTGCGAGGAAATACGATATACACGTGGTGATTGGTTGTACTCCCGCCCCTATTAGGCGCCGTTGTAACAATATGCGCACGGTGCATATGTTTGTATGGGGGATTGAGATTGGGAAGTAAAGGCGTCCAAGGCGATGTGTTGCATTTAGACTAATCCTTTCCATATCAGAAATATATTCTACTGACTATAAATTATTGTTCGAAGCTTTAGAGTTTTCTACCAACTTTGAGAGTCTAAGACCAGGGCCATGACGATTTCCAAAGCTAGGCATTGATGCACTTTGATCGTGGATTTTGTTTGCTTCTTGAGGGTTCTGTATCGCTTGCTCCGAAAAGCGGTCAATGGTTCTTTGGTAGCTTTCGTCACTTATTTGTCCTCCAACATTGCGTGACCGTCCTGTAAGATTAATGCGCCTGGCGGTTACGAGGTCTCCGATTGTCGAGATAGTAAAGTTATAGGCATCATCAGCAAGAGTAATATCCTCGAAGACATTGTGTCGCTCAACAGATCTGGTATCGCCTGCATCCGAGATGACTTGTATGCATTGATGGATGCTAGCTTTCGTCGCGCGTAGTCGCTCAAGCTCCGCGACTGCGTCTTTGGATATAGGATGCGTAGAAGCCATGACCTGCATTCGATTATCGATCTCCTCCTCATGGTTACGCAACTGTGTCACAAGCTTGTGGATAGAACCCTTGGCAGCGTCTAATCCACTTTTGACATATTTATGTGCCGAAGGACGCTCGGAAAATTGATAATTGTCTTCCGGCACTGGTTCCAGCTCCTCGATTCGTTTGGATAGTTGGGCGCAAATTTCGAGACCTTGCTGTGTGCTCATTTTCTCCTGTATCATTGCTTGCCACTCAGTATTGCTCTGGTCAGAATGCGACAGAAGCTGGATCTTTTCATCCAGCCTTTGCAAGTGTTCTTTTAGATCCTGGGTTGTATCCGAAATCATATCCTTGTAATCCTCAAGGACTCTTGGTGTTATAGCAGCTACACGACTGAGATAGCAGGCGGTTAGTCCATAGCGTAGGACCGCGAATTAGCCTGAGTACACTTACATGTTTGCGTTCGCCAGAGCTATATTTATGGTAGACTTATACCCTGCCAACATATCCTTAAAATCGTTGATATCTCCTTGGAGATACTTCTGGGTGACCCAATCTCGGACACTCGATCGCGAAGCTGTGGAGCGTCGCGTAAAGCGACAAATAAGCTCTCCATACTCATTGCATGCGTTCCCGCAACGGTGTAAAGGGGCTTTCAGAGCGTCAAAATTAATGTCAGGATTGTTGTTCACAGTCTCCAAGAGTGACTCTAGGACAGTCGTTATATCACTGAGTTCGGTCTTAAGGGCGCGGGCCTTTTTATCTTGGCTTTGAAAGTTGCGGATTGTCGTATAAAGGTTCACGCTGGATGTTAGGGCAAAGGTTACCAACGCAACAATGCCAGATGCTATGCTGAGAGGATCGGCCATTCTCAGCAGTGATAAATGGAATTACGAGTTATTTGTGTAACTGGAGCCAAGAGCAGCCTTTTATGGCCGCAAGCATCAGCACTGTCAAGCGCCAGTACAGCATGCAGCGGGGTAGTTGCAGCGGGGTAGTTGCAGCATGCAGCGGGGCGGTTGCAGCCAATTAAGGCCGCCAAGTACAATTTTGCAAGGCTGTCGCGCGGCTACTGAGAATTTCCATCACACGCCGTCAATACCCTATTTAAAGACCCGAATCCAGTCCGCCAGTTAGACAGAATTGCTGTAAGTCAATTAACTTCTACAGAGGTTGCTACCAAACGACTCATCTCACCACCTTTATATTTAAGTGGGGTTTCGTTCAACCCCTGCACCTATCCTTGTGATCTAGATGCCCTATAACTATAGTGACCTTAATCACTAAAGGATCGCTCGATACCGCTAAAGAGAATCATTTTTAGTGGCCTTAGTGAGAACGATCACTAAAAGTTAGTGGTTAGGTTCTGCCGGAGAAATCGAGCCACTGGTCCGTGCGACCTCTGTCGTACATATAGTAAGTATTATAAGGAACCCGCGTTTACTAGCTTGGAGAGCGCCTGCGGCTATTATCGCTAGAATAGATATTGCAAAAGAGCGGCGGCTGTATGTAAAGTCATGATCTTACCAGGGTCTCTAACAAGTTATCCATACTCAAATATCTTGCCCAGAGGTTAACTTTTATTTTAGTATAACATATTGTTATGACCCGCCTCTTATTATATTATTAATAATTAACTATTTAAGCTATTTAATAAGTATATCTTAAACGCCTTATATAGTAAGTTATTTTATAAGGAGCGCTCTTAGGCGTCGCTCCTCTTATGATTGGTTGGTCGTTCCATAGTTTTTCCGGGGCATGTATTGTACGTCAGGGCCTTAAGAGGTCAGGTCGTAACAATCAGTCTCAAAAACACGTAAACCAAGAACGGTTGACGGGGTTGGTCAAATGCATGGCAAAGTCAAGGGTAGGTACTTAGTCCATGCTCAGCGGGCCACTAGCTCTCACCAATGGCCCCTCAACAGAAAGTGCTCGGCCATCTGGGTTAAGAGGCGCTTCTAGAGACTCCGAATGCTTCAGATAGTCTATAATCAAGTCCATAACTTGGGGGCTGTAGGCCCACGTTAAGAACGGTCTAAGCAAACCTATCATCGCGTTACTAATAGCAGTAATTAAACGAGATAAAAGCCACTAACGCCTCCTCCCGTTAATATCACGGAGTAATTCCGACTGACCACTAGCGAATGCGTTATGCATTGTCATTTATCGAGGCACAGATGGCGCTCTTGGGTGGCGAACAGAAATTTAATAAGCATTCCCAAAAACTTCAAATTAAGCTATACATTATCTTAACTTCTTTTATCTATAAGAATGGTTTTATTACTCTCTATATAAAATAATTAATAAGTCTTACTTTAGAATCTTAAAATAAGATTACTATTCTCCTATTTGGATTATACCTTTAAGTGTGTCTGTAATTCGCTTTAACTGCGTTACCCCTCTTACAGTCTATGCTTTTTTATTTCCACGCTTAAGATAATCTATAGTAAAATAGCAGCACTCATAGACATTGGAAAGCTAAATTGTAAAGACCGTATTGACCCGAGCGGGAGGAGGCGCGGAACTAAACTAACTAAATCGCGAGTTCAAACCCCACCAAGTCTTAGTGTTCTCAATTGATCGCTTGTGCAATCGGCACAGGGCTCGTTAAACGGCCTATCGGAGGGCGACCCGGGGAGCCTTCCCATCGCATACCTCATGGTAGGCGCCGTCTTCGTTATGACTGGACTCAGAGAAATGGCTGCATTTCTCCCCATAAACCATGGACAAGGGTTTTGGAGACTATGCTAGCCGCATGGTTGATCTGGCGTTTGGCAGCGCAGAGACATAAATGCTAATACGACTCTCCGTTCAGATTCGCAACCGGCTGGAATTTTTTTCCAAGTAAATCATCGCAATGCCGTCAAATCTGACAGCAGCAGGACTCATTGTTCACTAATGGAGGCCTAATCTAAATTTTAGGATCTAAATTGCAATTATCGGAGTCGTCATCATTTTTATAAATGTATAACGTCATCCTTAGATTGTAGTCCGTATTTGCGCTAGCGGAATATCCAACAAGGCTGACATGATACAATATATTGGCAGTGTATAAGAGGGTGGACAAATGTTCCGAACGATTTCGATCCGGTGAAGATGATTTGATGAGCAACAGCCATATAATTGGTGACGACAATCAGATCGGCCTGACCTTGTGAGGTTTTAAACTACGCCACCACAACCACCTTAAAGTTGGAAGTCAAGACAGGCAACGCACGTACAACTGACGTCATAAACATTGGCCAGTAACACATCCATGAGCATATGGAAAGGCTATGATGTAGTCGATGTAGTCGCTTGGGATTGACCAGGTGATATAATGAGTCCAAATATCGTTCATTTCGAAGAATATGGTTTTGTATTTGATCCCATATTTTACGTACTGAATATTTTACGTACTACACAGACAATACTATAATCTAACTATCCAACAACCGCGAAACGTTTAACAAAACAACATGTCGGACATCATCAAAGGTTTCTCTAGCTTGGTCGCCTCGATCTTTGAGATTTTCAAAGGAATCTTCACCACTGCATTTGGCACGGTCGAGTCAGCCCTAGAATTGGTTGTGGGAATTTTCAGAAACCTCTTCAATGTCGCTGAAGGATTTGTTGGCTTTATTTTAGGTAAGCTTCAAATTCCTGTTTCTAAGATTAATTAAACTAATCATGACAGGAAACATTTTCATCATTGGAACGATTGCTGCGGTATATTTTGCATATGTATTATACCAACAACGCCAAGGGAAAGCTATTGCACCTAAATCTAGCTAAAGAAAGAGGGATTGACATGAGTATTTGTATTATCTAGATATAAGGATAATTAGGAAAAGACTGCATATTGTATTGATTTATTGCTCAGAATGGTCGACAGTAATGAAGACTGATAGACTCGTAGCAATATAGTGGCCACTATCATCACTGCTCAACTGTAAAGACAAACTTCCCCTAGCCTGATTTCGAAGAAATGGAGGACCAGAACCATTCTAAAGTGATTAGAAAAGACCTCCCAAATGGCACATCGATGACTAAGAAACACTTTTACCTCTTGACATCCCAATCAGGCCATACTTTTGCACTACAAGGGGGTTGACAGTTTGTGCACATTTCGAGCTCGGCGAGACAGAGTTCTGACTTGGTCTATGTAAAGGTCCTGATCACAGACCTGTTTCGCATTTACTGGGACGGAGGTCGTGGGAATGACATTTAGCGATACGCTAAATCCGAGGAAGAACATCCCCCGAACTGTGAAGCAGATTTTCTGGCGGATTGCTATCTTCTACATCCTGGGTGTCATTGTCCTAGGCATAACCGTGCCAAGTGACAACGAGATGCTGATTGGTGGTCTTTTAGATTTGGAGCTGCGATATGCAAAAGATGGAAGACATTGCACTCAAGAGAAGTGCTTAATGGGATCCCGTATACTCCGACGGATATGGTCGTATACGACGATCTTAACGTCTGAAACCACTTACAATACAGCTCCTCCATAAGAGGATCAAAAAAGAAAAAACATACAACAGCCGGTGTTCGCTGATGGTCACCCACTCAACTACTAATCTGCCGGTTAGTGGCTTATCTATGGGGGAGCAGACGGGACCCCGAGTTCTCCACTACCTATGGTCGTATGTACTGGTGTTTTTGACATTTTTACTTATAGCACAATGCTCCGAGTTAGCGCAGCTAAGAACAACCACCACGTACAACTCAACAAATCAATTAAACCAATATTAATTTCCGCCCATTATTTACACTCCCATCTACCTACTCTTTATAATCCAATTCTCTAAATAGACTAAAGGCTACCTCTTGAGCGAGGCTGCAAGCCTTTTGGTAAGTCTACTTTTAATTGCAAATGACGTGAACACTGGTCATTCAGGTGATGCGAGGTCATGAGTCAGCCATCCATGACCCGTGTTTCCCATAACTAAGCTAAACAGACCTCGCCCTCTTTTACGTGCAATATTAGGCCTTGCACGGTATTATTGCGGGCTCATTCCCGGGGCAATGGCGGTCTCACAGAATGGAACCAAATGAGCTACTTCCATACTCGGACCAAGGTGAATCGTAATGATGATTGAGGATTGGATTGATTGCTAACTCTTATAGTACGTTCAACAAGACTGGGACACCAAATGATCCATTAAATAGAGAAAAAACAAAAGAATTTAAGCCAAGATCACATCAAAGGAAGGAGCTCATCCCTTCTCCTCGAGCCTCGAGTAACTCGACAACAGCAAAATGGCGATTCTCTCTGGCTAGACTGATAGCCTTCATGAGGCCGGTCTTTCGGATAACATCTCCAATTGCGCCTGCGTTGAGCAGCATCTGTACCATATCCAACCGCCCATGCTCTGCAGCTCCTTCAATTGCCGTACGTCCGTCTTTTATCGCAGGAGGGGCATTTACATCTGCTCCCTTTTCGATCAGCAACATCGCTATCTGAAAATGTCCCTTGATTGCGGCGCCCTGCAGGGCAGTAATACCCCCAGAAGCAGCGGGGTCTGCGTTGATTGCAGCACCTGCAGCCAAAAGCAATTCTATCGTCTCTATGCAGGCCGTTTCCGACGATGCTGCGGCTTGGAGAGCTGTCATCCCATGGCGATGTGCTGGTAGGGCATTCGGATCTGCCTGGTGATCAAGAAGAAGCTTCACAGCCTCCACCTGACCCATTTCTGCTGCAAGCTGAAGCGGCGTTCTTTCGCACCATGATGAGGATAGCGTTTTCCATCGATGAATTGTATTTGCTCCTGCTTCAAGGGCTAGCTTAAGGAGGTGAGTGTCTCTACGTTCAATAATATCGTGAAGTAACGGGCTACTCGATCCGTCTAGACGATTCGCTGCTGTGCCTTTACTAAGGAGGAAAATGAAAGTCTCCGTAAGATGACTGTACATCTCATATCCTTCCTCACGATGCCGTCCCTCACTATCCTCTTCGTCCTTGTCGATCAAGAACACCTCCCATGGCCGGACCGTAGCTTCAAGGGTCGTCACCCCACCCGTTACGGCCGGAGGGGCATTTATATCAGCGCCCACGCTGAGAAGAAATTGTATCTTCTCTATTGAATAAGCCTTAGCTGCAGCTTGTAAGGCTGTATACCCTCGTACGGGAAAAGCTGGCTTGTTAACTTCGGCCCCTTTCTTGAAACAATATTGCAGGAGCTCAAGATTATGATTCAGGGCAACTGCTTGGAAAGGGGTAGCTCTGTGTCCGTAACTATTAACAGACACGCCCCTATCAATTAAGAGGACTAGAATATCCGTATCTTCACATCGCATGGTCCTCTCAATTGCAGTAGGACCATATTTTGTGAGATCAAGTCCTGCGTTAATCAATATATTGACGACAGCAGTGTAATCTTCCTCCGAGTCACATTCCTGCCAAATAATCTCATCCAAAAGGCCATCGATATTGACGTCTGCTTTGGCGTGAATCAAGAGGGCTGTATATTGGAGGCTAGATGACGGAGGATCCAGTGTAACCGCGATGACCAAAGGGCGGTCTACAAAGTCTGGTAAATGAGAACCATTGGGGTCAACTCCGTGCTGTAGAAAATTGACAACTGCCCGGGGATTTTCATTCTCTATTGCCACGACCATGGCTTGCTCGAGCATTCTTTCGGAGACTCGGGGATGTTGGGAAAGATATTCCAAAAGTCGAGCTTCTGAATCTGCGGCTTTTACTAACTGACCAACGGTATCCACAGGCACGCTCCCCGATTTCTTCAGCAGAAGTTTGTAAACATCCGGATCACGTCTGGCCGCCGCGTACTGAAGAAGTGGCATGCCGGACACGGAACCTTTTATCACCGCATTCTGATCTAGCAGATATTCAACGACTCTTTTATCCCCTTTAAACACCGCGAGAGACAAAGGCATAGTTGTATGGCTGGTAGGACCCGCAAAAGAACGTTGGTTCACGTCTGCTCCAGCTCTGACTAGACATTTCACCATCTCAAATCCAGCGTCGTCAACTGCTTCCCAAAGAGGAGGTGTCGGCACCTCCGCTGATAGACTAATGTTGACTTCGGCCCCGGCTTGAATTAATGCTTCTGCCACTTCGATGTTTTGTGTACGCGCCACGGATCGAAGAAGACGACCTCCAGGCTCTCCTTTAAGCAATTCTGGATCCAGGGTGGACAGCACGAAGGTCTGAAACTCTAGGTCATTAATCTTCACGAGCTGTGCCGCAGCATGGTCGAATTTAGCACCAATCGCGTAGAGTTGCCTTAGAAATTCTGTGTTTTGTATAAGAGCGCCAGCTTCGACAAGGCTGGCAAGGAATGCTTTCACAGTAAGCATGTCCAGTCGCTGTCGCAAGAAGAGCGTAAGAGGCTTCAAATAATTGTGCTCAATTACCCATTCGATAAATGCCGCTACTTGATGTTTTTGCAGCATATTATTGGAGGAAAAGTAGGCGACAACTTCGAAAAGTTGAGAAATGGATGGCTTTTGAGAGGGATCGGAGAGCGCTTGGATTTGGGCGTTAAGCTCACCAGGGTATCGTTCTGGTATCAGAGCCTGGAGCTTAGTAACAAAAGAAGGGATAATATCCGCAGCCTGGCTTTGATAGAGGAAGCCAATGACCTTTGCGAGCATGTGTGAAAAGTCATTTGAAGGTTGGTCGGTAGTCGCTGGTATATCGAATGATCCATTGGCTGATGGGCCATCAAGGGAAAGGCCAGAACAGAGGTAATCAACAATCCCAGGGCTGCTGGCTGCCATATAGTCAGTCTTATGTTAGGCCATACTATGGTTTATCAAGAAACTGGGCTGCGCCACTTACGGCCTTGCAGGATAGGGTACTTTAATTGGAAGTAGGGCAGATTTAGCATAAGGGTGAGCCGTGACACGTCCAAACTAGTATCCAATCCAAATGACTCCGAAAATCCGTCGGTGATCATCAATGCAAACGTGTTGTCTATATACTCCTGCAAATACGCTTCGGGTATATGCTCTATGGGAGGAGCGATGGATGTACCAGGCAGAAGTTGTATTTCGGGATTAGGGTTGGCAGGTGGCGATGCTGAATGACATGGAGGAGGAGTTGCAATGCAGAGCCGATCGCAGAGATTTTCCCCAATCACTTGAAACACAGTCAGTCAACGTTCCAGCGTACATGAAATATGCTGGCTCAAATACCTGTTGAGGTATCGAGATCTATGTAATCTCGGCTCACCGAAGCGATGTATCTGTCGATGCCTCTCTTGAGACGTTTAGGGCCAACCTTATATCCATGAATATAGACATCGCTGTCCTTGTTTTCCAGAGCGCGTTTCCTAATTGCTGGAATGATGCCAGTCGTCCACTCTTTCTCCGTAATGTTCTTTTGCCCGCCGAATTTGTGCTTGAACTGCCTTAGACTACGATCCACTTTAGTGCCTGTGAGATAAAGCCGTGGGGAAGCCTATTTAACTAACGTGACTTGTAAACCATGGTTTTCGCGTAAATACCGAATTGTCTCCTCAGCGGTCTTGTTCTGTGTGATATAAACAGAGATAACATCCTGAACGTAGGGATCCCAATTAATACTGGGCTCAGAATTGTTCGACATTTTCGGGGCAAGTTTGATGGATTGGCAGTATGTTTGTCACAGAACGATTTGGGACCTGCGGGAGTTGTGTAGACGGCCGAGGGGTTTTGAGGCAGGCTGTAAGGCAAGCAGCATGAAGGCAACCTATACGGGAGCGCCTTGGAGCTGTGAGCCAATGACTGCATCCTGCCAAAAGGCCACCGCCATGTGGGGTATAAATTACATCGCCGGTTTTCATTGATACAAATATATAGAGTAGACCGGCGGTGTTTTCTTTACCCCCTTGACCGCCTCCTGGGTGGCCATAAGGACATGCCCACAATATGCCGTGATCTTTTGGTAGTGTCCAATAGCAAGCGTCGCCCGCGCCAGGAATTGTCCTCTCGTCCACAAGCAATAATCCGCCAAGGGACCCTTGCACATGCTCTTGGCGTTTCATTTGCTCAACTATCAGCTTTTTAAAGCTCGCGCCTGACCGCATCGCCTTTGGGAACGCGCTGCATGAGGCCTTGCAGCTGGTTCCTCTCCGGGGTTTTCGGCCAACCAAAGAATAATTCGATCGATGCCCAGGCTAGGGGCGTGGACGGTTGGGGGCCATGGCCCGCGCACTACATGTACCTTTGGACTAAGATAGCTCGGTGCGTGCCTTTGTGTTTGCCCATACTCAAGCTGATATTGTCTTACTGCCTCTCTCCTCATTGGAGGCGTAAGGAAACTTTTGGTTTCGGGATCCGCCCACCAGATCAGCCTCGTAACCTCAAAGGTACAAACCCCTGGCCGGGGGGAGCTGTATGTCATTAGGTATACCCCATAGTGAACTTGCCGACATTACACCCTGCGTTGCGTCAATACAAGTCCAGCCCACAGAACCAAAATCACCTCCAACAGATGAATCACGCTGCAAATGCCCAAAAGTTCACTGCATAAGTACAAAGCTAGACAGAAAGTCCGATAAGATGCTACAAGCATGACAAGTAAATAAGTGCGATGCTCCCATTATGCTCTCTCAAAAGAAATCCGACAGAGCAACAAGATAGCTATTACTCCAAGCTACTTAATTCGTCGACACCAAATTCAAGCAATTAAACAATTACTATCATGCCTCAGTCAGTCCCTTCTAATTTGATGGAGCCTCCTGTTCGATCATCAGTGACAGCAAAGAAAGGGTATTTTGCTTCCTGTCTGCAATGGGACTCATTAGGACCTTATTTTGACGTGTGCATAGATACACCACATGCCCCACAGCTACTACCGTTCTAAACGGGCCCTCGAAACTTTCGGCAGACAATTTGCATTACCGATCAAGCAAACACATCTTGGATGGCCAGCTTACTTCTTTACCGTCAACATGCATGTTAACCAAATGGGCATATGAAACTCGGAAGGAAGAAATAACATTTGCAGAGCAGTTTCAGCAAAAGCAAAATATAAAAAACTAGTGATTGTAACTGCTTGATGTGTAATAATTGCACTATCTATAGAATAACAATCAAGACTTTTGCAACATATAAACCATTGCTCCTGGATGGTAATAAAGCAGGCGCCAACTGGGAAAGTTGCGCTTGCGGCTTTGCTCTTTTTGATGGGGGAAATTGCCAACGCCGACTAGAGAATGGGAATAGTTCACTTGGTGATATTGGCTACATATAGCAGAACCTAATATTTTGGTGATGTAGAAAGAGCTACTTTTCTGGCTGCTAGCGGCGGGAAAAGAAAAGCGCTAGGAGCAAAAGATTGCCCGACTTTCTAGGTGGCCTTGATATAGCTAGTGCTTACTCACGTGGGTGGCTCTATTTAGACAAGGCGACTTCAATCAGCGCAGCATCAGGCATTTTTGCGTTTTACACAGCGTTGCATGAAGAATATTTTTAAAAAAGCAAAAAGAAAAAACATACAACAGCCGGTGTTCGCTGATGGTCACCCACTCAACTACTAATCTGCCGGTTAGTGGCTTGTCTATGGGGGAGCAGACGACGGCCGTCGTTTCCATCATGACCTGAACCTGAACCGAGGTTTTGCCATTTCAGCCATTTCCTACTCAGGACCGTTAAGTGCACGTCTACTTCACCGTTACATGTCCCACTTTAAGTTAGTAGTTTCCAGACGAATATTAAACCTGCACCCCCCATCTCACATTTTGCTACTTCGTAAAGAGCAAATACATGAGGTTAAATCTTCTGACAAGACGTGGCCATTGTCCCACAAGGATATTGTTAGAGTCCCTTGGATGTAGCAAACGACGTAAGAGGGGAGCTAATAGGTAAGACAGAGTAGCAGTTTTCCAGTGTCCCTTAGGTAACCGTGTAGAGAGTGACTCGGACAGTAGAGGCGCTGGGGGCGGTGTCTAGTTTTTAAGAAAGTTGTAGTAGAAGAGTGCACCAGGGCAAGGATCTGTATGGTAGCGTTCAACAAGCTTCAATGTTTGAATATAAAACTATTATATTGTTATTTATCCAGCGGGCTCGCTCCGCGTCCCCCTACCTGTCTACTAACAGATGTAATCTCAAACAGGCTGGTTTGGAAATGGTGACAGCCGCAACATGTGAGGTGCGCTCGCCACCGTTTGTCCACACCGCACCAAAACACGACCATCAACAGGCGGTGGCATAAATGGATCCGCCCTCATATGGTAATTATACACTATAATAGGCTCCTTCCGGGGCTACCCCTCTGTCATCACACAATGGTAATTGCCACGACAGGCACGTCTCGCCATACAGCTGGAGCAGCGCTTTCGTCATTCCGAACTAGTCCAATTCTACTGTACGTGTCCTTACTCCCTGGTAATAGACGAAGCATGAGAGCGTGATGTCTATTTCGATCTCCAATTAGCAGGCATACTGAAGAGACCAGTTCCCTTGATGACTGAGGTCCATTCCTGGGCTCGTCCAAAAAGAGGTCGCCAAGAATCGCATCGTTCACACTTGGACCGGTCCTGTTACATGTGTAAACCTTTGGCAGACTCTGACCATCAGTATTCTTCCATCGAACCTCTATCAAAGGTCCACGAATGCGCAAACTCCCCGCAGTGACCTCACCGAATGGGTTTTCAGGATCTGCTAATTCCACTTGGCAGTCTACAATCTCGGCGTGGCCAGGCCCATTTGTGCGCGTCCTCAGCAATACTGTCCCATCTATAGACGCCCATGACCAGGAAGGGGCTCGATATTCATCTGGTCTGTGGTCCATAGATGTCGGATAAACAAGCCACTCTGGGTGGTGAAACCATAAAAGGTTGCATAGCATGGTCGACCGCCAAAGCCCTGCAAGATATTGGTCGCCGGTGGCCTCGTGGTATCTCTGCGCGAGAGCTGCAATAGCGTGCAGTTTATCTCTCGGCTTGCTCAAGTCTCGAGAACAAAAAAATTCAACCAGTCTATTCCAATCTTGGACTCCACAGCTGTCGGGTAGCCTGTAAGTATACGCTTTTGAGAGTGAACTATTTCGGCTGTCAATGAGCTTTCCCAGTTTTGCTTGGTCGCATTGCCAGACCAGACCAAATCTGGTATAGATAAGGAGTCTAGGTGACAGAATATGCTCCTGTAATGCCCATGCTCGTGAGTATAGTGGCTCATGTCTGAATCCGAGCGGTGCTTTGGTCCAAGAAATAGATACAAATCCACCAGTTCCCATACTGGGCAGGAGGCATCTACCTTTCGTGAAAAGACCATCATTGGCATGCCTCGCAGCAGCAGCTGATATGGTTACATAGGCGTTGCTATACACGCGATCCATGTTCCTGACCTCGCTAGCCCAATCGCTGTGTGCCAGGCTGTCGGTCCCCTGGACAATACACAGTGCATCTACCCACAGATATGGCAAACCAACGTCTCGCGTGACTTGAACGGCATCTCGCAAGGTTCGTGGCAAAGACTGCAGAGAGAAGCCGTCCTGGTGGTCTTTGAGGTTCTCAGCCTAGTCACGAACGGCTTGGAGCGGCCCCAGCAGTATGAGAGAGCGGCATATTTCCCACGCTCAGAGATGGTTGGTGTATAGAGACGTAATGTATCCTTGTCCAGTCCCCCTACATCGATAACCCGAGTCGGGAAAGGACGATCATCGCGAGCATTGCAGTCGTGCCGTCGAGAGCAGTGTGAGAGGCACGCCTTTGCAAGCTCTGAGACCGTTGGCTGGGTGTTAGACTCTGTTAAAACAGATTCGAAGTATCGCGCATCTGAGACGATTAGCACACAGCTATATATACCACTATCGCCGTCGTTTTACCATCGCTATAATCGCTAGACTCAGCCGCCGACGAGAGGAAGTCTAGGGAGAAGTGCGCCGTGCGAAGAATCTCCTGCTTATCATCATATATATGCGCCATTAATAATGGAGTCGCATTGGCCATTTTCAGCATCACCCAGCAGTTTTCAGGGGCTACCGATCGAGCGGGGTGAGACGTTAAGTTGAGGGCATTTTTGAGCAGGCAACAAAAGGAGCAGCCTTGTTGCTCTGCTACCATAATATCGGACACTGAATTGTGTTCGAAGCCCCAGGAGGCTCCATATTCGGGGATCCTGATACAGCTGCATAAAGGGCAGAGATCGTCGTCGGCTTCATACACCTGGGTCATGGCAAAAGTGTTTTGCACGGAGGGAATTTGATGATATGATGTTCCGGCTGGCATATGAGTTGTCCGCAATTGGCAAGCACTGTGGGGCGGTTGCCTGGCTTTATGTAAAACCCGTCCACCATGGTCTTGAAACTAAACCGAAGTTTGGCCATTTCCGCGCCGTCAAGTGCAAACCGTTTTGTGTCCGTTTCTAAGACACAAGGTACTGCCGCTTGTATTACATAAGGTACATGCAGGTATGCACACCTCTATGGGCACTATGGGCATCCAAACGTTTATGATTCTGGAATTAGCTGGAAGAACTACATCAAGAATAACCCAAATAGTTATCCCGTGATAGCTGCACCCAACTATGTAGTCACTCAACTACATCACCGTAATGACAGCACGATTAACTCGATGGACTACAACGTCATGATCAAGAAGGCGTATGGAAAAGCACGGATCAATTTTCGAGGTAGGGGATGGCAATTTTTTGGAGAAATACACACTCTGAATAGCTCTGACGGTGTTTTGACAACGGAGAAATACCTTCAGTCGTGGCCGTTAACGGGCACGAAGTGCCAGATAGATACGAAGACGCCTAAAGGGGAACTACTGCGATCTGTGATATCGTCCTTTTGAACTAGCGTCACACCATTGGGCAAATGGAAAATTTATCGCTCGGAGAGAACGATGGAGCAAACGGACATGATTCAAAACGGCACCGTGAGTCGTTCAAATGCAACCATGTACGAGTACGATGAGTATGGTAACGTGGTATTACAATCGTCATGGGAAACACAAGTCGGTCGTCTGGTGACACAGTTGTGGAAGAGGTGCTCCTACACAACTATCGACGGGGTCACTGGTGTTTTGACAGGCGAAAAGGTTTCAGGTAACGGCAGCAACATGAACATGTCCATGTTTGAACCAGGTGATATTTCATTGACTGTCTATGAGAATGAACCTACCAGGGCGGTTCTCAGAAGCATTTCAGAATGGTCAACTGACGTTGGAGACTATGCGAAGACACACTTCGTTTATAATGACTATGGAAAAGAGGTTCGCAGAACAAATGTAGTAGGGCTTGTGCGCTCAACAACATGTGATGACGTCTTCAAAACGTTTCCAGTCAAGGTCACCGAACAGGGTCTCGGCGTCTCAACAATGGAGTTAGTCGCCTTTAATGAAACTAGCGGGCTGGAAGTTGCTAGACTGGAGGTGAATGGGCTGCTCACATGCTATCTCATGGATGGTTTTGGTAAAACAGTGGAAACGCGGGCGAGGGCTGCCGAGCCAGGCCCATGCACAGTCAGAGCAGCAGAATTCCTTAGCCAGCGGCCCTATGTTGCAGATACTAGCCTTTCAAAGGCGCTTCAAAAGACTTATTTGGACCCTCAACGTAAAATCTCCTTTGAAAGGCAGAAGAGCTTGTCTGGAGTAGCTTTCATCTGAGTTAAAGTGGTCAAATACTCGCATGACGGGATTAGCGGTCTGCATGAGGTCGTGGAATATGTGGATTGTGCGAAGCAGATCCAAAGACGCAGCTCTAGAGATGCAAATGATCCAGAAAGACTTTGGGTGCACTGCGTCTCCTGATCAGCGGCGGCGGCCATGAATATTGGCCACAGGGCATCGAACGATTTGAATACCTCTGGCCCACGCTCTTTATATGTCGGCAGAATGTGGCAGAAAAGTTGCGGATGCTGGTTAACTCTTGGCCGTGTAGGATGCCGCGATTTGTATTTTTGTTGCGCAACTATTTCATTAACCAGCAACAGTGCTTTATTTGTCTTTGAGCACTTTAACCCTTATAACTGCGAAACAGAGACCTGATTAAGACTTACTAACCTTGGAGACTAAGTGACGCATCAAAGGTCAGAATTTTAGGAAGATAAAGAGATTAATGGCATGACAATATCCAGATATAGCTGCTGTTATATGTATCAGCGAGAGCCTTAGCTCAAGTGGCTCGGCCCTTTAGCCCTTTGGAACTCCTCCTGGCCCCACGATTCTCATAAGGGTATGTAATAGAATATAATTGAATTGAATCAGAATATTGACTTTGACGTGAAGAGCTTTAGATAAGCTTGATAGATTCCGACTGAATATCGTCCCAAAATTTCTTTCCGCCAAGTCCAGTATGCTCGGAATACCACACACCAGCTCTCATAAACTCGTTCACGGTTCCCGCCGACTGTAAGAGGAGTCCCATCATGACTTCAGGATCAGTAACATGCTTAAAATACCTCATATTCCCTTCACTCAGGCTAATACTCGCAATCAAAGCCATATATAATGGTTGAGTTTGCTTGTATTGGCGTTCGTGAGTCATCCAGTCCAGGCGAATGTGAGAGATATATTCGGTATCTTCTGATAGTAAAATCTCAAAGTCTGTCCCTAGTCGTTGCTCGCTCCCATCTGCGATACGCATTCCGGGTTCATCTTGCGCTTCAAGTGGTACCTGAAATATTTTGCAATGGATTTGTATATATCCACTGTAGACAAGGCCGTAGGGATTTAATTCATTCGTAGAAATGTCCACATTCTGGAGCACAAATCTGGGCGAAAATGTGTAAGAACTATTTGCGCTCCCTCCAAGCCATTCTATATTGTTTGGATGACACGCCCAACTCCACGATGGTGCTACGTAGGTAATAGAGCGTGGCTCGAGACGACCGTCTTTCCTCTGCGGTTCTCCAACCCAGAAAAGTCCCCTTGGTAGATCAGCTCTCCATAGACCTGCCAGATATTTCTGATCGGACAATTTATCCGATGTAGTTCTGGCAAAGGCAGAAATAGCCGGTAATGTATCTTGCGCGTATGAAAGCTCTCTCCGAGAGTAAAGCTGCACCAAGGTATACCAGTCATCAAAAGCGTCTGTCGAAGCGTCTGTCGAAGCATACATCGAAGCTGTGTTTGCCAACTGGAAAAAACTCCTGTCGTCAAATGGCAACCCTTCTGCAGATTCTCGCAATTGCCCGCATATAATATAGGTTGAAGTATTTCCAAAGAGAAGTTTACGTGGCGATAATTCGCCCTCTTGGAAGGTCCATCCTCGTTTATTCAACGGGGAGAATATGACGTCTGATTCATAATATTCGCTGTCCAAAGCAATAAACGTAGCTTCAGGCTTCTCATATACTTGTAAATTTTCATCAGCCTGTTGTATCATCTTCAAGTACAGTTTTCCTGACACCGAAGGGATCAGCTGAGATCGAAAGTCGATTTGCAGTGTACGTGGCGAGTGTGCCGTTTTCAAAAAGCCACTTGTGCATGCGTTTGCTTGAAGAATACACAAGGTAATGAAGTTGTGCGAATAAACTTTAGACATATTGAAAGATTCTTCGCTCCAATCATCCTCATCGCCTTGAATAATGCATAAAGCATCAACCCATAAATATCTAATTTGAAGATCTCGGCATACTTGAACCGCATCTGCGACTGTCTGCGGCAACTTGCCAATGTCAATATGTGAAAGATGTTGGTTTATCGTATCTTTAGTAGTCTTTAATTGCTTCGCGGCTTCTTCTTTCGCACCCCAGCAATAGCTTAACGCCACATATCTCTTCGATTCAGTGTCCACTGCTTCAAGGAGTGGTTTATGCTGACTGGTGATGACAAGTTGTATCTGAGTGGAAGAGCCTGATGAGCCGACATCCAGTAGACGTTTAGGCAAATAGGTTTCACGTGCCGGAGTGGCATCGTTGGAAAGAGTTTTGGCAATAAGCTCATTAATGCGGTGCCGTGTAATCGGAGTCGAAAACTCATTCAACACAGGTTTGCGCCGAATGTGGAACCACGAGGCGCACGGATCTAATCTATATTAGCTGACCTCATAGATTCTTCAACTTGACATCTGCATACCACAAGGCTGAGCGTGAACGTTATAGTAAAGCATGCAGTATCTTATTGAGCCATGCCATTCAATATAAAAAAAGATGCCAAGGGTATTTAGACAAGCTCTTGGGTCTGACTCATCTCTTGGTTGAAATCGATGGCCAAATTCCTGAAGCATGTACTTTACATCGGTAATGGTAATATTTGCCCTGATATCAGGATGGCCGAGTTTGGATCTTCCAGTTGGCGACTCCCAGGCGGCCATGATATCGTTTCTGAGTATGTCACAGAAAGCACAACCTTCAGAACTAGTGGCAGCGAAACCTGGCAGTTCAGGAAGGACATCTTTTCTTTTATATTCAAGCTTGAACGCAGCTTGTTCATGAGCGTACCACTTATCATGGCGTGTTTGCCCGGGGAGCCTTGCCTTTAGTACGTTTCCAAAGTCGATAAAGGGATTTTCTGTTTCTGTCTGTCTTATTGCTTCGCGATATTCTGAATCATTTGGACTGAGCACTTTGCAATACTCACAGGGTCGATCAAGCACCAAGATCTCTGAATGGCTGCCTTCCCCCGCTGTCGAGCCATTGCCGTTCTCAGCGTTGTCCATTACCCCTGAGGATCTAAAACTTGCGACAACTGGTCCCAGTCTTCAGAATGTTAGTTTTATCTAGAATCCTGGATTTTTGGTATTGTCCCTTTCGACTTTATGCCAGCGCATGTCATCAATATTTCCCTCCACACTGTTATTCAGGGATAAAAACAGCTGCCTGGAGCGGGGTAGGTACATGTATTTGTATCAAGGATGTTTGCTGCATTGGGCTAAATACTATACTCCATGCCTCAGCCATCGTGTGATTAATTCTAACCGATCATCCATACCCGAGTGGATCTGAGGCAGCTTGTTAAAAGCAGGCTGACTATTCTGCAATACAAGTCTCTGGTAGTTTATGAGAAGCAAGTAGCTTAGCAAATTATAGCAGTACCTTAGTCGTCTGAAGACCGAAGATCTTAGTGGCAGCGTTGGCTCCGTTAATTGTGAGGACTAAACGGTGGCGAGGATCTTAGCGCGGGGTTGGTTTACCACTAAAAACGGAATCATTTTAAACTCCAGATTTGGAGCCATGGGATGCGAAAAATGGAAGACATTACACTCAAGAGAGGTGTGCGTGACGGGACCCTGAATTCTCCACTACCTATGGTTATATGTGCTTATTAGTTAAGGCTATTTGCTTTATGTACTTAAGTTATAGGCTTCCAGCCTGCGACATTACAAGATGTATACGGCACTGGAAGAAACCTGTCTACAATAATATCCTAGTGTATACCACTGTACATCCGGAGTAACTGCTCGTATTGTATGTGCGTACAAACAGCTACTGCTGGTAACGAAGCCATTAGTTACCAGCGTGATGCAAAAGGTCGACCTTTAACAAAGGTGAGTAAAGATGGCCGTACTGTGAAGTATGTGTATGATGTTGGAGGGTTTGAAAATATGTCATCGATCATAATATTACCACAAAGAAGGAGATTTGCCCTTCGAAAGTCGCTTCGAGTTTTCATATGATCACCGCGGCAGAATAATGGACCGTAAATTGACTCTCCATGACGGTAGCAGTTACAATACATCCTTATCTTACGATTGGCAAGACCAGGAGGTCAAGAAGATACTCCCGGATGGTGCTGTCCTTGAGCTCGACTATCGCGGCTCGGAGATTATATCCCGCACCTTGTCCTCTGGGCCCGGATCAGCATGGTCATTGAAAGCGGAGACACTCAAATACAGCCCCTTTGGAAGACCAGAGAAATTGTCACTGTAAGGGTCTGATATGGGAGAAGACTTTATTTACGAATGGATATACGACTCTCAGGGCTTCCTAATTAGCCACAGTCTAAGCACCGAAAGCAAGATGTTGGTCAATGATGAATATTTCTACAATGCCCTAGACCAAATCACACGAGAGCATGAATCTATGTCAGAATCGGTAATAGAGTACTCATACAGTGGCAAACGTCTCGCCGCATCGAAATCTAGCAGCGGAGGGAGGAATCATTATACATACGACTCAGCGGGTAACCTCGCGGTAAAGAGAGGTACAGAAATCGCATATTTCACTGGACGTGCATTGGCAATGAAGGACGGCGAATACGTGTTTGATATTTCCTATGACACCGTTGGACGGGTTTCCCATAGGGTCACGGATGGCTTGGCCATGGCGTTCAAATACGATAGCTTTGGCTCATTACAGTTCCTCGAAGAGTTAGTCCACGGAACGTCAATTGAGCTGGTCTCCGATTTCGAAGGAGAGATGTTCCACAGGAAGCATTCAGATGGTTCTTCAGATCTCGTTGTCAGCGACGAGTTTAGCATTCATTCTCAACCCGATGGTTGACGCAGAGTCCATCATAGACTAGCTGGTGCTAACGGTACAGACAATTTGGTACTCGGCAGCGTATCCCGTAGGTATGAGTCTGTCGAGGCTATATCTCCGTTCGAAGGCAGCCGCCTGATCGACATCAAGTGTACAGATACTAAAGGCAATGTAACGCATACATTCAACGGCCAAGATGTTAGCATATGTGAAACACCAGAGTACGATGACTTTGGGCTCCTTAATTCCGACACAGTGGAAGGCAATACCAACTCAACGTACGAGGGTAACTACTTTGGTAAAGCAACTGGCCTAGTCAACTTTGGTGGACGATGGTACGATCCATTGGTTGGTCGGTTCACCACTCCAGATGATATCCTCAACATTGACTCGTTGATCCGCACTGATGGTCTTAACCGCTACGCCTTTGAGAACAACGATCCAATCAACAACTGTGACCCCACAGGCCACTGGAGCCTCTCTTCCATTGCAGGGGTTGTTATCGGCACGAGCCTCATCCTGGGCGCTATATGCGTGACCGTAGCCACCGGTGGTGGGTGCGGGGGCCCCTCTGGTGGCAGCCGCCGTTGGAGCTCTAGGGGCAGGTGGTGCAGCGGGTATTATGTATTCAATAGAGAATTCGGACGAAGATGACACAGGGAAATTTTGGTATGGTTCCTGTCGTATCAATATTAACACTGAAGTTCTCCTTGCTAACTTATAGGTGTGTAGGGGAGGACTCGCAACGACAGTAGCATTCAATGCTGGCATCGGTGCGGCTACGGGTGCCATCAGTGCCGTGGCAACGCCAGCACGAATAGCCAGCGCGACAGGTCGCATCTTTTCCCGGGCGGCCCTAGGAAGCAAAGTCCTAGGGCCCCTAATCAGAGGCGTTGCCCGAGGTCTCGTCGGAGGTGCGAAGTTTCCTGTGCGGTTAGATGGAACTGTTGGTAGTATAGAATCGAGGACCGTGGTTATTTAATGGTGTATACGGAGTATATGGGCAGCAAACACTTTATATTACTAATAAAAGAAGAATGTACCTAATTATTTACATAGTCAAAAAGTTTATTAAAAAGGGCACATGATTAGAGAATTGGAATGTGTGATCTTAATGTTAGTCCCCTGCAGAAAAGATGCCGGCAAGCAAGATTTAAACTGTGAGGCTAGACAGCATTTTGCAAAATTTTTCATACACTTTTCAGCATTTCATTTTTACAGCCCCTTGCTAGTCTAATAGTCCAGGGACAAACAAATGTCAATGGGCATCAACTGCCCTAGAATGAATGCCCCAAACAAGCACGTCACAGCCCAAGATATGCTCATCACTTTCTGTGGCCTTTGAGCACCCAAGAGATGGGCCCAAAGTTTACTGTATCCGTCAGAGGAAGGGACGGCTCTAGCTTGTTGACGTCGGTCAAGTCGGGAGGCTGGACGACAATCGGTCCATCAACACTATTTCATTCCACCCATTAGCTCGCCGACAAGAAAGACGGGCACTCAGACATGCACTCACTCTTTCCAAACCAGGCCGGCCAGAATGTCACCCTCGTTATTAAAGGTGAGGTCTTGGAAGGCGAGTTTGCCAGTGACAGGGAATGTAAATTGGTGATCTCCCTGGAACCCTTCTCGGAGGTTATTGCGTAATACCGGTATCCGTGAAAGGATCTTATGCTTGACGCTATCGCGTAATTCGTATTTTTTGTTTTCATAGGGTCCCAAATTCGGCGATGCCTCTACCTCGCCGGTCACTAAGAAGTCCAAGTCTTCTGTGGATTCCAGCTTGAGCCGTGGCGCGTCGTCTTCAATAACCACTCTCACGCTGAGGGTCCATTTCCCCGTATACTTTTCCCTGTCATTGGAAGAGATTAAGCAGTTGGAATCTCCAAACACAATGGGGTTAATCTTACTTGCTATAAGTCGATGGATCGATCAATTCTTTGTTATTAGCAAAGGTGATGCCGCGATAGTATATGTATTCTCCCTCTACCTTGGCGTACGGCGCCTTCCCGGGCTGCCAGGACACAACTGTGCGTGCCTCGCCTATAAGTTATAACACAGCGCTGTTATTAGCATTTGATATTTGATACACCCCGGCGTGTCTTGGGATAGAAAGGGGCTGGACGCACTCCAGTGGTCAGAGCTCCACCAATGACCCGACCCGTCGAGAGCCGCGGGCGTTGAGTTATCACTCCGCTTGTTGTAAACCCAGGTCCGCTTGTCGGAAGACTTGACGAATTCATAGACGTTATGCTTGTAGTCTCGGTGTCTAGGATCTCTCCCTATGTCTATTGGGAAGGCCCACCCGCCGACGCTGTCATAGGTGTTTCGATAGGCGAAGATGGACGAGGCCTCGTTGATCGCTTGAAGCTGCCTTAGAAGGTACCGAGCCAAGAACAGCTCGCCCCCAAGGACAAAGGTTCCATCGACTCCAGGCTGGCCGGCTGGCGGGTAGCAAAAGTTGCCGTTGTATCCGACCTGCCTAGCGTCGGGTAGCTGGCCGTCGCTACCGTCCTCCTTCTTGACCACCTCGAGAAAGAGGAGACAGTTTCTATTTCCCTTGACGGTATCACCGTATTCCGATTCGCCGTTTTGATCACGGTAGGGGTAGATCTGTTGAGTGACGTTTGTAGGTGCTGTATGCAACGTTTAGCAGGATAAAGCAGACAAACAGCCAAGGCTGAGATGGTATTATGCGTACTGAACGTTGGTATAATTTCCTGGGCTAGCACATCGAGTTAGTCTTGGTAAGATGACCGTACAAAATATGAATTACATACGCAGACCAGTCAGGATGATACTGACTGCCAGAGTAGATAAACCCTGTTTCTGCAAATCAGCGCCATACAAGCTCAAGGTGGCGCCAAAGGTCGTGGCGCCCATGAGATCTTTTTTTTGCCACTCTTCATAAGTCATAGGACTGCCTTTATCGTCAAAGAATTTGGAGGTGTGCACATCGAATTTGTTCCATTGTGCGGCTACCGGTCGGAGTCAGTCCAATTATGACGACGAGCTCGGCCGGATCACAGTACTCACAAGTAAGCTTGGCATACAATCGCTGCAGTTTGTAATCTCCGGGGACGCTGAACTCCTTTTCGACGAATGCGCGTTGTTCCTTCTCTTCCTCGGTCTCCTTGGCATATTCCCTAACAAACTGCTGTCCCAGGTCGCACAAGACACCGACCTCCCAATTATCCAGCTTAACGGGGGCCTGGGAGCCTGCCACCGTCAGAGTGCCGGTCTTGAACCTTGATATGTGTGTCAGCTAGTAGATGCCCGTGGGGGAGAGGCAGCGGGTGTATACCAACCGAAACACATGGAGGATTTGGCCAAGGTTAAGGGTGGCTTCGGGCACAATCAGACGCGAAGGCAGCATCTCTCCCTCCATCTTTGCAAGCCCACTATCATAGGAAAATGAATGCAAGGCAGGATACTTTTCATAGAGCTTCTCGAAGCTCGAATTTAGGATGGCCTGGGAGATGGCCAGGCCCTGATCGTAGAAGCCATCTGTGGTATTCAGATTGGTCTTGAGGCGGGATTCTCTGTCAAAGGCAGACATTTTTCCAGTTGGCTTGATTCTTGATGTGGCTGCTCAAACGCGCGTGAGGCAGCATACAGGGAGTAGCAGTAGGTATATAAGGCCGTGAGACAGGCGAGGAAGCCGTTACCGTTATCCTATCACAACGTCAATGAAGCACCTCTCACATCACATGCGTTGCCATGGGTTGATGTGATGTTGCATTCTGTAGTGGGGCCGTGGGCGTATGCATACCGCAGCTTCTGGCACACACCCAATATGAGTAGGATCACCTTGGATGGAGCCTTGCTGCATGTTCAGCCAGCCACATACATCGGCCACATAACGTCTCCCTACTTTGACTGGCCGAGGGGATGTGTTGTACAGTCTATAGCGAGTACTTTCGAAGGAGTGTACACATAACCTGACCTATGACGGTATCTGGTTACAGGGGTGAATACAGGTCAGGTTGTCACTCATCAGGACCTCAGCTCGTCTGCTTTAGCCGAGAAATGCTCGCGTATACTGACAGCTGAGGGGTTCGCGCAGCTCCTTGTTTTTTATTATCTTGCCAGCCCGAGATGCGGGGAATAGCAACCTATCTAAGGGCTCATTATAAGCCCTGCAAGAAGAAGTCTACCTATGCGCGCTCATCGCATAAGGCAGTCGGTTCAAATCCGGCCGGGGCACCCTTTCGAGCTAATTTTCCCATAAGACATAACTAATAAGCAAGTCTCAGCTTATAAAAACACAACGCTTAGCCCATCTAGGTCCTACAGTAATAATAGGCCACTAGCTTAAAGAGACACTAGGTTTTCCTCTTATAAGAGGGGTTTTTCTCTTATACTAGCTTATTAGTATAAAAATTTCTAAAATATAGTAAACAGGGGTTAACACCTCCGGCTATTAGTTAATAAGCTTGCTGTCTAGCTAGGCCGGTCTTAAAGGAATAAGACCACGTAGAGGTAGTTAAGAGTGAAACTGGCTCCTACTAACCTATTGCCCTATAATGGGACATGTGTATTTAGTTGACTAGATACTTATTGTCGTTAATATTACAACAATAACAACAACAGCATTAAAAAAAAAGGTAACCCTGAAGGCATGATATTACAAAATATAGTTCGATACCATTCCAACAACAATACAGTGTAGTGTGCAGTTGAAAAAAAGAATACCATATACGGTATTTCGCAGTGCAGCATGCATGATGCTCAAGTCATCCTTGCTATGGCGTACGAGTGAGTAACACGGTCATTCATTTGGAGGTATGCCTGTCGAGTCTCATCTTTCTTTATATTCCTTGATACGCTTTTGCTAGTTCAAACCTGTTGTAAATATGTCGTTGCTTGAAAACGCCATGGACCATGATTGAGGCAATGAGGCTTGACGGGAGGTTGGAGCAACCTACCCTTAGATTATGAGAAATCCCTCCGTAGATGGAAGTGCGAAGCTAGGTAATGTCCTAAAAGTCATTTTATTGCCCCTGACCCAAGATTCAAGAAACTTGATAAATCGCCTGCGTTTGGCCAAGACGAACGCTGATGACTATGAATGAGACTACCTGCCTTCGTAGGGATGAATAATGGTCAATATTCAGAATTCTAAAAATTCACGAATTATATTTATTAATGCAATAAATGCCATAAGAAGATCAAATTCCGTTTTCGGAGATGTTGCAACGGCTTCCCCAACGTACCTGAATAGGCAGACGGCCGAGCTGCGGCGTTGGTCGAGGCCATGACATCTTCATGACTTGCAAACTCTAACATCACTAGCCAGCTACAACTTGGCCCTTGATCAATAGAGGAGCCTATTGCTTGAGCCCCGTAACCGTGTATTCGATTAGTAGCCACGCTCGGGTGACGGTCGAGTTGCCTCCCAAGCCCACAATCTTCCAGTCGTTTGTCACGTCCCCGACGGCACTCTGACTAACCAGCGCCGCATGTCCGCCTGCCTTGAGAGCTCTGTTCGCCGCCAGCTTCACCGTGTTTGAATAGCTAGTCCGCAGCTCTAGCTTGTCCAGTGCCGCCGCCACCGGCTTCGGCGTCACCAGCAGCATAACGTTCTCGGCCTTGGCCTTGGCCCGCTGTGCCCAGTAGGGCAGCGCGCTGCGTAATCTCGATAGGTCGAGCGTGGCCGTCGAGTCTGTGGATGACGCCACGCAGCTCTGCCACTGGTTCGAGTACTCGCTGGCAAGTTCGACGGCCATGACCGACGCGGTGCCCTCGACCCTGGCGAGCCGCTTGAGCAGGGCGCTCTCGGCCATCTGTCTGAAGTCATCCCCGCCATTAAAAGCTGTGTACTTGATGTGCAAGAGCACGTCAGAGATGGTGTCGTAGTCAAAGGGACGGACCGCGGACGGCAACCGGATCTGCCAGTCCGAGATGGCGCCGGCGCCTTCAAACGGCCCGTACTTGTCCTTGTTTCCGCTACTGCCAAGCGAGAAGTTGAACTCAGCCTGC